TCCTCGCGGGGGTCGCCGGGCTCATCTCGGACCTTGTTGGCGACGACGTGGAGGCCTCAGAGCCGCTGATGGAGGCCGGCGTCGACTCGCTCGCCGCTGTCGAGCTGCGGTCGCGAGTCAGCGCTGCTTTCGGCATCGAGGCGCCTGCAACGCTCGTATTCGACTACCCGACGATCGAGGCGATTGCCGACTTCATCGCTAGCAAACTGGCACCCGAACACGCGGCCCAGGACGTCGCTCGTCCGCACATCGGCGAAGCACTCGCGAGTCCTCAGGCGGGCGGTAGGGTGATCGTCATCGCGGGGAGCGACGCTCGGCTTGCGGGTTGCGGCAACATGGCAGACATGCGCCGACCACTCTCTGGAGTGGTGGAGCTGCACGGGCCCGTTCCGCTGAGCAGGTGGGACAGCGACCTCTTCTACCACCCGAATGCCGCGGGCGGGAGTACGCCGGGCAAGGTCGTTGTGTCTACCAGGCACGGGGCGTTCTTGCGAAACCCCATGGAGTTCGATCACGCCGTGTTCCGCGTCCCTCCACGCGAGGCGGCGCTCATGGATCCGCAGCAGAGGCTTCTTCTGGAGTGTGCGGTCGGGACCGCCGGGCCGTCTACCGCCGAGGGCGGCCTGTTCGGCACTGAGACGGCGCTGTTCGTTGGATGCATGTGGCTCGAGTATGCCGAGCTGTTGGAGCAGCACGGCGTGCTTTCCGGCGCCCACACCGTGTCCGGAAATGGCTCTGCTTTCCTCTCAGGGCGGATCTCCTACACCCTCGGGCTCACTGGGCAGTGTGCGACGATCGACACGGCATGTTCGTCCAGTGCGACGGCAACCCACGTGGCGTCGAGGGCTCTGCTGCGAGGCGACACTTCCGCCGCGATCTCCGCGGGCGTCAACTTGATGCTCCTCGCGGAGAAGTCAGCGATCGTGTGCCAGCTCGGCGCCGCGGCGGCTGACGGGCGTTGCAAGACGCTCGATGCAGCTGCGGACGGATACGGGCGGGGCGAAGGGATCGCGGCGATGTTCCTTGTCGCCATCGCCGGCGACGGCGACGGCCGCGGTGTGGCAGGCCCGGTGCTGCTGTCTAGCGCCTGCAACCAGGACGGGCGTTCGAGCAGCCTGACTGCGCCACACGGCCCGAGTCAGGTCGCTCTGGTGAAGCGCGCTGCATCGGAGGCGCGCGTGCAGCCAGGCTTCGTGTCGATGCACGGAACGGGGACGGGGCTCGGGGATCCCATCGAGATCGGAGGCCTCGGACAGGCGATTGGGCACCAGGAGGGTGCGCCGCTCGCTGTGGCGGCGTCGAAGGCGGTGTTCGGGCACACAGAGGGCACCGCCGGCATCACAGGGATGCTACTCGCGATCGGCGCGATCACGACGTCCGTGCATGCGCCGTTGAGGGTCAGAAACGTGAACCCTCACGTCGTGAGCAGGGTTGAGGCTGAGTGGCACAGGCCCATGTTTGCTCCGACGCAAACGGTCGGCGCCGCGGCTTCGTTCGCTCAAGCGTTCGGCTGCAGCAGTTTCGGGATGTCGGGCGTGAACGTGCACACCGTCCAGGCCCCGGGCATGATCCAGGCAGTCGTCAGGCCCTCCCTGTTGGAAGAGCTGGAGCCCGTCCGACTGTCCCCCGTGCTCCGGCCGTATCTGCTCGCGACCTCGGGGCGCGTGGGCGCCGGAGGAACCGTGACCGTCGAGGTCGACTTCACGGACGCGAAGCTCGCGTTCCTGCTGGACCACAGGATTGCTGGGAAGGCAGTGCTGCCGGGGGCCGCGTACTTCGATGCCGCGTTGTCAGCAGCCAGCCTGCTCGACGGCGCGAGCAGCACGCCGGCAATCCACGACCTGGTGATTTCGACGCCCTTCCTGCTGGACAAACAGCCAGGACCGCTGCGGCTGTTGGTTGCCACGACTGGAGTTGTAACTGCACTGTCGACCGGGGGGGAAACGCACGCGTCCGCGTCGGTCGCGACCTGCGGCGCGCTGCCGACAGGAGGCACGTTCGCGAAGCTGTCGGTGGGAGCGGGACGATCTCAGCTGCAGGTCGACACGTCGGTCGCGATCGGTTCGGCAGTAGGCTGCTCGCCACACACAGAGCACTCTTGCGTCGATGCGGCCGTGCTTGACGCCGCTCTCCACGTGCTCGGCGCACTGCACATGACGACCGACGCGTACGACCCGATGGTTCCCGTTTCGGTCTCTGCGGGAGCCGTGACGGGCGGCGGCAGCAGCACGCAGCACATCTGCGCAGACGTCGTTGATGCCGCCGCCGGTCACTCGGTCAGCGACCACACTCTGCCCGGCCGCGCGGTCGTATCCAGGCTCCACTGCAAGGCGATGCGGCAAGCTGCCCAGAGGCCCGCGGCATCCCTTTCTGAGAGACAGATGTTGTACCAGGTTGAAATGCAAGCCGGGGAGCTGTCTGGCGTGCTTCATGACGCAACGGAGGCTGCAGGCCCTCGCAGCGGACTGCGACTCTCTCCATCGACGCGGGCGCAGGCGGCGTCGGTCATCAGCGCCCTCCAGGGGCTGTCGGACGTCGCAGCAGAGAGTCATGCAGATATCGGGTTCCAGTGTGCTCAGTCCACGGCGCGTGCAGCTGCTGGTGCACGTGCTGCGATGGCAGGCATCAGTCTGGCGGCGGCGCAGGAGATGCCTCGGCATGCCTTCAGCGTCGGAACGGCCTACAACCGAGCTGACGCTGGCGTCGTGCAGATCCGGGAGGGCAGCGCTGGTACGCGGCATCCTCACAGTTGCGCAGAGGGCAACGTGGACATGCGGATGAGGGTGGTCGAGTCACACCCTCATATGGCGGGCCCGGTGTCGCTGGTGCCGCGTCCGCGCGGGTCGCTGGACGCGCTTGTTGCTGTGCCGGCGGGCGACGGGCCGCTTGGCGCGGGCGAGGTGGAGGCGGACGTGCGGGCGGTGGGCATCAACTTCCGCGACGTGCGGAACGTGCCCGGGCGACCCGGGGGGCGACATGTTGTGGTTGTGGGGGCTGGAGGGGCGCGGGTGTTTGGGCTGGCGGTGGGGTCGCCGGAGACGCGGGTGCGTGCGGACGCGCCGTGCGTGGCGGCGGTGCTTGGGGCGGTGACGCTGGAGGAGGCGGCGAGCTGTCCGACGGCGCTGGTGACGACAGAGGTGGCGCTGGAGCGGGCGGGGGGCGCGAGGAGCGGGGAGGTGGTGCTGGTGCACGCGGCGGCGGGCGGCGTGGGCGTGGCGGCGCGCGAGGTGCTGGTGGGGACGGCGGGGAGCGCAAGCAAGCGGTGGGCTGTGCGCGGGGGCGGTGCGGCGGTGGTGGGGTCGCGGGACGTCGGGATCGCGGAGGCGATGGCGGTGTGCGGGGCGGCGTGCGGCGGCGGGCGCGTGGCGGGCGTGGACGTGGTGCTGACGAGCCTGACGACGGCAGGGTTTGTGGCGGGGAGCGTGGCAGGGGTGGCGGCGGGGCCGGGTGGTGGAGATCGGGAAGCGCGACGTGTGGAGCGCGGGGCGCGTGGCGCAGGAGCGGGCGGACGTGCGGTACGGCTGGTGGCGGTGGACTTTTGCGGCGGAGGTGGTGCGAGGTGCGCTGGCGCGGTGTCGCGGCGCTGGGGACGGGGGCGTGGGAGGGCGGCGGCGCGGGCGGCGCGGGATAGGGCGGCGGCGCTGCGGCAGATGTCGGCGGCGCGGGCGGTGGGGAAGGTGGTGGTGTGCGGGCGGGTGTGGGGAGGGGCGTGGGCGCGGGGGCGTGGGGTGACGGGCGGGACGGGGTACGTGGGGTCGGTGGTGGCGGGTGGGCGGTGGCGTCGGGGCGCGGCGGGGAGGTGGCGCTGCTGGGGCGTGCGGGCGGCGCTGGGGGCGGGTGGTGTGGTGGGGCTGGGGAGCGAGGGCGCGGTGGTGCGCGTGGTGCGGTGCGACGCGTCGGTGCGGAGCGAGGCGGCGTGGGCGGCGGGCGTGTGCGGGCGGCGCGGGCGCGTGGGGGCTGTGGTGCACGCGGCGGGCGTGCTGGCGGACGGTGTGGTGGGGACGCTGGGCGCGGCGGAGGTGCGGGCGGTGATGGGTGCGAAGGCGGGCGCGGTGGGGGCGTGGGGGTCGGCGCGGGCGTGCGCGGCGATGGCGGGGTCGCGGAGCGTGGTGATGAGCAGCGTGGCAGCGCTGCTGGGGTCGGCGGGGCAGGCGAACTACAGTGCGGCGAACGCGGTGGTGGACGAGTGGGTGCGGGGGCAGAGGCGGGCGGGGGCGGAGGGAGTGAGCGTGCAGTGGGGGGCGTGGGCCGGGGAGGGGATGGCGTCGGAGGCGACGCGGCGGCGCGTCGAATTGTCTGGCTTCGGAATGCTCGATCCCGTCGCAGCACTGAGCTGTCTCGAAGCAGTTCTGCTCTCTTCGGGGCCAGCCATTGTCGCAGCAAGCCCGTTCGACTTCGACAAGGTCGCGAAGACCGTCCCACACCTGTCGTCCTTGGTGCCGGCCACCACTGCCGCTGCAGTGGGCACGGAGGGCCGCTCTGGAGCGAGCGGCCACGATCTGCCATCGCTGTCTGGGCTGGAGAGTCTGGACGCGTTGCGGGAGTTCGTGGAGGCGGCTGTGCGGGAGGCCACTGTCGCGGTCATCGGGTCTGACCCAGGCTTCAACTCTCCGCTCGTCGAGGCAGGGGTGGACTCGCTTGGCGCCGTCGAGCTCAAGGGCGCGCTTGAGAGATCGCTGGGTGTCGCGCTCCCGTCGACGCTGGTCTTCGACTACCCGACAATGTCGGCGATTGCGGAGTTCGCAACAACGACCATCACGCCACACGTGGTGTTGGGTGGCGACGACCTCCCCGTCGCTTCCGTCGAGCAGGCGGCCCGAATGTCGGTTTCGGTCGCAGTCCTCGGCACCACGGCGTTCTCACCGCGGGGCGCTGCAACGTCGGCAATGCCAGTTGATGCGATCACGACAACGCCGTTCCAGCTGTGGGACAACGACGAGCAGCCCACGCTCGCTTGTCATCGCTTCGGCGGTTTCGTGTCTGGTTCGGCGCTGTACGACATGGAGGCGTTCGGCACGTCGACCGGAGAGGCGGAAATGTTGGATCCGCAGCAACGTCTGCTGATGATTCAGGCGTACGGTCTGCTCGCGGGCGTTTCGTCGGACATCGCGCTAGACCGTGCTGGTACGTACATCGGGATCGCAAGCGCGGAGTATAACGGGTTCACTGCTCGCGCCTTTGGTCGCCTGGGTCCATTCAACGCGACGGGAGGTGCGCTGAGCGTTGCCAGCGGTCGGCTGGCGTACCGGTTCGGACTGCGGGGCCCGTGCATGAGCGTCGATACGGCGTGCTCGTCCTCGCTTGTGGCTGCGCATCTCGCGTGGGCGGCACACCAGTCGGGAGCGGTGCAGGCTGCTCTTGCTGGTGGCGTGGGGCTCTTCCGCTCCCCCGACTCGACTGCGATGTTCGTCAAGGCGGGAATGATCGCCGCTGATGGGCGCTGCAAGACGCTGGACTCGCGTGCCGACGGGTACGTCCGCGCCGAGGGCTGCGGTCTCACTCTCCTTGTGCGCTTGCACGAGGAACCTGGACGAAACGCGGACCTCGCCGCCGTGGCGATCGTCCGCGGCGCCGCAGTCAACCAGGACGGCCGTTCGTCGTCCTTGACGGCGCCGAACGGGCCCTCGCAGCGGGCCTGCATCGAGGAGGCGATGCACTCGCAGCCGGACGCGGTGCTGGGCCCGAGTGCCGTGGGAGCCGTGCATCTTCACGGCACAGGCACCAGTCTCGGCGACCCGATCGAGTTCGGCGCGCTGCACCACGCAGTCGCGGCCTGCGACAGCGATGCTCCGCTGTCCATCGCAGCGTCAAAGAGCTGGCTCGGGCATGGGGAGGCAGCCTCTGGGGTCCTCGGGATCTGCTTCATGACGCAGCAGACGGGCTCGGTGGCGGTGCCCCCGGTCATGCATCTCAGGAGTTTGAACGAGCACGTGCAGCAGGTGTGCAGCGCGGGCCGCAAGTTGTTGCTGCCGCGGCAGGCAGGTGGGCTGCAGCCCGCGACAGCCTCTGGGATCGTGTGGGGGACGTCGGCGTTCGCTTTCCAGGGGACGAATGCGCACCTGATCGCGCAGAGCGTCACAGCTGACGCGCCGACCCTGGACGCCGACTGGGCGCTGACTCGTGTCGACTTGGCAGTGCCCGTTCAGCCGCTGATGGGCCCCGTGTCGACGTCTCGATCGCAAATCACCTTCACCGTCGACTTTTCGAAGCCGAGGGCCGCAGCTACGATGGATTTCGGGCGCGCGGTGTCTCTGGGCGCCTTTGCTGAGGTTTGCTTCAACGCGGTGTCAGCCTTGCGCCACAGCGGAGGCAAGGCGCCACAAGATCACGTGGTTCGCCAGGCCGTCGCTGGCGAGCTCCTGACATTCGGAAAGGGACTTGCTGCGACCAGCGTCGAGCTTTCGCTGTCTCTCGGAGACAACGTGCTGCAGTTGAATTCCGTGGACACGTGCAGTCGTCGGCGGACTCATTTCGCGGCGCTTGCATCCTGGGCGCCTGATGCTTCCTCGGGCAGCTTGACGGGATCTGTCGCGTCGCTGGTGTCCCCTCGAGGTGCACTGTTCATGAGCCACATCTCGGCATCCCCCTCGAACGCCGCCCACGCAACTCTGAACGAAGCTGGCGACATCCTTGCGACGTCGCCGAGAGCTCTGATCGACGGCACGGCCCAGCTCGTGCAGCTCGTGCTACCAGCGAGCGACACGCTGCACATCAGGAGCCCAACAAGCATCGACGCAATCGCTGCCCCCGCCGACACCCCGAGTCTGTCTTCGATCGGACCTGCGCGCTCGAATTCGCGCGCTACTCGCACGAGCAACGTGAGCGTGTGTCAGTCGGCGACGGGGCAGTGGAGTTCAGCGACGTCAGGATGCTTCGTGGACGGCCTGGTGGTTGGAACGCAGACTGCGAGTGATGCTGGCGCGCTTGTGGGTGCTAGATCCATGCTGTTCGCAGACGCCTTGGGCGGTGCTTCGTCGCAGGCACCTCCGGGCGCACCCAGCTTGCAGCGGCACGACGTCTTTGTTGCCGTTGCGCAGATCGTTGATGAGGTCGTGGGAGCGCACGTCGCGGTCGATCGTCCGATGATGGACGCCGGCCTGGACTCCCTCGGCGCGGTCGAGGTGCACGCGAAGCTGCAGACAGAACTCAACGTCGACTTGCCGCAGACGATTGTCTTCGACTATCCGACCGTGTCCGAGCTCGCCAAGCACTTGAGCCAGATGATGGGGCAGGCGGGAGGCCAGTCCGTGGCTCAAGTAACCGCGAGGAGGCTCATCGGGGACCCACGAAGCCGCAGCGCGCGCTTCGTGGCCCTAAAGGGGTTCTCGCGTCGCATGCAGGAGATCAACGTCCCCGGGACCGGCCGAGACTTGGCCTCCCGCGTACCCCAATCTCGCTGGGACGTCGAACAACAGATCGACCCACCGCGCAGGGGGGTCGTTGTGGGCCAGCAGCCGGCCAGGGCCCTGGCGGGGCAGTTTGGTGTCTTCATGCCCGACGTCCACGCGTTCGACGCAGAAGCATTCGGGATTTCGCGGCTGGAGGCGACGCTCATGGACCCGCAGCAGCGGCTCGTGTTGGCTGCGGCCCACGAGGCGTTCGTGCAGCGCACTCGTGCGTCAACTGACGTCAGCACATCAGCAGGGATCTTTGTTGGGCTCGCCGCGAATGACTACGAGGCCTTCTGCGCAACGCATCGGGCGCCGAAGACGGGCTACGGATTCACGTCGTCTGCGGCGTCCGTAGCAAGCGGGCGTGTCGCGTTCTGTCTCGGTCTCGGCGGGGGCCCGGCGATGACAGTCGACACTGCTTGCTCGAGCTCGCTCGTGACGACGCACCTCGCGTTCGAAGCGATCGCCTCGGGGAGGACGCCCGCTGCGATCTCGGCGGGTGTGTTGCTCGTACTTGTGCCGGAGTCAACGGCGATGGTGCAGCGCGCCGGACTGCTGTCTTCGGACGGGCGATGCAAGAGCCTTGACGAGTCGTGCGACGGGTACGCGCGGGGCGAGTCGTGTCTCGCAGTGCTGCTCGAGCACTTCGACCCGGACGCGCGCAGCGAGCCTCTTGGGCTACTGCGCGGCACAGCAGTCAACGCCAACACCGCTGCTCAGTCGTTGATGGCGCCCCACGGGCCATCGCAGCAGCTGCTGATCCAGACCGCCCTCGCGGTGGCTGACGCCACGCCAGAAGACGTCATGGCGTTGCAGATCCACAGCAACGGAACCCCTATCGGTGACTCGATCGAGGTTTCTGCTGTCTGTGCGCAGCTCTTGCAGAAGGCGCGGCCGTTCCGTTTCGTCACCCAGAAGGGCTTCTACGGGCACGCCGAGGCCGGCGCAGGCGTGCAGTCGCTGCTCGAGGGTGCGCTAGGCTGGCGCACCGGGTCTCACGCGCCGCTGACGCACCTGCGGAACCTCAACCCTTTGGTGGGGAGTGCGCTGAGGGGCGCCGGGACGCTGCTCCCGCGCTGCCACGTTCCCGCCATTCCGCTCTTGGCGAACTCGCCGGGGCAGGCCGGGATGTTCGGGGTGAGCTCTTTCGGGGCGCAGGGCACCAACGCCCACGCCCTGTTGTCCACCGAGCAAACAGGCACGACCGAGTTGTCGCGCGCCAGCAGTGCCCCGGACTCCAGCGCGCTGTGGCAGCCGAAGTACCTCTCGGTCGCGCCCCCCGAAGTGCGGCTCCTCACGCGCGCCGCAGTCAGCGGTCGCGCATGGGCGCGCAGGTTGGTGTATGAGCTGCAGCCGGCCCACACGATGGCGGCGAGGCTGTGGGACGCGCACTACGTGTGTGGCCCCTCACTTCCCGCGTCCGCACTCGCGGAGTTCGTGCTGAGCTGCGCGTCCTCCATGGCCGCGGGCGCGTCTGTCGCGCTGAACGACGCTGTGGTTGCAGTCCCCGGAGACGCCCGGCACCGGCTGGCAGAGAGCGACTCCCACAGCGCGATCCACGCCGTGATCGACCCGGCGACGGGCGCCGTAGTCGTGGGCGTGGCCGGCAGGAGCGCGACATCGGGGGCGCTGCTGCTCCAGGGGTCGTTGGGAACTCAGGAGGCCCTGATCCACCACGTGGGACCATCGCAGAGTCACCTGTCGCTCATGGGCGTCAGCTGCGGCCCCGGAGGCGAAGATGTGCACGGTTCCGACCACGCGCTGCAGTACCTGGCGCGCGCTGACTCAGGAAGTGCCGCCCCGCCGCTGGAGGCGTGTTGCCAGGCGTTGAGCGGCGCTCACCTCGAGGGACACAGTCTGGAAGGCATCGGACTGCTCCCACGCGCATTTGCATCGGCGAACGGTGCGTCCGCAGCGCCAATGTGGGTCCGTGGCGTGTGCGAGGCAGGCGGATCGTGCTCTGGCTACGGCGCGGGGCGGAACGCAGGGGCTGCAGTGCTCAGCGCTGTCCTCGACATCGTCGCCATGTCCGTGCACGAAGACCCCCCGACTGACGAGTCGGCGGCTCTCAGTCGCCTGACGGGGCTCAAGTTCGAGCCCATGGTGCCGCAGCTCGTCGACGACGACTGGTCCTCGGACTCGGATTCCGACCGCAGCTCGGCACCCGCTGCAAGTCCGGCCGGCCGGGCTGCTGCGTCCGGCGGGGCTGTGCACGGCGGCCCCGTCCCGGAGCAGATTCGTGCACTGGCGGCGCTGTCCTCGGGAGCGCGGCGCGAGCGCCTCGTGAGCTCCGTGCTCTCCGAGGTCTCCAACATGCTGGGCCGCGGTGTTTCGAGCGAGGACGTCCTGCTCGTCAGCGGCGTCGACTCGCGCGCCGCCATGGAGATCCGCCAGGCGCTGTCAGGCACCTTCGGTCTCGAGCTCCCGACCACGCTGCTCTACGACTACCAGACGGTGGACCAGCTCGCGGACTATCTCGACGCAACGATCGTCCAAACGGCGGCGCAGCGCCCCGCGGCCGCGCACGTGTCGCAGACAGATGACGCCGCGCGCAGCGGTCCTGCGCCGCGGGACGCCCCCGTCGTGTCGAACACCGCGGCGGCGCCCTCGGAGCTCCTCAAGACGCTCCGCGCCGAGCCACCCACGTGCGCTCTGTTCCTCGCGGCACCCGGCGTCGCCAACGCGCAGAGTGCGTACTTCTCCTTCATGTCGTACCTCGGGTGGAGCTCCCAGCCCATCATGGTCCTCGACAAGGACGACGACCTCACCATCGAGGAGCTCGCGAGGCAGAACGTGGCCGACATCCTCCGGGTGCAGCCCTCCGGGCCGTACCTGCTCGGCGGCCACAGCTACGGCGGCGTTGTGATCATGGAGATCGCCATGCTCCTCGAGGCGGCCGGGAAGGAGGTCGGGCAGATCATCATCTTCGACTCGCCGCGGCCGGACCAGGTCCGCGAGCGCAACCTCGAGCACGGCGTGACGGACGCTGACGTGAACGAGCTGATTGAAATGATTCTCGGCGCCCTCGGGAAGGACGCGCTCGGCCTCGGCGCGGGCATCGCGCACCCGCGCGAGAGCGCGGAGTGGAAGGAGATGACGTACGAGCAGCGGTATGAGTTCTTCGCTCCTATCTGGAGGGTGATGCGCAGCCAGGACATGTCGGTGGAGGAGGTCCGCGAGCAGGTCGCGGACGTGGCGCTCGCGGTCAAGCGCGCCTCGCACGTGTCGGACATGCGGCACCACACCTTTGTGCGCGGCGTGACTCACGCGCCCGTGCTGTACTTCCGCGGACACGTCCGTGGGGCGTGCGACTACATGAACGACTCGCGCTTCGGAGACACCGCGCACGGGCTGTGCTGGCAGGACCTCGCGACCTCGGTCGAGGTGGTCGACGTGCCGGGCGACCACTTCGCGTTGCTGCGGCAGCCAGACGCCGACATGGCCATCATCGTCAACCACCTCAAGGCGCGCCTGGCCGCGTTCGGCTGGCAGGAGACGCTGCTGCCGCAGAGCCACGCGGCGCAGCACGGCGCCGCCAGCTTCGGGCCCTCGGACGAGCTCACTGCTCACCTGCGCCAGATGGGGGTTGGCGAGGAGGCCATCGAGCGCGCCCGGAAGTTCATGGCCGGGCACGCGGCCGGCGGGCTGCAGGGGCAGATTGGCGAGGCAGCTGCGGACCTGTTCGGCCTCGAGGTGCTCTGTGCGCCTACGGTGCGGGCGCTCAACCAGCAGCCGGTCACGGAGACCCATGTGCCTATTTTTGTCGTGCACTGCATCCTCGGCGACGTGGCCCAGGTGCTCGACCTGGCGGATCACACGCGGCACCGGATGTACGGCCTACTTCTGCCCAGCGTGGACGAGTTGGACCGCCACGTGGACTCGGTGGCGTTGCTGGCGCAGATCTACGCGTCGGCCATCCGCAGCGTGCACGAGGGGCCCTGCATCATGGCCGGCATCGGGCAGGGCGGCGTGGTGGCGTACGAGGTGCGGAGCATGCCGGCCTGTTCGATCACGACGCGCTCCACTGCATGTATTGAACGCAATGTATTGCATCCCGTAGTGCCAACATGCCGTCGATTCCGATCCTCCTGCGCAGATCGCATGCACGCTGCAAGACACAGGCACGGACGTACAGATGCTGACGCTGTACGAGGACAGCGTGCAGCGCGAGGTGGCCGACCTCATGGTGCACCCGTGGTACGTGTGCTACCCGGTGGTCCGGCAGGCGGGCCTGGGACTCACGGACGAAGAGTACCTCGACGCCAGCGGGGCGCGCACGGCCACGGGGCGCGAGCAGGTCGACAGGCTGATCGACATGTGTCCCGAGGGGACTGTGCAGGACTCCTGGACGTCCGCGATTGTGTCGGCGATCGACCGGTCGCAGCGCACGAGCGGCTCCGAGAGCTCCGAGGAGACGCAGCTCGTGCGCATGATGCTGATCCGCATGATATTCGAGTGGGCCGAGGACCCGAACGCGGACTTGAACGTCCACGGGGCTCTGCTGGAGCTGTCGCGGATGTCGAAGTTCACGCAGTTCGGCGAATGGCTCCGCCAGAGGTTCCCACGGCGCCGCAAGGCCAGGATCTGGTGAGTCGCTCGCTGATTGGGCCGCAGTGTTGCCTGCACATCCTTGGGGTCGTTTTAACACCAAACTTGCGATCCCGCCCACCGCACCGCGCTCTGCAGGGAACAGATGCTGTCGCTGCTGAAGCGGCTGTCGTATATCCGCGCGCTCACGGAGTCGCACCACCCGCAGTCGCTCTTCTACGGCCAGGTCGTGTTGATGCACTGCGACTACGAAAGGACCATGCGCGACTTCCTGGGCGGATGGGCCTGCGGAATGTTCTCGAAGATCGCGACGCTGGTCCTGCCTGTCCACCTGCGCCCGGTCAGCGCGGGGGTGTGCGCGATCACCAAGGCGCAGCGTCACGACGACGTGGTCGCTGCCGCCCTGCGCACATCGCGCCTGGCCGAAGCGTCGGCTTCTGACCCCAGACGGACGGAGGACGACGTTCCCACGGGTCCAGCTCGGAGGTGGAGCTGCTGGCTCGACATCAACTGCTCGCTGGAGCAGCTCTCCGACTCTGAGGCCAAGCCGCCTGTGCGGAAGGCGATTGCGCCCCCCGCCCGGCAGCAGCCTGGCTCGGGGGCTCGCAGGGCGATCGCGATGCGGGTGAGAGACGCCGGACACTGCGATATCACCTCATGCGCATCTCAGAACGAGTGGCTGTTTCCGCGTGACGTACCTGCGTACCAACAAGGCCGTGAATCTCTCTGTTCCCCGTGTTCACAGGGTCCGGCACCGCGGTGCTTCAGGAACGGAAGGCTGATGATCGCGCCGAACGTGCTGTGCGCGGAGCGCTACACCGTCACCGCCGTCGAGGAGAGTCAGATCGCGCCGCTTGCGCGGATGCCTCTGTGGCTGTTCACGATGGGCGACCCGCGCCTGGACTACGACGCGGCGTGCAAGGTCGCGAGCAGGATCCCGATTCCGACGTACACCGTGTCGCCCGCCGACCCGAAGGACTTCGCGTCCTTCGCGGCCCTCGTTGAAGAGACGAGTGCTGCCATGCTCTCCAAGCAGCCGTCCGGACCGTTCGCGCTGGCAGGCGTCGGGCCAGGAGGCTGCCAGCTCGCGTACGCCGTCGCGTGCAAGCTCGAGGAGCTGACGAGCGCCGTGACGCTGGTCCTGGCGGACGGCGCGCCCTCTGGACCCAAGGCGAGCTCCGGGACGGACCTGGAGCTGCACACCTTGTACGAGTCGCTCACCTCTCTCGGGGCGCTCAAGATGCGCTTCGCGGACTTCCAGCGGAGCATGCGCGGCAGGGACGTGGACGCGGTGCTCGATTTCCTGGTCAAGCTGCGCCCGGCGACCTTCAAGCGCACGGACGGGCCGACGGGACGTGCGACGAGCGCGGCCGAGGCCTGGGACCAGCACGTACAGGGCATGCTGATGCGAGGCCGCGACGCGGAGAAGCTGCCGCTGGACGGTCCGCCGACGCTGCCGCGCGTAAGCGGCTTCGTCTTCCGGGGCTCCGTCGCGGCGCTGTACCCGAGGTGCGCGGGCCCGGAGGCAGCGGGGATTCTGTGCGACATCAGAGACCGGTGCAAGGGCCAGGTGCGGTACCGTCGGATGCCGTGGTCGCACGGGGAGTCGTGCCGCAACGCGGAGAAGCTGAGGACGACGTCGGCGGTCATCGAGGAGGCCGTGCTCGCGTATCTGACGGACGGGAACTTCCAGTCGATGGAGCCGACCGCGCAGCAGCCGCACAGTCCCGATCTGTAGGCGGCGAGGGAGAGAGCTCACACGGGCTCCTAGATGAACATGCTGTGAATGCCCCGACGAGCCGCACTCGCTCACAGTAGATCCAGGCGGCGCATCGCGCCCTCGAGCTCGTCGGCGGTCGGCGGCGCGTCGCCCTGGGCCGCTCGCCGCGCGCTGTCGCCCTCGTTCAGCTGCGCCTTCGATGCGCGGTACCGCTGCGACAGCTCCTTCATGATCTCGCGCGACGGCGTACCGGCCCCGAGCTCGCTCCTGACCACTGCCATGTTGTCCTTGACGAACGCGTTGTATGCCGAAGGTGTGCGTGCTTTGCACGGCGTGCCGTCGGGGTTGCTCCTGCCCAGGTAGGTCAGCTGGCCGCCGCACCCGCCGCCGCAGCGGTGCTTGTTCGGGTCGATCGAGCGCGAGTGCCGGCCGTACTCGCGCCGGCACGCCCCGCACTGCCATCGGTGCGCGTAGTGAATGTCGTAGTTGTGGCACGTGCTGACGTCCAGGTCCGGGTACCGCTCCATCGCACACCGCGCCCACCGCTTGAAGTGCGCGCCGTGCGGAGGCTTCGCCACGTGGTCGATCAGCCAGGCCGCCACGTGGCACATCTCGTGGCACAGCGTCCGGCGCAGCTTCGCGGCCGTGTCCAGCACCTTGGTCGCCAGCTCGATCCGCGCGTGGTACACGGGCGCCTCGCCCACACGCTGCGCGAACCCGAACGAGGTGCGAGAGCCCGCCATGTTGCACCGCCGGGCAGCAGGCTTGGCTTGGCGGGAGCGCGCAGAGCCCAGGGACATGCGGCGCGGCGCTCACCTGCGTGCGCTTGTAGTGCGTCGTGCCCGCGGTGCTTCTGAGGTACGGCGTCCACTTGATGTCGAGGTCTGGCGGCAGCGCACCCCCAAACACGTTCCGATTCATCTCCGCGTACAGCTCGCGCGCCAGCTCCTCGCGCGCACGCGCGAACGCGCGCCCGGACAGCTCCCCGCGCGCGTCGGTCTTCTCGAGCCGCCCGAGACCGCGCGACGACGACTGCGGCGTGATATCGAACCTGCACGCACCGTCGCTCGAAGCGTCATCGCTGCCCGGCGGCGGGGACGCGCGGCTCGGGGCCCCGGCGCTGCCGCCTGTGGACGGCGACCGCCTGCCGTGGCCGGCCGCGCCGTTCGGTGGTGCCGGGGAGCGGGCGCCGTCGGGGGCCGCGCGGACCACCGAGACGATCTCGACGCTGTCGTCGGATGCGCTCGATTCTGGCGTGTCCGGTTCGAACAGCCCCGCCGAGTTTGCGTTGCTGCTGTCGGTGGGGGCCGCGCCGGGGTGCGAGCCGTCGCTCGCTCCGCGGGCCTCGGAGCAGGGACTGTTCGGCTCGCGCTCCGTTCGTGCGATGCGCAGGTCCGCGACCGACGCGGCCAGGCTCGCTGCGCAGGTCTGGCTGTCGTGCGGCGGAGGCTGGAGGCGGTCTGGCGAGGCGTGCTCGAGGCGCTGTCGGCGTTCCGCGCGCCTCAGGGCGGCCTCGCGGATCGCACGTAGCGCCTCGGCCTGCCCCGCCGCGGCGACGGTGGCGCCGCGTTTGGTGCGGGGGCGCAGCGTGTGCGTCCGCCTGGTACGGGCGTCCGCAGGGGGGGTCTCGCCGTCGGACGAGCCGCTCGACCAGTCCTCGGAGCTCTCAGATGCCAGGTCGTCGCAGCTGTCGTCGCTCGAGAGCGGCGCGTCGTCGTCTGCGCGCCACGGAGGGCAGGGGATGTTTCCTCAGAATGCACGCGACGTGTGCGCTGAATGCGGAGACATCGCACGTTTTTTGACCCAGAAAAGAGTAAGTGATTCAGATTTGAGCTGCGTGGACCAGGCAAAGGTCCCCGACAGCGCCAGCGCGCCCGCTGGACGCGGCTGCCCTCCCGCGCTGCGTTCCACCGCACTCGCCGACGGTGGTGCCCGCGAACGCGTCCGAACGCATGGACATTCCCAGGACAACTCGCAGTGATGCACGCAGCATCGCGCGACCGCACCAGAAGACCGGTGTGCGCGGCGGAAGGGTGCGGGCAACAACAGGCACGTTGGGGGGCTCCAGGCGCCGCGCCGGGGGGCGAGCGGCGCTCACCGACGACGAACGAGTCGTCCGTCTCCGAGTCTCCGTCGTGGTGCACCCTGGACCTGATTCGCGCGAGGACCTCACGCGCAGTGAGCTCCTCCTCTCCCCGGGCAGTGCACGCCCCCGGCCGCCCGTCCTGCGGAATTCCGACCGAGTCCGACTGCGCGGGTGAGCTCATACAGTCAGCGATAGTGCGTGGAGCGTTGCGGGGTGATCGAAAGGGCGACAGGCTGCGGCGCCGGGGGCGCACCTCACATGCTGCACGTGCACTGCCGACGAGCGCGTCTCCGCGACACGGCGCGACGTCCGGTTGGGCGCGCTGGGCTCCTGGTGTGGAAGTGTTCACGCAGCGCTCGCGGAGCGGCGTTCCAGGCGCCATTCCGTGCGCGCTGGGACAGCTAGGCAGAGGGCAGCACGCGCCGAGTCGAGGAGCGCCCGTCGGCACCGCGTCAGGCTGGCAGCCGCCGCTGGCGACCAGAAGTGATCATTCGACGCGCCGCGGCGGCTCATCGACGGGTGTCGGGCGGCTGACGGGCCGTGGGGCGGTCTTCAACACAGCGCTGGGAACCACCCCGAGGCCGCGAAACTGCTCCACGCAGCGGGTGCGACGTCGACAAAGCGGCGTCGCGCGCCGGCCCCCGTTCTCACAGACGGTTATACGCGACCGCAGCCGCGCGTGGATCGCCGCAGACGACGAAGACGGGGCATCTCGTGGGTCACCTCGCGTGTCGCCGCGCCGCCCCGCGACGCGATCATTCCGAATGTTGGCACCACCGTTCGACGTTTTTTCTACGTGAGGGTCCGCACGCGGCGAGGAGGACGAGCTTGGCACTCACGCGCGCGCGTTCGAGGGAGACGGGGCCTGGACACCGTGTACAGAACGAGAGGCGGCTCGTACGGGCACGGAGGCCTTCGGGCGGGCCCCCAGCGACGCTTGCGGTGCGTGGAGCGGGCACGGCGACCTCGCGCGGCGGCGTACGGGCCTGCCAAGGGCCAGATTCCCTCCAAGCGGCTTCAAATGCTCCAGGTCTGGCTCTGGATTGACCCCCCACTACCGTCACGGCCTGGTCACCGCGCGCTGAGGCGCCGCGCCCGCGCGGCCGACGCACATTCGTTCTTCTCTGATCGACAAGCCCCGAGTCTGATCGACGAGACCACGCACGGCAGCCGCCGAGAGCGCCACCGAGCGACGCTCGCCGTTTCGACGCTTTGCGTTCCGAACAGCCTTCCATTTCGACGCGCGCCGAACCCCAGGCAAGTGCCCATCCCTGTTTGCGCGCAGCGCCGCGCCCTGCGCGCCCGACGAGCGCGCCCTGGCCCACCGCCAGGCCATGCTTTTTGGGTCGGGATTCCGTTCCGCCCCGCGACGGGTTCCGCCTTCGCCGAACCCCGCGGTCGCGGCAGTCAATGTCCATCGATGCGCGAAGCGCGTCGGCGGCCGTCACCGGCGGCCACGCTGCTGCCGCACGGGTGGGCCCCGAGACCGAGGCCGGGACTCGGACGCGCCGGCCGTGGGCCGCTTTCCTCGACCGCGACGTTCGACTGACTGGAGGTTTCTGGCTCCCGCGGCGCCTCGCTGGCGCGGCCAGCCCCGCCCGGCGCGGAATGCCCGGGTCCACTCGCTTCGCAGCAACTGACACGCACGTTCGCGCCTCCGGGGCCCTGAACGACTTCCCGGCCGCGTATTCGGCCACAAACGTACATCTTGCGCACAAACGCCGCGGCAAACCATCGGTCCGCGTCCCCTGCGCCGCACTGCAGGCTGACGACCGCCATATCGTAATTGCCGGCACGCGACCCAGCAGGCCAAGATGTGCCGCCCCCCGCACGCCGCCATCGCGGCCTACCAGAAGAAGAAGAGCATGGTGCAGGCCATGTTCCAGCAGGGCGCCCCCACGGAGCAGCCGCCCGCCCCCCCGTCCTTCCCTCCTCAGGAGGTCACTCCGCCGTCGTCCCTGAACGTCAACCCCTCCCAGGACACGACGCCCCGCATCCAGGTAAGCTCGTCCATCGACCGGCGCGCTCTCCTCCGCCGTTGCGTCGCTGTGGCAGCGGCGCCCCCCCAGAGGCCGGCGACGAGCAACTGCGGTCGCACCCGAGGGCATCTTGGCCCCGAGGGTGCATCCTTCGGATCTCGCTGCACCGGAGAGTCTGGAATCGCCCGGCTCGCGTGCGCCCGCGCCCGCCAGTGCGCGCTTCCCGGGACGACCAGCTCACCCGCCTCGCTTTGGCCCGCCGTCGCGCGCAGGTGCCGCAGGCCACCCTGCCCCCCGAGCCCCTGGTCCTGCCGGCCGCGGACGAGCCCCTCGACGCAGGCACGCCCCCACGACCGCCCCGCACGTCGCCCCCCATCTCTGCACGCGCACGTCGCCAACCCACCCCCGCCGCGCGCGCGCCCCGCCCCGCAGAGGCCAAGCCGTCGGTCAAGGCCGCCCCGTGCGACGAGAAGTCGATGCTGATGAAGTACAAGCGCCGCCACCGGTCGGAGGAGATGCTGCTGGAGGAGATTGAGGACCCCGCCGAGCGGCGCCGGCAGAAGCGCCTGATGAAGAACCGGCTCACGGCGGCCATCAGCCGCGAGCGCAAGAAGCACCAGGTGTCGCAGCTCCAGGCGCAGGTGCAGACCGCGCAGGAGGAGGCCGCGGGGCTGCGCCGCGCCGTCGTCGAGCGCGACATGGAGATCTCCGAGCTCCGGCAGGAGGTGGCGGGGCTGCGGCGCGTCGTCGCGCAGATCCAGAACGCGTTCGCGAGCGCCCCGGCGCCCGGCGACGCGATGGGCAGCTGGGCGGGGCCCGACGCCCGCTGCAACAACACCATGCAGGGCGTCTCGCAGCCCCTCGGCGCGCCGTACCCGACGCCGTGCGGGTCCGCGGGGCAGTCCGTGGGCTCGGACACCGCGCGGCTGGACCCGGGCCACCTGTGCGCCCAGCAGCACCAGCAGCCGCCGCCGCCGCCGCTGCCGCAGGAGTTTGTTGCCCCCGTCGAGGAGCCCCCCGCGCTGCCCGTCGCCGCGCTGCCGACGGACCTCCCGACGGACTTCTCCGAGGAGGTCATGGCCGACCTGTCGCGGGACTTCCACTGCTGGCAGGAGCTGGTGCTGTGAGCGGGTGCCGGGACTCCGGCCCGCCACGCAGCGGCTCCCCGCCCCCGGGGGGAAGCTGAGGCCCGACGCTGGGCAGCCGTCGGGCCTCAGAGCCCCGCCCACGGGTACTGCACGCCACGCAAGATGGCCCCTACCACGGAACCCCCCCCCACCCCAACCCCCCCCCTCCCGGCCCATCCCGTCCCTAGTAATTAAATCACGTCTCGTCTTGGTTCCAACGCGGCACCGCCGCCCCCTGGACGCCCGAACGCGGGCCGGCGCACCTGCATGCCCGGCCCCTCGGCACGAAGGCAACGGAAACGCTCGGCAACGCCTGCCCCCACTTGCATTCAGCACTCAGGGCGCAGCCTTTGGCCGCAACTGGCCACGGGATGCAGACCCCTGTGCTCGTCGCACTCCCCGCTTGACTCCCTCCTCCCCGCGCCCCCCCCGCAGTCCCGCCCTCCCCCACTCCCTGCCCCGCGCCACCATCACCCAAGAAGCTCAGGCTGGCCGACACCAGCCGTTCGCCCCTCGCCGCACACCCTCTCCGCCACGCCGTCCAGGGCCGAGGGCCCGACGCCCTCCCACCGCGAGGGCGCGCCTCGACCGTGGGCAGCAGGCCATCGCTCCGGTGCAGTCGCAGGGCGGCGGCCTGGCTCGAAGCTGCCGGTCGCCTGCCCGCGTCCGCCGGGGCCGGCCGCGCGGAGTACGCGGTTTCGCAAAACTCTTTAACGGCACAGGCCCACCGAGACCCGTGCCACTTCTTGCTCATCAAGACACCGCCGCTGACAAGAGACCTGTCCAGAGCGGCCGAAACACCTCCGCCCTCGGACACCGCATCACGAGCACAACTCTTTTGCGGCCCTCACTGCCCCCTACGCGGCCCGACGCTTGCCGTCCCGCAGCCTGCCTCGTGCAGACTGCCTTTGTGAACAGATTGAGCGTCACGCACGTCCTGGTCATTGTCTCACCGTCGTGCAGGTGTGTGTACGACATGCATGACTGATTACATTGTCTACCCTGTCTGCTGTGTGAGTCTCGCCTGCCGTACCATTTCGGTCGTTCCGGCATCCTCGCGGTGAGGGTGCTCGTAGGTCAGCAAAGAACTATGTCATGGTGCGATGCGCGTCAGGCTCATAGGCAGCGAAACAGCAGAACGCAGAGCGCGTCGGCTCCGCTCACCTTGGACGGGCGCATCAATGACTACCCCCCCCATGTGTTGACTTCCAGTACAGTATTTTTCTTCTAGTGTCCTCATCGCTGCCTCCGCGTGACAACCACGGCCCAGGTGCTCCGCACACGCAGCCACGGTGCAGCGCCACGGACCGTGCCCGGCCGCAGCAGGACTCGAGCATCACGCGAGCTGGTTGGCGGACACCATGGTGGCGCAGCCACACGCCACGGGAACCTCGCGGTCGTCCGTGCGGGTCCGCGGAGGAGCTCGGGTGGGCCACGCAGGCCCGCGCGAGACGCGCGCCACCGTCCGACCCACGCCTGCGGCCACGGCGCGGCGACACAGTCCCACAGGTCCACAGGAGCACCAACAGGCCCCGCCTGCACGCACACCGAGCGACTCCCCCGCAGGCGCGCCCCTCGGCGCTCCCGGCTGCGCTCGCGGCCAGCCCCACGCTCCACGGTGGGGGTCACAGACACCCGGGGGGGGCAGCAAGCGCGAGTATGGCTCTACGCGGTGTCGCCGCCCTGCGGGTACTCGAACGCCACCTCCTTGCCCGTCAGCTTCTTGTACACGCCCGCGAAGGTCTCCAGCTTGTACTCCGTCGTGTTGCGGTCCTTGGCGTCGAGGTACACCTTAAGGAGCTTCGAGCCGTCGAGCCTGTACCGGATCCGCTTGCCCACGATCTCCGTCGGGAAGACGAGGTCCTCCAGCACCGCCTCGTGCACCGCCGTCAGGGTGCGCGACCGCGGCCGCCGGTGCCGCACCTCGTCCGCGGGGCGGGGGAGGATCCGCCGGTTGGCCACGATGGTGACATCCTTGCCGGAGAACTTCTTCTCCAGCTCCCGAATCAGGCGCGGCTGGAACTTGTGGTACGCCTTGAGGAGGCGGTACGGCACGTAGATCAGCACGGCCTTGCGCGCGGCCGACACGTCAATCTCCTTCGCGCCCGTGATGTACAGGTCGCGCAGCTCCGCCTTCAGCTCCGCGTTGGTCGCCTCGAGGTCGAAGAGGGCCTGCGCGGGGGGGCGCGGGGCGCGGGGCGGCCGTGGGCGTCCAGGCCGGCGCAGTGGGGTGCCGCGGCAGCTCTGGTGCCGCCCGGGGGGCTCCCTGTCCAGAGATAGCAGCGCGCGGGCGCACGAGGGGGGCGCTGATAGCGGCGAGGACCTCGGGAGGGCGGGGCTCTGGGCCGGGCGGGCGTCTGGAGGGCGTGGCGAGGGTGGCGGTGGAACAAAGCAGTGAAAAACGCCGTCCACGCCGCCGTGGGTGCGCGACAGGTGGCTCGCGCCCATGTCCGATCGACACGAAATGTGTACGTCAGAGCGAGCCGTGCGTTGCGTCGGGAACGGGCCCATGCCGCGCGTCAGGCGCAGGCAAAGTAAATAGCCCGTCCGAGGCCGTCTCGTGGCGAGTGAAACGGTACCGCCACGGATCAGGGGCATGACGAAATGGTGCTCGAGACCGGGGCGGGGCGGTCGCGCCCGGAGACGGCCCACGGTGGCCGCGGAGGGCGCGGCCAGACATCCCAGCATTGCGGCGAGCCGATGCCGAGCCGCACCTGAGCCACCGACTCCTCGAACTCGTCCGGCTCCGCCCCATTCTCCTTCAAAATCTTCTTGCGCGCAGTGAACGTCATCCTGCAGGGCAGAGGCGGGCCGGGGGAGCGGCCCAGTTGCAACTTCGCTCGAAACATTGGGGGCGAACGCGCACGGGCGCGTTTGGAGCCTCCCGGCCCGATGCTCATATCCGCAGCGGCCCCCGCGGCCGCTGCGAGCACCGGGAAGGGCTCGAGCGGCCCGATGGACGGCGCTGCAGAGCGTAGCCTGCAGCCCGAGACGCTCCGCCTGGCAACCGAGGGGACCGCAGGGCGTGGCCCGGACGGAACGTGGTCGCATGGAGGCGACAGGGCGGCTGGCACCAGCAGCGACCGCGCAGCGGGCGCACAGGGCGGAACGCGAAGCTTGCGCAGCCTCTCGCCACGCCGCTGCGGGGCAGGGGCACGCGGGGCGGGTCGCCGCACCTGCGCTGCAATCGTCTGTGACGGGCCACCGGGAAAGGACCGAGCGCCGCGGGCCGCAGCGGCCATGTTTTCGCGCCGTCTCTCTCGTCAGGGCTTCATACCTCACGGGTGGGCGCGCTCCGCCCCCTAAAGGGCGCGCTTGCCGCCCCCGTAACGCAGAGCCGCTGTCGTATCGGAGCGATAGCACCGCTTGCCAGGGCAGCTACGCATTGCGGCGTTCCCGGCCCACCTGACTTGCAGCACCAGCGTCCGGAGCTCCGAGCTCGCACAGACCGGAGCCACGTCAGCGCCGCCGCCGCGCCTTCGCACCGCACCAGCCGGCCGGGTCGGCCACTTTCGCGACCAGCGCGCTCATTCCCGCACGCGCCCAGGCGCTCTACTGCCTGTGACCTTCGCACCGCCCCCGCGACGCCCGAGCGAGGCCCGCGAGCCGCCTCTGCTGCGCTCTCCGGACGCCTCGGCCCCGCAGCGAGCCCACGAGCGTCGCTCCACAGCGCTTCGAGCACCGGCCGGGCTGTGCGGACTTGCCCGCCCAGCCAGCGATGGGAATCTTCTCCACGGCCCTCCCGGCCGCCGAGAGGGCTAAGACCCAGGTACGCAGGCCCACCCGCGCCCTTCCATCCACGTCTCGCTCCTCCGCGAGGACGCGCCGCCCCGCTCCGCCTGTCGGGCGCGGAACTGGCCCCGGCCCCCAGCTGTCCACTGGTTTCAACCTCCCGGCGCGCACCGGCCGCGCGGTGGCGTCTCCACGCGCCGCGTCCGCCCCGCTCGCCGCGCAACGGCGACAGGCGTGCGCGGGGACGAGTTCCCGCCCGCCCAGACGCCCACGCGACCCGCTCCGGCGCCGCTCCTGTGCGTGCTGCGCAGGCGCCGGACCTCCACGGGCTGTCCTTCTACGAGGAGCACCCCAAGGGCCAGATCGAGCTCGAGGAGTTCGAGCGCCTCGCAGTCAACCGCCTGTTCGTCCTCAAGGGCATAGAGGAGCTGCGCGCTTCCAACGCGTCCGGTACGCTCCCGCCAGAGCCTGCCCCTCGCCGCGCGGGAGCCGCCCGCCGCGTCCCCGCGCCCGCGCACACCCCGGCAGCGCCCGTGCGCCGCCCGCAGAGGACCAGCTGCGCAAGAGGACGGAGGAGCTTCTCAAGAAGCACCTGGGCATCACCATGGCGCGTCCCGCGGGCTCCGCGGCGTCCGCGGTGGCCGAGGCCGTCGCCGAGGCGCGCCGCACGGACCTCATCTCGCACTACATCCTCCGCGTCGTGTACTGCCGCACCGAGGACCTCCGCCGGTGGCTCCTCGAGCAGGAAACCGCGCTGTTCCGTCGGCGCTTTGCGCGCCTGGATGCCATCGCGAAGGCGAGCTTTCTCGCCGTGCACGGCATGCCGTACGAGACCGTCGACCGCGGGAGCTTCGACCGGCTCCGGGAGGACCTCCGCGCGGTCGCGGACAAGGTCGCGGTGGTGTCGGCGTCGCCGGTTGGCGAAGGGGGGGTGAAGAAGGTCCGTCTGACCGCGGAGCAGGAGGCGATCGAGCGCGGCGCGCACGGGGACTTCTACAAGGTGCCCTTCACGGTCGTCCCGGAGCTCGTGCGGTCGCGGAGCGCGCTCGTCCGCGGCGGCTGGGCCTACGTGCACGTGTCGTCCGTCTCGGGCGTGGTCGCGCAGCACTTCCGCGCGCAGCTCTCGCGCGCGCTCGCCGTCATGGGCAGCAAGTGGGTCCTCTCCGCGCGCGCCCGCGAGGCCGACCGGCTCGCGCCGATCGTCGAGGGCCTCTCCCAGCGCTACCTGGGCGTGCAGTACGACTCGCGCGAGGCGCGCGCGGGCGGCGGCGTGCGCGCCAAGGACGTCGCGGCGCTCGCGCAGCGCGCGTTCCCGCTGTGCATGGCCTCGGCGTACCAGCACGCGCACCGCGAGCACCACCTGAAGCACAACGGGCGGCTGCAGCTCTCGCTCTTCCTCAAGGGCGCGGGCATGCCGCTCGAGGAGTGCGTGGCGTTCTTCCGCGCGGAGTTCGCGGCGAAGGCGCCCGGGGACAAGTTCGACAAGACGTACGCGTACAACCTGCGGCACAGCTACGGGAAGGAGGGCAAGCGCGCGGACTACAAGCCCTGGAACTGCCTGAAGATCATCAGCATGGTGCCGGGGCACGGGGAGTGCCACGGGTGCCCCTACCGCACGCACGACGAAGCCAGCCTGCGCGCCGCGCTCGGACGCCTCAACGTCAACGCCACGAAGATCGAAGGTGCGCACCCGCCGCTTGCGAACAGGGGGGCGGGGGAGGGGGAGACGCCCGCGCGGGAGAGCCGGGCTCCGGTGCGTGTGCGTTGCGGGCCGAGCGCGTGCGTGTTTTCGTGCGGTGTGCGTGCGCAGAGGCGGTGCAGAAGGCCAAGGATGGGCACTATCAGATAGCGTGCGGGAAGCACTTCGAGGGGGTGCACGGGGTGGACGTCGGCGGAATCAGGCACCCGAACGAGTTCTTCGACCAGGCGTGGGCGCTGGACCACCCCGACGAGGCCGACGACCCGCCGGCGAACGCCGCGGCACCGTCGACGCCCGCCGCCGCCGTGCCGCCGCAGGCGATCGCTGCCGGCGGCGCGGTGACGCCGCAGACGTGAGGGGACGGAGCTGGTCGACGCCGACGCGCGGTGCAGCGGCGGCGCGCGTCGTGTGATGACGTCGGGGGGAGCGCCCGGGCGGTTCACAGTGTGCAGAGGCTGGGCGCGATGGCAGATCGCGCGTCAGCGCGGCCCGGGCGCAAACCAGGGCCGGGGGAAGGGGGTGCGGTGCGGCCGTGCTGGGGGCGCGCACGCGCGGTTTTGGTGGGTGTGCGCGCGCGCACGAGGAGATGAAGGAATGAATGTAAATCGCGCTCGAAACACGACGGCGGGCGGCCCACGAGCGGTGACGGGGCAGACGCGTGGGAAACATGTGCGGACGGGTGTTCCGCGGGTCCGTCGCCCTCACTCCGCGCGTCGGCCTCACGCGCTCGCGGCGTTGGCCCCCATCGCAACCACCTTCTTGTCTCCGCCCGGGAGGAGGTGCTTGACGAGTTCCCGCTCGCCCTGGAGCTCCTCGACGCCGGCCTTGATCTTCATGCGCAGCCACTCGTCGTCCAGGTTGAGCTCCGACGGCGGCACGAGGGTGTAGTCCCCATGCCCGTCGCCGCGGCAGGGCATCGAGAACCACAGGTCGTCCGGGATGAGGCCGTCGTAGGGGTTGCCCGCGGCGCACACGGCGCTCGAGTACCAGTCGTTCCCCGCGGTCTGGTACTTGATGGCCTTGACGGCGTCCGAGATGCTGACGGCGGTCGACGCCGCCGACGAGCGGCCCCACTTTTGGATCAGCGCGGCGCCGCGCTTGGCGACCGTCTCGGTGAACTCGCCCTCGAACCACTCGCGGTCCGGGATGACCTCGATCGCGGGCTTGCCCTCGATCTTCGCGTTCACGAAGTCGGGCACCTGCGTGGCCGAGTGGTTGCCCCACACCACGACGTTGCTGATCGTCTCCATGTGCGTCTTGGCGCGGAACGCCATCTGCGACTTGGCGCGGTTCTCGTCGAGCCGCGTCAGGGCGTGGAAGTTCTCCGGCGGGATCGACGGCGCCCACGCCGACGCAATCATGGCGTTGGTGTTGCACGGGTTGCCCACGACGAGGACCTTGGTCGACTTCTTCGCGCTCGTCTCCAGCGCCTGGCCCTGCTGCACGAAGATCTGCCCGTTCTGGTCCAGCAGGTCCGCGCGCTCCATCCCGGGCCCCCGCGGCTTGGCGCCAATCATCAGCACGTAGTCCGCGCCCTCGAACGCCACCTCCGGGATGATCGAGATGGTGATCTTCCTGCACGAGGGCACGCGGAACGACGCACGCGCGCGGTCAGCGCGTCGGCCCGAACCGACCGGCTCGGTCGCGACGCAGGAGCGCCTGTGCGCGGCCGGACGGGGCGCGCGGCGACGAACGTTCGCGGCGCACCTCAGGAGAGGGAAGCAGGAGTCCTCGAGCTCCATCTGGACCCCCTCGAGCGCCTCCCTGGACCGCTCCGACCCCAGCATCGACAGCTCTATGGGAGCGCACTGGCCAAACACCTCGCCGGCCGCAATCTGCGCGGAACCCACGCCCGATCGGACGCCGGATGAGGGGGAGCCATGCGCACCGTGCGGGGCGCGGCAGCGCGGGCGGGCTATATTCGCCCTGCTGCACGACGGGGCGACTCCGTCCTGCCCGAGTGCTTGCAGTGGAGCGCGGGCGGTGCGGCGCAGGGCGCGCGCGGGGCGGAAGGGGACGGCGCGGGATGGTTCTCTCGTTCGGTGCGCATCGAGCGGTGCGTTCTCGCCCCGCCAGGACGGTCGGTGGCTCGCGGGAGAGCAGGGTGGGACTTGAGCAGGCTGTCTCAGAGGGGCAGCGCGGCGAGCCGCCTCGAGTGGTTGACGGCGGGGACAGGGCGGCCCGGCGGGACGGATATGGTCCGCACCTTGAAGAGGAGGTGGTTCGAGATGGTCCCGGCGGCTCCCGTCACCGCGACGCGCACGGGCTTTTGCCAGTCCTCAATGTGGCACACAGGGCTCTGCACCGCAGGTCGGACGTATGTGACGGAAGAAACGTGAGATTCGCGTACCGGATCGCGCGGAAAAGCGCCGCGACGGGCGTCAGGTTCCCCGACCGTGCCGCGCAGAGCCACACTGCCTGCAACCATAGCATCTGCTCGGCGACGCGGCAGCGCGCGAAACTGCCGCTATACGCCCGAGCTCGTGGTTCCCAGCAGCTACATCATCGCGAAATTGGGTCGCGCACCTTGGAGATGTCGTACACGATCTCGGCAGACTCGTTGAGCTCTGCATTGCAGCGCTGAGCCACCCGGCCCGCGCGGCGGGCCGCACCGACGCGGGGAGCGCAGCTGACGCGAGCCTGGGCCGCGAGAGGCTCGCAACGGGCGCCAACGGTCACTGCACGCGACGGGGAGAAAAGCGCGGGAGATGAGCAGAGCAGGAGGCACGTTGCGGACGCACGCTGCGCGACGCCGAGGCCCAATCGAGGACGCCGCGCGAGCGGCTCGCTTCGACTATCTCCTCCGCAGCGACCCGTTGCGACCCCGCGTGGAAACCGCTGTGCCGTGCCCCCAGCACGCGCCTTCCCGCATGCACGATCTTTCGCGGAAATCCGCCGCGCAGTGCCCGACGCACCTTTCGCGGAAGCAATCATCGCGCTAGCTGAATTCGTGACATGCACCGAAGCTCGAGTACCCGCCGCACGCGCGCTCCCGGGCCCATGACCTGGGTGGACCCTTTCCGACTGACCTCTCCGCACGCCCCCTTCGGAGCCCGCGGCACGGGCGACAGGAACGCGCGGCCAGCTGTCCGGGAGACTACGCCCCCGCATGCGGCCCCACGCGCGCGGCTTGAGCGGCCGCAAGTATCGCGTGCGATTGCACGCCAGCGAATCCCTCGCGAGTCGCGAAGAGGGCGAATTGAGCAAGAGCGTCGACCTCCGACGCCCACGACACGCTCCTCGGGCCTGAGGGACGCGCTGTGCGGCGGCTCCGCGTCTGACAAGCAGAACTCGCACTGCGCGAGGCCTCACACGTCGCCACCGCTGCTAGCAACCGTCCGGGGCACCGGCGGAGGTTATCGCGCCGCGCCGCCCTCCGCCTCCAGCGCGGCCCTCTCGTCCTCGGTGAGCGTCGGGTCCGGCAGGACTTCGTCCTCGATGTCCGGCATCGGGAACCGCAGGATCGCGGCCACCCCGGACAGCAGGGCCAGCTGCTCGCCCGACGAGTGCGCGGCGGAGAACACGAGGGCCTCGCCGCCGCTCGCCCGGACGGTCTCCACCAGCTGCGTGTACTGCTCCCGCCGCGACAGCACCGTCGTCCTGCGCCGCAACACGCAAGAGATCATTCGTGACGCAACGTCATGGGGTTGCGTGCCAGGGGGGAGGCGCGCAGCGGGGCGGGCTGTGCACGGCGGCCTCACGCGACGCGTCGTCGGCCCGGCGGGCGCACCGGAAGAGCGAGTCCGCCAGCAGCAGCGTCTGCACGGCGCCCTGCTCCGCCGCAGCGAACACGTGGCCAGGCCCGTAGAACGCCCGCGCGGAGTCCTTGCCCAGCATGTCGTAGAACTCCTGCAGCGCCTGCACCTCCCGCTGCGCCTTCGTGTCCTGCGCGCGCAAGCAGAGCAACAGCACCGCGGATGTGATGTCGCAGTTGCCTAATACGATCGCACGTGCCTAGTCCCGCGCCGGGCTCGACACGCCGCCCGGCGCGCACCTTGATCATCTGCGCCACGTTGGGCTGCGCGAGCACCTCGCCCAGAGCGTGCTTGTACGCGGAGGACGCCTGCGCCGTCACGATGCGTGACTTGTGTTCGATGAACTTGCGGTTGTTGGCCCGGACCGCCTCCTTGTCGACGAACTCCCGCAGCCCGTCCTTCGTGAACCCCGGCCCCGCGATCACGAGGCACTTCACGACCCCGAAGTCCACGTGCCGGTCCAGCGCCGCCATGCAATTGGCGTAGAACTTGCCCATCGCCTTCTCGAAGCCCTGCGCCGCGGCGCCGCGCTTCCGGGGCAAATTCGCCTCGATCTTCGCGCACGTCGTCGTGACGCTGCCGCCGACGAGCACCAGGTTCGCCAGGCCCTCGTCGACTAGGATGGCCGCCAGGTCAGCCGACCGCGCGGGCGTGCAGGCCTGGTGCAGCCGGTCCAGGTCGACCGTGTCCCAGGCGTCCTTCTCGAGGGACAGCGCGCGGTGCGGCTCCAGCTGCGAGCGTCGGGAAGCGTGCAGCGCTCGGCAGGCTCCCTGGCGTGCACGCTGACGACGGCGGTGCGGCGGCGCAGGGCTGGCGCGCAGCGCGGCGCACCTCCGTCGTGTGGTGCGCGTTCAGGCGGATGTGTTCGTTCTCCGTGAGGTTCTTTCCGGAAATGCGGATGTTGTCCGCCGCCGCGTCATAGTCCACGCCCTCCACGAGGAGCTGCAGCGTGACCTTGATCTTCTCCGACTTCTTCCCCAGGCCGACGTCGAAGTCCACCTTCCGGAACGTCGGCGCAGTCACCCTGTCCCCGGCCCTGCTCGCCGCGGCGGAACGACACGCCGTGGTCGTCAGATACACACAAAGCTCTCGCGACGGCGCGGTTTCGCCGACACAGGGCGCGCCGCGCAGCTGGGGGACCGCGACGCCGTCGACGGCGCTGCCCGCGAAGCACCGGGTCAGGGACCGCGGTTGAACCACTGCAGGGACGTGCGCGCTGAGTGGAGGAGATCGCGAATTTCTGGCTGCGTGGCCGGCGATGTCCGCGGCGCACCTTATGAGGTTGTACAGATGCCACATATCCTCCGACTCCTCCGGTACAACCTTGGCGAAACCCGCCCCCGACCCCGCATCGATGTCCTTTTTGATCAGCTTCATCTAGCCCCTCGTGGCAGCTCCACGAGCCCGACACGGCCCAGAACGAGCGTGCGCCTGCAGGCTCTAATGAGCGTCTCTGCAGCACCGCGTACAAAACGCGCGTCCGCGCAGTGGCCTGCCCGCAGCCTCGCAGTCCCGCCCTGGGCTTGCGGGCGTCCCCGTGTGCGGGCGAGCGTGGGCGACACGACCTTCCGGCCGCAATGTCAGTGCGGGCTGAATGTCGAGGCTGGCCACCGCGAGGCAGAGCGCGGTCCTGGCGCCAGGGGGCGTCGATACAAACGACGTTGATAAGCCAAGCAGTGAATAAAAAACGGCGTTATCTACGTAATGCGGTGCGTTTGCGAGGTCTAAATCAGCCTGGCTGCCTCCTCACTGCATGTGCTGCGTGACCCGGCGTTGCGGCGTCTTCAGGACGGCTGTGCGCGCCCCCGGCCGCGATGAAGCTCAACGTCTCCGGGGAGTGGCGCGGCGGCTGTCGCTGCTCGTCCAGGGGCTCAATGCCGCGCTGCTCTGTCTCGGGGGACGCAGTGCGCGTGAGAGAGCGATCGCGTCGCGGAACTTCGTGAGACGCAGCGCATGCGCGAAGGAGGCCGCGCTGGAAAGCAGGGCTGAAGGAGAGGGTCCGAGGGAGACCCAGGTGCTTGAGAGCGGGCAAGGGAGCACTGGCGCTGTCACTGGCCCACAGCCCGCGAGATGGGGAAGGGCGGGAACAAGTTCCGGCAGGAGGCCGTGGCCCAGAGAGTGAAGCAGCGGGGGAGCTTCACGAATGCCGAGCTCAAGAAGAACATGCAGGTCTACCTGGAGACCGGGAAGCACCCCGCTGTCGAGGAGTACTCGAGGAAGGTCCAGGACGATAAATACGGTGCGTGCTCCGCCCGCATTGCCCAGCCTGAGGTCTTCAAAGAGTCTCTCTCTCTCTCTCTCGCAACCAGCAGCAGACCGAGCGAGCGCCGACGCCGTCGTTCGTCGGAACCGTCCACACTAGACCTGCGGCGCTCCCCCGCGCGCAGGCGTGCCGGCGCTGCCCCTGCGCGAACCGACCAGGCAGCACGTCTACATGGACCTGGCGTACAACTCGAAACCGCTCGACCGCCTGGTCTTCGAGCTCTTCGACGACTACGCCCCCAAAGCCGCCTTGTACGTGCGCGGCCGCCTCGGCCCAGGAGCCTCCAGGGCCATCCGCGACACCGACGCCACGAAGCTGCTCCCAGGTGCGCCGCCGCCCCCACACCGCACACCGCCCCGCGCCCGCGCCCTCTGCACGCTGCGCAGTACACGCGCCACGCGCTCGGACCGAAACGGCCCGCTCCCGATCGATGCGAGCCCTGCAGGCTTTGCAGTGTACTTTGGCGCACCGAAGACGGGCGTTCGCAACGACGTGGAGCGTTGCCGGCAGCTCCGGAGCACGCAGGAGGGTCTGCTTCTCGCCCAGCGCACGGGCGACCACCTCGCGATCAGTCTGACCCGCAGCCTGCCGCTCGACGAGGAGTACCAGGTGGCGGGGCGCGTCCACAAGGGCGGGAACGCGATCAAGCTGCTGCAGAAGCTGTCGTCGCGACCGCCGGACGATCGGCCGGAGGGCAGCGTGCGCGTGGTGGCGTGCGGCGCGTGCGACGCGGAGGGGGTGAAGGAGGAGTTGGGGGTTGGGAAGGGGGGTGTGCAGGCGGCTGGGAAGGCGCTGGAGGCGGCGGCGGGGCGGCAGCGGGAGACGGTGGCGTCGGCGGTCGCGCACGGCTTGGCGGCGGCGGCGAAGAAGGGCACGGGGGGGGGGAGTGTGGCGGGACAGAAGCGGGCAGCGGAGGGGGGTGTGGGGGGCGCGGCGGCGAAGAAGGGCCGTGGCATGCTGGACGCGGTGCTCGGGGGCGACAGCGGGAGCGGTAGCGAGAGCAGCAGCGACGACGACAGCTGAGAAGGGGCTACAATTACACTTTGGTGATTAGGCTCGCGTATCTCGCAGCACGTCGTCCACCGTCTTCCCGTGCTTGTCCCGCAGCGAGCGCACGCTCCTGCCGTGCTCCAGCAGCCGAACTGCGACCGCGCTGTGGCCCTGCGCGGCAGCCTTGTGCCCCGGCGTCGCGCCATCTGCGTCCTGCGCTGCCGGGTCCGCACCCGCGGCGAGCAGGATGTCGAGCGTGCCGGCGTGGCCCATATACGCCGCGCGGTGCAGCGGGGTGGCTTGCCCGGCCCCCGTGCGCGCGTTGACGTCAGCGCCAGCCGACAAGAGCACCTGCACACACGCATCGTGCCCGCCGCGCGCCGCGTAGTGCAGCGGCGTGTACCCCGACCCGCCGGAACCGTCGCCTGCCCCTGTGGCCACCGCCGGGTCCCTCTCGATCAGCCTGCGCAGCTTCTCTACGTCCCCACACTGCAAGTGTCATATGGTACACATATCATTGAAAGCGTCGCGAGGTGGTTCAACCAAGAGCAGGGCACGGCGACTGAGAATGTAGCTCTGAGTCCATGGCGTCTCCTTGTGGGACGGAAAGGAAACGGCTGCTGCTGCGTGTGTGTGTGCAGGGTGCGTGAGCAGTTGCGTCATGGCCGCGTGCGTGCCGTGCCTGCGCAGCGCTGCACGCCCCCTTCAAGAAGTCCATCTCGTCGAGCGTCTGTGCCGTCGACGACGGCTTCGTGCAGCACGGACACGCATCGCTATGCGCGTGCATGACGCAACGCAACGCCTATCGCTCGAGCGGACAGCGCTCCCGTGCGCTGGACAGACCGCCCCGGTAGGCTTGCACGATCCGTCGATCCAATAAGTCTCAGCGTTCAGGATGGGCACGGTTCTGCGCCCGCTGCGCGTGCGGCATCACCGTCGCCACGCACCGGAGAAACAGAGCAACTCGACGCGGCAACTGATCTACTTGACAGGTTCGCCCTATTTGAGAGACGACATCTCCAGTTCCTGGTCTTCTGTCTGACCACGCCGCACACGCAGCTCTCGCCTTCTGCGCCGCCGTCTCGAGGCTCTTAGTATAATGTGGAGAAGGCACCCGGAGGGCTTCCCTGTGTGTCTGCCGCTGCTTTACAAGGTCGCGGCGCGCCGACGTAGAATGCGGGAGGCAGGTGAAACGGACCCAAAGTTCCCGCCCCACGGCGCATTTCGACTTCAGTCCTGCGCCACAGCACAGCGGGTTTGGCGATGTCTTGCAACGGGCTCGTGCTATGATAGCATCTCTCGCACGGTCCCGGACTATACACAACGCAATGCATGAGATGAGGCGCTCTGCGGCCGCTGGCAGCTCGCGTGCCGGGAAGCCGTGGAGACTCAGGGTGCCCATTTCGCGCTTTTTCTGCTGCGCGAAAGGCCGCAACGCTCCGCCGCAAACACCTGAGAGTGGCCCATCGGACAGCGGCCCGCCTCAGCCGCAGAACCCGCAAGAAGGGCGCGTTCTGACGCGGCAGGACGCACATGTGTACCGGCGGCAACACGGTGCGCGCCTGCGCTCCACGCCCGCGGCCGCCCAGGGCGACTTCTGGGACGAGAACGGCGCCGTATCGAGCGCCTGGCGCGCGGCGGAAGAGGACGCCTTCACCTCGGCGCTCAGGGACGACCGCGACGCTGCTACCGAAGCCGCCGAGGACACCGAGACACGCGGGGCGCGGGATTTTTGGGATGAGGACACCGGCGCGACCCCGCGCCAGCCGGTGTCCGATGACGCAGAGTTCTGGCGCGAGGAGGCGTGGGACGCCGTCGATGACGGCGCCTTTGCAGATCAGGAGATGTTGGACGCTGGGGACGACGTGCCGTGGCTGGGACGGGGCGACGGGGGCGCCCGGAGCGCGCACGAGCACGGCGCGGGCCCTGGGCGGCGGCGCGGGGGCCAGAGTCGACCGGCGCGGCGGCGAGCGCAGTGGCAGGGGGGTCAGAGCGAGTCTGACTGGGAGGGTTCCGGATGGGAGGGGGGGGAGTCGGATGGGGTGGGGCGGGGGAGTGAGGAAGGCTTCGGGACAGCGGCGATGGGAACGGACGAGATGGAGATCGTCTTGCGGTCCCTAGGCGCCCGCAAGAGGGACATGCCTGCGCCGAGCCAGTTGGCCGCGACGAAAGCGGACAAGCTGCGGCTGCTGCGTCAGGTTGCAGCTGAGGCAGATAGACCGGGCGCTGCGCTGGACGCAGAAGCGGCGCGCGACGGCGACGAGCCCACTGGTGAAGCGGTGGGCAGCGACACAGGTGTGCAACATCGAAAGCGCGGCCGGCGGGCGAGGAAGCTCAGCGGGTCGTGGGCCGCCGCGGCCGGACGCGGCGACGAGGGCACCGACGCAGCGGCGCAGGGGGCCGCGGAGGACGAGGATCCGGAGGAGGGTTACCAGAGGTGCATGAACTACAGTGTGTGGTATCTTGGGGCGCGGCAGCGGTCCGCGGCGTGGATGGAGCGGCGGCTGGTGGAGCGCGGACACGCGCGGGACGTTGCGCAGCGAGCGGTGCGGCGCCTGGAGGAGCTGGACTTGCTCAACGACGAAGCGTACGCCGAGGTGAGGGGGGGGGTTTGCTGAGCACGCTGTCGGACCGTCCGTCGGGTCCACCGGTCTGCGCACGTGCTTGTTCCATCGCGAAGCTTGTGCCGACATCGACGCTGCGTTTCGCGTTTCGTTGTTGCAGAATTTCGTGCGATCCAAGTGGAGACAGTCGCTGTGGGCGCCGCGGCGAATCGCCGACCGCGCGGTGCGCCAGGAGCTGCTCGCCCGGGCTGTGGTCGACGAGGCGACGGACAAGTACTTCGGCGCCCGTCCCTTCGAGTCGCTGTCGCACCCTGAGTCATGGCGGGAGGTCTTGCAGGAGGCCCGCGTTCCCGCGTCCGTCGCGCCGCTTGTGCCGCACCACGCGGAGGACGAGCAGGACGTGGGGTTCTCGCGCAGTCGGGAGCTGCTCGAGGGCGCGCAGGCGCGCGCGAGGCTCACGGGGGGCATGGCGAGAGACACGCGGCGCAGGAGGCTCGCGAGTTGGCTCCAGGCCCGCGGGCACGACTGGGGTGTGGTCAGCGCGGTGATGCGCGTCCTGGACTTGTGAGGCCGCCGGATGCAAGCGAATTCGAGAACTGGCACGTGCATGGCTCGTTGCGCGAGGTTGCCTGTAGGTCAGCGAATTGCAAACGACGGCGGCCCGGCGAGGACAATCACAGCGAGTCGCGCGTTCACCCCGACGCGACGGGCCGGTGGTACTTTCCGACGAAGTCCAGGAGCACGGGGTTGACCAGGTCCGGCCGCTCGTCCTGCGGGCAGTGCCCTACGCCAGGAAGCTCGATGTACTCCTTCACGGTCGGGTACGCCTCGAACTCCCGGCCCCACTCCACCTTCTCCCACGGGTCCTTGTCGCCCCACACCACCACCGTCGGCACTGGCACCTGCGCAAGCAACCAACACCGCCGCGCCGCGCTCAGCGCACGGCTCGCCGCGCGCCCACGCTTCCGCATCGACGGCTGCACGTCGCGAGCACGGCGCACCTCGCGCAGCAAGTCTTCCGGCAACGGGCCGCCCGAATAACTGATGAAGTCGAGGAACACGTCGACGGCGCCGTCCTGGAGGCCCGGCTTGAGGATGCAGTCAACGAGCTCGTCGGTGACGGTCGCGGGGTCGTGGTAGGCCTGCCGGAGGATGTTGCCGACAGTGCGGGGCTGGGCGACGCTCCCGAAGAAGGCTTTGCCGATGTCCGTCTCGCGCAGGACGCGCTGGAACGCGGCGACGAACGGGCGCGAGAGCGGCGCCTGCTTGGACACGTGGAGCTGCGGAGGAAGGGGAGGGGGGGAGGAGAGCCGTTCAGCGCGGGGAGGTGCACTCGGTTCGCGTGGCATCGTGTTGGCAGGCGGGGGTGGCGAGGAGGCGCACCATGCGCAGCGAGATGTTGAGCACGGCGACGGAGGTGACGAGGGAGGGGTCGTCGACGGCCGCCTGCAGCCCGGCGATGCCTCCGACGCTGTTGCACACCACCGCCGTGGGCTCCCCGATCTTGGTCTCGATGAAGTGCCGGAGCTGCTCCGACCAGTTCTCGAAACAGTAGATCGAGTTGGGCTCCGCGTTCTTCGGCGACGGCTTCGAGGAGTACCCGTACCTGCACCGCGGACGCGCAAGCCCACGCCAATCGGGGATTCCTGTCTTCGCGTCATCAAATGCACACGAACGATGCGTCCGGCAGGTGGGCGCGTGCTCGCACCCGAGGAGGTCGATGGAGAACGCGCGGCAGCCGGCCTTGCCGAGCTCGCCGGTGTTCTTCCGCCAGTGGTCGCAGTTGCCGCCAAACCCGTGCACAAGCAGCACCGGGGGGCCCGAGTCGCCCGACCGCTGGTACCGGATGCGCCACCCGTTCTTCCACTCGTAGTAGCCCTCGTAGATGGGCGCCCCGTACTCCGTCCACCGCACAACCTCCTCCCCAGGAAGCGGCGCCCCCGGCTCCGACCCCCCGTCAGTGACGCGCCCCTGCGGCATCGCCACGTCCGCGACCGACGCCGCCTGCGCTGCATCGCCCTCCCCGGCAGCTGCATCCTCGCGAGAACAGGATGGCAGAAGTCAGCATGCGCGCGGCTGTAGCTGTCGGATTTCGGGGTGCGAGGAGCGGAGGAATCCCTGGTGGGGTCCGAGCGCCGCAGCGGGACGCGCGGGGCTGTGCGATGCGAACTGCGCGTGCGGGCGCCGAGCGGTCGTACAGCAGCGGCGGCTGGTCGTCGGATGATCGCGGAATGATTCGAGGGCCAGCAGCGTGGGCGCGCTCTCTGCCTTGGCCTCAGAGCGCCGAGTGGCGCGGCGTGCGGTCATGGGGGCCGCGGTTTCGCGTTGAAGCGACTCACCTGCTCGACAGCGGACGGAACGAGGCACAGCGGGTGCTGCCGTCCTGGGACGCGCCCGCTGGGGCCTGGTGCGCGCCCCGGCCCACACGAGGGGCTTGGACGCACCCACGGCGAACACCATCTTTCTACGTGCGCTTCCTCGCTAGAGAAGCCTCAGACGCTGTTCCTGTCCACTCGTTGGAACAACGACGCACGGAGTGACGAGGGCGGCGCCGGCCGCTCCCCGGAGTCCCAGCCCTAGCAAAGGGGCCTATTTCCGTCCAGTCAGACACGCGGCACCGCCGTCCCGGGACGCACGCTCCCACACAGGCACGCTCGCGCACGCCTGTCACGAGCGCAGGCCGCGACACGACGCTCGAGCGGCCAGCGTCCCAGCACGTACAGAGACAGTACTCAAGGTACACAACAAGATCATTGCGCCCGGGACGGCGAAGTACGGAATGTAACTGCGCCCAAGAGCTGATAGAGCTTAGTGTGCGCGCCTCGGCGCCGCTGCGCCCTGGCGTGCGACCGTTTTGCGTCTTGCATCACATACATCACACAAGTGTGTCGTTTCTGGGTCGCGCTGTTCCCAGCTGCGTGCTGCGAGCTCTATGCCAAAGTCATGAGCGCGAGGAGGGCGCAGGCTCCGAGCCACGCCGCGAGCCTCGCCGCCCCCGCGGCCGCCAGTATGCTGCCGTCCCAATCCACCACAATGTCGTGCACGGCGTCGTACCGCAGGATCGCCCCGATCGGGAACGGCCCGGTGCCCTGGCTGCACGTCGAGCACTGCCAGATGTTGTCCGTCGCGTTCACGAACGTCACGCCCTCCCGCCCTTGCACGGCGTCAAGCACAGCGTCGAACGTGGTCGTCTTGGGCTGCAGCTGCCGCGCCTGGGCGTCGGACGAGAACAGCGTCAGGCCCAGCACCGCCATCTGCCGCTCCGACGTCCCCACGTTGAACCGCACGGGCGTCGTGTACCCCACCGGCCGCCGCGGCGTGGCCGTGTTGAACACCAGCGCCAGCATGTACACGTGCGTCGGCCCACCTGCTGGCCGCCGCGGGTCACGCGCGCTCGCCCACACGTACGTCGTCGAGCCCGAGAGCGTGCACGCGAGATAGTCCCTGCCCAGCGCGATCCCGGCATTCGGCCCCTCGTCAGTCGTGAAGTTCCCGACTGGCGTCATCACCGTCGCAGAGTCGCGCCGGTAGTACAGGACCTGCCCGGCCCCCTCGTGGAACATGCTGGGGAGGGACGTCGCGATCAGCGCGTCCCCGTTCGGGCAGTACGCCGCGTTCTTGCCGAACGTCTCGCGGTACGGGTCGACCTCCGCCGTGTTGGCCGCCGCGCCGCCGTTCTTGTTGTACAGGGCGTACTGGTCCGGGGAGGTGATCCGCGTCTCCGTGAACGTGAACGGCGACGCCGTGCCCGACACGACCCACTGGTACGCCGCGCCGGTGCGCGCCTCGTCCTGCGCCTGCGCGTTGGCCGCCAGCGCGGGGTTGTAATACTGCGCGTTGTTCGTCCGCGACGCGCGCGGCGCCACCGCCATCACGGCGTCGTCCTGCGCGCGCACGCCGCCGGTGCCGAACGCCATGCCCACGCGGCCCGTGAAGATGTCCGAAGCCTTCGCCGTGTTGGTGGAGCCCCAGGCGTCCGACGGGACGAGCTTGGCCTCGAAGACGTAGTTGATCCGGGGCGCAGTGGTCGACAGCACGCGCCGGAACACATGAAGCGCCCCGGCGCCGGCCTTGTACGCGTCCTGGGTCCTGTGCACGTTGTTGTCGGTGTCCTGCACCAGGTTGTCGCCGGGCGCCGCGACGACGAGGAACAGAGTGCCGCTCGCGCGCATGAACGCGAGCGAGTTGGCTTCGCGGCCGAAGCTCATGCCCTGGCTCGCGCCCTGCGGCTGCACGCGGGCAATCCACGTGGTCCCCTCAAACAAGTCCACGGTGCCAACTTCGACCTTCACCGTCTCGCCCTGCGCGTTCGTGCGCGTGGAGTACGCGTCCGTCGACAGCGCGCTGAAGTAGTTGCCAGTGCCGGGGTCCTGGTAGAGCGCGCACGACTGTCCCCCGAGGCGCAGACCCACGGCAGGCTTGTCGCTGCACATCGAACCGATCACCGCGCCGGTCGCGCCGTTGATGATGTACGCGAAGCCCGCGCGGTCCACGGAGCCGATGTCCGCGTTCGGGTCCGAGACGAGAATCGCGGTGCCGGCCCCGGCGATGCAGGTGCCGTAGCCGCCCGTCGCCGACAGCGTGGGGCCGTACAGGACGTCGGCGGCGTCGCGGACGGCGTCCTGCGCCGTCGCGTGCGTCGAGAGGGGGAACTGGAGGAACATGCCGTCCTTGTCCGCGGTGCCTCCGGCCGCGTCGAAGTATAGCGACAGCTGGTCTGCGTAGTCGTTGTGGTTGGTCGCCGCGCTCCGGTACACGTTCGAGTTGTCGTTGGCCGGCGTGGAAGTGACGCCGGCATCCGCGGGGCACCCTGCAACGATGTGGCGCTTGCTGATGCGCACGGCGGCGCCGCAGTATGTCTTGTAGTACAAGTGTTTGGGCTGGTAGCGACCGATGTACACGTAGCTCGCTCCCTGAGTCAAGGACGCCCGGCGGAGACGCTGGTTCGACAGATAGTGGACGTTCTGGTACGCGTTCACCGCGTCGACGGCCGGAATGCCCGCGGTGGTGCGCAGGAAGTTGTCGGTGTCGAGCCGGTTGGCCGAGTCCTGCGGGAGCGCGCGGGACGGTCGGGGGCGAACGTGAGCGGCGACACAGGAGGGGCACCGGAGCGAGCGTGGGGCCGTGCAGCGCGCTGACATCGCATGCAAGGTTAACGGAGGCCACATGAGTGTCGGGAATTGGTAGTGGCTGTGGACTGATCACGCACCAGGCTCGCCCGCTGCTCGTAGAGGTAGACGGAGCCGGCGTTGTCGATGTTGCCCTGGTAGTACGAGTTGCCGCTGACGGGCAGGTTGAAGTTGACGTTCAGGCGGTCGTTGAGGTGGGGTTCGCGGAACGAGTAGCTGTCGCCCGCCTTGCCGACCGCGATGTATCGACCGAGGCGGTGCCACGACGTCGTCGCGGACTCGGACGAGATGTCGACGACCTCGCAGCCCGTCTCCGGGGTGCAGAACAGGTCCGTGGTCGCGTCCATCAGCCCGCCGTCGTTGCCCACGATCATCTTCGGGATGCGGTAACTGGTCGGCGTGGTACACTGCGAAACTCACGTGACACATACTTGGATGCAGGGCGTCAGGTCGCGGGGACGTGGCCGACGGACCGCACACCAGCCAGGCAACTTCCCACACGCTGCAGGCGCACCTTGTTGTTGCTGGTCAGCGACTGGTAGCTGACAATCAGCTCCCGCCCCGCGTACACGCTCCCTGCAGGCGCCACGACGCGGTAGTGCAGCAGCCCGCCCTCAAACCTGATGTCAGCCGCCGCCGCCGACGACAGCAGCCCAGGGTAAAACTCTTGCGCGAGACCCCACCCCGTCACGCCGTTCCTCGCGGTCTCCGTGAACACCTGGAGCTTGCCGGGATTCGCGGTGTCGCGCACGACGAGCACGCCGTCCCAGAGCTCCACCCACGCCCCGAACCCGACGCTCGGCACCTCCTGCGTCACGCGGACGTCCAGCTGCCACCCCGCCGCGTACGTGGTCACCGTCGAGACGTCCCGGCGGAAGATCTCGACCGCGCCGACGCCGGTGCCGCGCACGTACGTGCCCGACCCCGTGGCGCCTGCAGCGGTGCCTGGGAACCCCCTGTCCGGCCGCGTCTCCACGTGATCGCCGGGGCACCCCGTGACGACGCGCACACCTGCACAGGACGCAGGGCCGGGGCAGCGGCGCGTCGGACGGCTGCGCGGCGACGCGAGCGGGAGGGGGCAGGGGGGGGGGGTGTTTTGAAAGCCGGGGGCGTACCTCGCACCGCGACCGAGGTTCCGCACGCGCCGCCGGCGGAGGGCACGGAGGAGACCTTCGTCGACACGTGCGAGAAGGTGGCGGCGCGCGGCGTCCCGGACGCCGTCGTGTCGATCACCCTCTCGTAGATGTACGTGACGCCGGCGTTGCCGAGACGCGCGTTGGCGCGCGTGGTGCCGTCCTGCGTCTGCACGGGCGCGCCCAGCACCGACGCCGTGCTGAGTCCGATCGCGAGGATGGTTCCGTCCTGGTTGACGGACGCCGACGAGAACCAGTCGAGACACCCCGTCCGCGACGACGTGCACTGCGCCGAGTACTCCCAGTCGAACTGGGCCGAAACCCTGGTCGTGGTCGAGGTGTCCGTGCCGCCGATGCCGAGCGTGGCGTCGGCCCGGGCCGTGCGGGGCGCGATGGTCTGGATGAGGGTCCACGGGTTGGTCGTGGACGCGGCGGAGTCGTCGTAGCGGTAGACGAACACGCCGCCGGACGCGACGCTCGTCACGCCCTCCGGTGCCGTTCCCGTGAACTGCGCGGCGGGGGGCGGGCCGGGCGTGTGCGTCGGGCGCGGTTGAACAGCGGAGCAGGTTTCCGTGACGTGCCGGCTCCGTGCGGGACGAAACGGTACTGGCCATGATCGACGCCGACCGTGACCGCGGTCGGCGAAGATCGGGCGTGTTGTGAGGAGGCTCCCCACGGGGAGCCTCAGGGCGTGGCGGGGCGTACCGTCGTTCGAACTCCGGAAAATACGAACATGTAGTTGCCGTCGAAGCTCGTGAATATCCTGCGGGGGGCGAGAAAGGGTTCGTCCAGGGTTTGGAGCTGCCGCCGGGCCTAATGTGAGAGATGATAATGCCGTCTCCCCTCCGGTGCGTGGGGCGGGATGACGGCGTGCGCAAGCGAGCGCCTCGCGGAGTTCCCTGCAGCCCGCACGCGCCATCCTGCTGCGCCTGCAACGTTCGCAATTGGAAGCAAACGGCAACTCAGCCCTGGGGGGGGCGCACCTCGAGCCGAAGAGCATCTGCGTCGCCGCAACGCCATCCTGCACGAACGGCGGACGGCGGAGGATGCGCAGCGGTGGGAATTCCACGCGGGCCCGCGCGCCGCCGTCACGGCTGGCCCGGCGCGCACGCAGCAGCACCCCCAAGCAGGAGTGCCGTCGACCTCGCGCGCCGCGGTTTTCAGCCTGTCCGCCGCGAAGCAGGTGCGACGAGACCGCTGCTCGCACGCGCGGCAGCCCGCTGCGCCCGCCATCGCCCGGAGGCCCGGGGCGCAGTCAACGTCAGCGGCCCGGGGCCAGCAGGGTGCCAGCCAGGATCCGTGGCCGCGTGAGCGGACGGTGAGGCCACTGTACCTGCGGGAAGGCGTTCTTGAAGTCCTCTCCATGCCAAATGCGCGCGAAGCCGGCCGGCAGGGCCTCTGCGTTCGCGACACCTACGCACGCACACCCTGCGACGAGGATCACCAACAAACGCGTCAGGCCGCGCATCTTTCTTCCCGGCAGTGCCACCTCCGCCTACGTGATGGAGCCGGCCGCGACTGGCGGCGAGAAGAAGGCACGCCCCTCGCTGACCAGCACCGCGGGCGGCACGGTGACCCCTGCTAGGGTCTTGAGAGGCCGCTCCCTGCGGCCCGTGGAACGAGAACCGCCGAATGCAAACGGGCCGACTGCGGAACGTGCAGCGTGCTGCGGCCAGGGCGGCCAACGTGGCCGGCGCGTGCCCTCGGGCTCCCTGCCGCGCGACCCCCCTGAACATGTCCCTCCCAGTCGAGGGAAACCAATCAAGATGACATGGCACAGAGACTGAATCTCACTGGGGCCACGGCGCCGTACGACGACGAGGACCCGGCCCGGCGGCCCCGTCGGAGCAACGACACCTCCGCACCCAGCGCAGTCCCCGGCGGCACGCTCGCGCTCTGTACGGCAGCCGTACGCGCCCTGCTGCTTGCCGCATACGCCTGTGGCAACATGGCGCGCGCCGGCGCCCCGCGTTGCCTCGCCGCCTCACACGCGTCTCATCGCGCCTTCCGCCGCGCCCGGCGCGCCCTATCCGACCCCACGAGCTTCTCCAGCAGCCCCAGTTTGGGCGGGTTGGCAGTGCCCTGCTGCCGCCACCGCCACACGTACCCCGCGAGCGCCGAGCCCGCGAGCGGCGCGACCCAGAACACCGCCACGTGCTCCCCCGTCGAGTGCCCGTCCTGCAGCACCCACCAGCCCCACTTGACCGCGGGGTTGATGCTCGGACCAGTAAACTCAACCCCGATGACGGTCCAGCAAAAGGTGCTCAGAAGCGGCAGCCAGCGCTGCGCCCACTTGCTCCGGCAGCTCTCCGCGTAGAAGAGCAGCAGGTTGAGGAGCAGCCCGAGCAGGAACTCGCATGTGGCGCCCGCCGCCAGCGTGGCGCCCTGCGCGACGCCGTTCGACCACGCGCCGAAGTTGCCGTGGAACGACTCGGGGATGAGGGTGTACGCGAGGACGACGCCGATCGCGCCGCCGAGGCACTGGAAGCCGACGCAGCCCACGTGGCCGATGAGCGTCAGGTTGCCGTGGCCGGCGGCGTAGTGGGCGATGTTGATCAGCGGGTTGAAGTTCGCGCCGTTCAGGAGGTAGCAGATGGGCTCCATGATGACGAGCAGGAGGAGGATCGTGAGGACGATGCCCGAGAGGACGACGCCGAGTCCTGCGGGGTGCGGCGGGGGCGCGCCGTGGGGCGCGCCGGGGGGGGGGCGGCGTGCGATGCGCGCGCGCTCCGGGCATCGGGGACTGTCGGACTGCTCGGTCTGCTGCCAGGGAGCGCCGCAGCACGGCGGCGCGCGCCGCGAGGAGCGGCCGGCGGCCGGATCGGCCTGGGTGGCAGTGCTCGTCCACGGGGGCGGCGAGCGACGCACCTGTAGCGTCCGAGAGGTACTGCGACGCATCTCCGAGGGTCGAGCTACTGAGAACGAAGATGGCCGTGGCCACCATGTCCCGCATGCCGCCCGCACCGAACACCACGGCCGCCACTTCTGCATAGCGTTGTGGACGCATCGTTCAGCGGGGCGCAACTGAAGCTGTTTCTGCACGCGGCGGCGTCGCTGCTCGTGCCTCGTATCTGGCTCCGGGGGCGGGTCGCCGAAGGAGGGTGAAGGGACGCAGCACGAGGGCGTGCGCGCGCCCGGCGCTGGAAGCGTGTGACCAGACTGTTGGGCTCACCTGCGGGGCGGAAGCGCGATGGAGAGTTGCTCGAGGCCGAGCGTGTTCGCCGCTTCGTCTTCATGCGCGGCTCTTGCGACGCGTCGACCGCGCCGTTGCCCTCCGGGGACAGCCCTGCAGCTCGATCAAAGGGTGAAGGCGAAGATCGATCGATCGCCCCCTGACGCAGGCGCTCAGCGTGCAGGCTGCACAGCGCAGCAGGCGAGGCTCTGAAGGCCTGTTCGGGTCGCAGCGTCGCGAATCCCTCGCATGGCCGCGGCCCGTGCATGACGTGATCGCTACAGCCTGGTGCACCCCAACACCGGGCCGCGCCGTTCGACAAGCCGCTTAGGGGCGGCTGCGCGCCCCCGGGCTGTGTGATGCCTTGAGCACACGGCAGCACGCGGTATCCGCGCCGATATCCGCCCCGGCCCGCGTCGCTGGACGCAGCCGTAGCAGGAGAGCACGGCCCACGGCGGCGCGCACGCACCAGCGCGCGCGTTCCGCGGCCTGGACGCACCTCGCCGCCTCGCTGCTGCCCGCGTCCGCCCCATCCGATCCGCCCGGTGCCCCGCCGCCTCTAACGCGCCCTCCATGGCCGCCCTCCCCTAGGCCACCCGCGTGCTCGAGCCTCCCGAAGACCTCTCGCAGCCCCGCGCCAACCCCCAGAGCCTCTGGCTGAGCAACGCGCACGGAGGCGAGGAGCCTGCCCCCCTGCAGGCGACACGCGCGGCGGGACCGATGAGCAGCGCACCAACTTGTCGCCTCGGAGCGCCTGTGGTCAGCAAGTGACGGAACCGACTACCAAGGTCCCCGCGTCTATCGCGCACTGCGCAGTCCCGCAGGCCAGCCGCCGCGGCCCGCACTGAGCTCGGCGGCGGCCAGCCCAGGCTGAAGCAGGGGGAGTCAGAGCGACCTAATTGGTAGGGGGGTACATACCATTACCCCTATCAGGTCCTATCGAATATATAGGGCGCGGTACCTGGTGAGGGGGTCATATAAAACATATCCGAGAAAGATGGAGGGCAGGGAGGGGGTACATATGGAACAAGGTGAAGGGCATGATGGGTAGGGAGACTAGACTAGACTTGTTCACACCCCGCAGAACGGGTCGCACCGCCAAGGCAGGTTCTACCCCACCCTATAGCGGCGCTAGTTTGACAGAAACCACCGAGGACGAGTGCCCATCTCCCGCCGACAGCATCAAGGGAAGTGGCAGACAGCCCGCGCAGGGGGGGCAGCGGGCGCGGCGTGGGCCGCCGCGGGGAAACGTGGGGGGGGTGCGCCGACAGCCGACATGCGATTGCGTTTATCATACAGGCACTTGAGGGGGTCATATGGAACAAGGTGAAGGTCATGATGGGTAGGGGGGTAGGTGGGAAGGTCATGATGGGTAGGGAGGGGGTCATATGAAACATATCCGAGAAAGAGGGGAACAGGGGAGGAGGACATGATGGGCATGATGGGTAGGGGGGCATATAAAACATATCCGAGAAAGATGGAGGACAGGGAGGGGGAGCACAGAGAAGGGCATGATGGGCAGGGAGGTCTCTTTCCTGGGTACCGGGTGAGGGGGGACGATGCTTGCTCCTGGTAGTCAGGTCTTAGGTCTGAGATTTGCAATTCTACCCCATGCAAATTTCCAACCGAAAAAAAGAACCACACTACCCCCACCTTGCTTTTTGTAATGTAAATGAACTCATTGCATCTGAGGAGTACCCTGCATCATCATCTGAGGATTACCCTGCATCATCATCTGAGGAGTACCCTGCATCATCATCTGAGGAGTACCCTGCATCATCTGAGGAGTACCCTGCATCATCATCTGAGGGGGCTGCTGTTGCTGCTGCTGTTGCATCATCTGCTGCATCATCATCTGTTGCATCATCTGCTGTTGCATCATCATCTGCTGAGCCTGCTGAGCCTGCTGAGCAGCTGCATTGGCTGCAACAGCCTTGGGCTTGGCATTGGGGTCGACACCGGTGAATTCAGATACCATAGCCTGAAGACTCTCAAAGGGAACAGTCATGTCATTAGCACTCACCTCGAAATCACCCTGAGTAGACTCCCCAGTTGGAGACGACGGGTCAGGCTGCCACGTAGCCCTCGACACTTTATCCAAGTACTGAATGATGTTCCTCCACGGATGCTTCGAATTACCTGTCTGTTCATAACCAATGTAAATGCACACCAACGTACCTGCCGTAGCAGTGAAACACATCGACGACCCCATACGCTTCTTCATCTCCTTGAAACGACCGTTGAACACGCCCTTCTTCATCTTCCAAACGTCGTCCTGACCATTAATGCCAACCAAACGGATCTCGCCAGGGTCAACAACAAGCTTAGAATACAGACAGACAGACAGACAGTTACACTCCGGAGACGGTTCCCCCGGTCGGCCGGTGCGGTGCGAGCAGAGGCCGAAGCCCCCACCCATGTGCGCCTGTGGCCTTTAAAGGCGCGTCTCAGGATCCGACGCGGAAAGCCTAGGACGGGGCGCCCTCACCCCGCCGAAGGACCGGCGCTGGTCGCCGGGGTGGAAGGGGTGGCCGAGGGCTGGCACGACTTCGTATTTTATGGGAGCGCAGGCAGGGTGTGCCAACCCAGGACCACCACCACATGACAGACATGACAGGGGCTTGGCTGGTGCGTTGCACCGTGTGTGCTCCGGGTGCTCGATCCTCCGGCGCGCAGGGACCGTAGACGACGCGGGCGTGGGCGCTGATGCCGCCCCCCGTCGCCCTCCGCTTCCCCGGGGGCATCGGGGCCGGGGCAGGGACGTCGGGGGGTGCGCTCGGACGCAGGGGTGTCCGTGCGCGCCCGGGGGATGGGCGCGACTGGCGCTGGCCGTGCCTCGACGTGCGGCGGGGTCGACGTCGAGGTGAGGGTGGGACGACTCGAGGGGGGTGGACTCGTCCCCCTTGGTTGTGGAAGTCCCCGGGGATGTCACCGATGTGGGCGTTATGAGACCCCCACGACCGGCGAGGTGGCGCTCCCCTCCTCTGGCTGCAGAGCATCCGCCCCTACCCCGGCGCGTCCGGCCCGGCCATCCTCCGGGCCGGCGGCGGGCGGCGGTCGGCGCCGCGGGTCGCGACGGCGCCAACTGGCCGGGGTGCCGCGGCCGGCAGGTGGCCAGCCTGCGGCCGCGACGTGGGGGGGCTCGTCGTGCTGCACGCGTCGCGTCGTCCGTAGAGGTCCTGCGCGCCTCGGTCTTGCCTCCCAGGGGCATGCCGTGCCTGGCGTCTTGTGGTGGGGTGCCGTGCGGGGGCAGGGGGGTCGTGGGGGGGGCGGTCGTGGTGAGGGCTGCGCACACGGCCCCGGGCGTTGATGGGGTTCGCAGTTGGGGCGTGCTTTTCTGTGAAACGGCCGTCAGGTGGCTGGGGGCCTGTGGCGGCGCCAATGGGGGCGGGGGGGGGGGCGGGCTGTGTTAGCCCTCGTTGTCGAAGTCCGGCACTGCGGCCAGGTCTTGGGCCGCGTCGATGCGGCGCGCCAGGTGTTCGAGGTGGTAGATGGTGCGGTGCACCGCGGTGCCGCCGTGGAGGAACCAGCGCCGGACCCGTGCGTCCCGGGCGTCGTCGCCGTCGCCGCTCGCGCGCGTCGCGAGGTCGTCGAGGAGCTGCTGTGCGTGTTGGTTGAAGCGCTGGACCGACTGCGACTCCGTGTTGCCCCCCCATGTCGAGCCCCACACCGCCGGGGGCGGGGCGTGTCCGAGAGGTGCACGTGCGGCGACGACTGCCGGGGCCGTGCACTCGTCGAGGAGGTGCGCCCAGTCTTCGATCGTGTTCGGTTCCGCGCAGAACCTGCATGTACGCGTGGCAATGGGCGGCGGGACCAGCGCCCGCCGGGGGTCCGCGTACAGGCGGAGGTACGAGGTGCCGAGGCGGATCTGCGAGATGCGCTGCAGGGCATGTGGCGGGGTGTGGACGGCGCGCAGGTGCGGGGCGCAGCGTAGGTACGCCGGCGTGTTCGTGTCGGCGACGAGGTGGACCGAGCCGTGGCGGAACCAGGTGCCCTCCGGCACGTGCATGAAGTATGTCGCGTACGTCGCCGCGAACCTGCCGCCGGCGGGGTCCGCGTCGCGGGCGTGCGCGTCGGGGAGGCCGAGCTGGACCTTGTCGATGGCGAGGCGGAGGCGGGCGGCGTCGATGGGGGTGGGGTGCTCGAGGGTGCCCGGCTGGAGCCCGTGGGCCGTCGCCATGTCGTACACGCGCCGCGCCCATGTGTCCGCGCCTTGTCCGGCGAGGTCGAGGCTGTCCCTGAACGCCGCCCGGAGGAACTGGGGTGCCCGCTCGTTGCTCTGCGTGGCAAGGAGGCGGTTCCAGAGGCGCGCCGCGCGGCCCCAGGCCACGGAGAGCACCGAGGAGAGCCCGCACTCGGTGAGGAGGAGGCGTGCGGGGGCGTTGATTTTAAAGGCGCGTCGTCACTCCCAGCGCCGGCGCAGGCAGCCTCAGGGGGAACGCGTCGTCACTCCCGCGCAGCAGTGACGACGGGCGCTCCCCGCGCGGTCATCGATCGACCGGGATCGACATCGCCGCTGCGCGCGTCTCGCCGCTTGCGTGCATCATTGCGTCACGCCCGTTGCCCGCCGCAGCGCCGGCACCACCCGGTCTCCACCAAGCCCGGCCTCGCAAGCGCCGCGACCTCGTCGTACTTCGCGACCTCGTCGTACTCACCAAAGGTCAACTGAGACGCGTTGCCACCCGAATGACCGTCAAGGTTAATGTAAGAACGCTTGCCGTTAGAACTCTCCAAACACGTAACGGTGTAGTTCTCCAACGCAGAAGGAGATGTGTTCTTTTGCGCACGAAGAAACACTATCAAAACCTTCCCAGGAGGTTTTGCACTCGACGCCTGTCGCACATGAACATTTGAAAGCTGACGTACAGGTCCGAATCCTTTGAGAGGGATTCTGACCAAAGGTTCCACCACACATCTTTTCCTACTATCTTGTCTACCTCCCTGTGGAGCATGCTCGTGACCTTCCAATTGTTGATGATTAAAGCGCCATATGGCGTGGATACAAGCCCATTTGTCACCTGGGAGTTTCTCAATAACTGAGGCAGGAATTCAAGAGGCAATAGCCCAGACGGCAGTAAGTCATCTGCCAACCTCACATCTTCGAAGAACCATTCGTAAATCCACATCAAGGCAGTGAAGTCCTCCTTCTTAATGAGACCAATACAGAAATCTCTTGGCCGCACTCGGCTGTCCTTGAAACTTGCGTCGTCGTCTGCCTGGAGAGCACCAGTGGATGGACTTCGCGCGGTCATCGACATCGTCAACACCCGCACCTCGGCCTTCTGCGTGGCGCGAAGCTTGGACAGGCGCTCAACCTCGACCCGTGGACACCGGATGCGGCCCGGCGTGCTCGCGAACGCCCTCAAGTCGGAGATGGCCGCAGGCGCGCTCGCGAGCGCCACGAAGTCACGGAGATCACGGAGCTGCGAGCGCCGGCGCGCTCCCACGCGGAGCCCGGCATCCTGTCGCACCGCGGCTCACGCCGAGCCCCGGACCGCCGACTCAAGTCTTCCTCCGTGCGCCCTCGCGGGCCTGGAGTCGAAGCTGCACGCGCAGCGCCCACGAGGCGCGCTCGTCCGTGCGGCGTATCCGCGCGGGCTGAAGTGCATGCTCACACGCTGTCGGCCAGGTCCTGGCGGTTTCAGCCGTCCCATGCCCCCCCGCCTCGGCCTGGTGGCAAAATCTGATGTCCTGCGCTCACAATGCTAACCCCCTGTCCTGCGTGCTAATGCGGTGTGGTGTGTCCTCGGCCGAACCCTGCCCAGAGCTCGGCGGCGCGTGCATGTCGGGACGCTGCGGCGACCAGGCTGTGTGTGCTGTGCAGCTCCAGCACCAGGCTGTCAAGTGCCTGTATGATAAACGCAATCGCATGTCGGCTGTCGGCGCACCCCCCCCACGTTTCCCCGCGGCGACCCACGCCGCGCCCGCTGCCCCCCCTGCGCGGGCTGTCTGCCACTTCCCTTGATGCTGTCGGCGGGAGATGGGCACTCGTCCTCGGTGGTTTCTGTCAAACTAGCGCCGCTATAGGGTGGGGTAGAACCTGCCTTGGCGGTGCGACCCGTTCTGCGGGGTGTGAACAAGTCTAGTCTAGTCTAGTCTTGCTCTCGCACGTTCTGGTAAAGACAGCACGCTGTAGTTGGCGCAAAGAACGTACAACACCAGGAGATTGCCACTTAGCTCGTATTCTGACGCAAGAGCGCTCACCAGACCATCTCGGTACTCTATGTCATCTTCCTCCCCAAACGTGCCGAGAAAGTCCCAAGCTACGAAAAGCGCGTCAAGAAGAGCTTTGTTTACCCGTGTAGATTGCTTCTCGTAAAACCTCTTACGCGCCGAGCCAAGCCCGTCGTAACTGGAAGAGCTATCAGGAGACCCGGCGGAGTTGGCGTCTTTCACAAAAGATCTAAGCATATTCATCCCAGATTCTGGGAGGGGCAAAATGTTGCCCATTTTGGTGTGCATCACCGGGACCTTGTCTGGAGCATTGAATGAAGACTGTTCTGATATGCCGATACGACTGTACAACTCCTCGAACTTCTCCCACAAAGTCAAGTTCGCTTCGATATCGATCCAAACCCCATTACTCATGCGTTCCAAAATTTCCATGTCGCTTTTCAGCATGCGCAATATCTGATGATCCTGTGTTTGGGTGTCGTCCAAAAACCTCACCTCATCAATTGATTCATGGGTCTGAGTCAACAAGAACTCTGCCACAGTTCTAATGATGATCTTCTGATCGAAACCAAGAAATACCATGAGCTTCACAAGCTCCCCGAATTCTGAGTTGTGCCCAACAACATAGTGCTGAAGCGCACTCTTGAGATCTTCTGAAACGCTGCGCTGACGCATGCTCCCATACAGGTTTGCTCTTTCTCTCATCAGCTGAACACCGTTGCATGATTCGGCACCGAGCTTCAGAAGCCTCTTGATGTACTTACTGGGAACTTTCGGGGTCCGCGACACTTCTGCAACTGCTACGGTGCTTTGTTCCTCTTGATATTCAAAGGGTTTTTTTTAAAACAGATACAACCGCGTATCATTAAGCGAAAAAAGCAAAAATTTGATTGAGTAATCAACGAAGGGGTGACCGACTCCTGTTCTTGTTCTGCACGGGTCTGAAATGGGTAATCTTTTGTCTACAGAAAGCACATCCCTTATGACTACCCCATTTGTGTGCACAACTCTCATGCATCCTTTTCCTACATAGTACATTTCGTTCCGCATGCACGGCTATGGTGGAAAAACACAGGCGCAAACGGTGACACATACGACATCAATTGCAAAAAGCTCTATCCGGAGGCTGCGTGTAGAACCGGCGGAAGTCGATCCCCCTCACTGCATCCACCGTGGCGCCCGAGAATGAACCGACGCACGGTCCCATGGAGGTAGTGGCGAACCAGCTGAGGACGGATTCACCGAACATACTCATGTTGTTGTGGGACATGAGATGCTCGAGCAGTCTTGACCGGTGGTACACTGCACGTTCTAACTCTACCTTGGTGCCGAGGTAACAGTCCGAACACCATGTTTCCCTTCCTTGCTACTGTTTCTGCGTACTTCATTTGTTCCCTCTGTTGTCTTCTGCCTCTTTTTTTCTTTTTGTTTTGTTTTGTTTTTGTTGTTGTCCCCCCTGTCCTCCTGTTCCATCGTCCCCCCTCACCCGGTACCCAGGAAAGAGACCTCCCTGCCCATCATGCCCTTCTCTGTGCTCCCCCTCCCTGTCCTCCATCTTTCTCGGATATGTTTTATATGCCCCCCTACCCATCATGCCCATCATGTCCTCCTCCCCTGTTCCCCTCTTTCTCGGATATGTTTCATATGACCCCCTCCCTACCCATCATGACCTTCCCACCTACCCCCCTACCCATCATGACCTTCACCTTGTTCCATATGACCCCCTCCCTACCCATCATGCCCTTCACCTTGTTCCATATGTACCCCCTCCCTGCCCTCCATCTTTCTCGGATATGTTTTATATGACCCCCTCACCAGGTACCGCGCCCTATATATTCGATAGGACCTGATAGGGGTAATGGTATGTACCCCCCTACCAATTAGGTCGCTCTGACTCCCCCTGCTGCTGACACACGAGCAGGCACCCCCTGGGCCCTTATCGTGGCGGCCGGGTGCGCGATCGATGCTCCGACGCGCCGGGCAAGTGCTGCTCGTGCCGCGGCGAAGGGTGCATTGGGAAGTCGGCGTCGGGCACGGCGCGTGGAGAGCGGTAACTGTTGGCGGCGCCTTGCTTGTTGGCGCGATCGCAGCTTTGCCTTTCCTTGGAACGTTCGCGCCGCGCCTACGCCTATAGGCGACGTTTTCGCGGGACATGCCGGGCTGGTAGACGGCAATGAAACGGGATGGAGGACGGGAGCACATGGCCTGCCTGCAGCGCCAGCTCGGGGAGCTGGATGCGCTCGACGCCATGTATCCGGACAGCCTCCAGGTGGACGGCGACGTGGCGCTGTGGAGGTCAGCGACCGACGCGATGCCCGCAGGGCGCCCGGAGAGGGCCCCGCGCTGCCCGCCCCAACTCTCGTCGCGCTACCACAGAGTGGCACGTCACGACACCGGCCGCGAACGGAGAGACACTCTCTTGATTCCGCAGGAGCTGCCTGGACCGGGCGACCGAGGAGCGGGACAGCAGCGGCGCACCCCGGGACCCTCCAGTGGACCTCCCTGCTGTGTCCGGCACCCTGTCGCTCCCGGGCCCACCCGAGGGCCTGTCCCTGGCCTTCACGCTGCCGCGCGACTACCCGGGACCCGACAGCGCGCCTCCGCGGGTGCGTGCGACGTGCGTGTCGCTGCCGTCCAAGAGCGCGCACGCCACGCTCGCTGCCGCCGCGGCCGAAGCCATCGACGAGTGCGGGCCGGACGTCGAGTGCCTCGTTGCGGTCGCGGAGGCCGTGCTCTCTGCAGCACGGGCCCTGCCAGCGGAGGACGTCGCGGGGCATTATGGAACCAGCAACAGCACACCCCCCAGAGCGAGTTCCGGGTCTCCGCAGCTAGGACGTCGCGTGATATGGTGAGATGCGCACGTTTGCGGCCGCGCGGACAGACCCCTGCTGACACCCTCGCACTGCGAGTCCCCCGGGCTGTGTCGCTGGTATTAAAAGTGCAGACTCTGACGTGTTCGGTGCGACGGACGGTGCGCGAACGGCTCGTCGCAGGTTCCACCACATCAAGAGCCCGACGAAGAAGAAGCTGATCAAGGACTGGGGGCGGGAGCTGGGTCTGTCTGGAGTCATGAAGCCCGGGTACCCCGGGGTACTGTTGCTGGAGGGCCGCGAGGACGACGTGGCGGAGATGGTGCGTCGCCTGCGCAGCCTGACGTGGAAGGCCATGCAGGTGCGGTGCGAGGAGACCGAGGACGTGCCGGGGCAGCAGGGGGGGAGTGTTGACGTCAGCGGACTCAGGAAGCTGCCTGGGCCTCCGCTGGTCGCCCTGGGCGAGGACGGCATGAGCGAGCTGTCGGCGATTTGCACGGAAGGGCAGCTGCAGGAGATGTTTCTGTCAGCCATGAAGCTGGACGCGGCCAGCGCTGGGCGCGGGGGGCGGTGACGGGCCGCTGCGGCTCACAGGCTCGCACCAGCACTTGCCACACGGGAGACTCGGGCTGGCTTCTGTGCAAGGACAGACCGTGGCTTGCTCTGTGCGTGTTTGTGCATGAATTGACGAGTTCTTGTATACATATGTAAATCATTGCTATCAGTGTTGTCCCGCGTCGCGCGCCGGTCGTCACGGATCCAGCGCCGGCACCCAGAGTCCAATAATAGCGAGGCCGTACTTCTTTTTCCGCATCTTCAGCGCAGCGTCTCGCGACACCGCCGTGCACGCCACGCCGAGGCGCTTCAGCCGCGGCAGCCGCAGCAGCGCGGCCATCCCGTCGTTCGTCACGCCCGTGAAGCTCAGGCACAGCGACTCGAGCGACGACAGCCGCGCGATCGCCGGAGTCGCCCCGTCGTCCACGCCTGTACACCCAGTGCAGTCCAGCACCTTGAGCGTGAACGGCATCGCGTGCCCTGGGCCCGACAGGTGCGCGAGGCCGTCCCCAGTGATGTACGCCGCGTCTTGGAGCTTCAGCGACCGCAGCCGCATCCGCCCAATGTCCCGCAGCGCGTCGTTGGTCGCCATGCGCGGAAGCTCGAGGTGGTCCAGCGCCTTCGCGGACCGCGCCAGCACCGCGAGCGGGCCCTCCTCGGGCTCGTTCTCTTCCTGGGGCGGGCTTGCGGCGCCGTCGCTGCCGTCGCCGCCCAGGTTGATGGTCGCCGCAGTGTCCGTGCGCCCAAGGAGCGTCCGGGTGCTGTCCGAGCAGCCGAGCGACTCGGCGCGCTCCGCGGCGCTCGACCCGGGCTGGAACAGCCGCGTACAGCCGCCCAGCCGCAGGTCCTTGAGCTTCGCGCACGACCCGATGTGCACCATTGCTGCGCAGGACAAACGGGACATCCTGCCGGCGTCCAGGGACGTGAGGTGCGGGAGGTTCGCGAGCGGAGCGAGTCCGCGGTCCTCGACGCGGATGGAGCCATTGAGCGACAGCGCGCGCAGCCCGGTGGCGGAGGAGAGGGCGTCGGCCACCGACTCGGCATCCAGGTCGGAGCAGCGGTGCAGAACGAGGGTCTGCAGGCCGCGCAGCAGACCGCAGGACTTCGCCACCTGCGGCGCGGGTGCGGCAGGGAGAAGGCGTGTGGGGTGCTCGCGACCTCGTGCGGCACGACAACAACAGCGGTGCAGCTTGATTGGTGTTGCGGGTGCGCAGGACTCGTCTGTTCGGCAGGTCGGCTCACCTTGATGAGGTCGGCGTCCGCGACGAACATCAGGTGGAGGTGGCGCAGTCTTGGGAAGCGGGCGCGCAGCCACCGGATGTCGACGGGCGTGGGCGCCTCGCGCGCGCCGCTCGTGGGGGACTGCGGATCGTCGTCGCCGACGAAGGCGGGCCAGCGGGCGCGGTCCACGAACGCTGCACGGGACAGGCATGGCTCGGTGGTGGTCAGAAACTGGGATCGGCAGCGCGCACGAAGGGCGCAGGCGGGCCGTTCGGAGGCCGGTGTGCGCACCTCGATCGACGGTGTCGCGGAAGGTGTGGCAGACGAGCCGGAGCGAGTGGACGCGACGGGCGCGCTCGAAGTGCTCGGGTCCGTCGTCGCTCTGGCAGGACGAAGCATCAAGGCCAGCTCCCTGGGAATCCTTCTCGATGACCAGACCGAGGATCTTCCTCAGGACGTCCGCGGGAAGGTTCTTTAGTTTCAGCTCGTCGCCGTCGTCCTCCTCTTCCTCCTCGCGCTTCCCCGGAGCGGCCTTGCTGAGCGAACGGAACCGCTGGGGAGGCAGGAAGTGCTCGGGCTGGGCACAAGACAGCATGTCTCCCTCCCCGCGATAGTCAAGCGCGACACACAGGGAGCAGTGCAGCCTCGTGTGCTGCCGGGGCGAAGCCAAGCGTTCCGCCGGCGCCGGGAGCGCGCAGGGTGCAAGAGGCCCAAGGCCCTCGCCGATACGGTCGGTTGAGGGGCGGGTGGCCTGAGATTCGCGACGCTAGCGCACCCCACATGCGTACGCAGGCCAGCGACTCGCCCCCTTGGTGCCCGCTGCGGGTGTACTGCGCCGTTGGGGCACCACTCCTATGGCTGACTCGCGAGGTGGGCAGCACACCGGGGCTGAAGACCGTTCGAGCACGCAGGGCGGGTCTCAGAGCTCGCCGCACACACGAGGGCGCTCGAGAGCCGGCTCGAGGAGACCGCGGGCGTTCGCAGCGTGCAGGTGAATCGTATGGGTCACTAGCAGCCGAGTGTGCGCCGTGCCGGACAGCTTCGGGCCCGGGCGAACGAGACGCATGTTGGGATCTATCTGAAGCGGCTGTCGGAGCGGCAACATGGCCAAGAAGCAGCTGCCAGTGGTCGCGGGGGCGGTTGGCCCAGGCCCGGGAGGGGAAGCTCCCGTGCAGGATGGGGGCGCGGAGGAGCAGCCGGGCGGTGCGCCGGCAGCCGACCAGCCGCGTCTCTCGGCGTTCGTGGCCATGAAGCTGAGCAAGAACGGCAAGCAGGAGCTGCCCTCGTACGTGGAGCTGGCCCGGGCCTTTGCTCGTGCAGTGACCGACGAATACGCGTCGAAGGGGGACGGCAAGATCGACATGGTGCGCGCCGTTCGATCGAACGCAGAGCCATCGCCGCAGGGTTGCGCGCGATCACGCGCACAGTGGCGACATTCCGGAGCTTTTGCGGAACACGCTGCGCGAGGCAAGTGCCAGGAAGGAGCCGCTCCCGTCTCACGACTGCGTTCCTGCGCCCGTTTCGGCCGCCCCGCAGGATGGTTCTGAATCGAGGACGTCGGCGGAGACCTCCAACGTGAAAGCGAGGTACGCTGGAAAGGCCCTGCAGCAAATGATGATGTATCAGGAGGTTCCCCCCGCCGTGGTCAAAGGCGCGCTCCTGGCGCTCGAGGGCATCCAGACACGCGGCTCATCAAAGGTACACTCCCGCGACTCGCAAACCCCAGCGCTCCCAGTCGCACACCGCTCCTCGCCGCACACATCCGCCCATGCACGCACTCCCACAGCGATCCCGACACACCAGCGGCCCCGGCGGCCACTCACATCCACGCCCTCCCGATCCGCCACCCGCGGACCCACTTCACCTGCAACCGCACGTCGCACGCAGGCCGCGAAGCCCCCGAAGAAGAAGAAGAGCAGAAAGAAGGGCGGCGACGACGACGACTCCGGCGACGACGTGGCCCCGCGCGTGGACATCGCGCCGGGCGAGGCCGTCCGCAGCGTGGCGTCCACCGACCCGCGTCTGTGGCGCCCGATGCTGTACATAATGGGCCTGGCGATGGCGGGGCAGATCGCGGGCGTCCCCCCTCCGCTGCCGCGTGGGATCACCGGGGAGCGGCCCACGCCGTCGGTGCTGAACGGGCAGCTGAAAGTGAGCGAGGTGCAGGGGTTGTTGCGGCTGGCGGGCGACACGACAAAGCCGCTGAGCGTGCAGGCGCTGGTGCTGCTGCACGTCGCGAGCTCGATCGGGGGCGCGAAGAAGCACATCGCGATCGAGAACGCCAACGCGGCCGCGCGGCGGGCGGGGCCCGCGGGCATGCTGGCGCAGGGGCTGACGGCAACAGGGGGGGCGGCAGGGAAGAGCCTGCGAGAAATGAAGCCGTGGCTGAAGCAGCTCGTACAGGAGTACCGCGGCGTGCTCGAGGCGATCCTGCGGCAAGCCAACTCGGCGCAGGGCCGGAAGCCCAAGCGCCGCTTCCTCCGCAAAGCCCGCGTGTACGGGCCCAGCAAGTCCGGCCAGGTACGTCGCCCGCACCGCACGCAGAGCAGCACCACACGCCCGTGCTGCTCGCCGCCGTCGCCACCACGGTCGGACCATCCCGCCCTGCACCTGCTTGTGTTGCCCGGTGCGCCTGTGTCAGTGCACAGGGGGGGGTCTCAAACGCGCACCCGCCCCGCTCCGTCACCATCGGCCGGCGACTCACGGCGCCCGCCCGCACTCCCCGCGCGCTCGCAGATCACCGCCGCGACAGGGCAGGTGCTGTCCGCGATGGCCTTCCGCTCGATCGGGCTGATGGGGGACACGCCCATGTGTCTGCACATCTGGGAGGACGCCGTCCTGGGCACCACGAGCACCTCCGCGGACGTCGCGCGCTACGCCGCGGAGCTCTGCCTCCCCGTTGCTCTCGCGCGCCCCGAACAGGTCGCCCAGCACCTGCTGAAGCCCATCATGGACACCGTCGGCGGGTACGGCGAGGAGGGTCGCCTGAGCGTCGCGCACGGCGGGTACCACACCGTGGGCAAGGGGCGCCGCGCCAAGGCGGTCGCGGGTCCGTTTTTGAACCTGGAGCTCATGCAGTCCCGGCGGGCGCTGGCGAGCATCTGCGCGGCGATCGCGTGCCACCCGATGGCGCCGCCGAACGTCGTGGACGCGTTCTGGCGCCTCCTGGTGCTCCTGTGCGCGGACAGCGACCCGAGTGTCGCCGCACACAGCCTGCGGTGTCTGGTTGGCGACATCATCCCAGAAGGGATGCCTGCGCCTGTCAAGGGGGCCAAGGACGCGTCGGGGAGCGCGCTCGGCGCGAACGACCCGCGGCTGCGCGCGCGGGCGTGGCGGCTGCTGGCGTCGCGGCTCGAGACGTGTTCGCCGGTCCCGCGGCAGCTTTCTGCAGCCGAAGTCGAGAAGCAGCTGTCGAAGAAGGCCGCGAAGAAGGCCGCGAAGAGCCGTGGGATCGACAAGGTGTTCGGAAAGGTCGCGCAGCAGTACGAGAAGGCCGCGGGGAAGACAAAGAACCTGTTGCGGCCCGAGAGAATCAACGAGTTGGGTCTGCAGGGGGACGCGGGCGGGCCGAGTGCGGGGGGCGGCGGGGGCGAGGTCGGCGGGCTCGGGTCGACCGAGGAGGCCGAGCAGGACGCCGCGGTGCTGCAGGGCGACTTCGAGCGGTTCATGGGGGCCAAGAAGATACTGGATCTCGTCTGGGAATCCCCCAAGGGGATGGTGAGCTCCACCAAGGCCGGGGTCGCGGAGGCGGGCCTGCGCGTCGTCGCGAGCTTCGCCGAGAGCCGCGCCTGCCACAAGCTCGCTCTGTCCGCGGAGGCGATGCGGGCAGCGGCGGAGGATGCAGCGCTGAAGGGCGCGGAAGCCGAGGCGTCGGCGGCCGCGGCGAACGCGGCGGCCGCGCTCGCCGTCCCGGACCCGCAGCCGCAGAGCAGCTCCCGGGACGTCTCGGACCTCCTCGGGGACTTCGTGAGCGGCGGGAGCGTGCTGAACAAGGACACCGCGGAGTATCTGGGTTTGTCCGACGACGCGCCGGTCCTCCCGAGCGCCCCCGGGACGATGGCGCCGGAGGACCCGGCGGGCGCGGTATACGGGGAGCTGCTCGCCGAGCTGGGCGGGCCGCCGGGCGCCGAGGGAGAAGAGAGCGGCGGCGAGGACGACCCGTTTGGCGACGCTACGCCTAGCACGTCCGAGAGCGAGGCGGACGAGAGCGCGCGGGCGCCGGAGAGCGATGACGCGTCGGAGTCGGAGGACGCGCGGCCGAGCGAGCCCGACATGGCGCTCGACAGGCTCATGCGGAACCTCGGCGAGCATGTGCTGCAGACCATTTTTGGCCGGCCTGTTCCGGGCTCGCTGATCGCGATCCTGCAGCACCGGTCCGACATCTCGACGCGGGCGCTGCTCAAAGCGCGCGCGCTCCAGGCGCTCGTGTGGCTGTCCGGCAGCAGCCGCCCCCCGGCGAGGGGGGAGGTGTGTTGCGAGCGCATCTTCCCTATGACAGACGTGCTGGCCCGCGCGGTCGGGGCGGCCGGGGAGGCCGCGCAGTGGGCGGCGCAGCAGGCCAGGCGCGAGTCCCTCCAGGGCGCGTCGCTCGTCGCGACCCTCGGGAACCACGCCGTGTCGGTCGTCGTCGAAGCCGTGATGCAAGCGCTGGGCGGGCGGATGACCGCGGAGCCGCCGATGGCGTCGGAGATCTTCGAGGCGACGCTCGTGTTCGACTCGGCCGTGCACTCGCCCGCGGTGGCCCGGCGGCCGCTCCAGGACGTCTGGGACGCGGCGTTAGAGTCGAGTCCCGCAGCAGCGCAGGACACCGTGGCGGCGATCACCGCGCTGATGCTGTCGCCCGGGCACCTGCGTCCGCGGATCCTGCCGGCTACGTCCGCGCTGCTCGTGCAGGCGGAGCAGGTCCGCGCGCTGGTGCAGTCGCTCACGGGCCTGGCCAGCCCCGAAAGCGCAACGTCGGGCTTCGCGGGCGGCGCGGTGTCGACTGGGTCTGACTGGTCGCAGCTGCGCATGGAGGCCGCGGCGTGGCTCGGCGAGAGCGCGAATTACGCCGCGAGCATCTTCTCGTGGCAGGAGGCCGGCCTGTCTCTCGACCTCGGGCGTGCTGACCCCAACACCCCCCTCGGGGACGACTTGCTCTCGCGGGCGATCCGCGGGCTGCACACGGCGCTGGTCTCGAGCAGCGACGCCGGTCTGCAGCTCGCAGTGGGGCGCGCGCTCGCCACGATCGCCGTGCGGTCGCCGCACCCGTACCGCAACCACTGCCAGTCGGTGCTGGTGGGCGCGACGGGGCAGGGCGCGGCGGCCCGGCAGCTCCCGGTCGCGTCCGCGCTGCTGCCGATGCTGCGCGTCCTCGAGTCGATGGAGTCCGGCGCGGAGGCCGTCGCCGACGCCGTTGCGCGATTCGGCCTGGACCCTACCTCGTGGCCGCAGCGCTCGCTCGAGGCCGTCATGAAACGGCACCGCCACCTCCTGCGGCAGATCCGGCTGACGGTCTGCTACGTCCCCGAGGGTCAGTACTATCCGCTCGGCATGAAGTCGAAGCCGTTCGTCGACGCATACTACGCTTCGATGGACTCTGGTCCCGGGCGGCGGGGGCCCGGGCCGCGCTACGCGGCGAGCGCGTACGGCGCGATTACGATCATGGGCGACATCGACGAGCTCGAGGAGGACGCGTCGACCGTGTACACGGAGAGCTACATGGGGCCGGGCGCGGCGGCTGCGGCGGCGATGATTCCGGGCGCGCCGCCGTCGTCGTTCGGCGGTTCGCAGGGCGGCGCGCAGCCCTCCGTGAACGGCCTCATGCAGGGCATCTTCTCCGGCGCCGACTGGCACGACGACGACGACTACTCGTCCCAGGCGGGGGTCTCGTCGGTCACCGGGTTCACTGCCGGTCACTTTAGCGGTTACGACAGCGGCGCCGCGTCGGCGCAGGCGCCGGCGCAGTTCGGCGCGAGCGACCTGCTCGGTGGCGGCGGCGAATCATCGCCGGACCCCTCGATCAAGCGGCCACTCCCCGCAGCGGCAGATTCGTTCGAGGCGGCGCTGGGCGTCACGTCCACCGGAGCGCCGCCGGACGACAATCCGTTCGGCGCGGAGGCACCGACCGAGTACGGCGCTGGTCCGAGCGCCGTCACGCCCGACAACCCCTTCGGCCCGGACGCCGCCACGGAGTTCGGAGCCGCTGCCGCGGCACCGCAAGACGGCGGCGGGTTTGTCGGGGCAGGCAAGGGGCCCGCGCTCGCGGCAGACGAGAACCCGTTCGGCGCGGAGGAAGCCACGGAGTTCGGCGTTGCCTCCATCGAGAAGCCGCCCGCGATCGATCCGGAGATCGAGCCGCTCACCGACGCGCCCGTGGGGTCCGCGGAGAATCCCTTTGGAGACAGCGGCGCGGAGGGCGGCGTCGGGGACGCAGGCGACAACCCGTTCGGCGGAGACGAGGCGACGGCGTACGGTGTGCCGGCCGCGGCGCCGGACGCGCCACCAGCCGCGGGCGACAATCCGTTCGACGGCGCTCCCGGCGAGGACAAGTCGCGCGCGCCGCTGGACGAGGGCTTCTTCTCCGGGCCCGCGGCTCCCGAGATCGAAGCGCCGGAGCCCGAGATCGCGCCCGTGGCCTCCCCGGAGCCCGAGCCCCGCCCGGCGGCTGCCAGCGAGGCTGCGGCGGGCCTGGCCGGCACCAAGGCGGCGAACACGCGGCGGGGCGTCGGCGCGTACGACGCGGTGGAGAGCTCGCCCGGACACGACTTCGAGATCGACCTCTCGAGCGACCTGGCGTCCGGGGCGCACGACGGCGCGTCACGCGACACAATGGACGCCAAGATTTACAACATGCCGGCCGCCGTGACGGACGCCGAGCCCGGACCGGCGCCCGCGGCGGCTGCCGAGCCTGTTAGTGCGCCTGCAGGCGCAGCGGACGGGCTGCGGAGGCAGGCGAGCGGGTCGCGGGCGGCGCCGGCGGCGGCTACGCGGCACGGCGTGGTGAAGTATGACTTTGCGGCGGAGGAGGAGGGGGAGTTGACGGTGGCGGAGGGGGAGGAGTTGTTCGTAGGGCAGGAGGTGTCCGGGTGGCTGATGTGCACGAAGAAGCGCGGCGGCGGCGGCGGGCTGGTGCCTGCGTCGTACGTCGACGTGATGCCGTGACGGCTCTGGTTGTGATCTGTGACGCTCGACGTCCGGGGCTGGAGTGCGGCGTTGCAGCTAGGTGCGTGATGCGGACGACGAGATGGCGAACGGCGCGTTGTGGCGTTCCACGGCGGGGGGAAACAACACCTGCCTTGTGGGGGGGGGGACAAGGCAGCACGAACGTTCGTGTGGGCCGTGGAGTGGTGCGGAGCGCTTGCGGTGTCACAGCGGCGAAGTGAGGCCGCGCATCCGTGGTTGGTGGCCAGCGTGCCCCCCGGAGAACGTTATACTGATGCCGTGTGACAGTCCCCCGCACCGCGGAGCAGTGCGGAGGGAATGAGGCCTGCACGTGCCGCGACAAGGCGCAGTAACTTCGCGCAGAACAGAGTTGCGCCCGTGCCGTTCAGACAGCCCACGCGCGGGAACCGTCAAGCAGACTTTCGCTCAACTGCCTGCTCTCCACTTCCAACAGCCGCGCCCGCGGTATCCGGGGGCCCCCGGGGCTCGGCTCCGGCATCTCGGGAACACTGTACATATCAACTACGTAGCAGATGCTCAGGACGCGCGGTGTAGCCGCTGGGCAGGCCTGCGCCGGGCCGCAGAAGCTCCCGCGAGCCTGCCATGCTCCCCGCGCTGCAGTACGTCGGCGCGTCTTGGTGGGCGGGCCGGGCTGCCGCCCCAGCCGGGCGCTCACTTGCCGTTCGACCACGCAAGGGCCCGGGGAGGGCGGGGCGCCCGCTGAGTCGTCGGAGCGAGCGGGAAACTCGAGCTCGTACCAATGGTGCACAGCGCTGGAGACGGGGCAGGACCTCCGGGCGGCGATAAAACGCGCGGTGGAGCGCTGCAAGGAACAGGTGCGGAACTCCGCTAGCCCGTCGGCGGCTCGGTCGGTCTCCATCGCGCCCGCGGGAGGCTCTACGGCGCGCCTCGTGATGCGGGGGGGCCCGCTCCCGTCCGGACGGGATTCTCGCCGACGCGCGATGCTTCCGGGCGCGACGGCTGCGCGGCGCGCTGTTCGTCGTCTGGGCCGTCTCGCGGCCCGTCGCCGGCCTGCTGAAAGCGCGCGAAATGTCCGGGGGCGCGCGTCTGAGGCGAGCGCGAGGGCAAACCCCGCAGCGTCGCCCACGGCTGTCGCGCAGGCCGGGGAGGACGCCGACAAGCTCGATGTCGCCCTCATCTTCTGCGCTTCCTCCTACAAGAACCAGTACGAGCGGGTCGTGCCGATGCTGCGAGAGTACGCGCCGAACCTCAAGGTATCTCGAGTCTCGTTCCCCTCGTGCTGCCCCGCGCTCGTCGTCGGATCCCACGCGCTCGAACTCCGCGGCGAGCTTCACGCGGCTCGCGAGGTTCGCGCCGCGCGTGCAGACGGTCGTGGGATGCAGCGGATTCGGCGTCATCGGGGCCGGGCAGGAGGACGGGCGCGCAATGGAGCTGGAGCGGTCGCCGGGGGTGTCCGTGACGCTCGGACACATCCCGGGCGCCTCGCTCACGGCGTTCCACGTCACGCCCAACGAAGTCCCCGACATGGACTCGGCACCGGAGGCCTGGGGTGCGTCCCAGCCCGCCAACACACCCACCTGCCACGCACATCATCGGCACGCTGGGCCTGCCGGACACCGGTGCTTCCCACAAACGCCCCCTCGCCAGCGCACCTCCTGGGCCATCCGCCCGCGGAGGTGGCGCGCGTCACCGACCCGCCGACCCGCGCCACGGCGCCTCGACACCACAGCGCGCCTGCGTCGTCGCTGCGTGCAGGCAAGGCCGTCGGTGTGGAAGCAGAGGACATGCAGGACGTCTCCGCGATGGTTCTCTTCGGGGACCCGACGTTCGCGGCGGTGACCGACTTCATGACCGGCCTCGACTATGCATTTCCCCGCGCCACAAAGATCGGAGGCCTGTCCTCGAGCGGTGCGGCCCCGTGCCGCGCTGCGACGCTTCGCGCACGCACTTCGTCATTCTGTCGATGCTCCGGGCCTGTGCGTGACGCGTCGGGTCGCACGCGCCCTGGGATGACGCGTGCGAGGTAGTTGTTTGTGCGTGGTGCTTTCCTCTCGCTTCGCGCGCCGGAACGAGTCGGGGCCCTGTGGTGCGTCGCAGGTCTGATGAGCGAGCCGCGCGCGCTGCTGTGCTGGCAGGCCGGGTGCGCCCCGACGGGCTGCGGCATCAATAGTTCCCCGGCGGGGGAGTCGGAACTCGACGAGCCCGACGACGACGACGCCATGGTGCCGACGCACAACCCGCCGCACCCGACCGCCACGGGCGCCGGGGAGGGCGCGGTGGTCGACGCGCTCGTCTCGGAGGCGCACCCCAGCCCGCCTGGGCCGCACTCACACCCCCCCGAGGGAATGTCGTCGTCCTTCAAACAGAAGCGCGGGTGGGGGCCCGGGAGCCCGGTCCCGCTGTTCGACGAGTACCGGGCCTTCGTGCAGGAGGGCGTCGTCGGGCTGGCCATTCGCGGGGACGTCCACGTCGAGCCGATCATTGCTCAGGTATGACAATCAATCCCAAACACCCCTCCCGCCCCAGCGGTGCGCTGGACAGCGACCGTGCGTCTAGCATGTCAGTGCGGTGGTCGCTGTCGACTCCGTCCGCCTTCGAAGGCCCTCTGTGGCGCTCGCTGACCACTGAGTGCCTGCGTGTTCGTGCGCACGTCGCAGGGCTGCCGGCCGCTGGTGGAGAACACGTACACGATCACGAAGTGCAACGGGAACGTCATCCTCGAGATCGAGGACCAGTCGCAGGAGCGCATGCGGCCGCTGCAGGCCCTGTCGAACGCGCTGGAGGAGGTGCGCAGGTCGCTCGACAGCGACGCCGAGCTCGAAGAAATGGCGCGGAACATCAACGTCGCGGTGGCCGCGGACCCCCTGAAGCCCCTCGAAGCGCTCAGCGCCGGCGACTTCCTCGTCCGGGCGATCGTTGGCGCCACGCAAACAGGCACGCCTCCCTCACACGCGCACGGGCCGGCGAGCCGCCTTGCCTCTGCTTCCTGCGCCGCACAGACGGTGCGCTATATCTCACGCACAGCTGCGCTTCGTTTTCGTTGTGCCGCAGGCGAGCTCGGCGTTGGCGACATGATCAAGGTGGGACAGCGGCTACGCTTCATGGTGCGTGACCGCGCGGGCGCGTTGCTGGACTTGAGCCAGCACGCGACGGACTACAAGCGCCGCGACCTCGAGGCGTCCCTGCGGGGGAACCCGCGCCCGCCGGCGTTCGGCGCGCTGGTCTTCACCTGCAACGGGCGCGGGAAGGGGCTGTACGGGGCGGAGCTCCCGAGCCACGACGCGCGGACGATCCAGTCGTTCGTTCCTGTGGGGATGTCGGGGTTCTTCGCGAACGGCGAGATCGGGCCCGTGGGCGGGGCGACGCGGCTGCACGGGTTTACGTGTGCGGCGGCGATTCTGCGGCAGGGCAGGAAGGAGGTGGCCGACGGGCCCGCGGAGGGGGAGGGCCCGCCGGGCGAGGGCTGGGCGGGGCCCTGCGATATTTGAGGGTTGTGAGTTGTGTTGCCGCTGAGCCCAGCACCGTGTCAGGAGGGTGCCACGTCAGGAGGGGTCCAGGGTCACCCTGCCGCTCAGTGCGGCCTTGAGGTTGGCGCACCGCTGCCGAGGAGCACTCCGTAGGTTGGCGAATACTTGGGTAGCCTGTTCCGTCAGGCTGCTGCGGGGCTGCCAGTGACACGACACAGCCAAGAGCTGATGATTCGCTTGTAGACGCGTCAACGATCGCACAATTGCCGCTCCATCGTGAGCATACCGATAGCAGTGAAGGAGGACGCGGAAACACACGCAGCGTTCCTCTGTCAGCGTCAGCACGGCTCTGTCAGGACAAAGGCAGTCGTGGGCAATGCAAGAAAGTCACGCTTCAAACATTATTCAAGCGGAACTCGATACACAACCATTACCTGCACGATCTCGCGGTGAGAACCCTGCATGGCACCGCCTCACAGCCCGGTTTTCCCGACCCACAGCCCTGCGAGGCGCGCTCCTCCGAGCCCCCGCGGGACCACCGATCTCGCGCATGAGGCGTACCCCGTATCCTTGAACAACCAGTTACGAGTCTCCTTCGCGCCGGTCTGACGTCACTCTGATTCCACCGCGTCCCCGCGGCGTGGAGGCACCCTGCAGGGTATCACGCCTACGAAGCAGCAAGCGGCGGCGCGGACGGCCTTCCGGCCCAGCCTGTGCCTCTTTGCTGCGAAGAGCGATGCATCGTGGACATCACGGCCTTCCTGCGCAGGACTAGCGCGGCGAGCGGCCCTGCCGACCTTCCAGCCGGCCCAGGTGCCATGAGCCGCGACGCCCTCCCAGAGCAGCTGGCCGCACGCAAGCCGTCGCTGGCGAGCTGGCGCGGGGCCGTCGACGAGATCGCAGACGTCGCTCGGCGGCGGCGGCGGCGTTTCTGGTGTCTCGTTGGTGCGTCGTTCCTCGCAGCGCCCGTGACGCTCCCAGCGCTGCTCTGGCTGGAGAGCTCCTGGCTCCAGCGACAAGTCTCGTCGTGGGAGGAGCGGCTCAACTCGGGTGCGCGTCCCGAACACGCGAGCATCGCGACGCCTTCCTGGATTTCGCAGCGACGCTGCATAGTCACTTGTTTGTTGCAGTTATGGCATTCCTTCCGTCATCTCACGCAGGCATTCTCGGGCCCGTGGGCCTGACGGGCCGCGTGCAAAGGGCGTCGAGCGGCGGGTCGACCGGGTGGTTCCTGGCCGTGTCACTGTCGGCACAAGATGCAGGCGAGCTGATCTGGGAGCCCAGAGCGTTCGAGATAGTGGCCGCGCCGAACGGAAAAGACAAGGCGGGAGGGCAGTTCCGCCCTGCAGCGGACGGCGGCTGCTGCGTCTGCCCCCCGAAAGTCGTGTGAGCTGAAAGCTTGACTGACCACGTGCACCAACAATCCTTTTTGTGCAAGTTGTTGTGCCTGCCGTGGTATTGGCCGGGGTTTGCGTGCTCGGACAGATCCGGCGGTATCCGGGCACCAGCGAGACCGTGCCGCGCGTCGCGCCGGCTGCAGCAGGGCCGGGGGGGGGGTTAAGCTTGACACCGGGAGGTGTGGGCCCCGCAAGCGCCGCTCAGCGAGTCTCGCCTCCTTGCGGCCGCAGCTTGCTGTGCGTGCGCCGACGTGGGCGCGCGCACTTGGTCGCCATGCAGGCGGCGCGATAACGCATTGACTGTGAGGCAGCGCGAGGCGACGGGCGCGGGTGCCTGCTCTGGGGCCGGACTGTAACGTTTGCGATGGCGCAGGCGTGAGATGAGAGCGAGATTGTCTCTGGGAGACCCGCTGCCGCTCGTGGAGACGGGCTAGCTGGCGGAGAGATGGGTGGACCTCGTTTCTCCGGCGTGACGCCCGCTGCGGGCGCCAGCAGCGGAGGCCCCAAAGAGGTGGTTCAGAGAGCGCTGGAAGCCTTGCGGGCGCTGCAGGATCCCCGGACGATGCTGGATGGTGTGTGCACGGTCCCTGGATTGCAGTTTCTCCCTACAGTGAGCACGAAGCGCGGCGCTTCAGCCGGACGCCTCCAGCAGCGTGCTTTTTCACCTCGCACCGCTCCTTCCGCGCATCCCTCGAGGTCTGTAACTCGAGACGCCTGCCACGCAGGCCTCCATGAGTTGAGAGGCTCCCTGACTGGACGGGACGCCGGTCAGACGGCCCAGGAGCTCCTCCTCCGGCCCGGCACTGATGGGTTTCCCGAGTTGTGGGCGGTCTGGGACGTCAGGCGCGCCGGGGCTCTCACGCACGACATCCAGATCGCAGCTCTCGGCGTCGCCATCGCCCTCTTGCGCTGCCACGCGTCGCTGCAACCGCACCGGAAGGCCCTGAGGGAGGCAACAGATGGCATTGCAACCCAAGTGCTGGAACGGCGACTGAAGCAGGTGCGGAACCCCCGCTGCCGGTGTCCCGGCTCACCGGACGAGCCGTCGGTCAGTCGCAGCGCGCTCGTGCGGCGGGCGTCGTTGCAATAACAAGCAGCATTCGCTGTGCGCATCGCGGTTGGTTGCAACGCGGGATGACGCCAGTCGACCGCAACCCCCTACAAGCCCGGCCCCCGCCGCGCAGGTGTACTACCATTTGACCAGCGGCAGCCGCAGCCGCGCCGCGGGCGCCCTGGCGCTGCTGTCGGCGATTGCGGCGCGCAGCAGAGGTCTGTCGCTCGCGCTGCTCTCGTCGTTCGACTGGACGCTCTCGTCGCTCAGCAAGCTCGCTAGACCGCCGAAGCGCCAGGCGCAGCGCGGCGGGCAGGACGCCGTCGACGACGACCAAGGCGGCGCTCCAAGTGGCAGGGACAAGCGTGCGCCCCCGACCGGCGCGGACGGGCGGCCGACGTACTACGTCGGCGCCGACGTCCTCAAGCGGCCAACACGGCCGGCGCTGGTGCTGCTCTCGCTCACGCTGCTGCAGCAAGGCGACCGCGTGCTCGCGCAACAGGTGCTGGCGACGCGGCCGCTGGCGCGCTGCCTGCTGTCGCACTGCGCGTCGGATCCGGACGGAGTCGTCAACGACGTGTTCGACGCCGTCGATCGGCACGTCATGGACCCGCGCGCCGCCGTCCCGCCCAGCGTCCAGTCGTGCGTGTTCCACGAGAGCGCGTTGCGCCAACTGGCCGAGATCCTCGCCGCTCCGAGCGGCGCCGCGCCGCCAGGCGTGCAGGAGCGCGCGTACTCGATCCTCTTCCGCGTCCTGACCGACCCAGCGCACGGCGTCCGCGCACCGACACCCCCCTCGCCGTCGCCAGACTCCCCCCCTGACGACCTGCTCCTGGCGTGGCAGCGGCCGTCGTTTCTGATCGCGCACGAGCTCGCCGCGAAGAAGGACGACCGCGACCTCAGCGAGCAGCAGCAGCAGGGCGCCGCGATCTTGTCGGACGACCACATCGTGCGCCTGCTGCTGACGCTGTGCCCGTCGGCGGCGCCCCTCCACCGTCGCGTCGTCGAGGAGGTCTGCGCCGCGGATCCGGCGCTCGCGCGCGCGTACCTCATGAAGTGCGCGTTGCCGCTAGACCCGAAGCCCGAGCGAAGGTTCTACGTCGCAGCTGCCGTGTTCGCGCGACTTGCCACCACTGCTGCGGAGGCTGGAGTCTCCGAGTGCGACCTTCTCGGGACGCCGAGGGAGCGGGCGGAGCGAAGGGAGCGCCGGGAGCGCGTGAGGGAGTTCAAGGTTGGCGTCGGCTTCGAAGACGAGGATCTCTCGACTGACCTGGACGGCGACTGCTTCCGCGCGCGGCGCTCGAGCGAGGCGGGGGAGCGAGCCGCAGAGCGCACCGCGCTGCCGCCGTGCGCGAACAAGACTCTGCTGTCGCGCGGGCTACAGCACCCCGACCCGCGGGTGCGCGCCGCGACAGCTGTCGCAGTCACCGCAATGGTGCATGCTGCTCTGAAGACGGCCACGGAAATCGACGTGGGCGAGCAGCGGCCCCCGCCTGCGGACAGGGAACCAGAGTCGCTGGCGGAGCACGACGTGAGCGTGATGAAGGCGGAGTTCTGCCACACGGTCCTGAGACACCTGCCAGACGAGCAGGTCGTAGCTTCGTTGATTGCCAAGACGCAGCCTGCGTGGGTCAGCGGGTGGCCGGTCGGGACCGCGGCACGGGAGTCGGACGGGAAGCATGCTAGCGACGCTGAGATGGACCAGCCGTCGCCACGCGGTGCTGGGCTCACCGAGGAACCCAGCATCGAGGATTTACGAGTGGTGTCTGAAGACGATGAAGAGTTCGACCTGCAACCGGGCGAGCCGGGCAGCAAGCCAACCGAGACAGCGGCGCGGACAGAGCTGCTCCCTCTCGCGCGGGCCGCGTTCCAGCTCGCCGACGCCTACGTCTGGTTGTTCGAGGGCGCTCAACTATCCTTCCAAAGCAATGTGCCAGGAATCCGCTGTCTCCCTCCCGCGAGCGCGTTCGACGGCGCCTCTACCGACGGACCGCACCCGGGGATCCTCCGCGCACTCGTCGCACTGTCGGGCCCGCAGCTCGGCGCGCATGCCGCGCCGGGCACTGCGATTGACATAGCGCGGGTAGTTCGTGCATCCACAGCGGCGCGGGAGGTCGCGGACGCCGTCGTGGGCTGCGACCCGTGCCGCGTCGACACCACCCTGCGCGACACGGAGATGCGGGCCTGCTTCCAGCGCAGAGGCGCGGGGGTGTCTGCGAGCATCATCGGATCTTTGGTGGGGGTGCTGAAGAGAGAAGAAGAGGCCTGTGCTGCCTGCGAGGGCGCAGACGACGGGCCGCGGGTGGCGGCAGCGGCTCTGCTGTCCGATGCGCTGCTGTGCAGCGGCGTTCTCGGCGCCCCGGGCGTGCTGGAGGCGCCAATTCTCGCGGACAGTCTGGGTGTCGTATTCAGGAGCGACGGCGGTGCGGGGTGGCTTGCTGCGGCGCGGTGTCTCGTCGAAGCTGTGGGCGTGTGCCAGCGCAAGGCGGTGCAGAAGTTCGAGGGCGTCGCCGCCACGATCGCGGCCTCTCGCAGGGTCTTCGAAGCCGTTGGTGAGCAAGACACCACAAACGACTATTCCTGGGTGTCTCCGCTGACTATGGAGCTGATCACTGCCGCATCCAAGGTGATCCCATCAAGGAAAACATCCGCAGAGGCTCGTGCAGCCGTTGCCGACTTCTTGGGCACCGCCATCGCCCTGCTTGTCGACGCACACCCACACCCCGCAGCAGCCTCGGCCGCGGTGCTCGCAACCGTGCACGGAGCCGGGGCCGACCCGGCGGCATTCTGTCGGGAGGGATCTGGGCTGATTGCTGGAGCCCTGCTCAAGTGCTGGGACGTGATCGGTCAGGAGGCGCGCGGGCGGATTCCTTCGCGTACAAACAAGGAGCCGTCTTCGGGCCCAGCCCTGGAGGACGTCGACGCGACTCTGAGCTTAACGTGGCCGTGGACTGACGAAGCGATACCGCTGTGGCAGGCGGCGTCAGACACGGCGCGGATGGACCATTTGTCGGTGTACGTAGTGCGACATGGGAACCACGCGGCGTTGCTGCCTCCGGCCATCTGCAAGCTCGCGGCCCAGGCCGCAAGGGATGCCCGAGTCTGCGCGGACCTGTGCAGGCTGATGGCTTCCGTCAGCCGCGACAAGGACTGTTGTTTGCGGGGGGTGCATCTGTGCGTGTTGCATCCCCGGCTGGTGGCGAGGATCATCCAGGAAGCGGGGCCGAGTTCCACGTCTGCCGCGAACATCGTCGGAGAGTTGCTGAACTGCGTCGCGTTTGCGGCCGAGGAACGTCGTCTCTTCGGAACAAGCGAGCGCCCACCGTCATGGACTGTCGCCGACGCAACGCAGCGTGTCGTGCGAGTTCTCGTGGCCAACGCGCCGCGGATCTTCCGCCTTGCTGCGCGTCAAGCGGACGCAGCTGTCGCGATCGAGGCGGCTGCGAGCGTCGTCCTGGCAGCCGCGCAGCTCGACCAGGGCACGACAGCAGCCCTCCAGATGCTCGAAGCCTGCTGCGACGCACTCGACGCCGCGCCGGATCCCTCTCGGCGCTCGACGATCATCCAAACCGTCGCCAGCAGCTTGGCGAGGGTCTTCCGAGGCCCGGGGGCGCACACATTCATCACAGCAGGCACGCCGCGCCTTGCAGCGATCATGCGCATCGTCGCGCAGGAGCAAGGGGTCAGCGCCTCGCCGAAGCTGCAGCAGCTCCTCGAAGCGCTCCTCGAGCCGCTCCAGGCCGCCGCGTCGCAGAGACAGGCGGGGTTCGAGGGTCTTCTTGCAGCGGTGATGACATCTTGCTTTGTTGAATCTGAGCGGGGCGTCACCGTCGAAGGGGCGCTTGTCGCGGCCGCGATCGTCGCGATCGAGCCCCGCCTGCGCAAGCAGTTCGCGGATCTCCTGCAGCGGGCGTCCGCCGAGGGTCAGGCGTCGCGGCGCGAGTCACTGGCGCTCCTTTTGCCCGCCGTCGCGGTGTCGTTGACGTCGAAGAGCACGGACGCGTCGGTTCGGTCGACGATAGCGGACGTTGTGCGCGCGCCGCTGCTCGCGTACGCGGGCGCGAAGCCCCCTGGACCCGGACACTCGTGCCGGGAGCTGTCGCGTGATGCCTTGGCGATGCTCCACGGCTGGGCGGCCCCATGTCTCGCGGCGGTGCTCTCGCAGCGTCGCGAGGGCGGCACTCAAGCAGCGCGAAAGCTTCTGGCGAAGGCGCTGCCCCCCGCGGGGCTGTCGGATTGCCCTGTGCTGCAAATGCCGCAAGCGAGGGCAAGCGCGTGCGAGCGGCTCTGGGAGGCGTGTCCGGCGGTGCGATACGCGCACGAGACAGCGCTGCAAGCCTGCGCGTCGGAGGCGTTCGGCAGCGGCGAGGGGATCGTTGCAGGCGATGGTGGCGGGTGCGCATCCAACACGCCCGTTGCGGAGGAGCGCGTGCTGGTCGCGCGGCTGGCGTTCCGGTGGATGGTCCGGGAGGGAATGGAGGCGGTCGAGGCGGCTTGTTGCTTCTGGGACGTCGCGGCACGATGCCTGCGCGCCACCATCGAGACGTCGGCGAGCAGTGCACCGCCAGATCAGGTCGCCGCCGCAGCGAACGCCGTGGCGCTCGCGGTGACCGATCTCCTTGCCTGCACGTGCCATGAACATCGAGTTTTCGACGATGCGGCGCTCAGTGAAACCGCGAGCCGCGCAGCAGACGAGCTTGCAAGTGCTCTGCGACTCTCTCTCTCCTCCGACGTCCCCCTCGGTGCGGCGCTCGCGCCACTCGCCGAGGCGCTCGAGTGCTGCATCGGCACAGGCGCGCCAACGCCCGGCGCCACGATCGTGCGCGCACACGTGGGTGACGTGGCCAGGCAGACGTTGGTCTCAATCGCCCACCTGGGTCCCACGAAAGCTGTTGCGGCGGCTCTGTCCGGCCGTGACGCACCCCTCACTGGACAGGTGTCGGTACCGCGGGAGATTCAGCACATGCCGCTGCCAGCGAGCGCCCTGCTGGCCCCGAGCGTCGTGCGATCTGCGTTCGCGGAAACGAACGCGCCGCCACCCGCACCTGCGGAGCGCATTCGCGCGGCGGCGCGGTGTCCCGGCGAGGCGTGGGCAGCGACCGTCGCGGCGTGCGTGCGCCTTTGCTGCGAGAGTGAGCAAGGGGCAAGCCCTCGACAAGTCACCCACGAAGTGAAGGGTGCGTGTCAGACGGTCCTGCCCGCACTTCTCGCGTCGTACGGCGGCGGTTGTTCCGGTCGCGATGCTGCGATCGCGTCGGCGCTCTTCGCGGCGGACTTGGTCCTCACGGGCGTCGCGTGGAACGAATTGGGGTCTGTTGGGATGGACATCGAGGAAAGCACTTCTGAGGAGTCTTCTTCGGACGACGCCGGCAACGAGGACGACGAGGACAGCTCCGAAGCTGACTCTGCGTCGTCAGGCGGGGACCGGCGCCAAGCTCGCGGGAGGGGGCGGGGCCCGCGCGTGCAGGCGACCGCAGGAGACTTGTGGCGCGCGGGGCGAGGAGCGCAGGACGCGGTCCGGGCGGTCCAGGCAGCCATGTCGAGGTCCGTGCTGGCGACGGCCGGCTTCGCGTTCGGAGAGGCCGCGGCGCAGTGTTTCGCAGCCGGCGGGCTCATCGCTGCTTCTGGTGGTGGTGACCAGCTCGCCCGTGCTCGCGTCATGCTGCGGACGGCTGCTCTGGATCCGTACCGGCTGCTGCTGACTACCGCGTGTCTGCACGACGCCGACGGCCGGCCGGGCGACGGGGCGCCGACGGCCGGGTGGGGCCGGCACTCCTACAGCGTCATGTGGGTGTTGTGCATGGCGTATTGCGGCGTACGCGAGGGTTGGCTCGGCGTCCGCGACGTCACGACGGCAGGCATCCTTCCTCTCGCGATCTGCTGCCTCGCGGCGCCGTCCGAGCGCTCCAGGGTCCTCGCCCACGCCCTGATATCTATCACAGCAGAAGCCATGTCTTCGGGCCCCAAGTTCCGCGAACGCCCGTCGCTCGAGCGCGTTCTGGCGTACGTCGCGCGCGGCGTCGCCGCGCACGGCCCGGCCAGGCGAGTGTCGTCGCTGCCGGCGCACTTCGCCGCCCACTGCGCGGCGGCTGCCGCCGTGCGGGGGTCGCAGGACCACAAGTTTCTCGACAAGTGGGTGCGCCGCAAGAGGGAGCTCGCACCAGCCAGCGCGAAACACCTCGACCACCTCCTCGCCTCGACCCGGCCGCACCCGGTCTGCCGCCGGGACCTCTACGACGCGTTGCGCGCGGCTTCCGTCGGCGTCCAGGGCGGGGCGCTCGACGCCTCGGCGCTGCGGAGGTCCGGGGCGCTCGGCTTCGTCCTCGCGTACCTGGCGTCGTGCTTCCGCGACTCGGCCGTGTACGCCGCGGGCGTTGACACCATCGTGGCCTCCATGGCGACCCCGGGGTGCGCCGTTGCGGGGATCGCGGACCTCTTCGCGTTCGCGTGGGCCGCGGAACGGATGCGGGAGCTGCAGGAACGCTGGCCGCGCAGCGTGGTCCCGCTCAAGATCTGCACGCGGATCGCGGAGCTCGCCCAGAAAGCGTTCGCGTGGCCGGGATGCGCGGCACTCCCCGGACGACAACAGGTGCCGCTCACCGTCGCAACGACGTCCGAGCTGTCCGTCGGGCTGTTCCACGTGTGCACGGTGACGACCTCGGCGTGTGACGCGGCCTGCGCGCCCGCTGCGGAGCGCAGGAGCCGGGGTCTCGAGCACGCTGCCTGCGAGTTGGCCACCGCGGCAATCGATCTCGTTGTCCGGTGCCTTGCGTCGCCGCTGCCCTTCTTCGGGATGCCGCTGCTGCACCGGATCGACCTCGGGGCGCTCGCTGGCGGCGCGGTGTCGCTTGCGCAGCGCGTTCGCGGCGGCGGTGGCGCGCGGCTCGCGTGGGCTGTGCTGGGACTGGTGGCCGTCGAGCCGCGCGGGAGCCTGTGGGCGGCCAGCGTGGCGCGCAGGGCGCTACCTGTGGCGCTAGCGAGCGTTGGGCGCCGCGGCGGCGTTCCTTGGGAGCGCCGGGAGGCCACGCTGGGCGCGTTGGTGGCGTGGGTGGCCGCGAAACGAGAGTCCTTTGTGCAGGATTCCGCAGTGGCGCCCCTGGCCCGGGAGCTACTGGCAGCGACGGGCGAGGCGGTCGACGGCGCTGCCTGCGACGTGCAAGCTCCCTCCTGACATTGCGAGGGGCATGGACGTTTTTGCGCACATATGATTCTTTTTCTCTACGATCCACCGACTAGTTTGCAGTGCAAATCGACGACGAACATCTTGACTGCAAGGCAGGCTCCGGCAGCGGCCGCCGCCCCTCCAGCTCGAGACGTCGAAGCGGGCGCTTGTGAATCATCAACAGATCAGTCGGTTTTTACTCTTCAACTGCCGTCTCATCATGCGACAGCAAGGCCCGCATGTCCCTGTGCGTGCCGTCACCTACACGCCCACGTATGCATGTGGAATCGCTGCGGCGATGCGTTTGTGCCCGTGCTGCGACACGCGCGTGCTGTAGAGCGTCAGCGTCGTCAGCCCGGTCAGCTTCGACAGCTCCGGCACACACCCGTCCCCGACCGCGGTGTGGCTCAAGTTCAGCGTGCGCAGGGAGTGCCGCAGCGGCACGGACGGCCCCGCAGCGTTCACGAGCAGCCGGCAGCCCTCGTCGGTGACACGGTAGTTCTGTGCCAGCGACAAGTGCTCGAGCTCCGTCAACGCGCCGAGGTGGTGCGCGCCGGCGTCCGTGATGCTGCCGCCGCCCGCCTCGAGCGAGGTGAGCCGCGCGAGGCGCGAGAGGATCGCGCAGCCGAGGTCCGTCACCTTGCACCCGAACACGTCCAAGTGTCGGAGAGTCTTGGCGAGGGGCACGAGTGTCTGCGGGGCGGAGACACGCGGGGGCGGAGCCTGCGTGAGACGGATGAAGACGTTCGAGGTGTCCAGACAGCGCGGTATCCGTGATGTCGTCGGCGCGCGAGGGATGCGTGCGAGGAGCGGGGGGAGTGACGCCGTGCTTGTTTTCAAGGAGGGGGGAGTCTCACCGAGATGGTGCGGTCCGTCAGGCCGCGCACGTCGGCGCACAGCCACTCGAGCTGCGTGAGGCAGCGCACGTGCCGCATGCCCGCGTCCGTGACGTCCGTGTGGCCCACGTCGAGGTGCCGCAGCCGCGGGACGTGCCGCAAGTAAGTGAGGCCCATGTCCGCGATCTGCGTGTCTCCGAGCTCGAGCTTCTCCAGCCGCGGCATGCCCTTCAGCGCCATGCACGCCGTGTCCCCGACCTGGCAGCTGTCGAGCGAGAGCCGCTCCAGCGCAGTGAGCGTCACGAGCGACGCCGCGCCGCTCCCCGTGACGCCCGTGGAGGCCAAGTTGAGGTCCCGCAGCGACGTGCACTGCGAGATGTACTCGCGGCAGTCGTCCGAGGTCAGCATCGACAGCCCTGACAGGTCCAGCACCTCGAGACCCCCCCGGGTGCCTAACTGCACGACGGCCTGCAGCACCGAGATGCGGTCTCGCCCGTGCGTGACAGGCGGCGGGACGCCCGTCAGGTGCGCGGCCGTCTCATCCGGAGGCAGCAGGTTCCGGCACCGCGCCAGCCCGACCTCGCGCAGGGTGCCGGCGTTCGCCAGCAGCACGTCGGCCGTCTCCGGCCCCGCCAGCGTCCCGCTGAAGACGAGCTTCCGGAGGCCCTGGATGCTCGAGAGCGCCGCGATGTCGGCGCGCGGGACGCGGAAGCACCAGCCGAGGTCCAGCTCCTGCAGCTGAGTCAGGTTTGCCAGGTGCGGAACGGCGCCGCTCTGGAGGGAACAGCAGCTGCGAAGGCACAGCGTTCTGAGGTCGGGCAGCTTCGAGATCGTCCGCGCCGTGTCCTGCGCGTCGGGGGGCACCGCATGGACCGGCCTGGGTTGAGTCACCGGGAGACTTGTTTCGAGGTCTTGTAAAGTGCGCTTGCAACAGGTCGGCTGTGGGCGGGACGCACCGCCGTGACGCCCTCGCAGTGCGCGAGGGAGAGGTGGCGCAGGCGCGGCAAAAACGCGAGGCGCGAGAGGCCGCCCGGATGCGCCAACCCCGTCGACTGGTCCAGCACCAGGGTAGTCATCGTTGTCATCGTGGCCACGTCAGCCATCAGCTCGCTCGTCGCCGACCCCGAGAGGTCGAGGTGGAGGATCCCGGCGTCCTGCAGGCCTTCCAGCCAGCCCGTCGACACGCCAGGGTAATCCGGAAGGATCAGTTTGCCCAGTCGCACTGCTCCCTTCCCCAGGCGGACCACGTCGAGCGTATCTTCCGACAGGAGACCTGCGCGCGGGCGCGTGGTGGCCGTGACGGTCGTCTCGGGCCGTCTCGGCGTGGTGCCGCTCTTTTCCGGGCCAGGGCGAGCACGGAGGAGGCAGCGGGCTTGTAACCGCCCCGTGGCCGTCGCGGCCCTTGCGGTCGCGGCGGGAGCGAGTGGGCCACCGGGGCGCGTACCTTGCTGGATGGACGCGGTGATGACCATCTCGATGAGGTCGTTCGGCAAGACATGCAGGTCGGCGGGGGAGAAGTAGCCGTCTGCTAAGAGCTGGGCTGTCCGTATCGCCGTCGCCTCGAGCAGCGTCTTTGGAGGTCGCGCCGTGGGGAGAGTGCGCGTCCACGCAACCCGCTTCTCCTGCATGGCCGCGAGAGTCCAGGGTGGTGGTCATTTTCGGTGCGCGCCCACGCACCCAGGAGGTCGATAGCGGGGCGCGCAGAGCAGCGCGCGTCGTGCATGGTGCGGCCAGCGCGATCAGGTCGTAGCAGGCTTCGCCCCGCGTCCGAAACACGCAGGAAACAACGTCGAACGCGACCGCGGGCCCGCTAGACACTCGTGCTGAGAGGAGCCACCCTCCCGCGCGAACGGCGGCCACAGCGCGCGTCGTGGCCCCCGCTCGATGACCGCGAGCAAGCTCGATCTAGGTCGCTCCGACGTCGAGGACGTTACGGCGCGGGGACCGCCGGATCGTGCGGTGCGGCCGTTGGGGTCGCGCAAGCAGTTGACCTTGCGCGCGCACCTTGAAGTGATTCGAGGACGCCGAAGAGGAGGCCCCGAGGTCTCTCGCGGTCCCTCCGATCTCCGAGATGCCCTCTTCTGCGCTGAGCGTCGTGCAGCGCTGCCCCATCGCACCTCCTCTGGGCCACCCTGCGTGTCCCGGCGCGGGGAGCCTGCCGCGAACTTTCGCCCGACGGAGCCGGCAGGAGCCCCGGTTCTCAAGGTTTCTCCCTGCATGGCATCGAACATCGTGGCGTCGTCCGTCGATACGCGACCGCTGGCGTGCGAGCAGAGCACCACCTCACAGGCCGCTCGCACGGCACTTCCGGTGCCGCAAGGCGCTGCCCGCACAGAATTTCGAAATCAATGTCATCTTGTCATTCCAGCCGGATCGTCTCGCACCTGTTTCGCGGCTCTTGGTGACGGCGGTGTCGCTGGACGCACCGGCGCCCTGATCGGCCCGTGCCGCAGCGGTGCTAGCGGAAACCCGTCGGTGGGAGGGTCGCTGCAATAATGAGCAGCGTCCTCGCCGCGGTTTCGCGACGTGCGCGGATCGGCGCGAGGGGGGGGCGTGTTGTTCGGTGCGACGTAGCATTAGGCCCCGGTCGGACCGCGTGCGGGCGGGCGCGGGGCACGAATCGCTCCGGCCGCGCGCTGCAGGCGCAGATCGGCCGTACATCGCACTGCCACCAGGCGCCGCATCGGGCTCGTGCAGCCCGTGACGACGCTGTGTGTGAGGTTGCAGTGCAGGGCGCGTCGCTCGCCGGGCCGGCCACAGTCGACCGCCGCGCCATGCGGGCCGCGGCCGGACACATGTGCGCGACGCTGCCGCAGCGCCGGCCCGCGCCGCGCTCGCATGCGCGCGCGCACGGGCTCGCACGAGCGCAGCGTTTGGCGCCGGACGGAGCGCGCCTGTGGGGCCGCCGGGGGCCGCGGAGTGGGTCGCGCAAGCTCGCGGACGCGCTGACCGGGCGCGCTGAGCGCAAGCCGGAGGTGGACGCGCCCGTGAGTGCGAGCAACGGGCGCTCCGGGGACAACGGGGCCCGCAGCGAGGATGACGCGCGCGGTCGGAGCGTCGAGGTGGGGGAGGACGGCGGCGCGGACAGGCCGCAGGCGTCGGCGGGGGGGTCGCAGGGCGAGGGGCAGGATCAGAAGCAGCGGCCGCCGTGGGTGCGGGCGGTCCAGAGCGTGGCGGGCGCGGTGGGCGCAGCCCTCGCGGCGGTGTTCCGCGTCCTGCCGACGCCGTTGCAGAACGTCATCGCCGCCATCATGGTCCGGATATACCCCTTCATGCCGCTGCTCGCCGTCTTCGGACTCTCCGTGGTCAGCAGCCGACGGGTGCGCCCCCCCCCGCTGCCGGCACCCCTTGCACTCCCGTGCGCAGCGGCTCACGCGGTCCCGGCCGCGCAGGGCGCGCCCGAGCAATGCTGACTGCCGGCCGAGGACGCGCAGGCTCCCGCTCGAGCCTGAAAGCGCCGTTGTAGCGGCTCGGCGCGCAGCGTCCATCTTGTGGTGCCGTAGGGCTCCTCGCCGCGCACGGGCACGACCGACGCTCCGCCGCCGAGACCGCCCCCCCATCCCGTCGTTCCTGACCACGCCTCCGTCCTCGACGGAGCCTCCGGCATGGCGGGCGCCCGCGCTGCCCTGGAGCCGCGGTCGTAGCATTCGGGGCCTAGCCCATCCAGCGTGCCGGGCCTGACTCTGCAGGGACGCGATGCGCCGCGGCCGGTGATGTACAGCAAGTTCATAGACCTGGTCGACGCCGGATGCGTGAAGCAAGCGACGCTGGAGACGAGCCAGACGCGGGTGTTCTTCACCCTGCGGCCCGAGGTCCGCGAGGCCCTGGAGTCCTACGGCGTCACGACGCTCGCCGAGGTGGACACGGCCGTCACGGACAAGCTCCCCGGCAACAAGAACGCCAAGGTCACGCCGCTGAAGACCAAGGGCAAGAAGGCGCCCAAGGCCGCAGCAGTGGAGCCCGTCGCGCCGGAGGCCGCGGCCACGAAGAAGCCCTCGAAGCTCCCGAACCGCTGGTATGCGCTGCGGGTCCCGGACGGCACGCTCGTCCAGCGTCTGCAGACCGCGGGCGTGGAGTACGGCGCGGTTTCGCCTACGATGGGGCAGTCGATCAGCCGCGTGCTCATGACCGCGCTGGCCCTCTGGATCCCGCTCCTCCCGATGCTCTTCCTCTTCCAGGTGCGGCGCGCCCGCCGCCCCCTCGCCCGAGCGCGCAGCCGCGGCGTCCGCGCACACCTGCACCGCACTGCACGCGCCATCCCGCCGACGCTCACGCCCGCCGCGCACGCCCCCCGTCCGCAGCGCTTCCTGCGCAACCAGTCCGGCGGCGCGCGGAAGAGCAACCGCCGCGCGTCGGGCAACTCCCGGGAGCCCCGCGTGACCTTTGCCGACGTCGCGGGCGTGGGCCCCGCGAAGGAGGAGCTCATGGAGGTCGTGAACTGCCTCCGCGACTCCAAGCGCTACGCCAAGCTCAACGCGCGCACGCCCTCGGGCGTCCTCCTCGCCGGCCCGCCCGGCACCGGCAAGACGCTCCTCGCCAAGGCCGTCGCCGGGGAGGCCGGCGTGCCCTTCTTCTCGGCGTCCGCGAGCGAGTTCGTCGAGATGTACGTCGGCCGCGGCGCCGCCCGGATCCGCGAGCTGTTCGCCGAGGCCCGCAAGCGCGCCCCGTCGGTGGTGTTTATCGACGAGCTGGACGCAGTGGGCGCGCGGCGCGGCATCGGATTCAACGAGGAGCGCGACCAGACGCTCAACCAGCTCCTGACGGAGCTCGACGGGTTCGAGGGGCGCCAGGGCGTGGTCCTGCTCGCGGCGACGAACCGGCCCGAGGTGCTGGACTCGGCGTTGCTGCGGCCGGGCCGGCTCACGCGGCGCGTGAACGTGCCGCTCCCGGACCTCCAGGGCCGGAAGGACATCCTCGAGGTGCATCTGAAGCGCGTGCCGGTGCGCGGCACGGAGCGGAAGGATCTCGCGGACGTGCTGTCGCGCATTACGAACGGGTTGAGTGGCGCGGACCTGGAGAACGTGGTGAACGAGGGGGCGCTGCTGGCGGGCCGGCGCGGCGGGGACGCGGTCGGGCTGGAGGACCTGCTCGACGGGCTGCAGCGGACGCGGTACGGGGTGGGGGGTGTTGCCGGCGGGCCCGTCGGGCAGCAGTTTTTGCGGTGGATGGCGGGGCTGTCCGGGGAGGGCAGCGTGTCGGCGCGGAACGCCACGTGAGCTGCGTCGATGTGAGCGCGTCGCGAGCCGAGCGGCTACGGTGTTGCTTGCTGTGCCTCTCTTGTTTTCGTGAGCGGACGGGAGTGGACGGGGCGTGCGTCGCGTCGCAGCGTGACGAGGAGATCCCTAGCCTAGTCGTCGTGCTCGTCCGGGACGGATGGCGCTCGGTGTCGCGTGTATGAAGCGGTTTGCAATGTCAGTGTTGGGGGGCGCAGTCGTGCACGGGACGGCCGACGTCGAGCGCGTCCAGGCGCAGCCGGCGATCGCAGCGAGCGCGGGGTGCGGTCTGTGCGCGTGGCCTGTGCGGCCGCTGCGCGCGGCGGGCTGTGACTGACCTGAGGTGTCGGACCCGGCCGACGTGTCTGTCAGGGGCACCCTCCGAGGCGCAGCGGGCCGGGAAGGTCCTCACTGGCACGTGTAGTCCGGTCACTTGCGAAACGCCCGGGCGCGCGCTGCGTACGGGCCGGTGTGCGCTCTCGGAGTGCCTCCCGCCTATTTCGCCACGGCCGTGCTGCGAGCCTGCGGATGACGACGCCAGGCTCGCCGCGTGTACTCTCTGCGCTCATTGTCGAGATGATCCCCTGAATGCACGGGCAGCGAAGCAGCAGGGCCGCATCTGCCGGAACTTTTGGAGTCGTCGACTTTTGGAGGCGCCTACATGCATGGTGACACAGGGTGATACGACATCATGGACGTCGAGTTCATCAAGCGTCTAGAGGACCCGGGCGTCACCTCGCTCTACGAGTGCCCCGTCTGCTTCACCGCGGTGCGCACTCGAGACTCTCAGAGAGCACCCAGCAGCTCGCGGCCGCCGTTCCCGTCCGCCACGGGCGCCGCCGGCCAGGCCCACGGCCCACAACTCGACTCAAGTGGCCTGCGAGGCCGCGGCCGGCGCGCATCGCCCGTGCTGGCCGCGGAGACGCCCTCTGCTGCTGCCCCCCGTGTGCCCCACGACCTCACGCGCGGCTCGGTGCCTGCTTTGCATGTGCTTTGTGGTTTCCGCCTTCCTGACACCTCGAGCGTGACGTTCGCGATAGCCTCATGGCGGGTTCCCCCTGGGTAAACGCGTGTCCGGGGCTGCAACACTCTTAGCACGATTTCCTGGGCGCTCACCGCGCCGCGCGCGCGTGTCTCGTCCGCGCAGTTCGGTTCGGAAGAGGGGAGGGGCAAGCCATGGATCACGCCGTGCGGGCACACGGTCTGCCACGACTGCGGCACGAAAGTCATCATGCAGTGCGTCCCTTGCCCCTCTGCCGCCCTCTCCATCGCGTTCCGGCGCGCAACCGCCCCCGCGCGAACGCCCACCTCACCGCCTACCCCTCTGCGACCTGCGCAGGTCCAAGGCCATGTCGCGCGGGGTGCGCACGTGGCCCTGCGTGACGTGCCAAAAGCAACACAAGATTCACCATCTCTCGGTGCTCAACAACGAAAAGGACGTCCAGGACAAGGTCATGGGCAAGACGCCCATCAACTACGCGGTCCAGGACGTCGCCGAGTTCCTCGCGCCGCTCTGCGAGAGGGTCGACCAGGCCCGCGACGCGATCAGCGAGGCGGGCCTCTCGCCCGGGGACCTCGCGACCATCGCGGACGAAATCGGCATCCCCGGCGCGAGGAGCCTCGCCGACTACCGCGCTGCCATCCAGACGCTCAAGCGCGAGCTCGGCAGGGTGCGCGGCAAGCTCCTGGAGGTCAACCCCGACGCCGACAGCGATGACAGCGCGGACGCGGTGCCCCCGCAGCGCGTCCAGCAGCTCCAGGCGGAGATCCAGAAGCGCGACCTCGAGCTGGACTCCGTCCGCGCGGACGAGCAGGGCCTGCGCGCGGAGCGAGCGACGCTGGTGTTGCAGCTGGCGGAGCTGACGGACGAGCGGGACCGGGCGAGCGCGGAGGCGAGGGGCGCGCGCGAGGACGCGGAGGGCAGGGCGAGGGAGGTCGGCGAGCTGCGTGCGGCGCTGGAACGGCTGAGGCTCGAGCGCGGCGCGGAGGCGGAGCGCGACGTGGCGGCGCTGCGGGCGGAGAACGCGCGGCTGAAGGAGGAGGCGAGGCTGGCGAAGCGGGAGCAGAAGCTGGCGGAGCAGGAGCTGGAGTACTCGCGGAAGGTGCAGAAGATGCAGCAAGACAAGATGCAGGACCACAAGGCGGGGGAGGAGAAGGCGCGCACGGAGCAGGCGCGGTGGCGGGACAAGTGTAGCGAGGCGACGGGGCTGCTGCAGCGGGCCGCGGAGCGCAAGGAGCTGGTCGGCGCGGCGCTGGAGGAGTTCCGGCAGCTGGCGAAGGGCGGGGCTGGGGCTGTGCGCATGGGCGGGGGCGGGGTTGTTGCGCGGCGGACGGGGCCGAGCATCCTGAGCAAGATCACGAAGGGGCCGGGCGGCGGCGGCGTGGGCGGCGGCGGGGCGACGGGCGCGGACATGCAGAAGCTGACGCGGGAGATCGACGACCTCAAGGCGAGGTACGACAAGAAGATGGCCGAGCTCGGGGAGGAGAAGGGGAGGATGCGGGAAGCCATCTCGCGGCTCGAGCAGGAGAACAAGCGCATGCACGAGGTGAGCTGCGCCGCGCCCGGCCTTGCTGTTGATTCGCCTGCGCTCGCACGACGCGCGCGGAGCCGTACGTCGAACGGCGCGCTCTGACGCCGTGTGTGTGTCTGTGTGTGGGGGTGTTTCGCAGGAGCTTGAGGCGTCGCGGTCGTTCAAGTATGCGCTGGGCGTGGAACAGGGCAAGGTCCAGGACCTGACGCGGCGGCTCGAGGTGTCGGACCAGGCGTACGTGACGACGCAGAAGGAGCTGCACGTGACGCTCGGGCGGCTGGGGCAGCGCGAGGACGACATCGCCAATTTCAAGAAGGACGCTCGCGACGCGCAGGACGCGCTCGTCGAGGCCCGGACGAACGCCGCGAGCGAGAAGCACGCGCTCGAGGCGCAGCTCGCGGAGCTCAGGGCCAAGTGCGTCGACCTCGGGAGGGAAGCGGAGCGCCAGGAGCAGCTCCGGGAGGCCGCGGAGACCAAGGCGGATGTGGCGGGGCAGCGTATGCGGGAGCTGACCAAGGAGATGCGGAGGCTGCAGCGGCAGCAGCGCGGCGACGCAGGGACGCCGCAGCAGTCCCCGGCGCGCCCGCCCGCGCCGCGGGCCGAGGAGCGGGAGCGGCAGCTGCTGGCGGCGCGGCTGGAGGTGGCGGAGCGGCGGGCGCGGGACCTGGAGGAGGAGAATGCGAGGGTGGCGAGGAACGTGGAGGAGGTGTTCGGGGCGCAGCTGGTCGGCGTGCAGCAGCTGTGGGCGAGCAAGGCGGCGCGGGCGATGCGGGATCCGACGCAGGCGCACGACATGGCGAGCGCGGAGAAGCAGGCGCAGCGGCTGTTCACCTGGGCGGAGCAGACGGCGGCGCCGCGTGGCCGGAAGACGGTGGTGCTCGAGGCGTACAGGGACACGAAGCACTGCATGTCGAAGCTGAGCGAGCAGACGCGGAAGTTCGCTCGGTTTGCCATCATGGTCGAGAGGACGCTGTCACAGGTACGCAAACACACAATGACACGAACACTGACACGCGCCCGTTCCGCCGCGCTGCTCCCTGCGTCCCGGCGCCATCGCCCGCGCACGTGCCGCCGCTCACGCTTCCGCGGCCCGCATCCTGCTCGCAGTGCGCGCACGCGGTACCGGCGCTCTTCCCTGACCAGCACCACGCGTGGCTGGCGCGGTCGCACGACGGCGACGACGACGAGCAGCCCCCGGCGCCGAAGCGGCCGCGCACGGAGACGTCGCCGGCAGCGGACGCGGGGCACGCGCCCGCGGGCCCGCCGCGGAGCGTCTCGCAGGCGTCGAGCGGCGACGGGGCGCGCGGACGTGTCGTGGAGGTGGTCGGCGACTCCCCGCAGAGCCGCAGCGGCGACGCGGAAGACAGCGTCGCGGCCCGAGAGGTCTCGGGCTCCGTGGACTCCGCCGCCCCGCGCCACGGGCGCAACGGCGGATGGAGCCAGGAGGGTGCCGAGGCGGGCCCGTCCCGCGAGGCACGGCGGCACCCGGTAGAATGCTACCTCCCGCCGCGGGCCCCCCCGCCGTACCGCGAGAGGGACCTGAGTGCGCGCGAGCCGCCGGCGCCGTGGGCGGAGGACTCCCCGCGGCGGGAGGGGAGTCCGGGCGGGTTTTGGGGCGACGGGGACGATTCGCAGCGAGGGGGGGAGTATCCAGGCGGGGCTGGAGGGTCGGCGGGGCACCCGTGGTCGACCCGCCCGGCGTCGGAGGGGCCGCGGCAGTCGACCACGCCCGGGAGGGCGGAGAAGCGCCGGCGGGCGTGGGCGGAGAGGAAGAGTCAGCAGTGACGGGGGAACTGCGGGCGTGGGCCCGAGGGACACGATGACGGCAGGCGCAGGCGCGGCCGGTGGACGCCCGGCCCGCGGGGGTGTAAAGACTCCCGGTCGTAGTACTTCAGGAGCGTATTCCTTTATTTTCTGTGCGGCGATGCTTGCGACACGGTCGGGCACGGCAAGACGCAGACGGCGCTCGGCGTCACCGCGAGCCAGCACGTGCCGGCGCGGGCCACGCGTCTCCCTCGTGGCGGCGGGCAACACCCGCGTCGTGCAGGTGCAACACGACCAGGATGAGGACGCCGCTGCCCGCCAGCACCACGCTCGTCGTGGAGGCGCTCGGTCGTGGTGCCCGGTGGCGCGTTGCCCGCTGGCGCCTGGCCTCGCGTGCGCGGGCGGTCACCGGGTGGTTGAAGCGTCGTGGTGCGCGACAGCGGCCTCTGTGGGTGTCATGCATGGACACATGCGTGATGCACGTCATGGCTTCGGGCGACGACCTGCGTGGCCTGCGCGCGTGGATGACACGCCGGGCGTGCGGGTGGGCGCCCCAGGAGGGTGGATTCGCGACCGTGCCGCGTCCCGCGTTCGCGGTCGGTTGAGGATGCCGCGGGTGTGCTTTGTTGGTCCTTCGTTGTGGGTCCGGCGCGGGGATCGGGTCTGTGTGTCGGCGCTGGGCCAGGGCGAGCCGCCGGCGGCGTGTTCGTTTGCTCAGGGCTGTGGGAAAGTGGCCGGAGTCGCCCCGTGATCCAGTCCGACTGCTCCTTGGGCGCTCGCGGCGCCCCGACCGCGCGCACTTTGATGCCGCGCGCGCGCGCGCTCGCTTGACACTTATATAACGGGCGAGGCTCAGCGTCCGGCAGCAGCCTCCATCACCGGGGCTGGCCACTTCCTCGTCCTCTGCCCAAGACTAGCGCCCTCCGCGCCGGTCAGCCACCAACGTGGACCCGTTGCCCCACGCCCGGCACCTCTGCGCTTCGCAGATCGCGGAACAGCAACGTTCCGGCGTCCAGGGTCGCGCTGAGCGCGTGGATCCAACGAGCTCTGGGAACAAACGATCAGCAGCGCGCAGGAACCGCCCGAAACCACGGCGCCTGCCAGCTCCCTGCGGATCCGCCAGCATCCACGGCCGCTGATCGAGCCGGCCCGCGCTCCTGGCAACGGGCTCGTGCTGGGCTCGCGGCAGGGCCCGCTGGTGCCGTCTCGCTTTTCAATCCCAGCGGGCGCCACGGGCCGCCTGCCGGCCGCGGGGGCAGTCGCACCTGCCTGACATATCGCTGAGAGGACGCGGACCGCCATGGCGCCGCCGCGTCCGGGCACCATGCTGCAGGTGCGAGCGGCCTCTTGCCTGTGTGCCTGAGGACGCTCTCCCGGCCACGCAGGCGGCGGGCATGCGCCTCCTGCGCACGCTCTGCTCCGAACGAGAGCATCTTCGTGCTGCTTCGAGGCGCCGCGAAAGCGCGCTGCGTGGTTGCGGAGCGCGGCGGCAACCGCTGCTGTCTGCGCTGAAGCAAACTGCCTGCCCTCGCAAGCCCGCGCTGCGCTCCCTGCGGCCTGGAGATCTCTCTCCCTGAAATCACCTTGGTCGTGTCTCGCCGATTCGGTGCCACAATGGGCGGGAAATAGCCCCTCGACTGCATGTCGCGCCTCGAGCCCACGTTTCACAGCACGGCGCCACGCGGCGCCTGCGTGCCCGCCGGCCCGCCAAAGGCGCCCCGGCCCCCGCGCACACCGTGTTCTGCGCGCCCACTCCCCGTCCGCGGCCGCCCTCTGCGCAGAACTGCTCGAACTGCAAGATGACGCTGGGCTCGCGCGAGGCGACGGTCGCCGCGGGGCAGGGGGGCCGCTGCCGGCGGTGCCAGGAGGCGTTCAAGAACGACCAGTACTGCCCGATGTGCCACGCCGTCTGGATGGACGAGGACGGCCCGCCCATGGCCTGCTGCGACGGCTGCAACCTATGGGTGCACGAGTATTGCGACCAAGCCGCGGCCACGCTGGTGCGCCCCGCGCCGCCCGCCCCGCCACGACGCCGCACACGCCCCCTCCAGCCCACCCCCGCGCGGCAGCGCCCCTGTTTCGCGCAGGTGAACGGCCCGTCGCCGGACGAGCACCCGTACTGCTGCCCGCTGTGCAAACTCGACGCGAAAACGGAGCCGGGGCGGTACAAGGCGGCCGTGGCGGCGGCCGCGGCGGCCGCGAAGAGCGGGCCGGACTCGCGGAAGCCCGGCGCGGCCGCGGACGTGCAGTCGGCGTCCCCGCTGACGTTGTTTCTGGACGACGTGCAACAGTACCCGGAGCTGGCCAACGGGAAGCCGCCGCACCTCGCGTGGCGCGACATCGACCTCGGGAACCGCATGGCGTACCTGCGGCGGTTCCACGAGAAGCAGGTGGCGTACGCGGAGGCGCTGTACGGCCCGGCGTTCCTGGCGGGCGACGCAGAGGCCAAGCGGCAGGCGCTGGGCGAGGGGCCGGGGGCGATGTCGGCGCTGCGCGTGATCCCGGGGCAGAACCCGCTCGCGCAGTTCCAGCAGGAGATCCCCGTGGAGTGCAAGGCGATCCACGGCACGTTTTTCCTCGGCAACCAGACGGTGCGGTGCGAGGCCGTGTGCTGCGCGGGGCGCGCGCCGGAGGACCGCACGTTCTCCGCGACGAAGTGGGAGCAGCACGCGGGCCAGATGAACAGCAAGAAGTGGAAGGCGTCGATCAAGATCCGCCAGGGCGGCGTCCCCGAGGCGAAGAGCGCCTCCATGTGCATCGGGCGCTGGCTCGACAAAGTCGGCGCGGCGCCGTACATCGCGACGCGCAAGGGCGCGTCCGGCAAGGCGCCGCCGCCGATCCGGTACACGGCCGACGGGCGCATCGCGGGGCGCCGCGGCCGCCCGCCGAACCCGTTCAAGGTGCGGGAGGTGGTCGATCCGGTGCTCAAGGCGAAGCCGTGGCTGGCGGTGACGTACGGGCCGCGCAAGGGGTACAAGCCGATCAAGGCGAAGTACGCGGGCGACCGGTGCTGCGCGTGCGACAGCGACGTGGACTACGACACGGATTGCCTGCTGACGTGCGGGCAGTGTGGGATCGCCGTGCACCAGTCCTGCTACGGCGTGCCGAACATGCCGCCGAAGGGGGAGATCTGGGTGTGCCGCGTGTGCGAGGAGTTCGGCGGGCCCGCGCGCGGGCGGTACGAGGCGCAGTGCTGCCTGTGTCCCGTGGAGGGCGGGGCGCGCAAGCCCACGACGATCGAGGGGCTGTGGTGCCACGCGACGTGCCTGCAGTGGGTCCCCGAGGTCTCCGTGAAGGACGTCGTCAACATGGAGCCCGTGCGGAACATCGAGGGCATCCAGCGCGAGCGCTGGGACATGAAGTGTTCCCTCTGCAAACAAACCATGGGCGTCAAGATCCAGTGCCACTGCTGCTTCACCGCCTTCCACCCGCTCTGCGCGCGCATGGCCGGGCTGCGCATGGAGGTGCAGGAGGACCCCGACGACCCGCTCTGCAGCATCAAGCTCGTGGCCTTCTGCGCGCGGCACTGCCGGCCCGACATGGAGCGGACGGGGATCCGGCCGTTGGAGCGCGACGGCAACGGGTCCAGCGACGACGACGTGAGCGACGACGAGGGCTTCGAGGACCCCGCGCAACCGTACAAGCAGCCGCGGTGCATGCCGCTGCCGGAGCTGGAGAGCTGCGCGCGGACGACGGACGTCACGCGCGACTGGGAGCGCAACCAGCACGGGACGGGCACGGGCGCGACGTCGAACTGGGGGTTCTGGATGCCCGCGCCGCCGCAGTACCTCGGGTCCACCGGCACGGCCGACGCGGTGCGCACCGCGGCCGCGGCGGGGGCGGCGCTGGCGCGACGCGAGGCGCAGCGCGCGGGCGCGCAGGGCAAGGCCGGGAAGCAGGTCCCGGGCGCCAAGAAGGGCCCCGCGGATCCAGGGCCGCTCAAGGAGCTGCCGGAGGGGATGCCGGAGGTGCGTGGTCCCTCGCGCGTCGGTTCGCCTGCACCTGTGTGTACGTGTTCGTTCTTGGTTTTCTGACGCTGACATCGCGTCGTGTTTCCGCCCCCGGCGTGCGTTCGCAGGAGCTGAGGATCGTGTGCAACGGCAAGTCCGGGGTGATGCACATGCGGACGCAGAAGGTGCAGTACAATGGGCAGGAGCTGACGGCGTCGCGGTTCGAGCACCTGTCGGGGCGCGGGGACGCGAAGAAGTGGAAGATCTCCATCTGCGTCGAGCTCGACGACGGCGAGGCCGGCGAGACCATGCAGGAGTTCTTCGAGCGGTTCGAGTGGGACCGGGCCACCATGATTGAGTACGCCCAGAACTGGCAAATGAAGGAGGAATGGAACACGCACGTGGCATGCGAGGTGCGCGAGATCATGGACGGCATCCTCGACCGCATGGGCCTCTCGGACGACCCCGGAAAGCCGCAGTGGGGCGAGCCGGCCCCTGGGAACGAGGCGCCCCCCGCGGAGCAGCAGCAGGGCGGCGGCGCTGCGGCGGACGAGCCTGCGCGCGCGGCGGACGGCGCCGCGGCGCCGCGGCCGCCCACGCCGCTGCTGTGCCAGGAGGAGGCGAACGTCGCCGAGCTGCTGGCGCGGAGCCGGTCGCCCGAGCACGCTGCGCACATTTCCGACGCCGCTGCGCGGCTGGTGGCGGAGCACGCCGCGCAGCAGCTTGCGGAGGCCGGCGCAGCGCTCGGGGCGGCGGCTGCGCGTCCGCCGTCTGCGGCGCCGGCCGAGGGCGACGCACCGGCGGCGGCGGCCGCCGCGGACGCCGCGGCGAGACAGGTGCAAGCAGCGGGCATTGGTGGCGCGAACGGGGACGCGCGTGGCGGCGCGGAGGCCGCGCGGACGTCGCCGGTGAAGCGCGAGGACGACGGGCCGGCCGCGAAGGGCAGTCCGTCGCACTCCGGGAGCCTGCAGGAGCTCGTTGGCGCACTGGAACAGATTGTTGACGAGCGGCAGCCTGGGGCCGCGGGGCGGACGAAGCGCCGGCGCTCGGCGGCGAACTCGCCCGCGCACGCGCAGTCCGAGCCGCCGCACCGCCCGAGCAGCGCGTTCCAGCGCCCGCCCTCGCGCCTGGGGCAGCCGAACCCGCCGCCAAGCGCTGCGGGGGCCATCGCCGTGGCGGGCAACGGCGGCGGCTCGGCGCTGCAGAACGGGAACGCGACGACCGTGCCGGGGCACCTGAACCCCGAGGTGCTGCCAGGCGTGGAGGGCATTCTGCGCACGGCGACGCCGGGAGGTGCGCCAGAGTTCCTGCGGGCCGCAACGCCGGCGGGCTTCCTGGAGGGCCTCCTCACGGGGCGGGCGAGCCCGGGCTTCTCGGAGTTGATGGGCATGCGCGACACGCCCGGGCTGTCGGACGTGGACATCAGCGCGCTGCTGCGGAACACTCCCGGCCTGCCGGACTCGCTCGAGGGCGGCCACCTCCACGGGTCGCACGGGCACCTCCTGGGCCTGCGGTCCGCGACGCCCATGTCCGGGCTGGGCACGCTCGGCGGCCCGAGCGCCCCGAGCGCGCTGACCGACGCCGCGATGCTCGCGGCGAACCCCAACGCCGCGGTGCGCTGCACGGGACAACTGTACATCCACGAGGCAGGCGTGTGGCAGGCGATCTCGGTGGCGTCGTACGACGCGACGACGGGCCGGCACCGCGTGTCGGTGCTGGGCGAGCTGAAGTCCCCCTCAATACCCCTCCAATTCGACGAGGACCTCCCCGGGGCGCTGCACCAGGGCCGGCTCGTGCTGCAGCCGCAGGCGGTGGCGCGGCCGCCGGAGCCGGCGGCCACCGCGGAGCGCGCGCGGAAGCTGTACGGTCCCGAGGTCGTGGGCCGCAAGGTGCGCATTTGGTGGGACGGCGACGCGTGTTACTACCCCGCCAGCATCATCGGCTTCAACGGCGGGACGGGGCAGCACCGGCTGCTGTACGAGGACGGGGAGATCATCGACGAGGTGCTGAACGAGCACCGGCTCGACTGGGTCACGAAGGACGCGCCGCGGACGGTGCGCGTGCTGTGCGGCGGCGTGCGCGGCGTCATGGACGTGGCGCGCAGCGTGATCGCGATCCCGGCGCAGGGCAACCGCGAGGTGTCGCCCACGGAGTTCGAGAAGCTCGCGGGGAAGGAGTCGAGCAAGAAGTGGAAGGCGACGATCCGCGTGGAGCGCGCGGACGGCAGCACGGGCGAGACCATCGGCGACTGGATGGTCAACCACGGCCTCGACGTGCCGAAGACGCGGCCCGTGGCGCCCGCGACGACGAAGAGCTCGAAGAAGAGCAACCGCCAGAGCAAGGGCCGCGGCGGCGGCCCGGGCCGCCACAAGGAGGGCTGCCTGTGCATCATCTGCAAACAGGCGCGCAACTCCGGGAAGCCGTGGTCGGGGCTGGGCGAGGAGGAGGAGCGGCGCGCGGCGGAGGAGGCCGCGCGCGCGCAGGCCGCGCAGGAGGAGCAGGACGCGGTCGAGCGCGGGATGCGGTGGCTCAAGGACAAGGGTCCGCGCGAGCGCTACGGCAAGCGCGCGTTCGTGCGCGCGACGGGGATGCACGTCGGCGGCGCGCGGCCGCACGCGTGGGCCGACGTGAACACCATCGCGGTCGCGTCGTACTCGCCGGAGGAGTGGAAGGAGCGCCGCGAGCAAAAGAGCCGGCAGAAGCTCGAAGAAGAGGAGGCGGCGAAGCGGCAGGCGGACCAGGAGGCCAAGGCGCGGGCGGCGGCGGCGGAGGCGGCGCGGGCGGCGCAGCAGGCCGCGGGGACGGCACTGGGCGGCATGGGCTTCGCGCTGGCCGGCGTGAGCGTGCCGGTGTTGGGCGCGGACGGCAAAACGTACCACGTGCCGCTGGGGGCGGCGGTGCCGACGATGGGGCCGGACCAGGGCGCAGGGGAAGGAAAGGAGGCGAAGGACGGCGCGGGATCGCCGGAGAAGGGCGAGCCCATGGATGTGGACAAGCCCACCGTGGGCGCGGGCGTAAGCGGCACGCCGGCGGCGGCTGTGCGGCCGCTGGCCAGCGCTGCCGCGGTGCTTGCGGCCGCGAAGTCCTCGCCCGGCGCGGCCGCCGCGGTCTCCGCGAAGTCGTCTCCCGCAGCGCTCGCTGCAGCCGGGACAGCGCCGGAGGCCGGCGTTGCGCAGGCGGAGGGCGCGGACGGTGGAGCGGCGGCGGCGGCGGCGGAGGCGAGCAAGCCGGACGCGCAGCTGCCGCCGCCGGCGGGGCGCGGGCCGGGCGCGGCGAACATCAAGTCGATGGAGCAGCGGCTCGCGGAGTGCCACGACGTCGAGCAGGACCGCATCACTTTTGGCAAGTCGGGCATCCACGGATGGGGCCTGCTGGCCAAGGTCAACATGAGCCAGGACACGATGATCACGGAGTACCGCGGGGACTGCATCCGGCTGTCGATCGCGAACCAGCGCGAGGAGGCGTACCGGAGCGCTGGGAAGGATTGCTACCTGTTCGCGGCGAACGAGGAGTGCGTGATCGACGCGACGACGGAGGGGCACATGGCGCGTTTCATCAACCACTCGTGCGCGCCGTCGCTGTACGCCAAGGTCGTTGATGCCGACGGCACGCCGCACCTGGTGTTCTTCGCGCGCACCGACGTCAAGGCGGGGCAGGAGCTGACGTTCAACTACCGGTTCTCGGAGGAGGAGACGGAGAAGAAGGTGCCGTGCGACTGCGGGGCGCCCAATTGCATCGGGTTCCTAAATTAGGCCACACGCACCGCGCATGTGGGCGAGACTGACACGATAGTCCTAGCGACACGAGCATGTAAGCCGCACTTGCGACCTGGTTCCTGACGCGCTCCTGCGGTGCGGCGCATCACAACGGATTCCGCCGCGAGCAAGCACGTCGCCTTGGGGGGATGGCGCGAAGGCCTGTAAGCGCTGCGCCGCTTACAGCTCGTCGTGCTCCTCCTCGCCGTCGTCGTCCGACTCCTCCTCCTCGTCCGCTGCCTGCAACCAACCCCACGAAACATCACGCTCTCAGACACAAGCAAAGCACTTGCAACAAACCTGTGCTCCTAGGCTCGCCGAACAACCGCCGCGCATCCCCCCCCCTATGCAACGCGCCGGAGCCGCAGCCCCGCTCCGACAAGCACGCTCGCAGCGGCCGCGGCGCAAGCAGGCCGCCTCGCAGCCGCGGGCAGCCCTCACCGTCGTCGCGTCAACCCCAACCGGCCCGCTGCCCGCCTTCTCCTTCATCTCCTTCTCCGCCGCGGCGCCCGAGGCCAGGAACGTCTCGTCCGCGAACTTCTTCGCGTACGCCGCGTCGTCCGTGACCAGGATGTTGTCGAAGATCGACCCAGCCTTGACCTGCCAAAGCTCGAACCCGACCCACCCGAGCTCGGGCAGCTCGTACAGCTTGTCGTCCGGCTTGTACTTGGGGTTGGGGATCTTCGGGCGCGTCCACACGCCCTTGAAGTTCGGGTTGCTGATCATCTTGGGCTTCCACTCCCCCTTGTACTCTGGGTTGGGCACCATGGGCGCCTCCCACTCCCCGTCCTCGTCGTCGTCCCAGTCCTCGGGCTTCTCGGCCGACTCGTCGGGGATCTCCTTCGGGATGTCGTCCCAGCCGTCGGGCTTCTTGTCCTCGGGGTCCTCGATCATCGCGCGCTCGTCCCAGTCGTCCGGCTTGGTCGCGGAAGCATCTTCGATCTCCTTGGGCTCCAGGAACGCCCAGTCGTCCTCGAGCGCGCCGGTCTGCTTCTCCTCGTTGTCGATGAGGATCGAGTACGTGTTGTCCGGGCGCACGATCAGCGTGTACACGTGCGTCAGGGTGTCGACAACGGGCGAGACCTCGCGCTTGATCAGCTTGTTCTCGCCGCGGTGGCCGAAGATCGTGTGCACCTGCGCATACGTGATGCCGCGAGCTACCCGTTTCGCGGACCCGCCGTTCGTGGCGCGTAGGATCGGGGCGCGGGAATGTTCGGGGTGTGCGGGTGCGTACGCGGCGCGTGGAGAGGCCGCAGATGTCCGGGCCGAACATGATGCTGTACGTGGTGTCGCCGGAGAAGTCCTTCATCTCGCTCTCGGTCACGGAGGACGGGAGCAGCTTGATGTACCCGCCGCCGCAGTCGATGTCCTGCTCGTGCTTGACCGAAAACTGCAGCACGAGGTCCTTGCCCTTGTTCGTGAAGGGCTTGGGCATCTTGCTGTACAGCGTGTAGAACCGCGCGTCCTGCGACGTCGAAATGCCCAGGTCCGCCTCCTTGTCGCCGTACCTGCACGGAGCGCGCGTAACATCACCATGTTGGCGCGGGCTGCTCCGACCGGGCGGCGGCGAGCGAGCGGTCTCCGGAGGGAGCCTGGCGGCGACCCACGGTCTGTCTTGTGCGCGCCGGGCGCCGTTGGCGGGCGGCGGCGCCCGCAACGGTGCCGTCGCAATCGCCGAGGTCGCCGAGTTGCAGTGAGAGGGGCGACGCACCAGCTGCCGTGGGACAGGGCCCACTCGCCGGCCTCGCCGGAGCTCTGCTTCCAGCTAGACTGCATGGGCGAGGAGGGCGGTGGCGGCATCGTGAGGTGGGGCAGCGGGGCGACGGCGATCGCGCAAGGAGGGCAGACTGCCATGTCCCTACGGGCGTCCAGAGGAGGGGAGTGAGGCAGGTCCGACGCGGCCCGGGCGGCACCGACGTAGAGTTCGCTTGCGCCGCGAACGATCGGGATCGCGAAGCAAGGCGCAGCGCGTAGCACGCTGGACAAGCAGCGCCCTGCGCCTACGAGGCGTCTGAGCGCGATCTCAGCCACCAACGCGCGATCCGCGCGCGCCGGATGGGAGTTTCGAGACTAAGGAACGCCGTCGGCTGACGTTGGCTGCGAGATATAGAGGTGGAGGGCCGCACGGGCGCCAGGGGTAGGCACGCACCGTCTTCCATCGCTGCTGCCACGTGGCGTCGAACTTCTCCTCGAAGTAGACCTCTGCGAGCGCTGGCCCGATGTGAGAGAGGCCCAGGAGCCCGAGCACGAGCAGGAGCGTCGCGCGACCCACCATCTTGGCACAGCTAGGGCGTCGCTTCTAGACAACAGCCCACGGCACGTCTATGAGGCCGAAGTCGAGCGGGACGCCGGCGCACCAACGAGAACTAGCCGCTCCCATGCTGCCCGGCCGCCACATGTAGGCGCTCGTGCCCAGCCGAGTCGCGTAGACGGGGCAGGGGGTGTCTCCGTTGGCGGTGCAATGCACGGTCGCTCGCTCCGCGCAGAGCGCCCGTGGCGAGCTGGGAGCCCGCGACGCAGCCCAGTCGTACGCGATGTGCCTTCAGGTCGGATATTGTGGCGCATTCCCCTTTCGTTCGCGCCGGGGGGCCTCGATCCGGCATGGCGCTCCTGCGTCACGGCACGGGTTCCGGCACGCGACGATTTAGACGGCCGGCGAACGGCCGTCGCGTCGCCCCTCGCCCCGCGGCTCCACCCTCGCTGCCCGCCACGCCGCAGCCGCGAACAGCTCGCTCAGCAGTCTGCAACACGCAATGTAGCTCCTTCGCCGCCGCCGCTTCCGCCCACGACCGCGGCGCAGGCGCCGCGCACGCGCCGCAGCGTGGCGGCTCGCGGACACGGAGCTGGCATGTTGCTGCCCTGCCACGACGCGCCCTTCTTGTTGCTGCATCAAAAAGAGAGCTGGCATGTGATTCGCGCAGCGGAGCGCGGTGGAAGCCGCCGAGCGGGGACGAGGGAGCCGGGGGACACCCGGGCTCGCGACGCGCGCTCCGCGGCGGGGGCGGTGCTCGTTTGCACGTGTCAGACGGGCGGGGGTGGGGGGTTCCGGCCAGCATGAGCGCACCGTCGCTCTGTGCGTTGCCTGGCGAGCTGCGTGGCCATAGCGTTGGTTGGAGCGCGTCAGAAGGCAGCAGCACTGCGGCCTGTTGTATTTCTTGCCTCGTTTCGTCGCTGGGACGCCGCCTGGAGCGCACTGAAGACTGGGAGCAATGGCGTCGGCAGCGTGCCGTAGACGATAGCCGCCCGGCCAGACATGGCCGCAGGCCCGGCGTGAGATCACGACACGCAGGCCCACGCAGCGTTCTTGGGCGACCGGGGAGCCCCGGCGGCGCTGCGCTCGCACGCTTTGCGCGGCCTCGCAGGCGGGATGACGGCGCAGGGACGCAGCGCGCTGCCCAGGGCCGTGTTCGGGAAGGAGGGGGGATGCATGGGCCTTTGCGGGGCGCCCTCCGCGATGCCCATGGAGTGCGAGATCCGGGTAACGGACAAAGGAGCAGCCGAGGCGACCCTCCAGCAGGTTCGCCCCCACCGCGCGCGCGACGGGCGGTCCGCGCGAGCGGGCGCCCGCGCACAGTGCATGGCGCCGACGCTCGCGCGCCGCGTGCAATGCGGCTGCGGGAACCGCGGCTTATGCGCTCAGGAAGCGGCGGTTTTGCCTTGGGCTTGGCGTGCCGGTTTTCGGGGGTGAGGTTTCCGCGCGCGGTCCGCTTCGTCGCAGGAGGGGCGCGGGGGAGCGATGATGTGGGTCGACGCGAGCGACTGCCGGCAAGGCACGGCGCCCATTCGCCTCTCAGTGGTCGTGCGCGGCATGGTGCAGCACCTGGTGCTTCCTGGCGGGTCCGCGCGCACAGTCGGACACAAGGCCTCTCCGCGGCCCGGCGGCAACGCCCCGATCATATGGCTCCTCATTGCGCCCAGCAAGCTCGTCGCGATCGCCTGTCGCGTCGGGCAGCGCCTCCTGCCGCGCGTGGAGTTTCTTTTGAGAGACGCCGAGGCCGACTCGCACCTTGCGGGGGAGCCTGAGGCCGCCTGCCAGGTCTGGCAGCTGCTCGAGCAGCAAGAGTTCGTCGTCATGCTCGGAAAGGCCGGCCTCACGGTCGCTCACAAGGACAAGGCGCGCGGGAAGATCGACCGGCGGGCTCTGTTCATCAACCTTGCTGCTGGAACGCTCGACATATGCGACCCCTCGGACCTCACGGTGCGCGGCACTCCACATAGTTCCACACCTGCCACGATTGGCCCCGCCCAGCCCTCGGAGACGGCCCCGGCGCCTCCTGGGCCGCACGCACTGCCTTGGTGCCACTCGCGCAGCGCTCAACTCCCCCTCCCTGAGCCGTCCCGCGACGCAGGAGTCCGACGGCGTCGTGGAGCGTCGCGGGCACCTCCAGGGCCACGTCAGCAGCTACTTCGACGCCGTGGCGTCCATCATCCGCAGCCAACCCTCGGCCAACAGCGCGGGCGACGCCGCGACGCCCTCGCGCGACGCGGGCCTCGCCAGCGCCGACGCCAGCCCCCTGCCGATCCGCTCCCCGCCGGGCCTCGAAGCCAAGCCGTCCGCCGTCGCGTCGCCGTCGAAAGCGCTCGCCGGCATGCGGCGCGTGCTCAGCCCCGTCAAGGCCGCCGACGCCCGCGCGGACCAGCGCACAGTCGCCAGCGTCGTCGAGCGCCTCAAGCCCGGCCGGTCCGGCCCCGAGCGCCTCGCGGCGCTCGACGACCTATCCGCGATGGTGCTGCGCGTGTGCAACACGCCGCAACTGTCCGGGTCGTCCGGGTCGTTCTTCACGCGCGAGTGGGCCGAGCGCGGCGTGATCGAGGCCGCAGTCTCGCTCGCGGAGCAGATCGGCCGCTGGTACGCCGCGCCCGACACATGGCCAGCGGGGATGACGCGGGAGCGGCTGGGCGCGGCGGAGGGGAAGCTGCGGCACGCGGTCGCGGCGCTGCTCGCGGGCCTCCCGCCGGACTCCGACGCGTGCCACCGCCTCGCCGACGCGGCCGAGGGCGCTCTGCGCGCCGGCGACGTGTCGACCGCCCCGCTATGCGGCGTGCTGGCGGACTGCCTGAAGCTCCCCACGGTCGCGGAGCACTCCGCCATGACCGGGACGGCCGACGCGATCGCGGGGTGCTACCTCGCGATCGCGGAACGGTTCGCCGGGGTCGTGTCGGGGCCTGCGTCGCCGGAGAGCAGCCGGCCGGTCGGCACGCGGGGGTATGACTCGTCCGAGTCCGAGATCGAGTTCTCGAGCATTCTCGACGCGTCGGCGGCGGCGACGACCGGGAAGAAGCGCGCGACGGACTCGGACGACGACGACCAGGGCGGGCCGCGCGGGGGGCGGCACCAGCGCACCGGCAGCAGCGTGAACGTTCCGAAGCTGAACCTGGCGCTGGGGGACGCGGCGTCGACGCCGCTGTCCAAGGCGAGCCGCGGCGGGTCGGGGATCGTGCTGCCGGAGAGCACGCCGGGGCAGGGCACTGCGCCGCGGATCGCACCGCCGCCGACGCGGCAGGCGCGGCGGCAGCTCAGCAAGCAGGCCAGCCGCGGCGGGCTGGGGTTCCTCGGGCGGATGGCGTCGGGGAACCTGACGTCGCGCGCCGCGGAGACGGCGCGCGGGCCCGTGGGGGCCGCCGAGGGCATGGAGCAGCTGTCGACCGCTGTTGGGCAGTCGCTGCTGGCTGCCGACCTGGCCAGCATCGTGGCGCTGCGGCGGCCGCGCGCGTCCGCGATCGACGACGCGCGGAAGAACTTCTCGGCCGTGTCTCGCTCGTGGACCACCCGCGCGCTCGTGGACCCTTCCAGCGGCGCCGATGCCGGGATGCTGCTGTCGCCGATCAGCCTCGGTGCGCGGTCCTTCACGGACCCGGACGCGGCGGGGTCGTTGCGCGGGCTCTCGTGCATCGGCGAGGAGCCCGAGGTCGCGAACGGCGTCGTCACGCCGGACTCCCTGGCGTTCGAAATGAAGTGCCACCTTCTGGAGTGTCTCAACTCGCTGCTGCAGGCCTGGCGGCAGCGGCAGGACGCGTCGCCGCTGCTGGTCAAGTCGCCCGCGCCGTTCCTGCAGAAGGAGCTCACGAAGACGCTCTCCGTCGACGGCGCGGAGGTCCCGGCGATGTCGGGGAGGCTGAGGCACCTGGCGTTGCGCATGCTGCACCTGTGTCAGGCCCCGGGGGGGGGTCCGGGGGCCGCGGGCGGGCACGGACCTGGAACGCCGCCGCCCGGCGGCGGCGTCGCGGAGTCGGCCGACACGCTCAACCTGCAGCGCGACGTGTTGCTGGACTCGGTTGTGGCGGTGCTGAACGAGGCGACGACGTGCGCGCCGGGGCAGTGGGAGACGCTGGCGCCCAAGGTGCAGCTGCACCTGTCGGTCCTCGCGGAGTACATCGTCGCGGCGCCGAGCCAGCTCGCGCCGCAGCGGGTCGTTGCCGCGTGTGGCGCGCAGCTGCTGGCGGTGAAGTCGGCTCTGCGCGCGCAGGGGCAGTTCGCGACGATGTCGCTGGCGGAGGTCGAAGTGATGGACGCGTGGGTGCGCGTCATGGCCGCGCTCGCGGGCGCGACGCCGGGCGACGCCCTGGGCCGCGCGCTGGTGGCGCTGCTGCTGGAAAGCTCCGGGAACCGCCTGTGGCTCAAGGACTACACGCGCCTGGCGCTGCTGGGGCCCGCGCTCGAGGCGCGCCTCCCGCGCATCCGCATCGTGTCGCTTCGGCGCGCGGTGCTCATGTTGTGGGCGGCGCTCACGCGTCTGGTGTCGCGGCTGCCGTTTGCGGGCGACGAGGGCCGCGAGGGCGGCGCCGCGGGCGCGGCGAGCGGCGGGAAGAAGCAGGGGAAGGCCAGCAAGAAGGGCGCGGACCGGGACGTGGCGCGCAGCCTGGGGTCGTCGCGTAACGGCTCCCTGAGTCGGGCCGACGTCGAGGAGCACATGCGCGCGTGGGAGGGGTTGGCGGCGGAGGAGCCCGAGGCCGTGGGCGCGCTCGAGCAGCACGGGCCGGTGGTGAACCGCGGGGAGGTGCTCGGGTACCTGGCGTTCCTCGTGGACCCGCCGCACGGCTATTTGTGTCGCATGCTGGCGCGCTACATGGAGGCGCCCCCGGAGACGGACATGGCCGCGCACGAGATGGCGCTGGAGCTCCTCGCGGAGCTCTTCGGCTCGCCGGGCAGCCCGTACCCCGCGCGGAGCGCCGCCACGGACCACTGGATTCAGTTGCATTTTCTGCACTTTGTGCAGCTCTACTACAACCCCACGCGCCTGGAGGCGGCGCTGGCGCTGTGCCGCGTGCACCTGCGGTCGCTCCTGTCGCTCGCGGCGACGGGCGGCGCCGCGGCCGCCAGGCGGTTCTTCCAGCTCCGAATCATGCATTTCCTAATTCGCGAGATATCGCTGGAACACGAGTTCGCGCTGGCGCACGAGCCCGCGCGCGACACGGCCTCGCAGTCCGCGAGCTCGCGCGTGACGGGCACGATCGCCACGCGCGAGCCCAGCCCCGCGCCGGGAGGCTCCGGCATCGTGCCGCGCCTCCAGCTCGACGCCGTCGGCGGCGCCTCGCAGGGCGACAAGCGCTCCGCGCACACGACGCCGATTTCCGCGGGCCCGGCGTCGGCGCCCGGGAAGATGGTCCCTCAGCTCAAGCTCGGCCCGTCCGTGCGGTCGCAGAACAGCCGCGCGTCGCCCTCGCCGGTGCGGCAGCCGTCGGCACAGACCGCGTCGGCGAACGGTCCCGGCGGGTCGGCGATCACGGCCGGCGACGTGCACGTGACGCCCACGGGCAGCGTGACGCCGCAGAGCCGCTTGCCGATGCAGTTCACGGGCGACCTGGACGAGGACGTCGCGATGCTGGAAGCGATGGATGGCGACGGCGCCAGTTCCCAGAGCTCGAGCTCGAGCAGCGAGGAGCCGTCGCCGCCGCCGAGCGAGAGCGACTCCGACGACGGTCTTCCGCTGCCGCCGCCGCGCACGGCGACCATGCCGGGCCTGTCGATCAACGCCGCTGGCGGCGGGACACCCCCGGGGCTGTCGCTGAACCTCAAGGGGGTGTCCAAGGGGGGCGCGGCGGCGGAGCGGACGTCGCCGCTGCGGTCCGCGACCGGCGCGGGCGGGCAGAGCAGCCGCTCGATGATGCGGCAGAACACCGGCTCACGGCCGCCTCCGGGGCCCTCGGCGCGGGGGTCGCGGCCGCAGGTGCCTGGGCTCCCGCTCGGGGGGGCCGTCGGGGGCGCAGTGACGCCGCCGAGCGCGCAGCGGAGCAGCAACGCGGGCCCCGAGGGCTCCACGAAGCCGAGCCCGCACATTGCCGGCAGCACGGGCGCGGCAACGAGCGCGACAACGTACGCGGCTGCGCCAGGTGGCACACCGCCGAACGGCACGGGCGGCCGGCTGCGCGGCGGGTTCCTCACCGCGATCGAGTCGCGGCTGGTGTCGCGCGCGCAGGACACGCCGCACGGCAGCAAGGGCTCCGGCGCGCGCCGCGGCGGAGCGCAGGCGGGCAACGGGGGCGGCGGCAGCGGCACGGCCGCGGAGATGGTCGGCGGAGCCGAGGGGGACTCCGAGGGGCACTACGAGTCGGAGCGCGCGCGGCGTCTCGTGTACCGCGACGAGAACCTCCACGTCCTCGTTCTGCGGCTGGCGCTCGTGCTCGCCGTCGACAGCATGGGGCAACTGAGCAAGATGTACTGCCACCCGTTCCCGCTCGAGCAGCACCTTCCGAACGTCCCGTTCGTGCTCCACGCGCACCTCTCGCACCCGGCGAACCAGCACCTCATCCCGCGGCTCGCGGCGTCGTGCCATGCGCTCCCGCCGCCCGTTGGCTCCGGCGCGCTCCGTCTGCTCCGGCTGTCGACCGCGCGCCTGTTCCGGTCGCCGCTGTACGGGCAGAAGCGCCGCATCGGCCGCGGCGCGTACGCGCAGGTGCACCGCGCGCAGCTGCCGCCGCTGGGCTGCCCGCCGAGCGTCGCCGTCAAGTCGATCGACCTCCCGCAGGCCGTGCACGACCACTGCGTCGCGGTCGACGCGTTCAACGAGGTCTTCATCCTCGAGGCGCTGCGCGGCGAGCCGGGCGTGTGCAAGCTCCTCGATTACGGCGTCGACGACCACCACATCCACATTGTCCTGGAAGACTACAAATGCAGTCTGCGGCAGTGGCGCCGGCGGCAGCCTCTGGAGCGCCGCGCGTGCGAGAGCCACGCGCGGCTGTACCTCGCCGTGTTCCGGCAGGTCGCGAGCGCCGTCGCGCAGCTCCAGGCCCGCGGCGTGGTCCATTTCGACCTCAAGTGCGACAACGTGCTTCTCGAACCCCTCCCGGGGGTGTCTGAGGAGGAGTTTTGGTGCCCGACGACCGCCGAGCCGCCGTTCCGCGTCGCGCTGACCGACTTCGGCGAGTCGCGCATGTACATGGAGACGCAGCAGCCCCGCACGCGCCGCAATCGAGGAACAGAGTGCATCAAGAGTCCTGAAATGCTCATGGTCGCCCACGCGGACCGCCAGGGCGGCAGGGCCGCGGCCGGACAGCTCGTCGGCGCGGGCCCGGAGTCGGACGTCTGGTCGCTCGGCTGCCTCCTCTACGAGGTCTTCACGGGGGAGTATTTGCTGTTCGACCCTGACTGGATCCGCTTCTTCATTCGCGTGACCCAGGCCGGGCAGCCGCTCATCGCGCCGGAGCGCGAGGCGCCCCTGCGCAACGTCACCGCGATCCTCCACCTCATCGAGTCGATCCTCGACCGGAACCCCGCCACGCGGCCCACGGTCGCCGACATTCTGCGCCACGTCGACGACATGCTGCGCGGGCGCGCCGCGGGGCTCCCGGAGTACGCGCCGCTGCCGCTCCGGCCCGCGTACGACGCCCCGGACGAGACGCAGGCGCTACAGCCGTCCGCGACGATGCACCGGCAGCTCATGCCGCGCGACCTCGACCCTCTGATCAACCCAGTTGGGGGAGCACGAGTGCCTGGAGGAGGCGCGCTGCGGATAGCCGCGGGGCTGCTGCTCGCGCCGGCGACGTGGCTGCACGATCCGCGCACGCTCGCGCACGCCGGCGTCGCCGCGGTGGTGCTCGTGTCGCCCGCGAAGGTGCCGTTTGGCGGCGCGCTGCACGCACATCTCAATGCGTGCGCGCAGGCGTGCGGGAACGCGGGCTCGAGCTGTCTGCGGCTCCCCGTGCGGCCAGCGTCCGGCGACGGCGCGGAGAGCCGCGCCGGGACGTCTGCATCGCTCGAGGCCGCGATCCCGAAGACGCTACGTCTCATTGCAGCGGTGCGCGGGCGCCTGGACGGCGGGAACAGCGGGGGCGGGCTCGGGAGCGCGGTGTCGGGCCCGCAGGTGCTGATCGCGTTCGCGGACGGCATGGAGGCGGCCGCGATGTCGCTGTGCGTCGCGTACGCGATGGTTGCTAACGCGTACGGGCTCTGGGAGGCCCTGCTGTATACGCAGCTGCGAGCGCTTGCTCTGCCGCTCGGGCAGGACCATGTGCGGCAGCTGCTGCGCTGGGGTGGCCGGAACGACGCGGAAGCCCGCGAGTTCGAGCAGGCGGTGCAGTTCACATGCCCGTGCGGGGCCTGGCGGGCGCACCTGTCGAAGCCGCTCGCTGCGGCGCCGCGGGCCGGGAACTTCAAGAAGGGCGAGGTGCCCGTGGCGGACGAGGTCGTGAACGATGCGGAGTCGGCGTGGCTCGCGTTCGCGAGCGGCGAGCCGGCCGGGTGTGTCGGCGGGCGTGTTTCGTGGGCACGGTGCGAGGAGAGCGCGCTGCACGTCGGGGCGCTGTCGCCCGCGCAGCCGGTCGCGGCGCAGCTGTCTGGACAGGACCGGTACTCGCACAGGGATGGCACGCCCGGCGGATCGCAGCGGGGCTCGCAGACGACTGCCGGGTGGGAGCTGTGGCAGTGTGCGCACTGCGGGTGTCCGACGCACGCGGTGAACCTCGTTTCCGGGGACACGGCGCTGTCGCCGAAGCCGTCCGGGATGCCGCTGTCGCCGTTCGCGAGCGGCGTGCCGCGGACCCCAGGCGCCGGTTCCGAAACGAATCGAGAACTGATGGTGGTCGCTACGCGCATGGTTGCTCAGAGGCCGGCGCGGCAGCGGTCGCAGCAGGCGATGCAGGCGCAGGTCGAGGCGCCCGGGTTCGTGCCGTCGCCGATGAAGATCCGGGGCTGAACGATCCCATCTATGAGAGGGGGGGATGGCTCTCTTCTATCGTGCTGCTGCAGATGTTTCGCGAAGCCTCACTGGGCGTCGGGTCGATATAGGTCGTTGTTGTAACGCAGAACGTTGGTAGAAAATTCTTGGTGCGCGTTCATTCTCGTCACGAGCCGTCCCGTGAGTGAATTTTCTTCACAAATGTCTTAGACACTCCTCAGCGTTCGCACTCCAAAATGCTCTACGACCACTGCCTCGCTCCGCCGGCGGGCGGCTGCGGCGACCGAGCGCCCGTGCGCCCCCCCGCGCCCGGCGACCTCGGCCCATTACGCCCCCCTGACATCAGATTCGTCACCAACCCTCCGATCGCAGATTTCCCGCTCCCCGTGGCCTGCCCGGCGAACACTCCCCGCAGAGCCGACCCGATGCCGCCCGCCGTCTTCCGCAGCGCCTCCGCAGCCCCGGCCGCCTGCGCGCCTGCCAGTCGCCGCACGTCGCGCACAGTAGCACCCTGTGCGCTCACCGGGCCGCCCTCCTGCCCGCCCGGCCACACGTTCGGCGCTGGCGGCACCTCGCGCGGCGGTTCCTCTACGTCGCTGCCTCCCGCATCAGGCTCTGGGTCGGTCCCCGCAACACTCCCCTCCTCCCACTGTTCTACCTCCTCAGACTCCCCCGCACCGCCGAGCTCCAGCAGCGCAGCGGCGCACGCGAGCAACGCGTGGCGCACCGCCGCCTGCGCTGTCTCCTCGCCCAGACCCCCGTGAGCGGCCCGCCGCGACCCGTGCACCTCTGCGAGCTTCAAACGGACATCCTCCGCGCGCCGTGCCATGGCGCGCACCACCGCCAGCTCGTCCCCGTCCTCCGCGACTGCATCGCCCCCGTTCTTGGGTGCAACGCGAGCCATCAGGCTATCCGGGTCCGGGCAGCGGTCAGGCAGGACTTCCCGGGGGGGGTGTGGCGCGGAAAACACCCTCGACGGACACTGCCCGAACTCCCTCGCCTGCGCCTGCAGCGCGGCGCGGTCGCTCTCAGACATGCCGTCGAGCTGCCGCCGCACGCTCGGCGCCGCGCCGTACGTCAGCGGATGGAACAGGTTGTCGGCGCGCTGTGCTGCAGGGCCTCGCTGCGCGTGGCCGAACACCAGATCGATCCATTTATGCATGGACCGGGACGCGACGGGCCCCTCGAGTGCCGAGCGGAGCACCGCGAGGAATCGCCGCGGCGACCCGCGCGCCCAGGGGGGGAGTTCCACGTCGTCGAGCCGGCGTCCGTCCTGCGCGATGCCCAGGTCGAGGCCGAGCGCGTTGACCAAGGGGGAGGGGTCCGGGAGGTAGAACTCGGGAACGAGCTCCTTGACGTCGCTCTGCGTCGACGTGACGGACGCCCAAGCCGCGGCCACGGACCCGAACAGCCTGTCGGCGGCGTCGAAGCGGCCGCGTTGCAGCTTGAGGTGGTGCCCGGGGGCCGCACGGAGCAGCCAGTACATGACGAAGCCCGGCGCGGAGTAGTGCGACCCCCACAGGAACGGCCCGTCGATCGACCCAGGCGGCGCCAGCGGCCAGTGCGCCATGCGCTCCCGTGCCCGCTGCAATCGCACCGCGTTCAGCGCGCCCACGGGCCGGGACAGATCGCGATAGCTCCGCGCGTCCTCCAAATCCAGGCACTCCGACGTGTAGTCGGAGAGCACCCACGGGAACACCGGCCACTGTCCGAGGTCGGCGAAGGTTCGCCCTGACGCAACATTCAACACCATCAGATACGAAAACGTGTCGAGGAGGCCCCGGCTCCACGCGCGCGCGACGCGCCGCAGCGCGGCCTCCTCGCCGCTCAGCGCGGCCGCCAGCGGCCTGCGCGCCGCCTGCGGGATCGCTTCGCCCATCACGCCTGCGCGCAGCAGTGCTTCTAGCGCGCGTCCGGCGTCGCCCTCCGATCGCATCACGAACAGCGCGGACGCGCCGGGCCACACCGGCGCCCACTTCGCGGCCGCCGCGTCGCTGCCGTCGACGAGGTCCGGTCCGAGGAAGAACACCTCCACCCCGAGCGCGAGCAGCCCGCTGCGGCGCGGCACCGCCGTGACCGCGAGCGGCAGCGGGTGCGAGAGGCAGGCGGGCTGTCCCGCGGCGGGGTGGAGCGGCTGGAAGTAGACGCGCGCGTCGGTGATCGCGAGGTGGCCCGGCTGGTGCGTCAGCGGCGTCGAGAGGGATGCCGGCAGGGACAGGCGAATGGTTTCGCCGAGGCGGTGGAGGCGCGACGGGTCGAAGGGGGCGTCCGCGAGCGCGGCGTCGGCGACGCGCGCGAGCATGTCTTCGCGCTCCTGCCCGCCGGTCTTCGCGGCGGCGAGGTAGACTTGCAGCGGGCCCAGGAGCTGCTCGAGGGGGGAGTGGGGGAGTTTCAGGCGCAGAGACACCCCCCCCTCGTCGTGCTTGCGCACGACGACGTACGGGTGGTCGCGTCCGCGCTCCCGCATGCGCACCACGACGCCCGCGACCACGCTGAACTCCTGGGAGCGCGAGGGGCGCCCGGACGGCGCTGGCGAGTTCGCACGCTGCTCGCTGTGCGTGTCGAGCGACAGCCACGACTCGAGCGGCAGCCGCGCCACGGCGACGTCCATATCGTCTGGTTCCAGCACCAACGATCGCGTGCACAGGTGCAGCCGCCCCGGGAGCTCATTGACACCCCCCCCCTCAGAACCAACACCCCCCTCACCCGGGAAGAGCTCCGCGGGCGGGTCCACGCACACGCACGCGAACTCCGCGACGTGCCCTTCGTCCTCCTCGAGCAGCAGCTGCGAGAAGCGCTGCTTGGCGCGCCGCGCTTGGGACCCCAGCATTGCACAGGCTTGTCCGCAGGTGCGGCGGGGAGCGGCGCGGGGGCGAGGACGGGGGGTCACGCGTCAGGCTCCGGCTGGACGCGCGCGCTCTCGTCGGACGGCGGGGAGGACTTGTGCGGGTGGAATTTGTCGGACTTGCTCGGGCGCAGGGCCGGGACAGGAGACCCCCCCCACTCCGGCACGACGGCCTGGTAGAGCGGCCCGATGCGGGGCTTGCGGGGCGGCGCCGTGCCGTGGATCTTCGACACCGCGACGCTCACGCGCTTGTCCCTGCGGGCCGACAGGTGGAGTGTCAGCATACAGAAGAACAACATGGTGCCGACGCGAGGGCGCGGAGAGCGGATGCGAGCGTTCGCGCGGGCAGCGGGCGCGCCTGTGCTCGTTCCAGGGACCCTCCGGGTCGGCGCCGGAGTCTGCCTTGTCCGCTGGCTTGGAGGTGCCGGTGAGTTGACGCAGGAGTTCCAGGTCGGCCGCGCCCTCTTCCTGGGTCACGCAGCCGAGCGGCGTCTGCAAGCTGGCGTCCCGGTGGCGCGTATCGTCTTGTGCAGGGGCTTCGCGCGGCCGCTTCGCGCCGGCAGCGGCGGCGGCGGCGGTCTCGGGCTCTGCAAAGCGCACCGGAACAATGCCGGGGAGGGTTTCGTGTGGTGGACGTGACAGCCGGCGTTCGCAGCGCGAACGCGCAGCGATGTCAAGTGGGCTATACCCGATGCGGTGGACGGTCACGGCAGACGCGCACGCACGTCCCCAGCGCTGTCCAGAGCACAGAGGCATAAACAACGCGTGGTGCCCCACAAACGCACCCCTTGCAAATGCGAGGGGTCAATCGGGCGGTCAACATCCAGGTTTGTCACCGGACGTGTACACAATTCCCGATTACCGACGCAGGTGGGCAGCAACGGACTCGAACAGCACTGCCGGCGTCGTGCGGCCTCACCTGCCGTCGGTTCAGCAGGAGCGGCCTTGGCAAGCTTGTCCGATGACATTGGATCGCGCGCTCGGCGGCGCGGGGGCGCTTCCAGTCAGCCGGCGCGCTGCGTGCCCGAGCCAGCTGTGCAACTTCACCTCGTGCAAGTAGGGTCGGGCGCGGAGAGTCACGGGCCTTGCGTGTGCTCGCAAAGTGGTCGCCGGCGGAGCACCACGATCCTTAGGCGTCCTCCGCATCGCGTCGCGCGGGGCCGGAGGCCTCCATGCTGACGCATGCGCTTGTGTTGTACCGCGAGGTGGTTGTAAGTGGCTCGACAGCTCTACCCCGCGGCCGCGAGCAGCAGTTCGCGGGCGGACCCGGCTTGAACGCGTGCTTTCATCGTTTCCACTCGCCCTCCTGCCGAATCTTGCACCTGGACGATCGCGGGAGCGAGTGCTCCCTGTAGAGCCGAGGCACCCGTCCATTTCCTTCTGCCGACGGATTCCAAGCCGCTCAGCGTCGTCCTGCGATGGTCGTTGGGCAGAAGTGCCCCTCCGTAGGTCAGGATCCCTCCCCGCTGCACCGGCCGCGAGCTCAGCAACCACCGCACCACACACAGCACCAGCCCACGCGCTGCCAGGCCCGAACATGCTGTGGAATCCGCGCGGAGCCCACACGTAGATCATATCGAATCCGTTCAGAAGGGCACGTGGACACGAACGGCCCTGCCCTACCGCTGTCGTTCCTGCAGGGGGCCTTGTGTACTTGAAGGGCGATGAGCAGCCCCCGCAGCTTCCTGTTCCCGGGAGGCCGACCGTCATCGAGGCCTGGGCCACCTGGTGAGCAGCGCCAGTGTCTACGTGGACCGCGTCGTCCCACACAGAGCCCTCGGAGCACGACATCATACTAACATAGCTCATCGCAGCTCTCTCGAGAACAAAACCCCCCCCGCCTTCCCCCGCAGGTGCGGACCGTGCCGCATGGTGTTCCCGCACCTCACCGCCGTGGCGCAAAAGCACGCCGCGAAGGGCCTGGTGGTCGTCGGCATCACACAGGAGACAGACACGCCACAACTGCGGGGCTTCGTCAGCGTACGCGGCCCTGCACACCCGCAGCCACCGCCACCACGAATGCCTCGTCTCGCCCCCTTTGAATTGAATGCGCGGTCATGTTCTTGGCACAGCAACAACAACGCGGCTCGCGTCTCGCGGACGCCCCGCGATGCAGGGGCAGGGGGACAAGATGGGCTACAGCGTCGCGAGCAGCGAGCAGGCCATGATGACGCTGGGCACGTTCGCGTCCATCGGCGGCATCCCGCACGCCATCGTGGTGGACCGCACAGGCACGGTGCTTTACTCGGGGCACCCGATGCAGCCAGGGTTCGAGCAGGCCGTGGAGCAGGCGTGCGCGAGGGGGCCCGTGACCGAGACGCGCGAGGAGCTGAGCGCGATGGGGGTTGCGGCGCTGAAGAAGATCTTGCGGGATCGCGGGGTGGGGTTTGGGGATCTGCTCGAGAAGAGCGAGTTCGTGGAGCGGATCCTCGAACGCTGCACGTGAGCGTCTGCGGCGGGGGGCCGGGGTCGGAGCGCGAGGAGCTCTAGGCACCCTTTGTCGACCCACGGGTGGCAGCACACACCCCGCCTGAGTCGAGGATTTGTACTTCGCTGAGGGGTGGGAAGCTACGGGATAGCGGCGCGATCGACGCCCTCGGTGGATCTGTCGTGTCACAATTCGACTTCGCCCTCCGTTCGGGGCGCATGCAGTGGTATGGGGATGGTTCGCATCTCGCGGTCCTGCTGCCACTTCGGCGTGCGTGCCCGTCGCTGCTGTCGCGTCCAGCGCCGCCTCCGGCAGCCGCGCTCGGCGTTCCAGACCGAGCGCAGCCCCCGCCGCCTTCCCGCTAGCTGCGACGACGCACTATTCTCCCCCACCTAGACACCTCGTGATCTGGCACGCGTTCACGGCACAGCGCAGAGCGCGGCCACGCCCTGGAGCGTCCAGTGCGACGGCTTGTTGCCGTCTCCGGCCTTGAGATCGATGCTCAGGACGTAGTTCGTGCTCTGCCCGGTGGTGTTGAGCACGCCGGCGCGCACCGACGTCTTGTACAGTGGGCACGAGTACAGCTCCGGCGACGGGTCGTAGTCGATCACGGGCTCGAAGTGGATCGGCGGCAGCTCGCTGTGCATCGCGCCCGGGAGCGCCTCCGCGAGGCACCGCTCCTGGTCGTCCCAGCGCGCGCAGTCCAAGAAGAGTCCTCGGATGTAGATGCCGTTGTCCGGCTGGGACTCGATCCGCTCCCACTCGCGCTCCTCGAGCACGCGGAACCCGAAGTTCAGCCGGTCGATCGCGACCTGCGTCTTGCGCGCGTGGTTCTGGAGCGCTGCGGTCATGAAGCCCTGCGGGAAGAAGAAGGCGGGGAGCCAGAAGACGGCGGGCTCGCCCTCGTGGACCCACTTGGCGATGAAGTCCATGCGCTGCAGGAAGTCGCGCATCCACGCCGCGAGCGGCTTGAGCGACGGGTAGGCCACCGCCGCCCACAGCTCGGGCACTTGGTTGTTGAGCATGGCCGTGAACATGCCCTCGAGCTCCGCGCTCATGACCACGAGGCCCTTGATGGCCTTCTGCAGGTCCGCGAGCGTCGAGCGGATCGTCTCGAGCAGCCGGTTGAACTGCTCGACCTCCTGGCGCAAAAACACCCCCAGGGAGTTGTCGTGGCCCGACTCGAGCGGCGCGAACGGGTTGCCCTTCTCCGGCACCACGGCCACGTCGATCACGGGCGGCAGCGCGGCCTCGAGCTGCCCCGCGAGCTCCAAAATAGTCTCCTCCGGGGTCTTCTCGCCCTGCGCCGCCGCCACGCGCGGCTGCATGGTCAGCACCGTCGCGATGACCTTCTTCGAGTCCTGCACGTAGAACGCGATGTTCGCGTTCTCATGCATCCCGTACACGTCCGGCGCCTCGCTCACGGGCAGCGACTTGACGTACGCCACGTAGTCCTCCTTGGTGCCCAGCGGCGGCACGTGGTACGCCCCGTCAGGGTTGAAGGGGTACCCGTCGCGCAGCACCTCGGGGTTGTAGTACCGCTCGAGGATGCACATGAGCAGCCGGCGGTCGTTGTCGTCCGTCACGCGCCCCCCGTAGTTGATCTGCCCCGTGACGTACAGCAGCGCGCTCCACGGGATCTCGTCCTGCTCGTCAAGGAACATGCGCAGCGTCGCGAGCGAGCAGTCGAGGTCGCCCTGCGAGAACTCGTACCGGATGTTCCACCCGAGCGGCCCGAACTTGCGGCGCTCCTGCACCACGGCGTGGAAGAAGCTGCACGCAAAGACCAGCTTGTGCCACGGCGCCTCCTTGGTGCAGCTGTCCAGGAAGCCGTCCGGCTGGTCGTTCAGCGACCGCAGGAGGTTGGCGCGCAGGCCCTTGGGCGGCTCGATCGTGATCTTGATCGACGTCTGCAGGACCGGCACCGGGAAGTGCGCGGCGGGCATCGACGTGAGCCAGAGGCGGAAGTCCGGGTGCACGGACGCGTTGCGGTCCTGCAGCTCCTCCACGCGCTTCTCCAGGCTCGTCATCCACGACTTGGCGAGGTGGCAGTTCTGCAGGCAGATCCAGTCCCCGTTCTTCCGCGCGGCCTCGATCGCGGCCTCCGCGTGCACGCCCTGGCCCTGCCCGAGCGAGATGATGTGCAGGCGCTCGCCCGCGACGCGGTCCTTCGTCGCGCTGAAGCGCTGCAGCATCGACGTCGGGTCCGCGCCCGTCGAGAGGATGAAGACGATGGGCGTGGTCTTCGACGTGTCGGGGAACACCGACGACAGCGAGAACGGCGGGGACTCCGTGAAGGACTTGCCGAGCTCGAGGCCGACGTAGTGCTGCATTCCGAACGTCAGGCGGTCCTCGCGGAACACGCGCAGGAGGGGCAGCGTCATGAAGTGGTCGGCCTTGACGCCGGCCGCGAGCCACGACGTGGGGAAGTCGTGCTCCTGCGGGGACTCGAGCTCCTTCCAGGCGCGCCACGCCTCGGCCTCGGCCGCGACGCCCTTCGTGAGGCCGTGGAAGCGCTCGCAGGCGTGCTCGAGCATCACGGCGGCCTCCCACTCCGTCTGCTTGACCCACGACAGCGCCTCGGGCTTCGCGGGGATCGAGTCGGCGAGGATGCCGCCGCGGAGGAGGAAGTTCCACTCGTCGTGGCGGATGTGCCCCGCGTGGCGCAGGATCGAGGTGCAGATGAGGAAGGAGTAGATACCCTTGTGCGCCTCGAAGAGCCCGCGGCAGACGGTGGCGTACATGAACTGCGTGGTGTACGTCATGAGGCTGTTGAGCCGCGTCTGGAGGTCGTCGGACTTCTCCGAGCTGTCGATGCACTGGTTGAAGAGCTGGCTGAAGTAGGCCAGGCTGTACTGGTACATCGGGTCGATCTGCGCGAGGTCCGCGACGACGAAGTAGAGGATCGACCCGCGCTGCGCGACGACGCGGTACTCCTCGCGCGACGCGTTGATCATCTTCTCCGTCTCCTCGGCCTCCTGCACGCGCCCCTGGATGACGCCCGACGTCAGCTTCGAGTTGTTCAGCGTGTTGATCAGGACCTCGTCGTCCAGGATGTTGCCCTGCGACTCCTTCAGCAGCTTCAGGATCTTGTCCTCCAGGTCCTTGAGCTGCCGCTTGTCGTTGCTGATGCTCACCACCAGCCGGTCCTTCTGCTCCTCCAGGTCCGGGCGCTCCTTGCGCACGACGTCGCCGAGCAGCTGGTCCTCGAGGCCCTTCTGCGTGACCGTGAAGTTGATCAGCGTGACCTTGATGCAGATCTCCGGGAGGTAGTGGGGGTTGGGCATCTTCGTCGTGATGTAGAACCGGAACGCGGGGTTGTAATCCACGTCGCTGTCGCCCAGCCGGATGAGCGTGCGGTTGCCCTGCTGGAACACCTGCTTCTGCAGCAGCGGCTCCAGCGCCGGGTCGAGGTGCTCCGCGATGTCCTCGAGCAGCACGGGGTTCCCGTTGCGGATGCTCGTCTCGAGCACGCGCAGCAGGTTGTGGTCGTTGAGCTTGAGGGGCCGGAGGCCGTTCTTCATCTCCATCGACCGCACCCACCGGTTCGCCTGCCCCTGCGGGTCGATCATGAGCGGCCAGCGCCGCCCGCGCGTCACGAAGATGCCGTTGTCGACGCTGACCGAGTCCGTCGGGAGGCCCTGGATGTTCCAGTCGCGGATCTCGACGGGGGAGGACAGCACGCTCGAGAGGGAGAAGTGCTCCGCGACGGGCACGTTCATGTCCTTGCAGCGCTGCCACCACCGCGCGATCAGCTCCTCGCGGTAGGGCCCGGTGAAGGCCCCCACGTACGCCACGCACGCCGACCCGAGGAACACGTCGCCGACGAGCTGCACCATCTGCTCCGCGATCGTGCCCGCCGTCTCCGTCCAGCGCACGGCCTCGTCGCCCAGCGCGCTCGTGAGCTTCCCGGCGCGCGTCAGCCGCCTCTGCGAGATGTCGGCCTGCTCCTGCAGCGACTTGAGCTCCGACTGCGTGTCCTCGAGCTGCTTCTGGAGCCCGTTCACCTTGTCCACGACCTCCTGGAGCTGCGCCTGCTTCTCGCCAAGCTTGAGCATCATGGCGTTGAGCTTCTCCTCAGCGGCCGCGAGGTCCCGGCGCTTCGGCTCGACGACCTTCACGACCATGGCGTACTTCTCCATGCTCTTGACCCACATGCAGAGCGACTTGGCGGCCTTGGAGACCGCGCCGACGCTCTCGGGCGTGAAGGCGCCCTCGGTGGTGATGCGCTTGAGCTTCTTGAGCAGCGGCTCCGCGATGTTCTCCTTGTCGAAGTTCACCAGCCGCGCCATGAAGTTGCCGTCGCCCAGCACCTTCTTCGCCGAGTCCCAGTCCGTCTTCTCCGACAGCAGGATGCACACCCCCTCCATGGTCAACTGCACCAGCGGCGGCGGCTTCGCGAAACTCTTGATCTCCGTGATGTCGCTCTTGTTCAGCGAGTTCAGCGCCTTCGTCGCCGCTTCCAGCTCCGGCAGCACGTCGTCCAGCTCCTGCTGCGCGTCGTCCTTGAGCTTCTGCGTCTCCAGCGCCTCCTTCGTCACCTCCCGCTCCTCCTTGCTCACGACCGCCTTGATCTTCTCCGCGTCCGCCTGCTCGCGCGAGACCTGCAGCAGGAGCTCCTGCGCCGCCGCCGTCTTCTCCTTGAGCACCGGCTGCAGCTCGTTCAGCTCGGCCTGCATCTTGTCGACCACCTCGTTCGTCTGCGTGAGCTTCTCGAGGCCGTTGACGAGCCGGTCGCGCGCCTCCCCGAGCGACCCGCGCTTCTCGCTCAGCAGCTCGGTGTACGAGCTGATCAGGTCGAGGTACGACTTGGGCGTCGTGTAGTAGTGGCGGCGCAGCTCCTCAAAGAACTTCTGGCACGACTCCTGCACGCTCGTGTGGATCTCCACGCAGATGGACGCGAGCGCCTTGTTGATCTCCTGCCCGCCGAGGTCCAGGTTCTCCAGGAACTGCGTCGAGACGGAGATCAGCGCCTCCTCGGGCCACTTCGAGAACCAGTCGATGGTGGTGCACGAGATGAGCGAGGGGAACTGCCGGCAGCGCGAGCGGAACGCGTCGCCGACGGGCGACATGCAGAGCACGAGGTGGAGGTTGTCGCGGACGCGCTTGATGAAGAAGGCCCAGATGGCGTCGCGCGAGACCGGGAGGCCGAGCTGGTCGCAGATCTCGCGCAGGTCGTTCAGGACCTTGTCCTTCTCGTCCGGCGCGTACAGCCCGGGAACCTCGCCCGTGTTGAGGATCGAGTTGATGTCCTCGACGAAGCCCTCGTCCAGGATCTGCGTGTCGGTGAACAAGAACACGATCGGGCGGCCCTCGACGCCGGCCACCTGGAACAGGCTCTTGATGTCGTCGCGGAACTCGTTCGTCCCGTACCCGCGCGTCAGCTCGATCTGGAAGCACTGGTACTCCGCCATGAACGTCGCGAAGCGCGTCAGCGACTGCTTGCCGGACCCGCCCACGCCGACGAGCATCGCGTTGCCGCGCGGCTGCCGCAGGATGCGCGCGATGCGTGTCACGTGCTGGATCGCGTCCAGGAAGAACACCAGCCGCATGCGCGACGTAGACACCATGTTGTACTCGTCCAGATAGTCATCCAGGAGCTTCGCGAGCTTGGTGATGTCCTTGACCTCCTCGTACACCTTGTCCGCGGGCGCGACGCCCATGCGGAGGAAGTCCCCGAACAGGATCGGGCGCTTGTCGTCGAAGAGATCCTCGAAGGTCGCATCGATGGCGAATTTGCTGCGCATGGAGTCGTACAGGAGCTCCTTGAACCACAGCTTGTCCTGGTTGTCCGTGAGGCGGTCGTGGAAGACGCGCATGTTCTCGTGCGCCCACAGCCGCGACATGACGTCCGGGGTCGGGCACTGCGCGGGCCGGATGAGCAGCACGCCCTGGAACACCTTCGACACGTCGCGGAGGTTGAACGTGTAGTGCGACTTGGTGGGCGTGGGGAGGAGCTCCTGGGAGATGCGCAGGAAGGCCTCCACGCTGCAGCGGACCATGGGGTCGAGCAGGCGGTTGAACTCGGGTTTGAAGAAGTGCCCGAGGAACCCCCCGCAGATCGCGCGGAAGATGCTCTCCATGACGGCCTCGCTCGGCTGCGGCATGTTCAGCATCGTGAAGTGCCGGAAGAAGCGCGGCGTCACGTCCTGCCGCCCGCCGCCCGGGGGGGCGCACGCCGCCACCAGCGTCACGTCGTCGACCTCCTTCCAGAACAGCTTCTTGCGGTCGTACAGCCCGCCGCGGTCGAGGAAGAGCCGCAGGAGCTCGATCGGCGGCTGCGCGCCGTACTTCTCGCGCGCCGGCATGTTGATGTCGTCGACGAACATGGCGACCTTCTTCCCCGCCGCCGGGATGAGGCGCTTGCCCATCTTCTCGAGCTTCGACTCGAACAGCTCCTGCGTGGGCGCCGAGGCGGTCTGCGCGGAGAAGTTGATGAAGACGGGCGCGACGTTGGACGAGTCCGAGAGGTTGCGCAGCGTCGAGTCGATCACCGCTGTCTTGCCCACGCCGGAGAGGCCAGTGAAGAGGGTGGGGCGCTGGATGGAGAGGGTCGTGGTGAGGAGGTAGGAGTAGCGCGTGGTGTCGAGCGTCGGGACGATGAGCGCGAAGTACGGCAGCGCGGGGTCGTAGGTGAAGGGCGAGACCGACTCGCTCCAGTTCTTCATTTGCCAATCGTTCTCCGCAACGACGAAGTAGTCGAACACCGTCCCGCGGTTGGGCCACGCGACGTCGCCCTCGAGCTGCCCGCGCACGAAGGTGTCGAACGCGTCCCACGCCTCGGTCTTCAGGTTGCCGCCCAGCGCCCACACGAACGAGAACCCAAAGATGTTCTTCAACGCCAAACGGATGTCTCCGAGGGGCTTGTTCACGTCCAGGCCCTTCTCGGGCTGCAGCAGCGCCTCGATCCACTTCGTCAGGCTCACCACGAGGTTCACGTCCACGCTCGGGACGAACTCGGGCCGCCCTGAGTCAGCCAGGTACGCCAGTCCCGCGGGCACGTGCTTCTCCAGCTGCTCCCAGATGAGCTGCAGCGTGTCCGCGGGCATCTCGGCCCGGTACTCCTCGTTCGACAGCCGCGCGTTCAGGCCCTCCAGCCACGTCTTGGCGTACGGCTGCCACCCCACGTCCTCGGCGGGCACGTACACCATCCCGCACCGCGACACCGTGGCCGGGGACGCCACCGCGAGGTCCTGGACCTCGAACAGCATGCGCATCGTCGTCGGGTTGAGCTTGATGCGCTCGCCGTTCGGCAGGCAGAGCGTGCAGTTGTCGTCCAGCACCGTGTTCATGTTCTCGATCCAGATGGCGTCGACGGGGCCGTCGAAGACGACCCACTTGCGGTCCTCGGAGTCGTCGTTGCGGGCGTTGCGGATGAGCGTCGACCCGAGGCCCTCGGTCCACTCCCCCGTCAGCACCGACACCTCGCCGTACAGTTCGCCCATAGATATGGCCTTGGGGTTGAACGTGAACGTGTGGACCTTCTGGAACTCCGGGTCCGGGTTGCGGTCCTGGCGCAGCTTCGTCATGGCCGCCTTGAGCATCGCGTAGATCTCCGACTTCCCGCCGCCCGTCGGCCCGACGAGCATCACGCCAAAGCGCACGTTGAACGTGATGTGCAGCTGGATGCACTTCGTGATGAACGCCGGGACGGCCTGGAGGCCCGCCTTGACGGTCACGTCCTCGAGCGCGCGCTGCAGGGCGCCGAAGTCCTGCTCGGGGATGTCCACGCCCGGGAAGAGGTCCTGGATGATGGCGCCGAACAGGCGCGCGTCGGCCGACAGGAACTTGGGGATGTTGGAGTCGCGCATGGCCCGAATGAGCACGATGTCCTCGTTCAGGTCCGGCGAGGCGCGCTTGAGCGCGCCGGCGAGCACGAGCACCGACTTCAGCGCGCGCATCCCGAAGTCGTAGTGGTCCTGCTTCGAGAGCTGCTCCGAGGAGAGCTTGTAGAGCTTGACCATCTTGCGGGAGAGCGAGCGGGCGTCCGCGAAGCCCTCCGCGAAGAGCATGACCTCCGCGACGAGCCCGTAGTCCGGGATCATCATCGCCATGGGGCGGAACAGCGCCTTGAGGTTGTCGGGCAGCTCGGTGCGCCCGGCGTACCCGGGGTTCATGGTGATGAAGACCCCGCACGTGGGGATGAGGCGCATCTCGCGGCCGGCGAAGAGGAAGCGCTCGACGTCGGCCTTGAGCGCGTTCTGGATGGTGAGGAGCTGCTGCGCCACGACGGACAGGACCTCGATGTCGATGCGGTTGAACTCGTCGAAGCACGCCCACGCGCCGCACTGCGCGAGGCCGGAGAAGAACTTCTCCATGAACTTGTAGTCCAGGTTGTCGCCGCAGTTGAACACCACGCACTGCACGCCCAGGGCCTTCCCGAGGTCCTTCGTCGTCTCCGTCTTGCCGGTTCCCGCGGGGCCCGCGGGCGCGCCGCCGAGCTTGAGGTGCAGCGCGCCCGTCAGCGTCATGTAGCACCGGTCCGTCATGGGCGTCACGACCAGCCGCGGCTGCGCGCCGAGGTACTCGTAGCCGTAGGTGAACCCGGCCGTGACCTGGCGGATGGTGAGGTTGTCCGCGTCCGAGTCGTAGTAGTACCGCAGCTGCATCTGCCACGTGAAGTCCGTGGCGCGCGTGCACTGCTCCTGCTTCAGGCTGTCCACGATGTCGCGGTTGTGCACGTCGATGGTGATGAGCGTCACCAGGATCTTGCGGTGCAGCTTCGACAGGTCGCCGCGGACCATCTCCGAGAGCTCCGTCAGCTGCATCACGTTGCGCTCCAGGAACAGCGCCAGCGACCCCAGCGGGTCCACCGACTCGAACGCGCGCTCCACCTCGCCGCACCAGTAGATGTTGCTGACCGACAACACGAGCTGCGCGGGCTGCTGCAGGATCCACTCCCGCCGCGGCGTCTCCGGGTACGTCTGCCACGCCTGCTTGCCGAGCCGCTTGAGCGTCGTGACCATGCCCTGCTCCACCGCTGTCAGCCACGACTCGATGTTGCCGCGCGCCTTCAGGTTCGGCGGCAGCTCGACGACCTCGCCCTCGGACGACACCATCGCCAGGATGTCCGCCGCGCCCTGCCCCGTGCCGAACTGCAGGCTCTTGATGCCGTCGAAGCACTTTTGCAGGTGCGGCTGCACTGCCTGCGGGTTCTTGGTCTCGGAGAGGATCTCGAGGAGCTCGTCGTTCGAGAGGAAGTAGAACCGCGGGAAGGCGATGCGCTTGGTCTCCAGGTAGTCCTCGAGGCGCTTCTGGACCTCCTCCAGGGTCTCGTTGCACTTCTGCAGCGTCTCGAGGAGCCCCGGGACCGTGCCGGCCTGCAGCGCGGAGGGGCGCTCGTGCGTGCGGCGCATGGCCTCCTTGTACTGCCGGTCGACGTTGAAGAACATCTTCGACTCCTGCACGAGCTGCCGCTGGATGTCCGGCGCGCTGAAGATCGTCTCCAGGTACATCCACGTCTTCTGGCACTCGAGCCACTCGTCCAGCGTCTCCGAGAACAGCTTCAGCGACGTCTCGAACCGCTCGACCTCCGCGCGGATCCCCGTGACGTACCGCGACGCGTTGATGGTCATCATGGTCATCATCGAGTCCTCCAGCGCCGCCATCACGTCCTCGACGCCGCCGAGCACGAACATGTCCTTCGAGTCCTTGTACGGCGTCACCACGAACTCGATCTCCGCCCACTTGTCCTGCACCTTCTTGAGCATCATCTCGAGCGCGTGCTCCTGCGTGGCCTCGGTCGAGATCGCGACGATGCGCTGGTGGTGCTCGCGCACGCCCAGCTTGAGCAGGTCGCCCAGCGTCATCTCCTCGCGGTCGAGCATGTGCCCGAGCGCCTCCTCCACCTTTTGGAAGTGCCGGTCCTTCAGGTGCTCGTTCCGCAGGTTGGCCACGACGGGCACCAGGTCCTTGTAGTCGACCACCGCGTCCTTGAACGTCGAGACGACGCGGTTCGGCGGGAGGTTCCGCTCGACCTTGGCGGCGGTGCGGTTGTACGACTGAACCTTCTCCTCGAGCGCGTCGGGCTCGAGCTCCGCGAACCGCGTGCTCTCCCACGACGACGTCAGCGCGCGCCACTCCTGGATGCTCTGCCACAGCAGGTGCTTCAGCTGCACCTCCTGCGCGCACTCCGTCACGTCCACCAGCTCCACGCTCGGCAGCTTGAACAGCTCCCTGTACCGCGCAATCTTGTCCCGCTGCGCCAGCATCTCCTCGATGCGCGTGGTCAGGTTCTGCGTCACGCGCAGCGCGCGCTCGGGGTCCGTCGCGGGATCCAGAATGAGCTCGTCCTGCGCCGTCATGCGGACCTCCGCCGCCTCCGCAACCATCTCCTGCTCCGCGTTCTGCACGTCGCCCTGGAACTGCATGATGTAGCCGTCCTTGGCGCCCTCGCTCGCGTCGACGGTCTCGCGGAACCGGTCGAAGTCGCTCGCCATCGTCTGGAAGGCCGCCATCTCCATCGGCGGGACGGCGATCTTGAACTTGGCGATCAGCCGGTAGTGGCTGTTCACCTCGTGGAACCGGTCGTCGAACGTCTCGCGGCGCTTCAGCGTGGCCTCGAGCACCTCCAGGAACGACACCAGGCCCTCGACGTCCTGCGGCCCGCGCCCCAGCGAGTTGGTGACGGCGTGCACGTCCTCGATGAACTCGCGGTACCGCGCCGCCGCCAGCACCGGCAGCACCGCCTTGATCTCGTCGATGCACCGCTGCGGCCCGGGCAGCATCCGCGCGACCATCGGGCGAATGTCCACCAGCAGCATGCCCAGGTTCTGGTCCAGCGGGAGCAGCTCGATTTGCTCCATGCGCTCGCTGTACTCCTGCATGTCGTCCTCGAAGCGCTCGAGGCCGCGCTCGCCGCGCTCCGCCTCGGCCTGGAGCGTCTCGCGCGAGGTGGCGGCGTACCGCGTCAGGATGGCCTTCATGGGCTCGAACGTGGCGCGGTAGTGCTCCGCGAGCTCGAACTCCTGGTGGACGAGCGAGCGCACGGTCGAGACCTTCGTCTGGTGGACCTCGTCGTTCACGGCGTCCATGAAGGTCTCGTGGCCGTGCGTCTGCGTCGGCTCGTTGGCCTCGCTGACGAGCGCCTGCAGCTCCTCGTTCGCCGTGAGGCGCCGCACGACGCCCACGGCCTGCAGGTAGCCGTCCAGGGTGGCGTCGACCTCCTCGCTCACGTCCGCGGGCGCCGGCTCGAGGCGCAGGATCGTGCCCTGCGGCTTGCCGTCATCCGGGTCCTCCAGGCCGTCCTCGAGCACGATCGACACGTGGAACAGCGGTACGTGCTTCTCCCGCGGGGGCTCCCTCTCCCCCGCGGGGGCCTCCGGCGCGAGCGTGGGCGGCGTCGCCGAGGCGCGCGGCGGCATGCCGACGCGCTTGGCCTCGCGGCTGGCCTCCGCGCGGCGCTCCTCCTCCTCCTTGAGCGCCGGGAGCGCGGCGGGGTTGACCGCGGAGAGCGGCGGCGCGTCCGGGCCCGACCCCGGGCGGAACGACGACGCGTTCGACGGCCGCGGCTTCTCGTGCGTCGACACCAGATTGACGTTGGCGATCTTGGAGACGGCCCACGTGACGTCGTACGCCGACTCCGGGTCGTGCCGCGCCTCGAGCATGTCGGCCACCTCCGCCACGGAGTCGTGCAGCATGTTGCGCAGCGTCTCCTGCACCATGAAGTCCACCAGGCGGATGAACGCCGCGAGGCGGCGCTGCTCCGAGCGCTTGGCGGCGGTCACGGCGTAGGAGGACACGGTGTTCTGCTCCTGCTCGGCGGTCTGCTTGGCGAGGGCGGCGGCGGTGCGCCCGCGCGCGCCGCGCGTGCCGCCGGGGCGGGGCTGGCTGGGGCCGGCCTGGGCGATCATGGCCACCTCACGGTTGCGCCCGAGGAGGCGGTCCTCGAGGGCGTCCATGTCGGCCTGGCACGTCTGGATGACGGTGTCGGCCACGAACTGGCTGAAGTCCTTCAGCTGCTCGACGCAGTACTGCGAGAAAGAAGGAACAAAAAACAACACAGGAGTTAGTAATCAATGGCGAACGCAAACCTGCTTGGTTGGGCGAAAGACGCGGGTCGAAGGACGCGCGGATCCTTCGCCGGCGCTGCGGCGGCCCGCGGGTTCGTAGCGCAGGCAGGAAGAGAGAGAGACACGCGCACACGCACACACACACACCTTGGCGTGTTTCTTCTGCGCCGCGCGGAAGTCTTCGAGCCTGCGGGCCTCCTCGAAGCGGAAGGCGTGCAGCGGGAGCTCCTGGAGCTTCGCGCAGCGGTCGCGGATGTCGAAGAGCGCCTTTTGGTGCAGCGGGCTCAGGGTGAACAGGCTGCTCTCGAGGCGGTGGATGGCCAGGCGGGTCTTCTTGCGGCGGATGTACGACAGCCACATCGCGAACGCCTTCCAGAGCTTGTAGAGCCGGAAGATGCGCAGCCGGGAGACGCGCCGGTACAGGTGGAACTGCCGCTCAAACTGGTCCAGCGTCTGGAACTCGGCCTCGCCGTCGAGCATGTGCGTGACGCCGTGCGCGCTGAGCGTGTAGAAGCTCTGCGGGTCGATCTGGCTGTGCTGGACCACGGACAGATCGTACGGGCGGTACAGGACCGCGTCAGGGTCCCGCAGAGTGAGGTACACGAATTCCTGGCGAAAGCGGTTCTCCTGCGGGACGGCGGGCGGCGCGGACGCCGTGAGGACGCGGATTTCTTGCCAGGCGGGGCGTTCGGGGGCGCGAGGGGCGGGGAACGAAGGCCCACGGAGGGTCCTCCCGGCTCCGTAGATGTGCAGGCGCCGTGCACTGCGTGCGGGCCGCGAACGCGGCCCCGCGCGCTGGAAGCGAGGGCTCTACAAGCCCTCGTTCCCGTGCGGGCACGGCAGCCACGGCGAGGGCCGGGAAACGCGGGCGACCGCCCGCTTGAAGGCAGCCTTCAATGCACAGACCGTCCGCGGGGGAACGCTCCCAGGCCGAACGGCGGCGCCGGCGCCGCAAACGATAGGACGCGGATTGGACGGGCGCCGAGGCTAGGGGCGGATCGATCTGGGGGGACCGGGGTCCGCGAACGGTGCGTGCAGCATGTGCGAGTGCAGCGCCCCCGGCGCGCGGTGGCCGGCGCGCGGCGGCGAAGGAATGCGCGGGCGGCGCGGCGCGGCGCGAGACCACGGCGGGCGCGCTCCGTGGGAGCCGCGCGGGCCCGCAAAGAGCCCCTGCCGAGCGAGCACGGCCACCAGGCAGCAGGCCGTTCAACCTGCCATGTCCGAGTGGTCCGTGCGCGGGCCGGGGACCGCGCGAGAGCGCCGGAAAACAAAGAAAATCCCCATACGTAGGCGTGCGTTGGCAAAAGCGACGCCCTGCCGCCCGCGCGAGCCGCGCCTCAATGCGCGGTGGCGCTGTGAGGGCCAGGCAGCCCCTGCCGCCGCTCCCCTCGGGCGCTCTGCGCGCTTCCGCGCCGCGCGAGTTCAACGAGCGCTCAAGGAAAGCGCAGGCGGCGGGCACGGGGTGGTTCGAAGTCCAGGGCGCTCACCCGCATGGCCAGCAGGTAAGGGTACCATTCAGGCACCGCATCCTCGTCCTCGTGGGCGGCGTGCGCGCCCTGGTGGGCGCGCGTGGTGAGGGGGGCCTTGTCTCCATTTTCCTCGCCGCTGTCGGAGCCGCGGGACTCCGGGGACGGCGCGCGGCGCTTGAGCAGGAGGCGGGAGGCGCCGGGGGGCGGGCCCGGGGGGTCGCGCTTGCCCGTGACGCCGAGTTTCTGGGTCGTCGCGAGCAGGGTGTCCGTGGGGAGCTTCGGGCCCTTGGTTCCGAGCTCGCCGAGGCGGAGGCCGGTGCCGTTTTGGCCACCAGCGGCTCGGTTGGGGAGGTAGATGCCCGCCATATCTGTGCGATGGATCAGCAGACCTGAATTCCCTTCCTACAATGCGCGCGCGGACGCCATCTGGAACGGGCGCCGCGCGGTGCGCAGGTCTATGCCGCAGCCGTCGCGCTGCTCTCCCCTTATCCTACGCGTGCGGTGTGCCCTACGCGCGCACCGTTTCTGCCCCACCTCGCCGCACCGTCGCGCCCAAGACGCGCCGTGCTCGCCAACGGGGGAGTGTGCGTCGGCCCCCCCGGGGGGTCACCCACGCCCGACACACGCCGCCCCGCACGCCCCGCAGACCCCCACACACACGTTCCTTAGCGCGGCACGTGCGTCCGCGCAGCGCGCTCGCTGCCACGCGCGCCACACTGCCCGCGACATGCGCACATGCATGTGCCGCCCCGCCGCCTCCACGATCTCCGCCATCGCGCCGCCGGTAGCCCCAGGACACCGGCACACACCGTGTGTGCGCGGCAGGGCGCTCCACGCCACCCGCACGTGACAGCCGCAGGGCCCGGAGGTGTCATTCACCAAAGTGGTACAAAACGTCACTCCCCCCCGCACGCAGGCCAGCGCGAGCGGCGCCGCGGGAGAAGCGGTGCGCCGCGTAGCTCGCTGCGGGCGGGCAGGGGCGCGGACTCCGGTGCGGCGCCGTGAAGGGGCAGGTTCACACGCCGCCAGTGCAGCACACCGCGGGACGCGGGAAGGGGGTGGGGTCAAATAAGCGTCGCGACGGAACGCGCCGAGGTCTGTCGGAGACACCCGCGCACTCCGCGTGGTGCAGCGCTGCCGGTCGGGCGAGGGGGGGGGGACAATAGATATGGGGGGGGGTGTGCTAGCGATGTACTGCAGGGGCCGTGCGCGGCGGCCGGCCTACCGCACGAGCGCTGCGCAGTACAGGAACTGGTTGAAGTCGAGGCCGATGCGGCCCATGCGCTGCGAGTCGTATTCCCCAAACACCTTGCTCGCCTGCTGTAGCAGCACGCACAGGCCCAGGTACCCGGACATCGAGAGCGTGCCCGTGCAGTCTGCGCAGATGTGAGAGAGAGGGCGCTGTGGGGTGGTGTTTGGGGGTTTGGGGTGCGGTGGGGGCGGAACGTGGGGGGTGGCGCAGGGAGGCGCACCTGGGTCGAAGGTTTTGCAGAGTTCGCTGAAGGGGGTGGGGTCGACGTTGAAGCCGGCGCTCTGGAGCGCCTGGGAGATCTCGTGGTAGCTCAGAGATCTGCGGGGGGCGAGCGGGGCGGGCGCGGGGCGGGGTACTGGTCTGCGGTTTGCTTCGCCAGCGGCCGTGCCGGCGCGGAGAGGCCCGGACACCGCGATCTGACGCGAGCAACGGCGAGCACGTACACAGGGGGGCGCCGGATCCGCACAACCACGTTCGTTCGTTCGCGAGCGCGTGCGGGGCCGCGCGGCAACAGAGGGCTGCGGGCCATTCTTTCGCCCGCGGCAGCGCGGGAAGGTGGCCCGGGGGCAGCGGCGCGCGCGACGCGCGGTGTCGGGGCGTACCGCGAGGCGTCGGCGTCGAAGCGCAGGAAGTGCTGCCGGACGCTCATGATCCACTTGTGCATATTCTCGAACTGGACCAGGCCCAACCTGCCCTGGCGCTGGTCGTCGAACATGCGAATGAGCTGCAGGGGCGCGCGGAGCGGGTTCCTGTGAGCGTGCGCCGCGCAGGCAGGGCTACCCCAGGTGGTGTGTGCAGGGCATGCCCCGTGGCGCGATAGCCGGGCGTCTGCGCTCCGTGCAACACCGGTATCGCACGGTGGGGTGGTGTGCTGAAGGAAGGGCCGCGCAGCCGCGGTGGGGCGGCCCGGCGGCGGCCCGCGCGCGCAATGTGCCCCTGTGCTTTGTCTCTGGGCGGTGAGGGCCTGGCCGTGGGCGGCGGGGCCTCAGGCGGCGCGGGAGGGCGTGTTCGTGGCGGGGAGCGTACCGTGCCGGCGAAGGCGACGGAGATGTCCAGCCCTGCGGAGTGCAAGGCCTTGACAAGCTCGGAGGCGTTTATACGGCCGCTGTTGTCGGTGTCGACGGCCTTGAACCACTCGGTGATGCGAGGGTCGGACATTGTGGCCAGATCTGTCGTCCGCTGCGTGGTTCCGGGCGAGGAGTGACCGGTGCGAGCCGTGCGGGCGGGAAACGAACTCCACAGACTTGCGTCTGCCCTCAAGCCGCTTGAGTCAGGCCGCTGACGTGGCCTGAGGGCGCGTCGCCGCGGAGGCGCGCGCGGGAAGGAGCTGTGCTGCTTGGTGGTGCTGTCCACATCCGGCACGCGACTCAGAGTCCCGTTCAGGACCCATACGGAGCAAATCAGGGTGTGCGCTGGTCTGAGTGCGTTTACCACGGCGCCGGACGTCGCGGAACACTCCCCCTGCCCTGACAACGGACATCGAGGCACGTTGCCGCAGGTGCGACGCATCGCGCGTGCCGGACGGTCCCGTGCACGGCCGCAGGGTCGCAGCAAGCACCTCATTCCCAAGCGCTTCGTCGGGAACGAACCAGGCAGCCTTGTACGGCTCCACACCCCGCACAAGGGCGACACGGCAAAGCTGCTGCCCTTGGCGTCGCAGGACGTACCGGCGCGGAGATGATTATCTGCCTAGGACCATGCTGCGTGCCGCTGCACCTGCTCCTCCCGTTCCTCGTGGCCATGGCGCACCGCAACGGCTACTTGATGTTTCTGAAGGAGGAGTGGTTCAGACTGCGCTGGTGGACTGCCGTGTTCATGGCAGCGCTCTACACGCTCACGGGAGGCCGTCACGGCAAACCCAGGTCGGCGCAGAGCAGCGGTGCCGCGCCGTGCTGCGACGGAGGCACGTGCGGTGGCGAAGCCAAGGCCGAGGAGGGGGAGCCGCAGCCTGGGGCGGCCAAGCAGAAGGCGACGTGAGCGCGCATGCAGGACGGAGACACTGGCGAACAGGCTCTCAAGCTCGAATTATTCCTCACAGCATTTCTTCGATAGCACCGAACGCAGCTCCCAACGATCTCATCACAGGTCCCCGCCGGAGGGCAAACATAAGTCGAACATTAAGTAATAAGACCGTATGAACAGACTACGCAATGGCAGCAGTGTGTAACAGAGCCTTCCAACGCGACGACGATGCGCACCGACGCTGTCTACGCGCGGTCTTCGATCGAGCTGTACAGCGCCTCGCGTCGCGGCGGCTTGTAAAGCTTCAGGAGCAGCGACGAGCACACCACCGACACGCTCGACGCCGCCATCGCCGCCCCCGCCACCCACGGCGGCATCCGCACCTGCAACCCGCGCAGGTAGCACACATCGCACACATGAGCCCTAGCTGCACGCACGACGGCGTGCCAAACGCCCGAACGCAAGCCACGCGCACAAGACACCTCGCCAGCAACAACATGCGCGCCGACGCACCCGGAACGACGGGAACAGCACTCCCGCCGCGATCGGCACCAGCACCACATTATACCCCGTCGCCCACACGTAGTTCCACCAGATCCGCCGCATCGCCGTCCGCGACAGGTCGACCGCCGCCAGCAGGTCCGTCAGATCCGAGTGCATCAGCACCACGTCCGCCGCCTCGATCGCCACGTCCGTCCCGGACCCGATCGCGATGCCCACCTCCGCCGCCGCCAGCGCCGGCGAATCGTTCACGCCGTCGCCCACCATCGCCACCACCTCCCCGTCGTGCTGCAGGCCCCGCACGATGTCCGCCTTGTCCGCGGGCCGCACCTCCGACACCACGTGGTCCAGCCCGAGCCCCGCCGCCACCACGTCCGCGACGCGGTGGTTGTCGCCCGTCACCATGTGGCACCGCACGCCGCGCGCCTGCAACGCGCGTACCACCGCGCCGGCCTCGCGCTTCACGCGGTCACCGATCGCGAACGCCCCGACCAGCGCGCCGCCGACCGCGACCATCACGCACGTCGCCGCGCGCCGCTCCCGCTCCTCCATCCACACCTCGGTCTCTGCCGGCACCTCGATGTTGCGTTTCGACAGGAGAGCGCGGTTGCCAACAACGACCTCGACGGCGCGCTCCGCGCCGCCGGCGGCGCCGCGCTGGGCGCGGACCCACGCGCGCGGCGTGCGCCGCGCGTCGAGGACGACGGTGGACGAGGCGCCGCGGCCGGGTAGCGCCAGGAAGTCGCGCGACGCGAGGAGGCGCGGGGCGTCGCCGGGGCCGGGCGCGAGCACGTAGGAGGCGTGCTGCACGACTGCGCGCGCGAGGTGGTGCTCCGAGCCGGCCTCGGCGCTCGCAGCGAGCAGAGCGAGCTCCTCGCGCGCAGAAACATGCAGCGTATCTTCCCCGGAGAGCCTTTCGTTTGTGCCGGTGTCGGGCCCGCAGAGGACGTCGACGACGACGGGGCGGCCCTCCGTGAGCGTGCCCGTCTTGTCGAAGACCACGACGGAGGCCTTGCAGGTCGTTTCGAGCGCGGCGCCGGATTTGATGAGGATGCCATGTTGCGCGGCGACGCCCGTTGCGACCATCACCGCGGTGGGCGTCGCGAGGCCGAGCGCGCACGGGCACGCGACGACCACGACGGTCACCGCGAACATCACCGCGAGCCCGACGCGGCCCACGCCCTCGGGCAGCCACTCCCCCGAATACCCCCCTCCCACGTACCCGGCGATCAGCCACGCGGTCAGCGTGACCGCGCTGGACGCGATGATCACCGGCACGAACATCGACGCGATGCGGTCCGCGACCGCCTGCACCGGCGCGCGCGTCATCTGCGCCTTTTGCACCAGCGCAACGATTTGACCCAGCACCGAATCCTGCCCGACCCGCATCGCTTTCATCACGATCGCCCCGTCGCCGTTGATCGTCCCGCCCGTCAGTTCGTCCCCAGGGCCCTTTCCGACCGGCACGGACTCCCCGGTCACCATCGACTCGTCGACGTGCGACGCGCCGTAGACCATGATGCCGTCCACGGGCACCCTCCCGCCCGGCGACACGCGCAGGTAGTCGCCCGGCGCGAGGAGCTCGACGGCGACGACCTCCGCCGACACCACGTCGCCGTTCGCGTCGAGCTCGACGACCGTCGCGTCCGGCGGCGCCAGGCTCAGCAGCTGTTCGATGGCACTCGAGGTTCGCCCTTTCGCGATCGTTTCAAGGTACTTCCCGAGGAGGATGAAGGCGATGAGGAGCGCGGGGGTCTCGAAGAACTGCTGGAGCGGGGCGTCGCCGCCGCGCACCACGCGCTCGATGCACACGGCCACCGAGTACACCCACGCGCCGGTGGTTCCGAGAGAGACTAGCACGTTCATGTCCGCGGCGCCGTGCGCGACGGCGCGGGCGGCGCCGGCGTGGAAGCACCACCCGACGCGCCACTGCACGGGCGTCGAGAGCGCGAGTCCGACCCACGCCCCGACGGGCAGGCGCAGCAGGGGGGTGTTGAGCGCGTGGTGCAGGGCGGGGATGTTCCCGAGCACCATGTGGATCACGAAGAGCGGGAACGCGAGGACCCACGCCTGCACGACCAGCCGCTTCCACTTCCGCGCCTCCGCGTCCCTCGCGTCGCGCAGGGCGTTCTGTTCAGAGAACAAGCGCGCGCTCAACCCCGCGGCGTCGCGGATCGCGGCAACGAGGCCGCGGACCTTCACGCGCGAGGCGTCCATCGTGACGTCGATGCGCTGCGTCGCGAGCGCGATGCGGACCTCGGAGACGCCGTCCATCGCGCGCAGCGCCGCTTCGATGCTGCGCGCGGCGCGCTCCGTCAGTGCGTCGACCGTGAGGGAGCAGGCGTCGACGCGCGCGGGCGGGATCTCCTCGGCCTCGAAGCCGCAGTCCTCGACGGCCTCGACGAGCGCGGCGACGCCCGCGCCGGCGCCGGTGTCGTAGGTGATGTCCGCGACACCGGTAGACACGGAAACCGCGACGGACTTGACGCCAGGGACGCCGCTGAGCGCTCGCTCGACCGCGGACGAGCAGGACGTGCATGTCATGCCGCCGACGCGGAGGCGGACGGGTTGCATCGCGTCGAATTTGCCGGCGGGGGTTCTGCTGGTGTGGGCGCCCGGTGCGACGCGTGGCTTCGCGGAGAGGAGCTGCGCGTCGAAGCCGCAGTCCTCGACGGCTTCGACGAGCTGGAACGCGGCGTCGGGGATGCGCGCGGCGTCGTATTCGACCGCGGCGCGCCCGTCGATTGCGGAGACGCTGGCGCTGGAGACGCCCGGGAGGGCCAGGAGGGCCTTCGTCACGGCGGACGAGCAGGACGTGCAGGTCATGCCCTGGATGGACAGGTCGGCGGACATGGGCCGCGCATCCTGCGAGGCAGCGTGGAGAGACGGGAGCGCGTAAGAGCAAGGGCGGGGCGCTGGGAAAGTGCCTGCCGCCGTGGCGCCCGGACGGACGCCGGCGCAATGCTTCTCGGGTCGCACTGTGCGCTATCCTACAAGAACTTTGCGAAGAAGGCTGAAAGAGGCGCAGTTGTGCGCTGGGCGGAGCTCTGCGGGCTAGACTAAGCTCATGCTGAGCAGTTGCGGGTCCGCGGGCGGGCGGCGCGGGCCCGTTCAGCGGCACCGCGGTGCCCGGGACACGCGTATCACCTGCACGCTGCCGTCGGATCGCAGGACCTGCCCGGCGCCGCCAATGAGCGGCGCGGCGTCCTCGTCTGCGTCTCTCGTGCTTCGGTGCCGCGACATCGCGGGACGCTCGCTCCGCCGCGATCTGCGCCCCTATGCTGGGTCCAGCTGTAAGAGTGTCGCAGAAGCGAGGGCGATCGTAGCCGGCACGGACCTCGCGGGACCCGTAGGAGGAGCTAGAGGGCAACTATGGAGCCTGGTGGCGGGCCTCGTCGCAGGGGAGGGACCTCTAAGTGGAAGTCGTCGCACAGACGTCGAACTGAAGACCAGTGCACAGGACGCGCGGTCGAACACGACACGGCATGTTCGCGCAAGCAATACGCCACTTGAACAAACGATGCGTGCGCTGAGCGCGGAGCGATGGCGCGAGATTACGGCCCTGACGCACCCCCGCGTTGCACAAGTGCGTGCGCGGGCGCCTGGCGGGGTTCCATGTCGCCCCAGCCTAGCCCGCCACCCAGGGTAAAAACAGCACCCATCACACCCCCCCCTCTCTCTGACAGACCCACGCCGCCCCCCGGCACGCTCGCAGCGCTCGCACGCACCACGTCGCCGCGGTCCGCGCCAATTATATGTCCAGGTCGTCGTCCGGGTCCTCATCGGAATCGTAGTCGCTGTCGCTGTCGCGCACGTACATGATGTGGCCCAGCTTCTGCCCGCCCGCGTCGTCGGCGTGCTTCCCCCCCGGCCCGCGCCCGCCCGCCGCCGGGGGCAGGTACTCCTCGGCGTCGAAGTTCGCGTGCGACGGCAGGTCGCCGGTGTGCTGCCAGGGAAGCACGACGGCATCGCGGGCCTTCCGCTCCTCGCTCGACAGCTCCAAACGCATGCCGAGGCTGCTCACGGACACAGGCTTCGCGCGCACCGGGGTCGTGCGCGGCGCCGCCCTCACCCCGCTGCCTGCAGCGACCAGTGCACAGCAAAACAACAACACACCTCAAAACACCCCCCCTTCAGCACACCACGCATCCCCAGGCCAAGCGCGCCACTGCGCACAGCAAGCGCATCGACTCCCATCCTGCGCGCTCGCTCGCACCTTCGGAAACGGCCGACATGGGGGGGGTTTGCAGCCCGTGCCCCGACGCAGCCGCCTGCAGCTTCGAATCCGCGAGGATCTGCGCGGTCGCGGGGCCCGCGACCGGGGGATCGTACAGCTGCACGCGCCCGTTCGCGGTCGCGTCCGCGTCGATCGCGTACATCTGCACCGACACCTTGCCGCGCCCGGTGCGCAGTTTCAGCAGCGTCTCCAGCCGGCCGTGGACCTCGCAGCCGCGCTGGCAGCGCAGGAGGTCGACGTCGAGGTCGGACGCGGGGCCGATCGTGAGGATCGCTTCGGCGAGCGACTTGAGTCCGACGAGCTCCTGGGGGCTGAAGCAGGGGGGGGAGTATGAACACAGCACCGCGGAGACTGCGGGGTGTTCGCGGACCGCCGCGAGCGTGCGAGCGAGCGCGGGGATCGAGTGGAAGAGGTGCAGCCACGACAGCGAGTGAATCACGACGACCACGGAGCCGTCGGGGGGGTCCGGCGCGGCGCCCGCGTCCGCGCGGGTTGACGGCACGTCCTGCGGTGGGGCGAACGCCCCTGCGATGACCTTCTCGAGCGCCGCGAGCAGGTCCTCCTCCTTAGTCAGGTCGTGCGGGGGCTCCTGCGGCGCCTCCTCCGGCCGCTCCGCCGCCCCGCCACTGCCCGCCTGTCCGTTCCCGCCCAGTTGGACTTTCTCGAGTGATTCCGCCACCTGCGCGCCGTCTGTCTCCGCCGCCGCGCCGGCCGTGGAGCCCGCCCCCGCGTCCTGGGGCTTGACACCCAGCCCTCGCATGCAGTCGTCCTCCACGCCCGCAACAACACATGGGATGACTTCGGCGTCGTTTTCGTGGTAGCGGACCGGCGGGGGGCCCGCTGCGAGCCAGCCCGCGGGGTCCTGCGCGAGCCCCGCGGCCACGAGCGCCGCGCCGTCGCCGGGCGCGGTCCCGGACACCACGAGTGAGTCGGGGTCATCGAGAGACACCAAAACGGCTTTCGACGCCTGCGCGCGGCCTTGGGCGATGGCGGCGGCGAGGCGGCCGATCACTGCGGCGAGGACGTCGAAGGCGCCGGCGACTGCGGGGGCGGAGGGGTGGGAAGACGCGAGCGGGGCTGAGTGGGAGCGGTGTAGCAGGCGGTCACTGTCTGGATTGATCAAGGATATCTGAGGGAATATGCGGAGGGCCGTGCGCAGGCATATGCGACGTGTAAAAATACTCTCCCTCGCCGTCGTGCGATCCAGGGCGTTCGTGCCCCACAAAGTGCTGCGGCGATCTGTCTCGGTGGCCGTGCGGCGGGACGCCGGCTACCGCGAGGTTGCGACACTCACATACGCCGGTGCCGCAGACGACAGCACTGGGCGCAGCGGCATGGTAGCGCCTGCGTAGCGTCGCTCACCTTCGTCGCTCAGCCCGACGAGCGCAAGCGGTGTACGCTCTGCCCCCTCCGTGGTGCCGTCGCGCAGCACGCGAAGCAGGAGGTCCATTATCCCGCAGCCACGGAGCGCCTAATGCCCAGCGCCACTATGCCCGGACGTGCTGTGCCGCTGCCGTGGCGCCCGCAGCGTCGAAGAGCGCACAGGCTGGATCAGTTGGATCTCGCAATTCGTGGACCCGCGCGGCGCGCATTGCTTGCGCCGCGAAGGCGGCGCGGGCGGCGAGAGAGCACAGCCCGCTTTATGTGTCGCCCACGTCCCCGATCAACGCATATCAAGCGTCCACAAGCACCCGTAGAGACTCTCCCGGGTCTGCCCTACCCTTCGCGCGCCCGAAGCACAACATGTTCCGCAGCCTCGTCGTCCTGCAGCCAGGAGAAGGGTCCGCATGAGACCTCCAGGAGGAGTCGCCGTGCGTCCCGCCGTCTTCGGCGCTGCAGCCCGGGGCCCGCCTCGCAGTTACCACGCACGCTTGCGCGTCGATTCGTTGCGGAATCACTCGCCGTGTGCCTACGAGGCGTCGCGCAGGGCACGTTCTCTGCTGCTGTGACTGTTCGTGGCTCGTCCCCGGGCGCAGGAGAGATGCCGGGCCCGCCGGGGAGCGGCGGTGGGCTCCCGCAGTCCACGAGACCCGGCCGCGACGCAGCCGTCGAGTACGCGCCGGAGCCGACGCGCCCTGATGGCGTCATGGGCACCTACCCAACGGGGGCGCACTTCCACCCGAACGCCACGTTCGGCGGGCCAGGTGCGCTCGCGGCAGCATGTCGTACGCGGACGCCGCACATGTGCTCGACCCATGCCGCGCGGGCATCGAAACGCGTTCGAACCAACGAGAGAGAGGCTACTTTCGCGCACCGCCGTCCCGGCGCTGCTCCAGATTCTCGCCAACTCCATGTCCTCTGTTCTTCGTGTTCGTGTCGTGCCGGCCAGTTGGCTCTCCGCGTTCCAGCTCGCCGTGACGCCCCGGAAACCGGCGCGCGCGTTCCTGGGCCCAGCAACCACTTGCGCGACGATCACAGCGCGAAACCCGCGCTCCGTGTCCTCCGCGCGCTCCTTATCCCTAGGCCGTCCGCCACCTGCGCTCACCTCACGCCCATTCCCTCCCTGGGCGCCCCCCGCAGTGAGCCCTCCTGCCCACCCCGCGGAGCACGGCGAATCGAACGGGGCGTATCCAGGCACGGCGCCGGGCGGCGGACCGGCGGCGCAGCGTCGCGCCGACGCCCCGGGCCCGCCGCCGCTGATCAAGCCGATGCAAGTGTGCTGCGGCTGCGTCGAGCTGCGCTCGGCCGTCATCACGTGCGCGGCGGTGCAGGCGGCGTGGTTTTTCCTCGAAGGGATCTACGCGCTGCACGCCGTGGACAAGGACGACGTCAGCAAGTACGACAACGCCATGCCGGACGACGCGAAGGGTCTCCTGACCTTTTACGGCCTGTGGGCCTTTATGTACATCCTACCGGCGTCGATACTCGGCATCGTGGCCTGCGCGTTCACCCGCCCGATCACCGAATACCGCCCCTGGGTCCTCAGGTGAGCGGCGACCGGAGCCGGCCCACACGCCGCGAAGGGGGTGTCTTTGTTTCTAGACCCGCGTGCGTGACCGTGCCCTCGCGCTCCCGCCGCTGACGCAGGCTGACGAAGGTGTACGCGTGGATGATGGTCGGCCACATGGTGTTCGTCCTCACCATCAACATCGCCGTCAAGGGCGTGCAGCGCTACAGCCTGGAACAAGAGCGATACGCGGAGGAGAACCCGGGGTTCGAATACGGCACCTCGCGGGGCCTGTGGACGTTCGAACAGGTGCTCTGGTGCATCGTGCTGGCCAACCTGGGGATCTACTTCACGTACGTCCCCTGGAGCTACAACACAAAGCTCCAGCAGCAGGCGCGGGGGGTGTTCGACGGTTACCCCGTGCTGCACCGGCAGGCAGACGAGATGGGCATCCCGCGGCCCGGATTCATCGGGTCGCGGAACCGCATGGACGGGCCGTACGCGCAAACACATCCCCCGGGGACCATTCAGATGGCGGGCGCGCCCGGAGCGGCACCGATGCACCCGGGCATGATGCCGCCGCCCCCGCCGTACCCGGGCCCGCCGAGCAGCGGGCCGTACGGCGGGCCCCCGCCGCAGCCTGCGCCAGGCGTCGTGGGGAGCTATCCGCCAGCGTTTGGGTACGGTGGTGGGCAGGGCAGGGATGGGCCGGCGGTGGGAGTGCCTGTGGCGGCGCGGAGGCCGCAGGAGGGCGTCGCGGGGGCGCAGAACGGGGCGGGGTCGGGTGGGTACCCGGGTGGAAAGGGGGGTGCGGGCCCCGATGTGTAGAGGGGGGTGTGAGTCGCTGCGACATGTTCGAAGCAGAATAAGCGTTATTTTATGTTCCGAGCACTTCTGCTCGGAAGGCGAGCGGTCAGTGGCGGGGCGTGGAGCGGCATTGCGACCGCGGCCTGTTCGCGGTCCGTCGGGTGCTGCGTTGCTGACGTGTCGCGTTCGTGTTCCGATTCACCCGCCAACCAACCAACCACTGGGTAGGTAGATACAGAACCTCGGGACGCAGCTGCATTCCCTGAGTCATCACACGGGCCTGGGGTGCGCGCGCACGCTGCTGGGCGCCGCGACATCGAGGATGACTTGTATCGTTCATCAAGAGATTGGGCGCCGTTCCCGCCCAGCGCCGCTCGCACGCGTCCGCACCGGCGCTCACTCGTCGTCGTCGTCGCAGGTCCAGATGAAGTGGTCGGTCAGGACCACGGCCGCGTCGTCGCCGTTGACGTTGCGGTGGTTGTCGTGCATCAGCCGGGCGTCCCGCACGTCCTCGGCCTTCTCGTCGATGAAGTAGTCCGTCACCAGGATCGCGCCGCCGCCCCTGCGGCCCTTCGTGCTCGCCGCCCGCGCCACCGACCACATCACGGACTTCTTCCCCACATGCGCAATGATCCATCGCTCCTTCACGCCGCTCTCCGTCACCCAGTTGAACTTCGCGTTGCGGAACACCTCGCCGGGCCCCAGCCGCTCCGCGTCCTGAGGCTTCAGCTTGAGCATCCGCGGAGCGAACGTCTCCGCGCCCTTGCTGTTCAAGCTCTTAGTGAAGGCCTTCAGCACCGCGCCGGACGCGTCCCGGAACGCCGTGAACACCAGGATGAGGTACGAGTCGCACGTGGCCACGATCATCTTCCCGTCGTGCGTCACGTCGATCGCCGTGATCGGGTGCCCGTACCCGGGGTAGGCCGTCACCGCGCGCGACATCGAGTCCTTCGAGCGATACAGCCGGATCATCCCGTCGTCCGACCCCGTCACCAGCTCGCCCGCGCCCGTCGTCGCCACCGCGTTGAACTTCATGTTGCTCTTGTACGACGTCCCGCCCGTCCACCCCATGAACCCGTCCGCGCCCGCCACGTCCTGCACGGGCGTGTTGCCCGCGCGCATGTCGAACCGCGAGATCTGCTTGCCGTTCGCGTTCAGCGCGAGGAACGTCGGCGTGCCCTCCAGCCCCGCCGCCTTGTGCTCGTGCTGGATCTCCTTGATTCCCAGCGACACGCCGTTCTGTTGGAAGCCGTAACGGCCGACAACGGTCTCGCGCTCGAGGTCGAGCTTCATCGCCGAGGGGCGGTCCGCGGCGCCCGGCGTGAGCATGAGCATGCCCTGCTCGTTCTGCACGAGCATGGCGCGCGACGGCGTGTGGAACTCCGGCGTCGCCACCACGCCGCCGCCGCGCTGCCCCGCGCGGACGGGCGTGAGGTTGATGGCCACGTCCGCCGCCTCGACGCCGCCGTGGTGGTTCTTGAACACGTCGACCACGCCCCCGCGCACCGCGTACGAGCGCTCCCCCGCGCCCACCTCCATCAGCGAGTACGTGCCGTCCGCGGGCTCCTTGTCCAGGCGGTGGCTGGCCTTCGCGCTCTCCTCTTCCTCCGGGTCTGCGGAACGCGGTGCGCGGCGACTGCTTGTGCGAGGCGCGCCGGGCGTGGCGAGCGCGGGGGAGGTGATGCCAGGAACGACGTGGCGTTGTGCGCTGCGTACGTGGTTCGCCGCGGCACTGCTGGGCGCATCGCGGCGACAAATGCGCATACATCGCGGATCAGCTACGCGGCACGCGAAACCCGGGGGGGTCTGGGGGGTGTGTGTGTGTGTGCGGCCAAGGCATCCGTGCTCACGCGCGCAGCGCTCACCTCCGTCGATGTCCATCGCCATGTCCGCGGGGTCCTCGGCGCGCCCCCACGCGAGCGCGAGGCCCGCGTTCTTCTCGCCCCCGAACGCGGCGACCAGTGCCTCTTGCGTGAACTCCGTGTTGTTCTGGTTCTCAAACATGCGGTTCTCGAACTCGTTCGCGAACCGATCGTACTGCTCGCGCGCCGCAAACCTCAGACAATACACCCCCTGCCCCTCCGCGCGGAAGGTGCACTCCAGGTCGGGGGTGTTGAACTGCATGTCCATGTCAGGGATGATGCGCTGCCGGATCTCCTTCCCGATGTCGACGAAGTGGTCGAAACCCTCGAGGTCTTGCTCCTCTGCGGGCGGCGGGAGGGCGCAGGTGATGCGGGGCGGCGAAACGCGTCAGCGCGCGCCACTCGCTGCTGTAGGGTTGTTCCGCGAAGCACGGCGCGGTCCGAGCAGCTTCGTTGCGCCAGGACGTTCTCCGTGGTGTGTGTGGGCGACGACGTGGCGCGTGGTGGTGAGGAGGGGCGCGGAGAGGGCTCGGGACGCACCGCATTCGTTGTAGAAGGACACTTCGGGGTTTTCCTCCTCCAGCTTCCACTGTCCCTTGGCGAAACGGAAGAGCCGCGTGACACCAGCGTTCGAGGGTCCCGCCGCCGGGGAGCTCTGCGTGGTACAGGCGCAGGACGGGCGTGTCTCGTGCTCAGCGCTGCAGCGTCTTTGCGGCACCGCGTCGCGTGTCTCACGTGGAACCGCGCGTCGCCGCGCAGAACGTCGCAATCAGTGCGTCAAGGAAGCGCTTCGCGCGAGTATCTCGGCCGCAGGGGCCTCGCAAGGGCGCCACGGGGCGATCGTGCTGCCCTCAACAAACCGAGCCCGCGGACTGCGCGCGACGCTCACGCTGCCGTCACGATCGCTCTGGCACCGAGCGGCGTCCACTCGCGCGACCAGCAGGTCGGCAGCGGGCACAGGGAGCGCAGGCGCAGCTGCAGGGTGCGTCTTGGGGGCGCAAGCACACCACGGAGTCGTGTCTCGGTGCACGCAGGACCGGATCTCTCTCACCTCCGCGCTGTCCTCGACCTTCACGCCGCCAAACATGCTCGCGAGGTACTGCATGGCGTCTCGCTTCCTCCCTCTCCCGTGGGTGCGACCCCTCGGTCACGCTGCGTGGTTCTTCTAGGGAACCCGGCCCCCGCGCGCGATCCAGGGAAAGTATGACGAAGCTACGCGCGACGGCGGCTCGATGCGTGTCGCGACTGCCGGCTGCGCTGCGATTCGCGCGCCCTCGGCTTGCAGGCGGCCCGGGGGGGACGCCTGGCGTGTGAGACTAGGCTAGTTTCACTCCCCCGCGTCTGCATAGCTGAGCCCTGTGCCGATCAGCGACCTGGCGGCGCTAGCACGTCCAATTCCTTCCGCGGATCACGTGGACCTCAGCACGGGGGGCGTGTCGCCGTGACGGTGCAGCGCCACCTCAGCGCCGACGTGTTGCAGCGCCCTGCCGTGACGAGGGACGACGCCTCGCCGGACAGACAGCGGGCCCTGCTGGGCAACTCGGGCCTCGCTCGCCCACGTGCTCGGGCCGACAGGCCACGGGCCGAATTCGAAAAGCATCACACGCCGAACGGGGCGGCGGGTTTCTCGGGATCGACGTCCATGGCGTCTCCAGCGAGCGCGTGCAGGTGCGCGGGCGAGGGCAACTCAGGAATCCGCTTGCGGCCCCTACGCGCGCCGATCACGAACAGCCAGCTCTGGTCTGACTCCATCCCAAACGCCCTGGCGCTGACCTCGCCGAATCTCACCTGGTACCCCAGCTCCAGCATCGTGCGTACGATCTTCTGCAGCGTCGTGCCGCCGTAGTGCGTGGCCACCTCGGGCGCGTTCGCCATAATGATAAGCGAGGGTTGGTAGAATTCGCAATATGACAGAAACATGGGTGTAAATGCGTTGAACGAGAGCATGGACGGCACGGGAGGGCCTCCGTTTGGGTTAGAGAGGCACTCGCACGGCGGTGCGCCGCAGACGAGCTCCACATCGCCCTGGCGCGGCAGGCGCTCGTCGCCGGCGACGCTGCCCGCTGCGGCGGCGCACGCGAGGCGCAGGCCGTGGCCGCCGTCCTCGAGGAAGATCTCCGCGTCGGGCAAGCTGGCCTGCATCGCGAAGGCCGCGTCCACATTGCCCTCGAAGGCCCACAGCGTCTTCGAGGCGCCCGCGGCTTCCAAGCCAACCGAGAGGGTCCCGACGCCCGGGAACAGCTCCAGCGCACGCAGCGGCTCTGGCTTACGGTCCGTGGCCGCGGACATGCCCGCCGACGGCCCGGCGGCAGGCGCGCTGCGCTCGTCCTGCTCCGCACGGTGGCCTATACGCATGGCGGCGCGCGTGGGGAGGTCGCGGAAGACGCGCTCGGCCTCGACGTACTCGTACCGCAGCCGCAGCTGCGCGCCCGGCGACGTCGACTCGGTCAGTGCAGGATCCAGAGCAGCCCGCTCGTCCGGCAGCATCCAGTCCCCGGGGGCCTCTCCGAGGTCGAGCAGATCGAACCCGTCGTCCTGCGCAGCGAGGGCTCCGCTCCCGAGTGAAACACGAGCGCAGGCAGCGTGCAATCCACTGTGGCAGTCGCAGTCGCGGCGTGCGCGCACCAGACACACCGTGGGGCAGTCCTGCACGAGGAAGACCTCGTCCGGGGCCGCCTCGTCCCGCAGCATCGTGTCCGCTGCCCACACCAACCGTCGCAGCCGCGCCATGCGGCGTCCTGCGTCGATCGATCCACCGCACGTATCTGCTGCATCCTGCGCATCGTCTCCGCGGTCCCGCCACTGGCACAGCACCACGCCCATCACCTCCCCCGTGGCGTCCCCGTCGTATCGGCACCGGATCACGGCGCCGCACGGCACCTCGGCCTGGGCCTCGCGGCGCGAGCGCTTGTGGGCGCCCCGCTGGGCCGGGCCGAGCGGCGCGCTTCTCTTGCGCGCCTCCGCCGAGCCTGGATTCCTCGGCGCCGCTGAAACCGCCCCGCCCCCGTCGAAGTCGATGAGTTCCATCGCCACAAGTGGATGGTCCCTCCATATTCGGTGGACGGTGGCCGTTGCTGGCTGGGGGCGGTCGAAGTCGCTGGGATCCCCGGCTTCCTGCTTCACAGGCGTGCTGCACTCCATCGCCGCCCTCGTTCTCTGCGAGCGGCGTGGGAAGCACAAGGTGGTTGGGCATGGGTCCCGAGCCGCGCGTGTCCAGGGGGTCGCGACACCCGTACGCGGTGCGCCGCTGTGAAATCGTAACTCAGGAAGCCTGCCAGCGTGACGCATTCACTTGCGACCGCCGGAACGGTCGAGAAAAGCGCGACCGAGTGGAGGGGGAGCCCAGCGTTGTGTGAGCGCCCCTTGCGCTGCGCATTTGGCCGTGATGCCACTCATTCATCGCGTAACACGACGTCGTAGCACTGATCGTCGCTTCGAGCTCGTGATCACGCACGCGCATGCAGCGAGGAAGCACCGCATGGCTGCTCACCTGCACACGACGCAATGCCTCCTTGCGCTGGCTCGGCAGCGCACCAACCGAGATTCAACGGCCCCAACAGCCATCAATGAGCTAGAGGCGCGCACGAGCGCGCAGATATGTCCGCGACAGGCCGCCCTCATACCCACCGCGAGGCCCCCCACATCTCGACGCACGTCCATTATAGCCCACTCCCTAAGTAAAAATTGTCGCTGGAGCTCGACTGGGCCGGGGGGTCGATGTCATGGAATGCCGCGAGACTCCGCCGGCCGGATCTTTTTGCCCCGGGGAGGCCGGGGCCGCGCGCAGCGCGCCGCGGGTAGCCGTTGTTGGCGAGAAAACCGCCATCTTGCATGCCATCAGTCCCATGCCGCCCGCCCCCCCATCTGCGCGATATCCCACGCTCTTCGACAGCCCTCGCATCACTCAGGATCACGCATCTCTCCTGTCAATCGTCAAGCACTGTTGCGGTGCAAAAACGTTCGGCTTCGGGCGCAGTCCACTTGTGCCAAGAAACGAGGGATTTCCCTCGAGGCAAAAGGCATGCATACAAGGCATTTGTGGGCGGAAACTCGCATGCCGACCTTTCTCTGACCGAAAAGATGCCATTGGACGCAACAAAGAGCACCCCAACCAAAATTTGCTGGGCAGGAGGTGCTTGCCAACACAACATCACGGTCACGTTCGAGGCCGTTCCCGGCCGCCCCACGCGCCGTCCGGCCGCGCCCGGCCCCCAGCACCCCCGGGCTTGCCGTGGGCGGAGTCTTGCGGATTCCGTGACATCGACCTAGCGGGCCGACTCGAGCTCCAGAGACCTCCAATTGGGCTATAATGCGTCGGGTCGGGTGCGAGGCTCTTGTGCCGCAGCGTCGACGGCGCACGGGCAGAATCAGCGGTCGCGTCGCGGGCCATTCGCGCACCGTCGACCCCTGCAGGTCCGAAACGCGCGTCCGGGCGCCTGACTGTCCGTTAGCGGCTATAGAAGTGTGCATTGACAGAGAGCCGTTTCGCTCGCCTTCTACCTTCGGCGGCCATACTTTGGGCAGGTCGAGCTCGATGGCAGGGACCAGTCTGCTGCACGACACGCGGCGGTACGCTCGTGCTGGCCCAGGTCTGCGTGGTTTCGCAACGCACAGGTGCGTGGCGCGGGGTTTCGCCAGCTGTTGCGTCGTGACTCCTCGGAGCTGCCTTGCCCTGAACGCGCCCCCTGCGGACGGCGTTGCGGACGCCTGTGTCGTGCGGGATCATGAGAGCGCTGCCGGCCGTCAAACGGCACCGAGAAAGGGCGGGGATGCCCGGTGTTTGCACGCCTGAGTTGCGCACCAGCCAACCCCGCCTTGCGTCGCGGCCCTCGCAGGATGCTGGAGCACCGCCGCTGACGGACGTCGCGAGCATGTCTCACACGCCGGTCCGCGACCGGAGGGGTGCCCCCAGGCGGGCAGCGCACGGCCTGCGCTCCAGCTCCAGCGCTCCGCTGGCCGCGGCCGTCGCGGAGGCCAACATCATGCACGCCGTGGCGCTCATGGACCACATGGCCCGCCACCACGGGCTTCCGGTGCGACACCCAACAGAAACGCACGTTGCAGTCCCGCGCGGGCGCTTTCTCTGTGTCATGCTCCAGGGGCCGCGCGGCTGCTAGCGCATCGACAGTGCGATTTCCCGCGGCGAATCGCCGCCGAAAGGATCCTTGGTGATGTCTCCTCGCCCTGCGCAGGGAGCGGGGAGGAAGGTCGCTGCGCGCCGGCCAGGGGAGGCGCCTACGTTGGCGCAGCGGTACGGCCTTGTGGCCGCCCCGCCCGCGAAGCTCACCACTTCGGAGTGGAAGGCCGTCAGGTACCTGCGATCCTCGAGTCGTGCGCTCTGCCGCCTCGGCTCACAACCTCCTCCAAACGCCTCACGTCGACGCTCAGAGCCTAAGACGCGATCGTGCAACTTTCACCGTCCACGTTCCCGCGCAACCGCAGGGAGAAGTCGCGCGCGAGGGGCGACCTGACGAGCCGCTGCGCGATCTGCCTCGACGGCTTCGGGAACCAGAAGCAGACCCTGCTGTCGTGCTCCCACGTGTTTCATAGCACATGCATCAAGTCGTTCGAACGCTACGCAGGTGCGACGCCGCACCCGCCGCCACACCCCCCTGCACCGAGGTCCGCAATATACGCGCGGTGTGGCGCTTCGAACTACCTGCAATGACGCAGCGATGGTCCAGAACGAACGATTGTGTCTTGTCAGCATATGTGTGGATGCACGCCTGGGTGACGCGCCGAGCGTCTCAACCGGGCCGTCCCCGTCGTTCTCGCAGGCGTCCGCGTGTGCCCCATATGCCGCGCGGAGCAGTACCAGGCCACGGACGTCCGCGACGGGCGACGCGCCGCGCGGCGGGCGGCCGCGGTGCGCATCCAGGCGTGGTGGCGCGGCGTCCTCGGGCGCCGGCGGGCGCGCGAGCTGCGCCGCACGCGGCCCCCGCGGGACCCCGCCCTGCGCAGGAAGTGGCTCGAGGAGCGCCTGTCAGACCACACGGACCGCGTGCTTGCATCGCTCCGGGACGCCCCCGCGACGGGCGGCGACGGTGCGTCCGATCTGGACGCGTTCCTGAAGGAGATGGACCGCGGGATGAGTCAGGCCCGGACGGTGTGCGACCGCGCCGTGAATGCGTCGGTGTTTCGGCGGTTGAACCGCGGGCAGCCGCTGGACGAGAGTCTGGGGCAGCTGCTGACGCAGCGCGTGGAGGACGAGGAGCGGCGGATGTGGGCGGAGGAGGAGGCGAGGCAGCGTGCGGAGGAGCAGCACGCGCAGCGGTTGGCGCGGGCGCAGCGGCATGCGGAGCACAATGCGCGCGTGCGGGCGGCGGTGTTCGGGGCCGCGCAGGGGCGTGGAGGAGCCGGAGCCGCGGGCAGGGCGGCGGAGGTCGTGGACGACGCGTCGTTCGAGGAATACCGAACCAGGTCTGCCATTGAACGGATTCAAAGCAGGGCGCGCGCGGCGGGCGTCCTGCCGCGCCGCATCGATGCCAGTGGTGCCGCAAGCGGCTCGGGCGAGGGTGCGCCGCGCCCGGGAGGGGTCGCGCTGGAGGAGGGCCCGGCGGCGGGGGGGGACGTGGGGGAGTTCTACGACGAGGGCGCGGGGGTCAATTGGGACGCCGTGGTGGCACGCGTGCTGGAGCGCGGGGCGCTGGACGAGGACTGTCCGATCTGCATGGGCGCGATGAGGCGGGAGACGAGCGACTGCGGGGCGCCGCAAGCCGTCGCGTGGTTGTCATGTTCGCACGTGTTCCATGCGCGGTGTCTCGCGGCGTTCGAGACGTTCGAGGAGGCGCGGTGTCCGGGGGGGCGGACGTGTCCGGTGTGCAGGGGGCCGTACGCGCGCAGGTTCAGCGCCGTGCCGGCCCGATAGCGGCGGCTGTTGAGTGCAGGCGGGGGCCCGGTGCAGTGCTAGCCTGCGGCTCCATCAACGGTCACGACCGCGTGTCCGAGGGATCTCCCATTTCGGAGGCGCGATTCACGGGGAGCGGCGCGAACGGATGGATGCGTTGACAGCGGCTTGTTGCCTGTGATCACGGCGCGTGTCTTTGTCAGCGCTCTGTGTGTTGTCGCGACGATTACCAAGGAGGCTTTCGTGGCACCGTGCCACCACAGGGGGCTGCGGGTCATGACCGAGGCCCCCAGCGTGCCGTGGAGGCCACAGTGAGAGAGGCCCTCAGCAAGCTCGTTCGCCTTGCCGAAAGCTATTCAGACAGCTGCATACCTGCTCTGGCTGATCAGTACCATGATCAGTACCATGATCGACGTTCGTTCGTTCACGCGTGTCACAATGCCGCTCGATGTGGCAGGGCGCCGCCCGCGATGACGCTCGAGCCGGGCGCGCGTCCCCCCGCCGCCGCCCACCCCTCCGCCCACGTCAGGTTCAGGGGGGTGTCTCCGGGCAGCGGCGTCAAAAACCCCTCCACCTCCGCGGCGGACACGGCGTCCAGGGACCCGTGCCGCCACTTCGGCGACTTGTCCCGCCGCACCAGCGCCGCTGCCACGCCCTCCGCGAAGTCCCCGGCGCCCGCGGGGCCGCGTGCGTCGAGCTTGCGTCGCGCAACCACAGCCTCGCGCTGCAGCACCTCGGCGAGCGTGGACGTGGCGCCCAGCTCAAGCATGCGCCACGTGAGGCAGACCGCGAGCGGCGACGCGCTCTGCAGCTGCGACAGCGCCTTGCGCGCCCACTCGGACGTCTGTGCCGTCTTCTCCAGCCGAGCGACAACGCCCTGCGGCGACGGTGCGGGGCATGTCGCGGCGTTCGAGGGAGGCGCGACAGAACAAAGCGTCGCGTGCGTTGATGCTCGAACGGCAAAAAGAAGAGCGAGGCTGAAGAGATCGGAACAGACAGAAGTCGAAGTTGCAAAACAATCGAGAATCCACGAACATGGTTCGCTGCGTCCGCACCGTGATCCCCTCGTCCGGCGCAAACACCGCCTCGACCTCCTGCGCGGGCGGCAGGTCCTCCGCGGGCACCACGGCCCCGCCATGAGGCGCTCGATGGCTCAGCTCCGCCGCGTCCAACACCGCCCGAATCGACGCCTCGCCGGGGTGCTCGAGCGCCAGGAGCTCCTCGCGCAGTGCGGGAATCGCGGACGACGCGATGAGGTGCGTTGCGAGCCCGAGCTCGCGCGCAGCAGCGCCCGTGATGCGCGCGCCCGTCAATCCCAGCCACGCCCCGTACCTGCCGCGCAGGCGCGGCATAAACCACGAAGCGCCGATGTCCGGGAAGAGCCCGATCTGTACCTGCGGTGAGCGCGCGCGCGGGGCGTGGCGGGCTTCGGCACCCCGGCAAATCGCATTTTTGCCACAACACACAAAGCGACACGCACCGCCGGGCGCCGGGCCGATGGCGGCAGGCGGACTGGCTGCGCACCTCGGGCATCGCGAGCACCGTGCGCTCGGTGGCCACGCGGAACGCGCCGTGAATCGAGAGCCCGACGCCGCCTCCCATCACGATGCCGTCCCACAGCGACACCTGGGGGAGCGGCTGCGTGGCGAGCTCCATGTTCATCGAGTACTCCAGGTGGAAGAAGTCCGACGTCGCGTCATCGAGGACCGATTTCGGCGCCGTCGTGACCGCTACGACATCGCCTCCCGCGCAAAAGGCCCGGCCCCCTCGCCCCTCCGTGAGCACCGCGCAGGGCGCTCCCGGTGGCCGTGCGGCGCCTGGCTCGCCGCAGAGATCACGGTACTCCCGCCGGATCGCCTTGACCATCCCGGCGGTGAGCGCGTTCAATGCGCGCGGCCTGTTGAGCTGGTGGACGCGCCATCGGCCGTGCGTGCTTGCCACGAGCTCCGGCTCCTGCTCGACGACGTTGCCGTCGTGAGGCTCCGCACTCGTCCGCGCAGCACCCATTTCACGCCCGTGTGCGCCGCTGGGCCCGCCGCGGAGACGCCCGAAGGCTGCCCGGACACTAGAGCTGCTCCTCGGCCCCCCCCCCGCGCAGCCAAGCCGCGAATATCTTTGCCGCGCTGGCGCGGCGATCTGTGTTGACGCTCCTGGGGTCGCGGCTGGCGAGCGCTGCGATATCTCGCTCCGAAACGACACACCCGGAGGCCTGCTTTGTGCCGTGATGATGAACGGGGCTGTCGGACTGCGTTGCGGCGACCGGCCCCTCACGATCGATCGCGTTTCTCGCAGACCTTGGACGGCGAATGCGCCAGCGCGGCCCGCGGGACCCCCAAGAGCCCGTACCAGTCCTCGGCCAGCGTCCGTCGGCTCACCACACGCCCCCGGAGCCTAATTCCGCCGGTCCAGGCCGGGCCTGGCCCCCGCCCGCCTCCCGCGCCACGTAGCCTCGGAGGCCTGCAAGTGAGCCTCACTCTGCGATCGTCATCTGCGCGAGAATAGCCCCGCACGTCGTCTCCGGCATCCATATTCTACGCACTCTTGCGGCGCCACGGCATCTTCCGTTCCTGCGCGCCTGCGCGCACAGAGCTGCGCGCCGACGAGCGCGCCCGAGGGCCGAGGCTCCCAGCTAGCCGTCGCACTCCTTCCTGCCTGAGCGGCGCAGGGAGCCGACACGTGGGACTACAGGCCCTTGTGTGTGCAAGCACGCGCCTAGCGCGTCGCTCGTGACGGCTGAACCGCGCCTGCGCACGGCTGCCTGTCGCTCGAGCATGGAGCAGTAGGCTGCGCGGACGTCGGGGTTAGAGAACGGCCATGGCGCCGCCCCCGGGCAAGTCCGTGCCAGGGGTGGTGCGCGCCATGCGTGTGGAGGCCGCCGCGGTGGCCGGAAGCGGCGAACATACCGTGGAGTCGTCGGGCGGCTCTGGACTCCATCGGATCAAGAATCCCCGCCGGACGGAAAGCGCAGGGGCGAGCGCTAGGGAGCCTGATGCCGGGGGCCTGCCTGCAGTCCCGCTCTCCAACCCCGGGGAGGCCGCGCGAAGCCCCGCAGCGAGCGCCCGTGGCCGGACGAGCAACGGAGCTGCCGCCCAGTCCGAGCGCGGGCCCCGTCGAGCCAAGAGCGGGGCAGAGGCAGCCGCGAAGCTCGCCAGCATGAGCACGGGCGCCGGGGCTGGCCCTGCGGCCGTCGACGGCCCGCGCATGGGCGTCGACATGCAGCAGCGGTCGCTCCTCGAGGCCCACCTCGACCAGGGCCTCTCGGGACAGACGCCGGGGCAAGCAGGCAGGCTGAAGAGCGATCGCCAGCGCGCATGGACAGCCGAGCTCGGCGTGAACGGCCTCATGTCGATCGAATACACCCCCGAGGTACACCGCTCCCACGCACCCACCGTCCCCCACGCGCCGCCGCATCCGCCCACGCGAGGCTTCACACCCCCATCGCTGTTGCCACTCCCGATGTTTACTCGCTGCTCGCGTGGCGCGTTCCGCCGCGCAGGACCACAGGGACGGCGAGAAGCAGGACTCTCCGCGCAACTCCACGCCCGTCGCCCGCCCGCGCGCCGCCTCGGAAAGCCGCCTGGCCCGCTTCCGCGCGCTGCTTGCCGCGCCCGTGGTCGACATCTTCCAGCTACGCGACCTCGCGTGGTCCGGCATACCGCCCGAGCTGCGGCCCCAGGCGTGGCGGCTGCTGCTCGGCTACGCGCCCGCCGCCCAGGCCGAGCGCGCGGCGGCCCTGAAGGCCAAGCGCGACGAATATTGGCACCTGGTGTCCGAGCTGATCGATGGCGTGGACCCCGACCAGCGCAGCCCAGGTGCGCCGCCCCACACGTCGACGTCACCCGTGTCCCTCATCTCGCGGCCGTTACGGCGCGCTCCGGCCCCGGACCGACCGGAGCGCGCACGAAATGCAACAGGCGGTGTCTTCGCGACGCGCCTCTGACGCACTCCCGCCGGGACGCCGCCCCGCCGCGCGTGCAGACAACCAGCGGACGTGGCGGCAGATCCAGGTCGACGTTCCGCGCACGACGCCCGAAGTGCGCTTCTTCCAGCACCCTCGCATCCGTGCGTGCATCCAGCGAGTCCTGTACGTCATGTCGCAGCGCCGCACGCGCACGGGCTACGTCCAGGGCATGAACGATCTCCTCACGCCCTTCCTGTGGACCCTCCTCTCCGAACACCTCCCGATCCTGCGGGCGTCCTTCCGCACGTGCGCCTCCAGCGTCGACAACCTCCCGGAGGCGGCGCTGCGCGACGCCGAGGCCGACGCGTACGGCATGTTTCAGTCCCTGCTCGGCGTCGTCCAGGACAACTACACGCACACGCAGCCGGGCATCCGCCGCCTCGCTCTGGCGCTGCAGGAGCTGACGCGCCGCGTCGACCCTGCGCTCGCGCGGCACCTCGTGACGCAGGGCGCGGACTTCCTGCAGTTCTCCCTCCGCTGGTTCAACTGCCTCCTGGTACGCCCCGCTCAACACCCCCCCCTGACGCAGCACGAGCACCGAAAACCACGTGCGCCAAGAAACAGGCAGTGCGTCGTGTTGAGCGCGACGGCGGCGCGGCGGCTGCAGCGGCTGCGAAATCGTCTCACCGCGCGTCGTTCCCGCAGGTCCGGGAGCTGCCGTTCGCGCTGTCGCTGCGTCTGTGGGACACGTATGTGGCGGAGCTGGAACAGACGCAGTCGCACCTGCTGTACGCGTCGCTCGCGCTGCTGCTCCAGTGGTCGAAGGAGCTGCAGCAGCGGGACTTCGGCGGCATCCTGACGCTGCTGCAGCGCCCGCCCACCACAGACTGGGATGAAGGGGACCTCGAGAGTCTTCTTTCGAAGTCTTTCCTTCTGCGGTCGATGCTCAAGGACCCAAAACGGTGCGCCCGAGTCAGACGGCGATGACACGTGCGCGGCGTGGTCCCTCGGGGGCCAGAAGGGGGGCTCGCGGGCGGTGAACACGCATTCGTTGTTGCAATTGTTGCTCTGAGCAGGGGGGCGGCGGAGACCGGTGGATCGAGCGTCTGACGTGCAAGTGTGGATGTCTGGGACGCGTGGAAGGTCGGTAGGGGTCGGTTCGGCTTGATTCGAGCGTGAGGGGTACAAGGGGGGGGTGTTCTTTTAGTCCCCCTCCTCTGGGGCGGCGCTTCACCGCGACATTGCGAGGCGCGGCGCCCGCTAGCGCGCACAGGCGGCCGCAACGGCCGCGTGCTTCTGTGAGCGGATCCGCACAGCCGTCTCGCTCTGCATTCGGCGCCCTGGGCCGTGCCGTGCAACTTGCGCCCTGAGCAACGGTGTGGGCGTGTTTGAGAGAGAGTGGTGCCGACGCGCCGAACTTGCAGCCGGCTGGGAGGATGGGAGACCCGGGCGCCCAGAAGGTCGAGGCGGGGCTTCGGCTGCTGACGGTGGACGATGTCGGATACCTGAAGGTGGCGTGCGCGTGTGCCGTTGAGAGCCGCCTGGCCGTGCACCTCTGCTTGGGGCTTCCTTCGCTGTTGGCGGCAATACATTGCAAGATGATCACATCCTCGTTCCGTTTCTGCGTGATTTCGCGCGCGTCAGGATGTGTGCGGGACGGCGCGGCCCTCGCTGCACATCATGATACCTGTGCCGACGCTTCGTTTCCCGGCGTTTCAGCCCGGGGCAAACGCCTGCTACGAGGAGTTCTTGATTGTGCCTTGCTGCCCGCGGGCAGAGATGGCCGCTGTACCCGTGAGGGCTCGCGTTTTCGACGTTCTAGTCATCTCTCTCTTTCAGACGTTAGAGCCGATAATATGAAGGCCTGGCGCCGGTGCTGAGGGGAATATCGCTCAACTGCCTTTCCATCAGCCTGACCTGCAGTGCCCGCCCTAGAGACCTCATAGCGCGACCTCCTTGCGACCTCCCTGCTGGGAACATCAACGTCATTAGCGGCCTGTCTCCTCGCAACGCAGGTAATCGAGGCGCCATCGTATGACATGATGGCGAAGGCGTCGGTGGTGAAGCGCTACGGCGAGCCGAGCAAGGCGCGTGGGTACACGGCGGCGGTGGTGGGCCAGTGCGGGTGCGTGTGCAGCAGCCATCGCGCCGCACCGCGCCTCTCGCCCATTTCCGGCACATATCGCCGCCCACAAACACGCGCACAGTCACGAACTCCCTTTTCCATCCGTTTTCACCGCTCAATCTCCGCGCACCGCCCTCCGTCCGCCGCAGAGGCTCCCTGGACAGCGTGTCGGGCAGCGACGTGGTGGTTGCCGCGGCGCGTGCGGGCGGGACGATCGAAGTGCGCTGCGGCGAGGTTCCGGAGCCCGGCGGCGCGGTCCTCGCGCGCGCCGCGGACGCCCCGTCGCGGGAGGATGCTCGCTCTGTCGGACTGGACATCCTGTGGCACAATAACACCCCCCGCGTGGCGTCGCTGGCGCGGTACGGCGGGATCCGCGTGCACGAGCGGCGGGGGCCGCCGGGCGAGGACGGCGCCGCGGAGTGGAAGGAGACCGCGGCGTGGGGCGCGGGCTGCGAGAGGGCGGAGGCCCTGACAGCGATAGCGGCGGGGGGGGTCTGCCACGTCGGCGCGGGCGGCGAGGGCGCGGAACTCAAGGTGTGGGACCTCGCGCGCGTGCCCGGTCCGGGCAGCACCACCGCGAAGGCGGAGCCGCAGTTCGCGGCGCGCCCCTCGAAGCCCGACAAGACGACGTTGCTCTCAGATAAGGCCTGGGTATCTGCGGCGAAATTCGTGGGCCTCGAGTGCCCCTCGCTGGTCTTCACGGGGTCTGGTGGCAGCTACGGCAAGTACAAGGTCCGGCTCTACGACATGAGGGAGAAGCGGCGACCGGTGCGCGAGCTGGCATGGGGGGAGTCCCGCATCACAGCCCTGGCGCCGCGCAGCGACGGGCGGGCGGTCTGGATGGCCAACGGCGCGGGCAACGCGTCCCTGTGGGACCTGCGCGCGGGCGGGGAGGGCCTGAGTCAGGTCCGAGGGAATCTGCGAGGGTTGGCGGGGTCGGTGCGGAGCCTGGCGCTGCACCCGGAGGGCCGCGGGCTGGTCGCGTCGGTCGGGCTGGACCGCTTCCTGCGCGTGCACGACACCGGCACGTGCAAGCCGCGGACCAAGCTGTATCTGAAGCAGCAAATGTCGGCCGTGTGCTGGTGCCCGGTGGACGCCGCGAAGGCGGCGGCGGCGCTGCGGGCCGCGGAGGAGGCTGTGGGCGCCGGCGGCGGCGCGCAGCAGGGCGAGGATGCGGAGGGGGAGTATGAGGATGAGTCTGACGTGGAGGTGCCGGACGAGGACGAGGTGGGGGAGTTGGAGAGCAGCGAGGACGAGGGCGACGGGGCCGCGGAGGAGGAGGTGGCGGAGTTCGTTGCGTGCGAGAAGTTCGCGGGGAGGCGCGCGGGGATGGTGTTCAAGAGGGGCAAGGAGGGGTTGGGGTATTACCGTGACGACAAGCCCGTGCCGACGTTCAGTCTGAAGTCGGTGAAGAAGGGCGGTGCGGTCGGCAAGGCCGGGGGAAAGCGGAAGGTGGAGGCGGGGGGCGCGGGCGGGAACAAGAAGGAGCGCAGGACGAAGCAGAAGTGATTGTTGATCAGAACCTGTGACGAACACTCGACGGAGAATACGATCCTTCAACCCTCGTGCTACTGAGCCGGCTCTCTTTTCTCGTTGTCACGGATTGCAGGTTCGAGCGTCCCCGGAACCTGACAGCACGCCCGCGTAGTTTCGTACTATCGCGTGAGCACTCCCAACACAACATCGCGCAGGTCTGATGCCAGCACACCGGCACGACGCATCCTCACCACGCAACCCACTGCTCGGTACGTTTCGGGCCCCGCGTGGCGCCGAGCGGCCTCGCACCGCGTCACAGGTCACCCCCAGAGGTTCTCCATGGGGCGCGGCGTCATGAACTGCGCCAGCACTTCGTCCGTCACGGCGGCGCGCTTCTCCTGGTGCGCGCGGGTCAGGTCCGTCAGCACCGCGATCAGCTCGGCCTTGATCTCGCCCGTGAGCATCCGCCCGCTGCTGTACTCCTCCGCGATCCGCTGCAGCTTCTCGTCGTCGTCCAGGAAGAAGTTCAGGTACTTGTACGGGACGTCCACCTCGAGGTTGCCGCCCTTCTCACGGTGCTCCTCCACCGTCGCCTGCGTACCGGCGACGCACGCAGCGCACGGGCCACGTGTTGGGGGCGCCCGTGCGGTGTGGGGGCCGAGGCGGAACTGTGGGGGGGTATTGCGGGGTGTGTCGTGTTGCGGGGAGTGGGGGGTTGTGCACCTGTCCGCCGGAGAAGGCGTACTTGTTGATCTTGGTCTTGATCTGTTTGGGCGTGTCCGTCACGAAGATCGCCGAGTTGCTGTCACTGGCAGACATCTTCCCAGACTCCCCCTGGAGCGCCGGGAAGAACCTCGACTCGATGAGCGCGCACTTGTGGTAGCCGAGCCTCGGCGCGATGTCGCGCGTCATGCGGAAGTACGGGTCCTGGTCGATCGCGCACGGAATCAGGCACCGCACGCGCTTGTTCGAGCCAAACATGTGCGGGAACGTGTCGGGCAGCGCCGGCGCCGCTTGGATGGCCGGGAACATGATCTTGCCGATGTTCGTCTCGCCCGCGAAGCCGAAGATCCCGCGCGTCTGGTTGAACGTGACCATGCGCGCGATGCGGTTGACGTTGCGGTAAAAGGGGCCGCCCTGCGCCGCGAACAGAAGAAAAGGCGGTTGGCTGCCACGCGACGTGGTTGCACCGTTCTTGTGCACGACAGCCGCACAGTTCCTTCGCGCTCGTAGGTGTGAGGGGGAGGAGCGAAGAGCGTGAGGCGCTGAACCGGTGCGTGTCGGCAGCGCGCGGGCGGCGCCGCCGGCCGCGACACGTCGCGCCGGCAGCAAGAGCCTGCGTCGCAGCTCTTTTCAGTCGGGGAATCTCGACTGACCATGAACTCGAAGTCCGAGAAGATGAAGGTCCGCGCGGGGTCGAATCCGCACGCGACGATGTCCCGCGCGTTCTCCTTCGCGAGCCTCAGCGCCTCGTCGTGCTCCAGCGCGCGCCACAGGCACTTCTCGTCGTCCGTCAGCTGCACCACCAGCGGCACCTTGAACGCGTCTTGTAGCCACTTGGTGAACATGAAGGGGACGAGGTGGCCGAGGTGGAGCGCCTCGGACGACGGCCCGCGCCCGGTGTAGAGGTAGAACTTCTCGCCCTTTTCGTACGCGTCGAGCAGCTCCTTGAGGTCGCGGTGGGCGAAAAACACCCCCCGGCGCAAAAAGGGGTGCGCGCGCACGCCCGTGACGCGCTCGACGCGGTCTATGAGCGCCTGGTCGATCTGCTGGCAGCCGAACTGGTGCACGAGCTTGTTGTAGTCGATGCGGCCGTCCGTCCCGCCCGTCACGTCCCACGGCGTGATGACCTGGTCGCCGGCGGCAGGCGCGGCGTTGTCGGCGGCGCCGCCGGACTCGGCGGCCGCCTTGGCGTCCTCGACCTCCTTCTTGAGCGCTAGAAGCTTCTTGACCCCCTCGTCCACCGCCGCCTGCGACGAACGCAGCGTGGGGCGCCAGTGAGACGGCGCGCGCGAGGCAGCGGGTTTCGGGAACGTGCCGTTGGGCGACCGAGGGGCTGAAGCGCCTCGCAGGAGCAGCTTGCGTTCTCGGTAGGAGTGGCGGCGCGCGGAACCGCGGCGCGGCTTGGACGGTTCGCGCGGCAGTGTAGGGGGGGCGCATCACGTGCGCCTGCGCGGGCCGCGCGGTGGGAGAGAGCGCGGCAGCCCGCGAGGAAGCCCGTTGTTATCGGCAGTGGTTAATCCGCTCCTGACACGGCCCTCGAGAGAGCTACAGGGGCGGGAGTGTTCTGCCTGGATACACACCGCGCGTTCGCGAAGGACGCCGGCGGTGGGAGCGGATCGGGGGCGCCGGCGGTCGGACAGCAACGAGAACAGCAGCCTCCGCGGCGATTGGGACGGAATCGAGCGCTAGATATGAACGCACAATCGATAATGGGATATGTCTTGGTGGCCGCTCCGCAAAGAGCGCTGGTGTCGCCTGGGACGGCGCCCCCGGCGGTGCGCACCTTCTCGACCTTGCCCTCCTTGAGGTCCGCCTTGAGCTGCCGCACGACCCCCCCCTGCTCCTGCACGCTGAGCTCCAGCTGAGCAAGCTTGGCGGCTAGGTCCGCCATGCTTCCCCCTTGCTCCCGAAACCTGCGCCGCTTGCTCGCGTGGGTGGCGAAGCACCGGCTCAGGGCGCTCGCTCGGAGAACTGCGTCACTGGACGCGAGGGAGGCGCTCTGCTTGCAACTAGAGGCCGCGCAGCGCGTGTGACGGATCGCAGAGGCCGCGAAAGTGCCGTTCCGAACGTCGCTGAGCCGCTGCGACCGCCGCGCACTCGCAAGTGGCCGGCCGCGCTGGCAACGGACCGCGATACAGCGTGTCCCGCGCCCGCCTGCACCTGACTGGGCTCCGGGTCGTCCCTCCACGTCTGCTACGGCCCGCCCTGTGCGTCTGCTTCGCGTTCGTTGCCGCGGCCGGCTGCCTCGGCGCGCAGATGGTCTTGGGGTCCCTGGGAAACGGAGAATCCTATTGTGTTGGCGGCTGTACGTGGCTGCGCACTGCTGGGAAAGATTGGCATTGCGGCTCGCGGAGACTCCGTGCATGGCTAGATGAGGCGCGCGCTGCCCGAGCATCCGTGAGAGTGCACACGATCGAGTAGGGGGGTTCCGGGCGAAAGCGTGCTTGAGCGCGAGCGCAGCAGGTGAAGATCATGCAGCAACTGTCATCGAACCTCTCTTTGCCGCCTGCGGCCTACTGTTGGCCCCTGGCGCGTGATTCTTGGCATTCCGTTGATCGCCTCGAGCGCTTCACGCCTCATGCGGCAACAAACCCAGCTATGCGCCACTGCGACGGGCACCCGAGCCCAGGAGCCTTCTGCCAATGCACGCGCTCGATCCGCGGCACAAGCGTCGTTCACACCGGAGAATATGCGCTCACTGTCGCATCCTGATGTCCGGAGCCGTGCCAGCTCCTTTCGAACCCCGCTGCCGCACCACGCACCCTCCCGCCGAGCTTTGGCTCTTTCGTCTGTGAGGCGCTCGTTCGCGTCGACGTGCCCGCGCAGCACGCAACGGGTCATTCCCCTCTGCAGAACAATACCTCCTCTCACCACGGCGATCCCCGGCTTCCGTCGCAGGCGCTGGGACGCGCCGTCAGACCACAGCAACGACAAGTGCAGAACCCTGGGAGCCCGCACGCGGCATGTCTGACAGCGAGGACGACAGCAGGCGCGACCCCGACCTCCGCACTCACACGCGCGACCTGTGCACCGCCACGTCCTGCGCAGCGGGCCTTTCTCCGCGACGCGAACCGAAGGTGTGTGTGCTGTCGCGAGAGACTGCACGTGCAGGGCGGGGCTGTCCGACACGTCGGACGAGGCCGGGGCGATCAGGGACGCCACCGACGACGAAGTCGACGACGACGATGACGATCTGGACGCGGAGCTCGAAGCGGAGCTGAACGCGGGCGACGACGACGATGCCATGAGCGCGAACGGCACCGCGTGCGCCCCGGACGACGCGCAGGAGCGGCAGATCCTCCAGGCCCGGCGCATGGCACCGGCGGACGCAGCTGCGCCGTCCGCGGCGTCGCCTCCCGCGGCGAGCGGCTGCGAGCACCCAGAGCGGCTGTACGGCACATGCGTGGTGTGCGGCGCGGAGGTGCCGGAGACGGGCGCGGGCGACGAGCTGATCGCGCTGCGCGACACGGACAACGCCGGGCCCGTCATTCACGTCACGGCGCCGCGGGCGAAGCGCCTGCGCTTGGCGAATGTGCAAACGGCGCTGCAGGAACGGCGCCTGATGCTCGTGCTGGACCTGGACCACACGCTGCTCAACTCCCAGGAGGACGGCGAGCACCTGGAGAGCGACCTGCGCCGCGCGCTGAACAAGGAGCTGCACCGATGCGACGCCCAGGGCATCCCGATGCACGAACGCGAGCTCTTCTTCTTCCCGCACCCCGTCCCGGGAGGCCAGGGCATGTTCACGAAGCTGCGGCCAGGCGTCCGGTGCGCTCCGGGCACGCCGACCGCACTCGCCAGCTCGCTCGCTCGCAACCGCCGTCGTCGTTGCTGCCGCGCGGCCTCCCGTCGGCCCCCGCGAGAGGCGTGCCGCGTTCGCGCCGCCGTGTGCGTCTGCAGGGAGTTCTTGAAGGAGGCGTTCAAGCAGTACGACCTCTCGATCAACACGCTGGGTATGAGTGCCTACGCAGCGCGCATGGCCAGCCTGCTCGATTTCTCCGGGAAGATGTTCCGGTCCATCTTGTCGCGCGAGGACGCGGACGTCGAGGGCGATGCGGGCAGGGAACCGACGTACACGAAGGCGCTGCGGCTCAACCTGCACGCGGACGAAGCCACCACGCTCATCCTGGACGACTCCGTGCGCGTGTGGCCCGGGTTCCAGGCCAACGTGCTGCAGGTACCGCAGTATCATTTTTTTCCGGCGTCGAGCAAGGCGCTGGGGCAGTGCGGAACCACGAGCTTGCTCGCGCAGGGCACTGATGAGGAGAGCTGGGGAGGTGGTGCTGCGGGCGAGCAGGCGCGCGCGGGGGGCGACGAGGACGACGAGGACGAGTGGGAGCGCGACGACGCCGCGCCGGGCGACGCCGAGGGCGCGAGGGCACGGCGGGAGAAGAAGCGGGGCGGAGGGCCCGCGGGGCGCAGTGCCCTCTGCCGGGAGGGCGCGCACAAGGTGCCGAGCGTCCTGCGGCCGACGCTGGAGCTGCTGTCCGCGCTCCACAAGGCGTACTTCGAGGCGCTCGAGGAGAGGCCGGGGGAGGCGCCGGACCTGCGGCAGCTGCTGCGAGACAAAAGAAAGGGGACGCTGGCGGGACACAAAGTCTGCTTTTCGCGGCTGTGGGAGACGGGCTCGGACAGCACGAGACAGGGCCCGTGGATGCTGGCGAGGGATCTGGGGGCGCAGTGCACGGTGAGGACGAGGCCGCGGCCTCAGCTGCGCCCTCTTTGGTGCTGCGCTGCTTGCCAGCTGGCTGGCACGCACCCGCGAACCGCGCAGGGCGCGCACTGACGGTCTGCTTCGCGACACAGTGTCTAGCTGCGCACGTTCGCGTCGCCCTGACCGCGCCTGCGCCCGCACGACGACGCTGCGCCCGCAGGTGGAGATGTCGGAGGACGTGACGGTGCTGGTCGCCGGGGCCGACAACACGGACAAGGTGAAGACCGCGATGCGGCGCGCGGTGTCTGTCGTGTCGGTGGACTGGCTGTTCGCGAGCGGGCTCCAGCTCTCCCCAGCGGACCCGTTCCGCTACCCGCCGCCCAAGCTGGCAGAGATCCAACCGCAGCGACGGTATCTGGGGGGCGCAGCGTGACCCTCAGTCGCAGCGCTCTTGCCTGTAGGCCGCCACCACACTGTTAGCCGCGGGCCGCCCGGTCGCCAGGCTCGTCGCGTCCCGCTGCCCTTGCGTCTGACTGCAGCACGGCGCTGGCAGACGCACTCCCCTCTCATTCCGGAGGGTGGGCTGAAGGAGAGAGGCTGCGGCGTGGCGTGGGCAGTGGCGAGCGCGGACTGCGCTCGGAGCAGGGCGTGCACGGACCCGCAGCAACCGCCCTTGGAGTTTGCTAACCACCCTCGGAGCAGGGGACGGCCGACGCTTCGTGCTGGGCCCGATGGCATGATCATAACAGTATGCTTCCTGCTGTATTACTTCTGCTGTTCGGTACGGAAAGCGTTTCTGATGCGGCGCTAGCTTGCGCGGGCATCGGGCTCCTGACTGCGCTCGTGTTTGGCTCACAGCCGCGCGGCAGCACCTCGCCGAGGACGTCTGAAGACATCACGGATAGTCTCCGGGAGGACCACCGCGGTCGCGTTGGCGAGTCTGAGACGGAGCAGCGCCCCAACACGCACAGCGAAGTTCAGCTCGGCGACGCGCGCGACAGCGCGGCCATGACGTCCGTCCCTCGGTACGCACGGTGCGCATGAATTCGCGTGGAGAGCGGCGACCACTGCGGAGGAGGTTCGCGCGCCGCGAGGCTCAGCGAACGCAACTGCTTGGGCTTGAGTCGCTTCTCGCTCTCAGTTCGCCGTGCAGGGAGCCTTCGTCGACGAAGATAAGCGCGTGGGTGGAGGGCGAGATGCGGCGGCTGTACGATGCGGCCGCGATGCAGCGGCTCGACATCACGGCGCTGAAAGCCGAATGCAGCGAGCTTCAGGCCAAAGTTCAGGCGCACCGCGAGCACTGCGCAGCGCTGGTTCGCCGGGCGACCGCCGCGGGAAAGCGGACGGACCCGTTCTTCTGCGTGCCGTCCATCAGAGCCCAGCGGGCCGTCGCTTCCCGCTCCGTGAGTTCGTCCTCTTCCGACGAAGTCGACGAGCTGCAGATCGTCGTGGCCGAGCTGCAGAGGTGCGCGAGTGCAGCCTGATATTATTTCGCGCCGGCTCGGACGTATCGTTCCGCAAGCTCGCGGGCATGCGCGCGGGGGCGACGTCTTCAAGCGGCTGTGCTTCCCCGCCCCTTCGACCGCAGGGTGAGGCTGGAGAAGGCGACTCTCTCCGCCACGAACGACGCACTGAACAAGGAGAACAGCGGCCTGAAGGACCTTCTGTCGTACGCGATGTCGCAGGTAAGGCCACCTCAGCAGTGCAGGTGCGCCCTCTCGTTGCGCCCCAGCGTGTCGCGCGACGACTCACGCGCGTCCCCGCACGACACACTATGAGTCTGCAGATGCAGGAGGACGCCGCAGATCACGACGCGGCCCTCGTGGACCAGGCGTTCGTGGCTGCAGCGTCGTTCGACTGCGACTATGACAGCAGCAGCGGCGACGTGCCGCCGGCGCCGCTGCACTCGATCGACGAGGCGTCGCGCGAAGGTGACGACGACGACCTCTACGACAGCGACGCTTGACCGGCGGCGCAGCAGCCCCCCTGGAACTGAAACAAGAGCTGTCAGCGCGTCTGCTCGTGCGCTCCCGATCGCTCCTGTCAGACTGACGGCATCTCACTGTGAGGTCTTCCATGCAGTGTTCGGCTCAGGGTGGACTCGCGACATCCGTCACCTCGGGCGGCCGTCAAACGCGTACACGCTGCCGACGTACGCGTGGCCCCGCAGCCACCCCCTCCGCGACCTCGAAGAGCGCCCGTCGCCCCCGAAGCTGACGCAGCCACACCGCCTCTCGCGCGCCAGCCTGTCACTGCGGGCCCCGGCCGCAGGGACGCGCCCCGCGCAGCCCGCCTCAACAACGCCCGTCTGCTGCGGGCCGCACAGCTTCCTCTCCACCGGCGGCCACGAGCGCTCCGCCACGACCGAGTCTCTCTGCCTGCGCGACGTGTCCAACATCATGCCCACGGACTCGTCCGGGCCCGAGACCAACAGCCTGCGCCCCAGCCTCACCGTCGAGGACGTCGTGCAGCAGCTGGAGACCGCGGCACCGGTGAGACCCCGCAACCGCGCGCCTCTCCAGTGCATGTGCCTTCCCTTGACGGCGCGACACCAGCTGTCGAATCAGTGATTTTTTTTTCAAATGTTTTATCATTATGTTCTGTTTGGCCGACTGTTCGTGCTCGGAGACACGCGAGCTCCGTGTGTGTGCAACGCGCAGGCATCTGCGCGGGCCGCGAGCCCCGACGCCTCGCAGCACGGCAGCCGCGGCGTCCCGCGGTCGCGGTCGCAGTCCACGGGCGAGGACTCCCCCCGGACCCCGAAGCTCGTCGGGCCGCTGCGCAGGGCGCGCGCGCCGTACAGCGGCTCGCCGTCCTCGCGGTTCCCCTCGCTGGACCGCGCGCAGTCGCTCGACGTCATGTCGGTCGAGGAGTGGCTCATGCAAGTGAGCCCGCAGATGACGGAGCGGCGCGACCACAAGGGCGCAGGTGCGGCGGGAAACGCACGATTCAGAGCAGTCGGCCGCCGCTGTGCGGCGCAGTGGGCCACGCTGGCTCGCCAGAGCGCCTCGGAGGCGCGTGCTGCTCATGTCAATGACATGAGCAGCAGAACAAACAACTTGTTGTCCTTCCGTGCTGCAGGCGCTGCAAGTGCGGGGAGCGACGGGGATCCCGCGGCGGGGCGCGCGGCGGACGCGCACAGCGTCACTCCGGCGCCCGCGCCGCAGCCCGTCGCCTCCGCGACCCCCCCCACGGCGCATGTCGCCCCCGCGCCGGGCGGGCGCTCCAAAGCCCCGCCGTCGCGCCTGCCGCGGCTCGGGCGACCGGACCGGAGCGGCTCGGAGGCGCGCACGGTCGCAGCGACGCGCAGCGAGGCGGCGCCGGCGGTGGGGAAGCCGCAGGGTCTGCTGGAGCCTCTCAGTGGGAACAGTTCGGAGTCTCAGCTGAGCGAGGGGCCGGACGTGCCGCTTGAGTGGTGAGCGAGCGGGAAGCGGGTGTGGGAGCGGGCGCAGGGGAGCGAGCGCTCAGATGGGGGGAGCACGGGTGAGGGAGTCAGGGTGAAAGGGGGTGTGCGAAAGTGTGGCGGGGGGGCGTGATGGCGTGATTCGGAGCAGGGGCGCGAGGGACGGAGGCGGCGACGTGTGAGACCGCGCTGCCTGCCCGGCGTCAGGGCTCGTTGGCGGGCGTGGGGCGAACGGACGGTTGCAACGACCCGGGGGACTCCCACGCCGCAGGGGGGGGTGTCGCGGCGGCCCGAGGGCGCACCAGGAGCGCATCCGGGCAGGCGCACACAGCCACTCTCTGGCCCGAGGGCTGCTTTCGATTGGTTTCGTGTCCTGGCAGGAGGAGAGCGCAGCTCTGACGTGGCCGCAAGACCTCGATCGCAGTTCGTGCAGTGCAGGTGCTTCCGCGCGCGGTTCGCGTGCACTCCGGCTCTTTCTCTATCTGCCTAGCTGCAGGATGCACGGGCGCGCCGTTGCACGCGCGGGAGCTGCGCCGCTATGCAGGCGGGCGGTCGCGTCCTGCAGAGCCGGTGGCCGTGTTGGGTGTAGGGCGGGCGTGCAGCAGCGCCGCGTGCGAGATGTGCGCGTGTACGCAGGAGACTTCGAGGAGGAGGCGGAGAAGGCGTTCCGGGAGTGGAGCGGGAGCGCCCTGTACTCGCCGGTGAGTGTCGCTGGATGTTGCATGGTGCAGCGTGTGTACCGCCCTAGTCCACGCGATGCAATGCGGAGGGCGTTCACATGGTGTTGCAGTCCCGACGTATGCGGCAAGCGTTGCTTAGTCTCGCGTGTTGTAGCTCCGCGGCCGTTGTAGTAGGGCAGAGCTAACCTGGGCCGTCAGACGCAGCAACGGCATGCTTCGCACTTCGGGGCTGCTCACCCCGAGCACGATGTCCGTGTGTACCGTCTCGTTCCCGAAAGTCATCGATATTGCGCCCCCTGCGCGTCGGAGGTGTCCTGGCAGCCCTGTTCGGCTCGTTCTTTCCCCGATGGCCGTCCCAGCGCCCCCACGACGCGCGCAGGAGATGCAAGAGACCATGATGGGCATGCAGAAGGAGTTTCGCATGATGTCACAGATGGTAGAGGTGCGAAAACACCTGCCATACACACCGACCGACCCCTGCGGCTCCTAGCGCGTCCCCGCGTAAGCGCCACCGCCACGCACACGCAGGGCTTCCCGCGGTACGACCCGGCGGGCAAGAAGATGGCGGTCGCGGAGATGCGCAAGATCGCGGACCGCTTTGACAACGTCATCACGCGCCTCCGCCTGCTGGCGATGGAGGACAAGGGCGCCGCGAAGATCAAGGCCTCGCTCGACAGCCTCCTCAACAACACGCCCTTCACTGCCTCCGAGAGCATGGAGGAGGTGCGCGAGCCCCCCGCCTGGCAGCGCAGCTCCTCTCGCGTCGTGTTCGTGCTGCCGCCCTCCCTAAACGCACGCACCCGGCCGCGGCCCGCGCAACAACAGCCAAATAAACCCCGCGCGCGTCCGCAGATCTTCTCGGAGGTGGAGCAGCTCGTCGAGAAGGAGGCATTACTGCCACCCGGCGACGCAACCGCCAAACAGTACGCCGCCAAGCAGGAGATGCTACTCGAGCCGTTCAAGAGGTGCGCGCACCGCTGCGCCGCCGCGTCGTCCACGCGGCCGCCTGCGCCGCCCTGGCCGCGCGAGACGGCGGTGTTTGTGGTGCGGTGGTTTTGTTGGCGCAGGAGCAACCCTAGCATGGTGAGCCCGGAGATGATGGAGGAGGTCGTGATGGAGGTGGCGCGGACGGACCCGTCCCTCGCGACGGTCATGATGGACCCGGAGTTTTTGAAGAAGGCCGTTATGTGCATGGTGGAGCCGCAGGTGCGGGTGCGGTACGCGGACGACCCGCAGGTGATGAAGATGGTCGAGATCTGGGACCGCGTCAAGGCGCGCAAGGGCGGCGGCGCGTGAGCCGCGCGCGTGTGAGCACGGAGCGCGTGTTGTGCACACGGGTGCAGCGGGGCGGTGCGGGGGCCTGCGGCCGGAATGATGCGGCGGCGACGTTGCAGGGGGGTCGCGCTGTGGGGAGGCGGCGGGTGTGGCGGGGAGGGGACGCGCTGGGGCGTGCGCTGGACGATGCTGTGCTGTCTGTGTTGGGAGTGCGCGACGGGGTGCCGACGTGCGCCGGTGCGCGCCGCGCGGGCCCGGGGGCACGGCACGGCCGTGTGGGCGGCCCGGGGGCGGCGTGCGCGTCTCGCTCGGCGATGCGTGTGCGTGGGGGGTGTGTGGAGGCACTGGGGGTGTTTTTCGCAGCACGGGAGGGAGCTTTTGTTGCCAGGGGGGCTGATGGCGCGCCATGTGCGCCGCCCCGCGCACTCTTGCTCCCCTGCCGGTCCCGCCGCGCAGGCAACGCACACACGCACCCCGGAAGGCGCTCTAGCAGGGAGGCCAGGGGTTGGTCCTTCGGGACGCCGTGCCTCAGCGAGGCGCCGCCGCGGCACGCGACCTTCAAGATAGATTGATACACTAGCCGCCGAGTCCTGCCCGGGCCGGCTTTTCGGTCGCGGGCCCACCGCAGCGGGCGTCGACTGCATCGATGACCTCCGCCACCGCGAAGCAGAAGCGGGGTGCCGCCGGGGCGCAGGCGCCTGAGGGTGCGTCAAAAAAGGTCGCGAAGAAGCTTGCGAAGAAGGATCGCAAGAAGGCGGCCAAGCAGCACAGGGCGGAGCTGAGGTGAGGACCAGCTCTGGCGCAGGTCTAGCGCGCCGCGGGCTCGTCCAGCGGGCGCTGTCAGCACGCCCGCTGCGCAGACAGTCGCCGTGCCGCGCGGCCACGGCAGGCATCATGAAATATCTGCACCAGGCTCGCCAGCGTCGCGCTCCCTCTCCCGCTGAAGCAAGCCGCACCGCGCTCCAGCCTGCCGCGCCCGCCCCGCGCCAGGCTCGCCCCGGCCGCGCCTCTGGAACGCGCACGCGGGGAGGCAGCCGCGCGGCACGGCGGGCTTCGCAGCTCTCAGCGCGCAACGGCACGCTCGCCCGCAGCCTCGCTTGCCGCCTTCGGGCCGCACGGCGCGCCCGAGCCGCGCAGCGCCGCCAACGGCCGGCCGCCGCGTGCCACGTCCGCGCAGAGAGCGGCTGAAGGAGACGGCTGAGCGGCTGAAGGAGCAGGATGCCGAGAACGCCCAGTCCAACGGCGTGCGCGGCAAGAAGGCCGACAAAGACGCGATTATCGTCGAGTACGTCGAGCCCGACGTGCCCAAGGAGCTCCGGGTGCGCCCCCAACGTCCCTCTCCACGCCGCCGCCCCCCTGCGGCGGCCGTTCTTCGCGCACGCCCGCCTCCCGCGCGCTCCAAGCGGCCTGTGCACATCAGAGGCAGTGCGGGCTGTGCTGTGCCGTGCCCCCAAGGTTCGCTCAGCGCTGTCTCGCATCAAGCAACGACGACAGCGCTGATCTCGTCGGTTATGATGCGGACAAGTGCTTCGGGGGCCACGGCGTGCACCGTGAAGGAGCTGCGCCGTTCGCCCCGCCCTCGCGCGCCCCGCGCCCCGCGCCCCGCCGCCCCACCCGCAGCCCGCCCACCTCGCGCCCGCCTCCGCCGCCCGCCGCGCAGGAGGTCGAGCAGCCCCCGGACGCGATGGACACGGACGACGCGCCGCCCCCGCCCGCGCCCAGCGAGGTCTCCGACATCCAGGCGGCGTTCCGCCGGTACCTCGGCGGCGAGGACTCCTCCGACGAGGACGGCGCGCCGGCCGCGGGCGCCGACGGCCCCGCGCGCGACGCCGCGCAGGACGCCCCCGGCGCGTCGGACGGCTCGGACGCCGACGACGAGGGCCGCGGCGACAAGATCGGGAAGCGCAAGCGCAAGGAGCTCGAGCGCATGAAGATCGTCGAGCTCAAGCGCGCCTGCGCGCGCCCGGACCTCGTCGAGATTTGGGACGTGACGGCGCAGGACCCGCGTCTGCTGGTGCACCTCAAGGGCGTGCGCAACACGGTGCCGGTGCCGGGGCACTGGTCGCAGAAGCGCAAGTACCTGCAGGGGAAGCGCGGCATCGAGAAGCCGCCGTTCCAGCTGCCGGACTACATCGAGGCGACGGGCATTGGCAAGGTGCGCGACGTGTACTTGGACACGGACGGCGGGCCCGGGCTGAAGCAGCGGGCGCGGCAGCGGATGCGGCCGAAGATGGGCGGGATGGGCATCGACCACGCCGTGCTCCAGGCGGCGTTCTTCCGGTACATGACCAAGCCGAAGATGACGCGGTACGGCGAGCTGTATTACGAGGGCAAGGAGTACGACTGCAAGCCCGAGGGGCTGATGCCGGGCGTGCTGAGCGCGGAGCTGCGCGAGGCGCTCGGGATGGACCCCGACGACCGCACCGCGCCGCCGCCGTGGCTCGTCAACATGCAGCGCTACGGCCCGCCGCCGTCCTACATGGATCTCGAGATTCCGGGCCTGAACGCGCCGCTCCCGGTCGGCGCGGAGTGGGGCTACCAGCCGGGCGGGTGGGGCAAGGCGCCCGTGGACGAGACCGGCGCGCCGCTGTACGGCGACGTGTTCGGGCAGGGTTTGGTGAAGGAGGACTGGCGGGTTGGAGTGGACATGGAGGCGAAGTTCGGCGTGCTGGAGGTGCTCGAGAGCGAGGAGGAGAGCAGCGAGGAGGAGGAGGAAGAGGAGGAGGAGGAGGAGGGCGGCGCGGAGGCGACGGAGGAGGAGTTACGGGCAGGGACTGCGTCGGTGGCGTCGACGGCGCTGCCGCCGGGCGCGGTCACGCCGATGTCGACGGTGGAGGTGCGGAAGGACTCGGCCGCGCCGACGCCGATGCCGCCGGGGCAGTTCGGCGTCGTGCTCGAGCAGCGCGAGGGCCGCGTGGACCGGGGGGACATCATGGGTACGACGCACACTTATGTCATTCCGGGCAAGGCCGAGAAGGCGCGCGGGCGCGTGGAGGCGATCAAGGCGCAGATGGGCGCGGGCGCGAAGGACGCGCAGGTGTCGCTGGACCCGGACGAGATCGAGGGGTTGTCGGACGAGGAGATGCGGCGTCTGTTGGAGGAGCGGATCGCGGAGGAGCGGGCGCGCGCGGGGGCGGTGCGGGAGGACTTCTCCGCGCTCGTGGCGGAGCGGGCGGCGCAGCAGCAGAAGAAGGAGAGCGCGCGGCAGGCGAAGAAGGAGAAGGAGAAGTTCAAGTTCTGAGGGGGGGTGTTGTTGGAGGGGGGGGGGTGTTGGAGGCGGGGTTGCGGGAGGGCGGCGGCGGCGCGGGGCCGCGGGCCCGAGGGGCGAAAAAGACACAAACGACAAATACGGACCCGCATATGCGAACAACGTTAAAAAAACAGGAAAAGAAATATGTACCTATGTGCACTATGGCTGGCGGCCTGCATACTGGTTGGAGCGCGCTGCGCGCGGCGGGGGCTGCGCTCCCGATCGCCGGCGTCCTCGACGCGGCGGGGGGGAGTTTTTGGAGCGCGCAGTCACCGCCGCGGCGCGCATGTCTGACCTGACACGGGAAGTCGACTTCCACGTCAATGTGACTCGATCCCACCTCGACAGCCGTCCCTGGCTCTCCAGGAGCAAATACGCACAGGACGGCGTCGAACGCCGACTGCGCTGGTTCGTCTGTCGAGTAGGACCACCGCTCCATGTGCCCAGGGGCGATGCCGGCGGATGAGGGCTCGCCGTCCGAGACTGCGTCAGCGTCGGCGGCATAGAGCAGAGAAGACGGCGCGTGGTCGTGGCTCGACTCTCTCGTTACAGGCTGCAGCTGACTCATGGTAAGACGTCAAGCCGGGCGGACGAAGACGCGAGAGTGATCGCTGCGGTCGGAGAGCTGCAGCCGCGCGCCATCGCAGGTGCCCGCGACGGGGCAACGACCGCCCAAGCGCCCGCTCCGCGGCACGTGCCCCCCCGCGTACACTCACGCCACCTGACGCGATCTGATGCGTCCCCCTCCTCCCTGCCCGCCTCCCCCCGCAAAACACCAGGCTCCGTCACATCCGCTGGTTCCACTCAGCGGTGGCTCCGACCCGGCACTCAGACCTTGTAGTTGACACGCATGCGCTTGCGGCCCGTGATGCCCTCCTCCATCACGCCCTCGGCGTTCGGCGCGAAGAGGTCGTCGGAGGCGCGCACGCCGTCCTCTTCGTCGTCGTCGTACTCCCCGTACCGCTTCGGCGCCCTGCGCCGTGAGATCTTCTCCTGAGCTGCGCGCTTCTGTTCGAGCTTCGCGAAGCGCTTGGCGGCGTTCTGGAGCATCGGCGCCGCGCACCACACCAGCGCGGACGCGCAGTACGCCACGCGCGCGAACGTCGTCGCGCCGGCGACGTCCTGCAGCCACGACGCGCGCTCACGCTCCGAGCGCCACAGCCGCCCGCGGTTGCGGCGCGAGACCACGCCGACGCGCTCGTCGTCGTCAACGTGCTCGAACAGACCCTCGGCCAGCTCGCCCTGCGACGAACAGCCACGGTCGACCCACTGAGTCAGTTCCCCCCGCCCGTCATGAGTGCAGGCCACGCACCGCGCCCGAAGGCCGCCGTCCACGCACACACACTCCAGCGCTTTCCCAACCTTCATACATGCGTGCCGCGATGCTGTCAGACAGGCAAGGGGTTGGGCAGCGGGGAGTAGTAGTAGTGGGGGGGGGGTGTCGCACCATCGACTCGATATAGAGCCGGCGCGCCTCCTCGCGCTCCTCCGCCGCGGTGCTCGGCACCGCGACCTGCGGCGTCGGCGCGTACGCCTTCACGCCCGGGAGCCCTGCCACGGACCACAGCCCGCGCCCCACGCGAACGAACGCCGCGTCGCCCTGCAGCGTTGCGTTGATGTTGCTCTTGGGGTTCTTCAGCGCCCCGACCGCGCACAGCCCGCGCTCGCTCACCGCCGCGATGATGCCCTCCACGTCCATGCCGTCCGGCCCGGCCTCGCTCAGGACTGTGAAAAGCGCAGCTTTCCACGTTTTGGGCTTCTTCAGGATGCGTGCGCGGTTGCCCTCGAGCACGCTCTTCCCCGCCGGCGTCGACGGAGGCTTCGGCTCCTCGTCCTGCCGCTCCGCCGCGCCGTCCTGCGCGGGGCTCTGCCGCCCGGCCTCAGCTGCCCCTCCGTCCATCTCGACGTCGCCGTCCTCGTCGTCTGCACCGCGAGAACGCGACACGAAGCCGTTCTGGCATAGCGCTTTGCGAGAGCTGCGCCGTCGCGACAATGCATGCGCGCCGCGGTCCCATGGGGGTGTATTGAGTGGATGTACGACGCGATGGGGTTGTACCTGAGTCGGTGTCGCCCCCGCCGGCCGGCTTGTCCGGCGTGCCCTCCTCCTGCTCCGGCGCGCTCGCACCGCCCTCCGGCGCACCCGCACCCTCAGGCGCGGTGTTGAGCTCCTCGACCGTTGCGCCGGTCTCCTCCGCCACCGCCGCCAGGATGCGCCCCGTGTTCTGCTTGATGCGCTCACTGGCCTCCGCCATTTTCATCAGCGCGCCCTCCGCCTCCACCAGCAGCGCCATCGTCTCCCTGCACACACGAGCCACAGACACACAGAAATGAGACGACCATCAACCCCGCATCAAAGAACCTCGCACTGCGCGCGAGAACTGCGTATGTGTCGGGCGAGCGGGGGCCGCGCGCACCCGCGCATCGCTCCCACGTCGAACGTCGCCCTCTCGAGCGTCGGGTTCCGCGCGCCCAGCGTCTCGATGATGCTTTCGAGCCGCGTCAACCACCCGCTGTCGACTTCCGCGCCCGCGTCCGCCAGACTGCCCGCGAGGTCGCGCATCGTGCCCAGCGCGCTGTCCGCCGCGATGGCCTCGGTCGTGTACACCCCCGGGACGTTGCAGAGCGCGCCGCGGATGTCCGGGGTCGAGCGCGCCTTGCCACATGCCAGGCGGATGTCCGGCGGCCGAACCTCGAAGAGCATCTTGCGGGGCGCGAACGCCACGGCCATGCCCTCCTCGGACTCGTCCTTCGGCGCCTCGCACGCCTCCTGTTCCTCCAGCTCCTTCTGCTGCGAAAAATAAAGAAAGCAAGAAAGCCAAATGCTCATTCATCGATCGATGCATGGGTCTTGCGCCGCAACGCGCGAGCGGCGCACACTTCGCTCGCTCGCACAGTTCGTTCGCGGCGGCTGCACTCACGCCCCGCGTCAGGGCAGCGCGCGCTGAGTCAGGCAAGCGCGCACCTCGCGGGCCATGCGCATCCTGTCCTCCTCGGCCTTGATGCGCTCCAGCGCACCCCGGAGGCCCTTCTTCAGCTCCCGCTCCCGCACGCCCCTGTCGTCGACGACCCCAAGCACCTGTTCTACCGCTTTACTCCCCTCGATCACCCCCCACACCGGCTCCACCTCCCGCATGAACCGCCGCCGCGACGCCCCGTCCTCCGCCGCGCCCGCCTCCGCGCGCCGCTGCTGCTCGAACCACACGCAGTCTCGCCGCCCCCCCATCCCGTACCAGTACCGCCGGTGGTGCCGGTCCGCCCCGAGGCACTCGCGCCGCACGTCCCACTTGTCGTCGCGCTGGATGCGCTCCAGGTCCGCCTCGCGCGCCTCGATCTCCGCGAGCAGCCCCTCGCGCTCGCGCTTGAGATCCCCGACCGCCTGCTGCTGCGCCTCCGCCTGATTCAGCGCGTCGATCTCGCCCTCCGCGCCCTGCGCAGGGCCTGGCGCGCCCCCGGCCGCCTGCTTGTCCTTCGCGGCGCGGAGCTCCTTCACGATCTCGCCCTCGCGCTTCCGCAGCTTCCGGAGCACAGCGCGGACGTCCTTGCACGCGTCCTCGCGCCCGGCCTGGCGCTGGTCCATGTGCTGCCGCAGCTGCGAGCCCGACGCGATCTCGTCGGTCAGGTGCACGAGCAGCGCCATGCGCGCCTCCGCGGAGAGCGTCTCGGGCGCGCTCGAGCCCAGCGCGGCGGCGGCTTCCAGGATCTGGCGGCCCGGGAGGACCGTGCAGACTCCCGAGAGGAGGAATCGCCGCAGGATCTCGGGCCAGACGCCGTCCGCGTCGAGCATGTCGTACCAGCGGTGCTCCATGCGGCTGCACTCCGCCGCGTTCTCGCCGTGCACCTGCAGCGGGCAGCTCGAAGCGCGCGGGCTCGGCACGCGTGGTGGCAGCGAGGCGCAGATATGAGGAACCACCGGCGCTGCTGCCGGCGTCTCCGGGACGCCGTGCGCGCGGACGCGGCGCACAGCGATTTCCCAAGCAGCCTCCACGCCCGACGACTTCATGTCTTGCAAGCATTCATGTAAAAATACGGATCAATATCAATATCAGAATCAAGAGAGGCGGCGCACCCGGTCTTCCAAGACGTTCTCCAGGAGCAGCTCGAAGACCCGCCCGGCCTGCATCGACCGGTTCGCCGCGTCCGCGCGCCCGCGCACCCCCGCGCCGTCCCCCACGTCGTCCCCGTGCCGAATCGCCTCCTCCAGCGCCGCCATCGTCAGCGGCACCTTCCTCGCCTCCAGCATCCCCGTCCAGTCGTCCAGGAACGACGTCAGCGTCAGCAGGCCCGGCAGCAGCGCCTGGTCCTCTGCGGGCAGCAGCTCCGGGAGGGGGAGGTCCGCGGGGGGCCCGGGCTGCCCGGCGTCCTTGGCGCGCTGAGTCAGGAGGGTGTGCAACTCGAGGTCGTCCATCGGGAAGCGCGGGCGGCGGTCGGACGCGCGCTCGGCCTTGCGGCGCGACGCGGCGCTCTCGCGCATCTCCGCGAGCTCCTTCTCGACCTCCGCGAGGCTCTTCTCCCACGCCGCAACCTGCACACCACACCCCAGGCGCTGCATTTGTATTTGCATTTGCATCTGTATTTGTATTTGTATTTGTATTTGTATTTGTATTTGTATTTGTATTTGTATTTGTATTTGTATTCGTATTTGTGTTTCCTGTCACCGAGCGTCCCTTTCCGCCCGTTCCGCAGCGCAGCAACACAACAACGAGCCCAGCCCCGCACACGTGCAGCCTGACATGCGCGCTTGCCTGCTCCTTCTGCTCGTCAACGGCCTTCAGGGCCTCGGCCTTGGCCGTCTCGTTCTCGCCCGCCGCCAGCAGCCGCTCGCGCGCCTCCTGCAGCAGCGCCGTGTGCTTCGCGAGGTGGCGCTTCGCCCGCTGCTGCTGCAGCTTGGCCCTGCGCCGTGGGTCCTCCTCGCCCTCCTCCGACTTGCGCGCGCCGCGCTCCGCGTCCGTCCGCGGCCGCCCCTCCCCGTGGCCCTCGACGAGCGCCCGGAGCGCCCACAGCCCGCGGCCCACCCTGACGAAGGCGTTGTCATACTGCAGGACCGACGTCATGGAGTGGTGCACGCTCTTCAGGGCCGACAGATCGCGCAGCCCGCGCTCCTGGATCGCCTCCCCGATCTGCATCGCCGTCATGCCGCCCGTGCCGGCGTCCCGCAACACCTGCGCAAACACCAGCGACAACGTCCCACCGCAGCGTGACGGTGAGCACAACAGGTGTGGGCGCGCGTGCACCCAGGGTCGCGGCGTGCGGGGCCGCGGGGAGGCGGCGTCGCGCACCTGGAAGACGGGGTACTTGTTTCCGGAGGTGAAACGGCTGATGCGGTCCTCTGCGTCCGACAGAGTCTCCTCGGCGTCGCCAACGACGGTGCGCCCCCCGCCGGACCCGTACGCCCGGCGCCCCGCCTTGGGCTTCTTCTCCATCTCCGTCGTCGGCTCGAACGCGTCGTGCTCCTCGTCGTCTGCGCACGAGCGGGAGAGCGCAGCGGCGGGGGGTGTGCTGCCAAACAAGGCCCGCGACACGCCGGCGACCGACGTCCCGGCCGGCCGGGCCACGCCTGCTGCGCGGGCGCATCGCGCCCGCCGGGCACGGCCCTCCCACGCAACAGCGCGCGCCGCAGTGCGCACCGGTGGGGGGATCCACATAGAGCGACTTCGCAACCTTCCCCTTCCGCGGCTTCTTCGGGCGCCCGCCCGGGGTGAACTGCACGTCCGCGGCGGCGTCGGTCTCCGCGGCCTTCTGCGCCTCCGCCACGACGGGGTCCTTGCGAGGCCTCGCCTTCTTGCCACTTTCGCGAGCCTTTGTCTTAGTCTTGGAATTCGGCTCAGAGGACTTCGTCCTCGCCTTCCGCGCCTCCTCCTCGTGCGCGAGGGCCTCCGCGTACGTCATTCCGCCCTTCCCGGTCACCTCGCAGCTCCAGTTGCGCTCCTTGTACGCGCTCTCTCTCGCCTTGTATTCATTGGGGTCTGTGAAGACCTCTCCCGTCGCCTCAATCGTGTAAACCTTCGCCTTCGAGCCCTTGCGCGACGGCTGCGTGGTTGGGCCCAGCGTCCATGGCTTGCCCTTGTAGAGCGGGGCCATGTTCGCCGCGCTCGCGCGTCAGGCCCTCGGAGCTATTGCGGCCCCGCGCGCCGCGCGCGAGGATCGTCTCGTCGCGAAGTTACTGCACTGGAGCCAGGAGAGCGCATGGGAGAAGCAGTGAGCGACGGTGTGCGGCGTCCAGGAGCTGGAACCGTGCCTTGGCGATTGCGAGGGGCCGACAGCCACGAACGGCGCGCAGCTGAGCCTTTCGCGGCTATCTATGTTCCACAGAATCAGTGCGACTCGCGCTGGGACGATACGGAGGGGAACTGCGCAGCTGCGTCTCGGCGCCGCAACCGCCGAAGAAGCGCAGGGCGGGCTAGGAGGGCTGCGCCGAAACCTCGCTGCGCGCCAACGCGGACTGCGCCACGTCAGGGGCCGCGCGGCAGTGTGGCCCGCGGCCGCGAGCACGCTCAGCGGGAATGAAAGCCGTGGGCGCTTGGTCGAGCCACCAGCGCGGTCGCAAACGCAGGTGGCCGCGCGTTGAGACACCTAGGTGCTCCTGGCAATGCGCCTCGTGCGCACAACGACGAATACTGGCGTGTCTGCCGGCCCGCGCGAGCACAACGAACATGTCTGCGTGCGGTACAGTTCCAATGGTGCCGCATACTGCGGCGTTGCGGTGGTATCAGGTAGCGCTTCGCACGTATAGCTCCACCACGAAGGTCCAGGCGAGATTTCAATGCCCGGTCCCAGCGGAACGCCTGCCTTCTGATACGGCGGAGGTCGGGGCCGCGCGCTACGCAGCGTCGCGGGTGAAACTCGCCTGATCAGCACACCTCGGAGTCATGCGGCATGCACCAGCCCGGTCTCCGTCGTCCACCCGGCCAGGCCTCGCCCCCGCGCTTCTGTGCCACCGGGGGCGCGGGGCCGGGGCGAAATCCGCGCACCGGGGCCGCAGGGGGGGCCCTTAGAGGGGTGTGACAGACCTGACTCCGTCCCGTCCGATCGGGACAGCTTGGACGACCTGCGGGGGCGAAGCGGCGCAGGTGGCGATCCTTCGGGCACAGATGCAAGGCGTTCGCTTTTCATAATTCATATGTTTTCAAATATCATACGACACAAAGACAGTCGTTGTAGGTGCGCCGTGTCGTGCGACGATGCGTACGCGGAAGGCAGGGCTGGGGCAGAATGCACCAGCTGGCGGCGCCGCGGCGGGGAAGGGATTCTAGACCGTTCTCACGTCGCAGTGACACTGGACGGCCACGCATGGCCGCGCGGGCGACAGACGGGCACAGGATGAGCGACCGCCCCGGACGACGTCGGCGCTGGTCTGAGCTGCAGGCCCGCGCGCTGTGCGCGGTTCGGCAGCGCCGTTCGCGGCGACGCGGGCGTTTTTCCTACCCACGGCGGTGTCTGACTCGCAGCTGACGTCATGCCGCGCACCCCCGGGGCGGTGCGACGCGGCAGCGGCCGCGCGCGGATCACTGCGCCACGCCGGCGGACCTCGCGCGCAGTCGACCCGGCGAGCGCGGGCGCACGGAACGAAGCGGCGACCGCACCTGCCTTGTTTACCACGGGCGCCCTCCGCCGCCGGCAGCTCACATCTTCCGGAGCTCGCGCGCTGGGCGGAACGCCATGCCGAAGGTGCCCCGAGCCGCGAAAGCCGGTGAGCCACGCGCGCCGACGCGGGAGGCGGACAGGGGCCGTTGCGATGTCGCGCAGCACGCCACAGCCGCGACCGCGCCCCCGCCGTGTTTTCGCGCCGATTTTCTCCGAGACGCGAGAACCGTGTCGCCTGATCAGTTTGCGCGCAGCTTGATCTTGCCACGGCGCGCGACATGCGCGTTCTCGGCGACCCGATTCAACGGGGCCTGGTCGGCCGTTGCGCGCCCCTCCCGCACCGGGGCCCGCGCGAACGCCACCAGCGCTTCCCGCCTGCGACCCTCCGCGTCGAGACATTTCGCCCGCCGCAGCTCACGGGAGCGCGTCCCCCCACGCGTTCGCTGCGCGATGTTGCCTACGACCATACGCACACGCACGGACCCGTTGCGCGTCCCGCGCGCCTCACTGCGTCCCTCACACCGCGTGCCACGACCGCAGACCGCTCACAGTCTCCGATGAAGAGGGGCCGTCCCGGCCGTGGAAGCGTCGGCGCCGCGCCGCGCGCTCGCACGTCCCTCAGCCCTCTGGGCAGGGCTCAGGACTCCGAATCTTCGCTGCTGCTCCCCCATCGGCCCGCGTACGACAGTGACGACGACATATTCGTCCTGCCACCGCAGCCCGCGCCGCCCGGCCCGGGCGAGGCGTGTCTGCCATCGGGGCGCCGCAAACGCAAGCTGCTCCACGAGTCCGACTCGCAGCCGTCCAGCGAATCGAGCCCCGCTCCGGAGGAGCGCGGGGCGCAAGTCGACTCGCGGGTGGCTGAGCTCGAAGCTGAGGCGAAGCGGCTGCGGGCCGCGCTGGACGGGAGCGGCGCGCTGGTGGAGAGCTGGAAGGCGCAGGCGCAGCAGCAGGCCGCGGAGGCGGCGGCGGCGCGCGAGGAGCTGGCTGCTGCGCGGCGCGAGCTCGAGCAGAGCATCGCGGAGCGCGAGCGGTGCGCGGCGGAGGCGGACAGCCTCCGCCGGGACCTGGCCGCGATGTCGACGCGTGTCGAGGACCTGAAACACCTCCGGGGGGGTCTCGACGGCCAGTTGGCGGACGTCAAGGCGCTCTGCTGCAACATCCTCACCGCCGTGGGCGGCGCGAAGGTCGACGGGGGCCGCGCCGCCTCCCCGCCGCCCCGCGCAGACGCCCGCGCCGCCGCCGCCCAGCGCGGCGCCGCCCAGGAACGCGCCGCCGCCGAAGAAGCCGGCGCTGGCCGCGCGCGCGCCCGAGAAGACGTTCCGCGCCGCTCCGGCGGCGCCCGCGGGCGAGCTCGGCGAGGAGTTCTACGACAGGCTGCAAAACAACCTGGAGTACAACTTGCAAGAGTTGTGGCCTGAATACTCGCAGTGGTGGCTGGCGGACGCAGCGATGGACCGCACGCGCACGGGGCGGCTGAAGTACGTGCTCGGGAGGATCTTTCCGGAGATCGTCTTGCACGCGCTGTGCGTGGAGGGGCTGCGGTGGGACGACATGTCGGCGCTGACGAGCGTCAGCGAGTACGGCGACGAGTTCCGCGGGTCCGCGGCGGAGTTCCCGCGCGGCCGCACGGCCCGGCCGTGCATCGTGCCGTGCGCGGACTGCTTGTACTTCGAGCAGGGCGGCCGCGTGTGCTTCCACCCGCCGCGCAAGGGGGAGGTGTGGCGGCGCTCGTACTTGTTCCGCCGGGAACGCGACCTCGTGGACGTGGCGGACCGGCGGGTGTACCCCGGGGCGCCGCAGAAGAGCGGGTTCGTGCAGATCCGGGCGGCGCTGCGGGAGGGCGCCATTGACTGCGAGCGCGCGCTGGCGGCGAGCGAGCGCGCGCTGGACGTGCTGCATGCGGTGGTCGGGGAGCGCATGTTCGAGGAGTGGGCGAACTCGGCGCAGGGCAGGAGCATGCGCGAGCTCGCGGAGGAGCTGCAGGGCGGCGGATGAGCGCTGATACGTCGCGCCCTGCTGCGCATGCATTGCCACATCGTCGCGCGCTCCCTGATGCATTGCAATGGACACTACTGCCACCGCGAGCGAGCGAGCAATTTCTCCGCCTCGGAGGTCCTCGCAGTGGCTAGATCTTGGTAGATATGCAGGAACAACCAATGTAAAGTATTTAGTCGTGGCCCGGAGAGTCCTCAGCCGCCAGGGCCGCACCCCAGGTCATGTGAGTCATGCGATCACAGTCACACGCCCTGCGCCGCCTCCCCGCCCGCCTGCGCGGCTCCCACACCCGGCACACGCACCTCTGTCACCACATGATAATACCCCCCCGGCCTGCGCCCGCTCATGCGACACAACTGCACCGTCGCGATCGCTGCGCGCCCGCCGTCCACCTCCCAGTGCTCGCCCAGCGCGGCCTTGGGTATCGACTGCGGCGAGGCGTGGGGACAGGCGCGAGGCTCGTCACCGTGGGCAGGTCGCAGGTGTGATGGGGGGGGGTGTTGCTATCGTTTGGGGCGCGCACCTTGGGAGGACGGCGGCGCCCGCGTCGTGGCGGCGGCGGCTTCGCTATGGTGCAGTGCGGGACGAAGGCCTGGTCCTTCATTGTGTCAGCAATGTCCGACGCAAGAAGGGATTCCCTGACCTTGAACGCCACCTCTTCCAGCCTGCAGCCAGCCGAGACGACCGGGCGCTGCTCGCTCCGAGCAAGACGTCCTCCGACGCCGCGACAAGACAGAGATATCAACAGAAGAGGAATCATGGTCTGGCTTCACGCTCAGACGCAGGATGGTGCCGGTGACGTGGCGGGCCGCGCACCACTCTCGCTCAGGCCCCTCGGGCACCTCGAGGAAGACCACCCGCGCCGCCTCCCGGCCGCCGAACGTGCCGAGCCCGCGCACAGGCAGCGATACTGTGTCCGTGGCGCGCTCCGTGTCCGACGCGGAAAACGCGGCCTCCAGCGCCCTCCGCGCCCCCTCGACGTGCGCCTCCGTCTCCAGGGCCATCACCGCGAGCGTGATGTGCGCGCTCGCCGGATCGACACAGAACGGGGCGTACGGTCCCGGCTCGCATGCGTCGCAGTCACTTGGATCCTCGCTGCCAGCGCTGGCGCCGTTCCCCGACTCGTCTCGGGGGCGGTACGCACGCAGGGATGTCTGGACACCCTCGATGGCCTGCCGCACGGTCGGCTCGTGCGACAGCTGGACCGCGTAGAAGTAGTTGGGCCTCGGTGGTGGTTTGGGCTTCTCCTCCCTCGGCGCCGCACCTTCCTCGCGCCCCGCTGCGCCTTGCGCGCCCTTGCTGTCGATGTCATCTTGCGCGGCAGCGACGCTCGGGCCCGCCCGCTCCCCGCGCGCCGCGGAGGAGGCCATAGAGCGGTGACCTCGCAGCGAGCGCAGCTGGCAGCGTGAAACGGAGCAGCTGACAGGGCAGGAAAGCACTCTACAGGCCCGAACGAAAGCGGCGGGGGCGTGCCGCGTGCGCGGGAACCCCCTGCCGCGAAGGGCGGTCCACGCCAGCTCTCGTACTTGATACCTCGCGCCACAGGCGCACTGACCTCGCGCTCACGCCCCTTCGACACGCGTCGGTGCGATACGCTCGTGCTGGCACTGCGGCGGCGCAACGTGCCCGGCGACCGCTCGACCCAGAAGCCCCCCCTGTGCAAGTTTCCACCGCGCGTCGTCGTCACAGCAATCCCAAGAAGATGCCCACGCCTGCGTGCTCGCGGACAGTGCCCGCGCATGGTCGACTACGGTGGAAGTCTGCGCCGCGATCCAGTCCACGCCGCCCTGACGAGGCGTAACTTGCATGCTTGCCTCGAGTTGTGTGTGTCTCTCTCTAGCAGCGCTCACCCCCGGACTGCCTGGACGGCCAGCGCGAGCATGCGCCACACGCTGTTTGGCTGCAGCAGGAAGCGCAGGAGCTTGGGCGCGATGCCGGGGACGTTGTGGTTTTGGATGTCGCAGGGCTCCACGGGCGCGAGCGACAGCGGGGCGCGCAGCACGGACTTCTCCGGATGGTCCAGCATGCTGGCCGGGATCACGAACGCGTTCCCTGCAGCGCGAAACAGCCGTGAGCGCCCGATTGTGAGCTGCAAGCGCTGCAGATGTCCCGCGCGACAGATGTTCTTCAACGCCAGGAGTGCGTGGCCCACCTGAGCCTATGTTTTCGAGCGTGTTCCCGGGGAAGGCTCCCCAGGTCATGGTTGGGAGGAAGAACCCCCAGATGGTCGGCAGGTTGACGCACACCGCGCCGTAGCGCAGCTCCTCCAGCGCGCGCTGCAAGGCGTCAGCGTGCCGCCGCTCGGCGCGCGCGTCGATGAACAGGGCGCACGAGAGCTCGCCCGCGATCCTGCGACCGAGCGGGCACGGCCACCCGTCGTCAGAGCCCCGCGACCTCTTCTGAACGCACACACACATGCGCACACAAACGTACGCCGGCGGCGGCGCGGGGTCGCACTTTTCGTTGCAGAACTTGGTGGCCGTGCGCAGGAACGCCTCGACGCCGCCGCCCTCCGTCACCAGCGGCACCTCCTGCAGCGACGTGCTCCACGTCTCGTGGCTGAGCTGCGCCTCCTTCGGATCGACCCCCGTCGCCAGCAGCCACAGCGGGCCGTGGTGCCCGTCGCCGCGCGGCAGCGACCGGATCTCCTCCACGCGCTCCCCGTACGCGTCGCGGAACCGCTGCATCAGCACGTCGGATCCGGGGTACCAACACGGCGCGAGCGGGGACGCGCGCAGCTCCTCGCGGAGGACGGCGAGGAACTCCTCGCGCTGCGGCCATGCAGCGTCGGTGACGAGGACCTCCGCGGCGAGGCAGTTGTGCCCCGTGTTGTGCCCGGCGCCCGTGGCGACTGCGCGCGCAATGCGACGCAGGTCGCGCCGCGACATTTTCTCGCACGGCGCGATGATGTACGGCGTCACGCAGCCGAGCTCGCCGAAGACGGGCTTCGACGTCCCGAGCGCGCCCTCGGGCAGCGCGACCCCCCCCCGCGGCCCCTGTGGGTGCCCCCACACGATGGCGTTGAAGGAAGAAGCGCTGCCAGTGAGGTGCACGACGGCGACGCGGGGGTCGCGGACCGCGCGCGCCGCGGGCGAGGTGGGGCCGCCGTGGCACACGCGGACGAAGCCGGCGTGTATGAGGGGGTGTAGGAACGCGGTCAGGTACGGCGCGGTCCAGTCAGACACAGGGTTGACCTTCAGGAGGACGACGCGGCCCGACGCGAGGACCGAGGCGACGTCGATGAGCACGGCGCACGCGTGGTTCCCGGCGCCGAGGACGCACGCGACGCCACGTGCCGGCTGCGCGGGGGGGACGCGAGGGGATTGAGTCAGGTTTTGCGTTGGAGCGGCAAGCGCGGACGGTTCGCACGTGCGGGCGCTGCGCGGGCGCGTACCCGCTTGTGCACGCGCGCTCCCTGCGTCGGCGGGCTCCCCGGCGTGAGATATGTTTCTACCGAACACTCCCCAAACAAGATGGCAAACAGACCCCGCGGCCACACGCGCACCGCGAGCCGGCCGCTCGGCAGCGTGCGGATGCCCGTGAGCGGCGGCTTGCCTGCGGCGTCCAGTCCGGCCGCGATCTCCATCAGGTAGCCGACGGCGGCGGACATGTCGAGAGCGTGCACGGCGCCGCCGCAGCCGCCCGCGCCTTTGGCCTTCGTCGCTGCGGCGGCGTAGGCGTCCACGCCGTCGACGACGCGCCGGGCGACGGAGCGGAACAGGGCCGCGCGCTCTGAGAGCTCGAGGCCCGCCCACGCGGGCTGCGCCGCGGCAAGCTCCTGCAGAGACCGCGCACCCGGCGCCACGTCGCGCGAAAATCAAGACGATGCCGTTCGTGAGGTTTCTCACGATCTGGGTGCCATGGATTTTCGCACGCGCGATCCGGAAGGTCGCTGCGGTGCGCGGACGGGCGCAGGGAACAACAGCGGGAGTTGGTTCGCACCTCTAGCATGCGCATCACGTCGGTTTCGCGCGTCTCCGGCGCTGGAGCTTGCTTCGCTCCGGCCACCTGGGCCTTGAACCTGGGCTTCGGGACCAGCGGACACACCAGCCGCAGCAGGAGCTGCACGACCTTGCCCAGGCAATCAAGGAAACGCACTCCCAGCGGAAGGTCTCGTTCCCACGCCATGGCGGCGGTTCGAGGCGGCCTGGGATGAGCGGGGAGACCGGTACGTCGAGATGCAGGAGGCGCGCGCTTGGCTGCGCCTCTGGCGCCGCTCAGGCAGCGGCGGGGGCTCGGCGGGTGCGAGCAGTGGAGGGGCGCCGGGTGCCGTGCGGGCGAGGCTCGCACGGCCAAACACGCAGTGCCCGCACCGCCAGTGCGCATGACCGGTGCGGCAACGCGCGTCGCGGGGCGGCACGGGCGACTCAAGAGCCGCAGACGGACCGGGGAACCACGCACGAAGCGACACGTCATACCTGCCCCTGCCGTCCGACATACGCGCCCGACCCCGCGAAACGGGCCGCCGCAGACCGGGCGCGAGGTGGCCGGGCCGGGACGCTGGGGGCCCGGCTCCGCGAGGCGCAGGGCCGCGCCCCCCTGGCCCAGGGAGCAAGGTGCACTCTCAGAGGTCTGGCAACAGCCGACGCGGCCCGGAGACGTGCGGGAACGGGCCAGGCGCAACGACGGTGTTGCGCTCGAGCTCGTGGGTGGTTGCGGACACGACGACGGATCGGCGGCGGTCGACTGACGATCGCGATCACAACCGACTCAATGCTAAATATCATTCAATATGATTCAATATTCGCGAGCCTCGATTGAAGGGCCGCCTCGATCGAAGCTCGTGCACTTGGTGCGAGAACGCACCCTCCCGCACAATCACGCGCGAGCGAATCGTCCGCCGCCACGCACCGCGCGATGCCGTGGCGGCTCATGCACCCACCCAGCACCCCTCCGCTACGCCACGCGCTTCGTCCCGCTCCGGTCCGTGTAGTGCGTGTGCAGCATGTGGTGCGCCTTGTGCCCGCGGTCCGGCCCCGTCAGCCCCCCGCCAAGCCACGTGCCGTACAGGTCAATGACGTAAGGGTTCTTGTGGCTCACGCGCAGCTCCTTCGACGCGTCCGTCGCGTACACGCTCCGCGCGCGCGCGTACACGTTCTCCATTGTCTGCGCCTTGGGCTGCCCGCCCCCGGCGATGCACCCTGCCGGACACGACATCACTTCAACAAAGTGATACGTCTTGTCGCCGTTGCGGATCGCCTCGAGGAGCGGCCCGACGTTGCCGATGCCGTTCACGACCGCGACGCGCGCCTCGATCGTCGTGCCGAGCGCCGGCACCGGGATCGGGATGACGGCCTCCTTGACGCCCGCGAACCCACGCACCGGCAGGATGTCCAAATCGGCCAGCTCGTCGCGCTGCGGGGGAGAGAGACGCACGGGGCGCGTGGCTGTGAGGCCCGCGCGCAGGACAGCGGGGAGGGGGGGTGTGATGGGGGGTGTGTTGCGTACCGTGAGGAGGTGATAGGCGGTGCGCAGCGCGGCCTCCATGACGCCGCCGGAGGCGGCGAAGACGTCCGCGGCGCCGGAGCTCACGCCCATCGGGTTGTCGAAGTCCTGCGGGGGCAGCGTCGCCATGTGCACGCGGCGCGTGCGCATCATCTTGCCGAGCTCGCGCGTGGTGAGCACGTAGTCCACGTCCGCGACGTCCTCCGCGACGGTGCCCTGGAACTGCTCGCGCGTGCGCTCGTGCTTCTTCGCGGTGCACGGCATGATGGCGACGCTGACGATGTCGCGCGGGTCGACGCCGGCCGTCGCGGCCCAGTAACCCTTGATGAGGGGCGCCATCATCATCATGGGGGAGCGGCACGAGGAGAGGCTGTCGATCCACTCCGGGGCGTCCTTCTCGACGTAGTTGATCCACGCGGGGCAGCACGACGTGAACATCGGCAGCCTCGGCGGCGCGCCGCCCTGCGACACGGACCACAAGGACACGTGTGTAAGTTGTTGTCTGGCTCGGCGAGCCAACGTCATCGATCGATGATGACGGTCAATGTGCAGTTGAGGCGGTTGGCCGGCAGGAGGGCCGGCAGCGAGCGTGTTCCGGTCGCCTGAACGGCGCGGCGCACACAAACAGACGTTTGTTTCTCGACGGCGGACCCGTCTTTCACCGCGTCCTCTACCGTGGAATGTCATTCCACTTGAAGTGCAACACTGTCTGGAATGTCAGGTTCAGGTCAGGTCAGGTCTCACTGAGACTTGGTTCTACAGCGCAATTTCAGTCAACGCCTGACATTCCGAAAAATACTCAGCTTCGAGCTTGTGCCCCGCGCCAGTCAGGCGACCGGGCACGTAGGCGCGTGCGACGCATGCAAGCAGCAGCGTGCGCACCTGCAGCGGCGCGGCGGGGATGCCGTTGATCTCCGGGAGCCCTAGGTTGGCCGCCAGCCGCGCGACGAGCTCCGTGGCCTCCTCCAGGATCGTCAGGTCGGCCGTGAAGTTCGTGTCGAACACGTGCGCGAACCCCAGCTGCTTCAGCGCCGCCACCATCTGCCCCGAGGCCACGCCGGGGCCCATCCCGGTCTCCTCGCCGATCGCAAACCGCACCGACGGCGCCACCTGCGCCACCATGACCTTCCGCCCGGCGTCGATCTCGTCGAGCACGTCGCGCCAGGACTCCCGCTCATGGATCGCGCCAGTCGGACACACCGAGCTGCACTGCCCGCAGTCAATGCAGGGCGTCTCCGGGAGCTCGAGGTCCGCCTCGATGCCCATGCGCGAGTCGCGCCCGCGCCCCACGAACCCCAGGATGCCCATGTGCTGCACCTCGCCGCACACGTGCGCGCAGCGCCCGCAGTGCACGCACTTCTCGAAATCGATCTCGATCGCGTTGCTCGCGGTGCGCTTGTGGCCCCACGCGTCGTCGGTGCACGGCAGCAGCGCGGGCTCGTCGCGCGCCGGCTGCGCGAGCGCGTAGCTGCACGGCCCGGGGCGCGCCCCGCCGCGACCCGCGCTGCCGACGCCGTAGCGGTTGAGGAGGTCCTGGAAGTGGCACTCGCCGTTCGCGGAGCACGTCATGCAGTCGTGCGGGTGGTCGCGCTCCAGCGCGCCCAGGACGAACCGCGTGCTCGCGCGCACCGCCGCCGAGTCGGTCACCACCGCCGCCCCCTCCGTCGCCACTGCGCGAAGCACACACCGGATTTCGCTCAGAATCGCGCCGGGATCGATGATACGAACACCGTGGATCCGTCTCCGGCGAAAAACGTCGAGTATGAACGGAATACCGCGCCGGAAAACGCGTATTGCAAACAACGAGACAGGGTGTCCAAAAGCGCGATGCCGCGCACGTGCGTCGCGGGCGGAGCGGGGCGCTGCCTCCGCGCACGATGCACGAGCCAGACCGAGTCCGCACCTGTGCAGCACGCGGGCAGCTGCCGGCCGCCCACCTCGACCTGGCACACGCGGCAACTCCCAGGCTGGGCTCCAGTGCGCTCGTGGTAGCACAGCGTCGGGACCGTGATACCGAGCGTCTGCGCGGCTTTGAGAATCGTCGATCCGCGCGGGACCGACACGGCGCGCCCGTTGACGGTCAGGCGGACCACGTCGTCGTGCTCGGAGTCGCTTTCCGAGTGAGGGTGCTGGCGGAGCCGGGCCGCCGTGAAGATGCCCGCGCTTCCGGCCTGCGGGGGCGCGGTCGGGGGAGGGACGTTCCGTGGGGTTTCGGCGGCGGTGGACTCGCGCGGGGCGCGCGCCGGGGGACGCCGCGCGAGGCGCGGCTGCAAGCAACGGCAGGTGGTGCGCCGAGGGCGCGGGACGCGGCGGAAGGCGCGCCGCGCGGGGCGCATGCGATGGTTCGGAAGTCGTGGACGCGGGGCGCGGGCCGCGGAGGGCGCAGTCGCGGCGGCGCGCGTGCGCGGCCGGTCGAAAGACCACGCCGGCCCATGTGTGCCGGTGTCCACGCCAGCGCGAGACGGCGCCGCTCGGCTGTGTTCGCGCGGCGCCACTCGCGCGCGCGGGAAGGATCTATACAGGCATGTCGGTTTCGCGATGCGGGTCCGATGCCCAAAAGCGGGCGGGCCGCGGCGGAGCGTTGGGCAGATATGCGCACCAGCTGGGCGATGCCGGGCGCTAGCCGGAGCAGCGCGGGCACCGTCGATGTCACTAAGGTCTTTTCCATCATTCTATTTCGCGTCTGTTTCGTTCGAATGCCGCGCCGCCCCACCGCCCGGGTCCCGAAGAGCTGCGTCCACGTCGGCACCCTGCGTTGGCAACCGCCACTCCCCCCCTGACGCAGCGCCGACACCTCGGCCGCGCCGACACCCCGCCACCGAGCCCCGGGCCCGTTCGCCTGTTCCCCGCCCGCCCCTGCCCCATGCCGCATCGAGCGCGCCGGTGGGCGGAGCACGTCGCGTCGAGCAACCCCGGCTCCGCAGAGTTCGGCCGCTGTCTCGCCGGCGCGTGCCGCAGCCCACGAGACCTGCGGTTCGCTGCGTGGCTCTCGCCCACCGGGGCGCCCCCGCGGGCGGCCCGCGTAGCGGGCTTCGACAGTGCACGTGCGCAGGTGTGTGTGTTTGTGTGTGTGTGCGCCGTGCTCGCCGTGACGCGCCTCCGCCGGCCGAGAGCCGCGGCGGGACTGCGCAGGCCGGAGCCGCGCAGGGCTGGCGGCACTGCGCCGGTGAAGCGAGGGGGGGGAGTGTAAGTGTCAGACGGGGGCGTGGGCCGTCCCCGGCGCTCCCGGGGCCGCGCGCGACATAGCCGGCGCGCGGCGGGGCGTGGCGGCATCTTGGGGGCGCGACTGGAGGGAGTTCGTGTGCGGTGTGACGCGGAGAAGTGAGGCACACGCAGTGAGGCACGAGCGCTGGCGCGATGGCGTCGCTTGTGCGCTATGACAACCCCGTGCTGGTTGTCACCAGCAAGCAGGGGCCGAAGCCGGGCATGGGGAGGAAGAAGGTGAGGCTGTGCGGCGCCCGAGGGCCCCGGAGGCGACGTAGACGACAGCGGGACTGCCTGCTGCGCTCGGCGCCTCGTGCGGGGGCGCGACCCCGGTTCCGCGCCTCTGCTGGCCGTGCATGAACTTCAAAGGCCTGAAACGCGCCGCGAACGTCGCGCCCGTGCGCCGGCGACCGCGTCGCGACGGTCCACAGATGGCTCGAAAAATAGGGCCCGCGCGCCTTGTGCGGGAACCCGCGGCCCCGCGATGCCGCCGCCGCGGCCCGCGCGGCCTCCGAGCACCGAGGGGCCCGTTCCGCGCGAATGCGGGCGCGTCCGAGCCCGCACGACCCGCGAGCGCCGCCCGTGCAAGCGCAGGAGCTGGCACCGATTGAAGGCAAGGGCGTGACGCAAACTGAGGACATTCTGAACTCCATCCTGCCCCCGAGGTGCGTGTCTCCTCCCGGCCTCGCAGCAGCCCGGGAGCGGAGCTGCGAGCTGCCGCGAGGGCCTCGGAGGGGCTCAGCGGTGTGCGCGAGGCCTCCCGTGCCGCTGTTGCGCGCTGCGTGCGGCCTGAAGCCCCGCGCGGCTCCTCGTGCCGCTTCTGCCGTGCACGTTGATCGCAGCAGCGCTGCGCACCGGCGTCAGGGCCGTCTGCGCGCGCCCCGGGCCGCAGCCGGGCGCGCAGGCATCGTGCATGGCTTGCCCGCCCGCGCGCGTGCAGGCCGTTTCACTCCCTCGCGCCGCCCCAGCAGCGAAGCCGAGAGCATTGCTCGCCCGCGCAGCCCGTCAGACCCGAGCCGTCGCCACCGGCGCGGCCCCCCCGGCCCGCTCGTGCCCGCGCAACCTGCCGCGCCCGCCCCCCGCGCCCACGGCCGCGCAGGGAGTGGACGGAGGAGGGCCAGCTGTGGGTCCAGTACGTGAGCAGTACACCCGCCACCCGCCTGGACGTGATCAACCTCCAGGAGAGGCTGGACCAGCAGCTGCAGCAGCGCCAGGCACGTGAGACGGGCATCTGCCCCGTCCGCGAGGAGCTATACGGCCAGACGTTCGATGAGATCATCCGCCAGGTACGGTCCTCCCCTCTGCTGCTCACGCAGCCCCCTCGGCCCGCCCGTAGCCGCCCGCGTAGCCCACACGTCTCTGAAGTTGATTCAGGGTGTGTTGCGGCCCCCCGCGCGCGCTGCGCGCCGGAGCACCGACGCCCGCCGCTGTGTGTTCGCGCTGCGCAGGTCACGATCAACTGCGCGGAGCGCGGGCTGCTGTTGCTGCGCGTGCGCGACGAGATGCGCATGACCATCAGCGCATACCAGACGCTGTACGAGTCGGCGTGCGCGTTCGGCATGCGCAAGGCGCTGCAGGCGGAGCAGGGCAGAAACGAGCTGGAGGCGCGCATCGACACGCTGGAGGGCGAGAACGGGGACCTGCAGCGGCAGGTGACGGAGCTGCGCATGAAGTGCGAGCAGATCGAGAAGCGCGAGGCGGAGCGGCGCGAGGCGGAGGCGCGGAAGCACCGCGAGGACATCACGTACTACGAGAACCACGTGAAGCAGCTCAAGCAGCAGCTCGACCAGTTCCTGACCAGCCAGAAGAAGGCGAGCTGAGTCAGGTGGCGACGGCGGGGGGGGGGTGTTGGTATGGGTGGGTGTGGGGGGCGGGAAGGTGGCCCGGGCGTGTGACGGAGGCGCGCGTGCAGGCGCGGAGCGTGTCGTTGCCCGCGTTGCGAGCTGCGTTGTTTTGTGTGGAAGGCGGTGGTGGTGCGACAGGCGACGCAGTGGCGGCGGCAGGGGCACGAGTCCGCGCAGCACGCGGCCCTGCTCGCACGGCGCCCCCGCGCGGTTCCGTTCGGCGTCCGAGCCCGGCGCTCCAGCACTCATCACCGTCACATCTTGGCTGCTGCGATTGCAATTGTGATTTTCAGCGCATCAAGCGCATCTACAGCGCCACAACGACTACCAACGATCGACCTATACAGCTCCATCACTCCCGCGCGCTCTTCCGGCGCGTCGCCCCTTCCTCCGTCCGCCCACGCATCTTGTGTGCTGCATCGCTGGGCAGCTCCACCGCGCGCCGCCGGGACACCCGCGCCCGCGGCGGGCGCTCCTGCAGCCGTCCCAGGTCCGGGTTCAGCGGCGCCATGTGGTACTCGAGCCCGTTCTCGAGCCACAAGTCCGTGTACTCGACGTGACGCCGCCCCGGCTGCGCCCGCAAGCAGTCCACGGGGGTCAACACGACGCTGCCGGGGTTCGCGGCCGCGATCAGCGCGAGCGCCGCGCGCGCGCCCACGGCCCCGATCACGGCGCACAGCAGCGACACGAACCCGGTGCGCCACGCGGGGGCGGAGTCCGACGCCGATGAACTCGCAAACGACCGCGCGGTGCCCGGCACCTGCGCCGCCGGAACGCCGCGCAGCGCGCGGCGCTCCGCGGCTGTGAGCGTCGGCGCCGCGCGGACGCGGTCCGCCGGGAGGCTGAGCCCCGAGCGCCGCAGCTGGTCTGCAGTGAGCTCGACGAGCACGGTGCGCTGCCGCACGCGCCCGTCGCTCGTACCCGCGCCGCTGTCGTCGTCGATTACGGCCTCGACGAGCACGCGCCGTCCGGACCGCGGCGGCGACCCCGCGTCCGCCGCAGGGCCCAGCTGCGTGAGCGCCGACAGCAAACGGCGCATCGTGCCGCCGAACGCCGCCACCGCGCTCCGCACCGGGCTCGGCCCCTGCGGCTGCGCTGCCGCCGGCCCCGCCGCGCCCACAGGCGTCGTGTCGCCCGGCGTGAGCGCCGCTGTCGTCCCTGTGCGTCTGCGCGCACTCGCGACGCCGCTGGCCGCCTCCGACGCCGACGTGCGCGCGGGGCGGCGCCGGCTGCGCCCGCCACCGACCGAGCGAGCCGCGGCCGCCTCATGCTCGCTCACGCGCGCCGTCATCGCCGCGTCTTCGATCTCTGGCTCGACGTTTTCGGCGTCGGTCGCGCTGACGCCAGAAGGGCCCGCGACGGCGCTGTCCGCGCGCGTGAGCCCGCGGCGCTTCGAGCGCGCGGTGTTCGCGTTCGACAGCGCGTGCGAGAGCAGCGGTAGCCCGATCGGGGCCGCGGGGGGGAAGACTCGCGTCGGTCCCCTGCGGTCTCCAACAGTCCCCCTGGGGCCTCTCTCCGCGTCGTTCCCGGACATCGTGACGCGCCTCGCGGGCCCGTCGTCCTTCCCGGGGGCGCGGTTCTCGCCGCCGTCGCGCGCCGCGCCGCGGGGGCCCTGGTCGCCAACACCCCGCGGGGGGGCCGAGACGCTCGCGTCGACGCCCGAGACCGCGTGCGACAGCAGCGGCCCGTTCCCACGCCCTCCAGCCATGCTCTCGCGCGCCCCGAGCGCCCGACTGCTGCCGCCGCGCAGCACAGCCTGGTTCGTATTGTCGCGCAGGCCCCCCCCGGCCTCCGACCGCCGGGCCAGCGCCGCCTCCGCCTTGCGCCGCGCCGCGTCCTCGCGGGCCGCCTGCTGCTCCTGCGCAGCCCTGCGCCTCTCCTCTGCCTGCGCCGCCCTGCGCTCCTGCGCCTCCTGCTCCTTCGCCTCGCGCGCCGCGCGCTCGCGCTCCTTCCGCTCCGCAGCCTCGCGCATGCGGCGCTCCGCGGCCTCGCGAGCCTTGTCCGCGCGTGCCCGCCGCTCCGCTCCCCGGTCCCCTGCCGCGGCGGCGTCAGGCGCGGGCGGAGAGGGCGCCGCCGGAAAAACGCTCTGCGCTGTAGACGCGCTGGGAGGCGAGCGAGCCGCGCCTGGGCGGCCGCGCCCCGACGTCGCCGCCGCTTCCGAAGGCGGTGTCGCCTGCGTGCCGTTGCTCGCCGCTGCAGGCGTGAACTGAAGCTGCCTGCCACTGGGACCGGCCAGGCCGGGCGTCGCGGGCCCCGCTCCGGCGACCGGCACCGTGCCGGGCGTACGGCCGTCGGCCGGCTTCGCGCTCGATGCGGGCGTGTTGAGGGGTCTCCGCGAATCACCGCCGCCCGACCTGAGGAAGCCTGGAACCAGCGCGCCGAGCACCCGGCCGAGGGGGCTGCGCGGCGCGGAGTTCTGCTGCTCCGGCGACGGCGTTGCGCCCGCGGACCTCGCCCTGGCACCGCCGCCAGCGGCCGCTCTGCGCGACGCCGCACGCGCCGGGACCCTCTGGCCGCCCGCACCGGGGCCGTCGCCGTCGCTGTCGTCGTCCTGGCTGCGGACGGACCGCCGCGTCGCGCCGGGGCTGCGGCCACGCGGATCGAAGCCGCCGCCAGTGTCCCCCCGGCCAGCACCGTTGTTGCCCTGCGGTGACCTCTCCGAGGCCGAGTCACGGTCGCCGGCCTGCCGCTCGGCGCTGGGAGTCGCGACCTTGCCCGGCGCCTTCTGGCCGAGGTCACGCCGCGAGACCTGTCCGCCAACCGCGGCCCGGCCGCCGCCAGGCGTCTTGCTCAGGGTTGACGCGTCGGCGCGTGCGGGAGTGTATCCGCCCGCCGCATGCCTCGTTGTCCCCGTTCCCTCCGGGGTCGCGCCCTTCGACCGCCCCCCCAGCGCCTTCGCACCCGCCACCACCGCCCCCACCGCCGTCGCTGTTGCCGTCGCCGCCGCAGCCACCGCCACCGCCGCCATGCCCGCCCCCTCGCCGCCAGCGCCGCGCGCAGGCAGCGCAGAGCCCAGGCCCTGCACTTTCGCGGGCAAACGCGGCACCGGCTGGCCGGTAGCCGCCCGAGACGGCGGCGAGGCGGCGCTCTTGGCCGGCTGCGGCGCAGAGGGCCGCGGAGCGGGGCGTGCGGGCGCATCTCCCTTCGACGCGCCAGGTGTTGCCTTGGCGCTCGATGGCGCTCCCGCACTGGGCCGCGGCGCCGGCTGCGCACCGACCAGGAACGCCCCCAGCGCGCCGGCAGCAGCGACGGCCATCGTAGCGACCGCCGCAGTGCGTCGTGCTCCGCGGTGGGGGCTGGCTTCCGTGCCAGGCCCGTACTCGACGCCCCCGGCGCCCGGCACCTGGCGCCCTCGCTCTCCAGACCCGGGCGACCGTCCTTGCCTCTGCGTGCCAGACGGCGTGAAGCCTGCCACGACAGGGGGCGCTGCCGCAGTGCCGCGGGGTTGTCTTGAGGCCGCCGTGTCCAGCGTGTCGCCGCCAGGAGCGCGCCCCGCCGACCTCGAAGCAGTGTTCGAGCTCGCAGCGGTCCGAGGCGACCGCATCGCCACCTCTCCTCGCTTGGAATCGACTTTGGCGGGCAGAGTCTTGTTTGCACTCCCCGGCGGCCGCTCTTGAGAGCTGGCGCCCGGGGCTCCCGCGGGCGTGGTCTGGACACCACTCTCGATGCGCCCGCCCGTGTCTCCGCGCGTATCGCCCGGAGCCTGGTCGATGGCCGCACGCTGCGCGGTCCTCTCGCGCGCACCGCTGTCGCCTGGCACGAAGACAGCAGACCGCGCCTGAGGGTCCTCGCCCGCCTTGACCACTCCCTGCTGCACACTACCCATCGCAGCACCGCGCGCTCCCCGCGCTCCTCCCGCACCCGCGCCAACTGAGGCATCGACACCCCCGCGGATCTCATGCGATTCAATGCCGGCCAATGCTGCGCCCGCAGCCCCCTTCTGCGCGACAGAAGCAGCGATATTGCGGCCAGGCGCCTTCCTGTCCTGCTGGGCCGTCCCTGCGTCCTTCCGACCCCCGTCTGCCGGCCTTTGACCAGACACCTGTGTGAGGCCTGACACGGACGTCGCCGACCGCGCCTGCGGGTCCGCGACCGTCCGCGCTGCCAACAGCCTCGCAGACGTGCCGGTCCTCTTCGCGTCGGCGGGCTCCGTGTCGCCCGTGGAGTCAACACCCCCCCTGACTTCGTGACTGACAATGTCCTGGGGAACGGGCCTGTCCCTCGCAGCGGACGCGGCTTTTCCGCGCTCGGCAGCCGTGGCCGCAGGAGTGGATGTGGCCGCAGCTGCACGGCGCGGCGCGGCTGGTTGTCCAGCGTCCCTCGCGGCGCCGGGCACGAACACAGCTTCCTGTGCTTTCGGGTCGCTGCCCGCCGTTGCCGAGGCCAGCTGCGACGGCGACCTGCGGGCCTCAGACCTACCGGCACGGAGCTGCTGCTCCCGGGTCTTCTGGATCGCTGCTGGCCCTTGAGCGTCGCTCGGCACGCCCTGCGTGCCGCCTCCCGCCCCCGGGCCCGCGGCCCGCCGGCCGACGTCACGACGAGTGATCCGCACCGCGTCCGCTGCTCTAGCTCCATCGCCGTCAGGGCTGGGGCGCACGCCGCCGGCGCCGGCCGTCAAGCGTCGTTCCTGGGACGCAGCGTCAGCCGCCCCTGCCCCAGCTCGCTGCGCGTCGCCCTTGCCCTGGACCGTCGCAGTTGCGCCACGCACGGGGCTGAAACCGATAGCAGACGCGGGACCTGCGGTCCTCGGAGCGCCAGGCGCGTCAGGCTGCGCGTTCCGTGCCTTTGCGCCACCACCCGCTTGGCCGCTTCCTTGAACCTTGCCACTCGCCTGACCAGCGGCGGCGGCCGCTCCACGGCCACGCGCAGGGCTGTATCCGCCCGCCGTATGCCCCTTTGTCCCCGTCCCCTCCGGGGTCGTGCCCTTCGACCGCCCCCCCAGCGCCTTCGCACCCGCCACCACCGCCCCCACCGCCGTCGCTGTTGCCGTCGCCGCCGCAGCCACCGCCACCGCCGCCATGCCCGCCCCCTCGCCGCCAGCGCCGCGCGCCGGCAGCGCAGAGCCCAGCCCCTGCACTCTTGCAGGCGCTCGCGACGCCACCGGCGCTGCAGCCGGCGGCGAGGCGGCGCTCTTGGCCGGCTGCGGCGCCGAGGGCCGCGGGGCGGGCTTCCCGGCCGTATCTGCGCCTGCGGGAGCCCGCTGGATGGGAGCGCGCGGCCTGCCATCGGGCCTTGATGACGCACCGCCTGGCCCTGACGCTGGCTGAGAGCCGACCAGGAACGCCCCGAACGCGCCCGCGACAGCGACAGCGACCGTCGCGACAGTCGCGGTCGCGCGGCGAGCGGCGCGGTTCGGGGTCCGGCGCTCGCCATCGGCAACAGCTGGTGCGCGTGCGTGACGCGCTGGGGTGACCTTCAGCGGCGAGCCGCTGCCGTCCGCTCCGCGCTGCTTGCCGTTCGCGCCTTCGCGAGCGCCCGCACGCGGGCCCGCGTCCTGTCCCTGCCGCGCGGCCTTCGCAGGCGACGGACTTCGCACGCCTGCGCGCACCTCCGTTGCTGTCGCGTCCCGCGCTCCACGCAGCGGGCTCCCCGCGGCCCTCTGCGGCGTCGCTCGTCGCGACGGCGGCGCACTAGCCGCAGCTGGCGCTCGCGCACGCCCTGCGGCCGGCTGCGCTCCTGGACTGAACCCGACCGCAGCAGACCTGGCGTCCCTTGCCTGCACGCCAGCAGCGCCGCGCAAGTTCCCGGCGGTCGCCGCACGCCCGCCGGCGGGCCCCACCACTCCGCCGCGCGGGCCCGTTGCTTGGCCGTCCGCGTCGCTTCCCGGCGCGAACGCGCCCGCGCCTGCGCTTGCACCAGGCGAGGCCGTCGGACGCTGGTCGCGCCGGTTTCCGCCTCGAGGCTGCTGCCCCGCCGCCTGGCGACCGTCGACGCCGCGTCCAATCGCGCCAGCACCGTCGCCAGGCACAAACGCGACGGACTGGACCTTAGGGTCCCCCCCCACCCTCACCGCTGCCTGCTTTCCGGCGCTGCGGCCGGCAGCCTGCTGCACAGGCTTCGCCGCACCAGCACGGGCGCCGAACAAAACTTCCCCCCTCGTTCCTGTGGGGCTCCGCGACCGCAGTGCCGACTGAGCAGTCGCCTGCGCAACCGCGTTCTTCGCGTCTGCACCATCCCGACCCGGCACCGCAGCCCTGCCTGCATCCTTCGTCGCGCCCGGAACGAACGTGGCCGACCGCGCCTGCGGGTCCTCGCCGGCCCGGACTACGCCCCGCTTCGCTGCGCCCGCCACCTGCCGCGAGCCAGCCACCGCCTTCGAAGCAGCCGTATCCGCTCCACCGGACGCGTCCACGCCTTCTGCGACCTCGTGGGACTCGATGCCAGGCGCGAACGCGGCGCCGGGGCGGCCCCGCGCCGCCGCAACCGCGGCAGCACGCGTACGCGACGCTTCAGGCGCCCGCTGGCCGCCGCCCGGTGCCCTGCGCCCCGCACCGACCGCGTCCACGTCCTTGCCGCCGTCAATCGTAGCGCCCGGCACAAAGACAGCCGTCTGCGACTTCGCCGCCGCAGCCTCTTTGGCTGTACCCAGTGCCACGCGCATGGCTTCGCGGCTGCGCCGACTCGGCGAACCCGCCTTCGCGCCCCTGGCACCAGCGTCCTTCATGATCGCCAGCGTCTCGCCAGCACCGCGCAGCTTGTCGCCGGGCACGGCTCGCTCCGCAGCTCCCCTGCGCAGCTGCGGTGCAGGAGATCCGGCCATGACGCCCACGTCGCGCCCCGCCGTCCCGATCGCGCCCTCCTCGGCCCCATCACCGTCCCGCTTCGCTGGGGCGCGGCCCTGCTCCGCGCCCTTGCCGCTCAGGGCCTTGGCGCCAGCAAACACTGCGCCCAGCGCCGCCGCAGTCGCTGTGGCCGCCGCGGCCACTGCGACGGGCGCGATGCCCCCGGCATCGCCGCCCATAGGCTTCGGCGCGCCAAGGACCTTCTCGAGGCGCGGCACCCCCGCCGGGCCCGTCGAAGCAGCCCGTTGCTTGGACACCTTGGCGTCACTGCGACGTTGTTGCTCCCGTGCGGGAGCGCGTTCCGACGACCGCGAGCGCGCAGACGCAGCCTGCCGCTTGGTCGCGTCCTTGGAGACGGGAGACGCGTTCGGAGGGGCGCGTGCCTTCACCGGCTGCGACGCGGGCGTGGCTGACGGAGTGCGGCGAGGATCTGATACGGGCTGCGCTCCAGCCATGAACGCGCCGACTGCGCCCGCTGCCGCGACGACCACCGTAGCGAAGGCGGCCGTCGCGCGCCGGGCGACGCGGCCGCGCTCGCGCTCGGGCCGCTCGCGGGTGTCCCCAGGGGGGGGTGTTGGGGTCTCGACGTCCCGCGACGCGGGACCGTCCGGAGCCCACGGTGCACCGCCCGTGGGAAGCTTGCTGGTAGCTGGCGGAGCAGGGCCTGCTGCTGCCGGACGCTCAGCCTGCGCCGTTGCTTTCCGTTGGCCGGTAATCAGAGCTGCCCCTGCCGTGCTCGTTTCTCCGGACCGGAGCGCAGCAGCGCCGCCGCCCGGCAGTCCAAGGCCGCGTGCATCGATCGCGCGGCTGCTAGGTTTCCGTTGGTCCGCAGGCATCGTCCTCGCTGCCACCGCAGCGACGTTCGCAGTCGCCGCAGGCTCACCCGCCGCTCTCTGAGACCCCCCGACCACCGCGCTGGCCTCGCCGCCCGACGCAGCGTGCTTCGGCGTCGGGCTACGTCCAACACCAACGAGCCTCCCTATCGCGCCGAAGATCCCCGAAAAGGCGTTCCCAGGACTGCGTGCTTCCGTCTCCGCACCGGCGCCCTGCGCACTGCTCTGGAGCGCGGACTCGGCCGCCTCGAGCGCCGCGAGCAGCTGCCTGCGGCTCCCGGCCGCAGGCTGAGCAGCACGGCCCGCAAGCTCCCGCCGGGGCACACCCCCCCTCTCGGCAACAGCGTCCGCCTTGTCGCGCGCCGCGGAGATTTCGGGGGCCGCGCGACGGCTCGAAGCGCGCCCCGGCAGCGCTCTCGCCTCGCCCTCGCCGCCCCCGGCTCCCGGCGCCCAGCTGCTGGCACCGCCTGCTGCCAATGTAGCAGAAGGCTGTGCGCCCTGGGACGCCGGTCCCTCGTTCGACGCGTCGGGCGACAGCAGCTGCCGGGACTCAGCGGCCCGCTCGGAGTTCGAGACCGCGGCCGCGAACTCGGCTCTGAGCCGCGCCAGAGAGGTGAGCGCCTGTGAGCTGGCGGACCGGCGCGGGATGGCACGCGGGGCCTCCTCTGCGCGCTTGGCGCCTGCTCCGGGAATCGCGCGCAGGCTCTGTCCCCGCGCAGGGAGCGCGGCCTTCCGTGACGGGGCCCACGTGTCCTCGTCCACGCGCAAAGCGTCAGAGCGTGGGGCATCGGTGACCCCTGATGCGCTGGGCGCAGACGCCTTCGGAGCTGTCATGCGGCTCTGCGACGCAGTGGATTCAAGCCGTCTCTCGCGGTCTGCGCTCGCCCGCCCCGCGCCCGCTGGTGCGGGCGCCGCAAGCGTGGCGGCAGGGGACCACTGGGGCGCGTCTCCTGCCTCGATCGCTCTCCGCGCAGCGTCGCTGCCGTCCTCGGGACGCGTCGGTCCGGACGTCTGTCCGCGGCGCCCAAGCGTCAGGAGCCACCCGACCGCGCCGAAGAGGCTCTTGACGGGGTTGGAACCAGCGACGTCCTTGTTGTCGTCAGGCACTGCAGAGGTCGACTTGGGCGCGGTCTTCGTCGCTTCCGACGCCCCGGGAACCCAGCTTTTGCCCTCTGCGATCGCCTGGAGGCCCGAAGGCTTCGCGAACGGCGCCGCGATCGCGGCTTGCGCCGCCACTACGCCGACAGGAGCGCCAATTTCGACACCCCCCTTGACTCCCCCCTGCGGCTTCGCGTCCCGGCCCGCAGCGCCGCCCTCAGCGCCCATCTCAGGGCCGAACAGCGCGGCCGACTCCTGCCTCGACCCGCCAGCGCCGTCACGCTGCCCGGCGCCACTAGTGTTGGCAAGCCGCGCCGCAGCCCTCGTCACGCGCGGAGCATCGTCGTCCTCGCCCGGGGCCCACCGCTGCGTCTGCACGCTCGTCTGACTCGCGTCCCGCGCGTCTCTGCTCAGACGCTCCGCGAGCGGCATGGCCGTCGCCGGCCTCCCGCGCATCGCGCCAGGAGCCCATGCGTCGCGCGTGGCGTCCGTAGCGCCGCCGCCGCGGCCCGGGGCCGCCTCGCGCGTCAACGTGGCGTCACGCACGGCGTACGGGCTCTGGAATTCCAGCCCGAGGCTCTGCTTCTTGTTCTGCCTGGGGGGTGTCCTGTCGGCGCGCCCCCTGCCACGCCCCCGGCCGCGCCCGGCGGCCCCTCGGGCCGCCGCCCTCCCGGCGCGGGCCGCCTCCGTCGGTACCCACGCATCCGCAGCCTCGCGATGCCCTGCGGGGCCGCCCTGCGCCACCCCGGTCCCTGGAGACACCCCCCGGGGACTGACAGGGGTCCTCCGCGCCTCGTCCGCGCCAGGCACGAAGGCCCCCGGCAGGCCCTTGCTCGACGGCGCCCGCCGCTGCAGCGGCTCGCCCTCGGGCTGCGCGCCGCGGCGGGGAGCGCCCGCGCCGTCCGGGGCCCACTTTCCTGTCGCGGTCATGTAAGACTCAGGCCGCTTGCCGTCTGACGGCCGCGACGGGCCGCGCCCCGGGCCTGCGGTGCTGGCCGTAGCGCCCGCATCGGGGACCCATCCCTCGCGGCTCTGCGCCCGCCCTGCGGCCGGCGTGGCGGCGGCTTCCGCTGCATCACTCCCCCGCGATGCGCCGCGCACAGGGGGGCCTGCGTCAGGCGTCCATCGCCGCGAGTCGTCCTTCGAGACCGGCGGTGCGCGCTGTGGCCCCCGCGCGGCCTCTGCGGCGCGCGGCTCCTCGCCGGGCGCCCAGCGACCAGCGCGTGGCGACGCAGCCTCGACGGGCGTGGCCGCCCCATCGACAAGAGTCCACTTGCCGCCTGTCCTCGCTTCGCTGCCTGCACCGGTGAGGCCATCCTCGGGAGAGGGCGCCCAGCCGCCGGCCGCCCGCAGCGCCTCCCCGGCGGGCGACGCCGCAGCGCCCTGCGCTTGCGCACTCGCTGGCGGGTCCGCAGGCGCCCAGCCGCCGCGAGGAGCGCCCGCGCGCGCCTGGGCCGGCTGCCTCGTGTCGGCAGCTGCGCCGTCGTCCGCCAGCCCGTCGCGCGGGGCCCACCCCGTCCCGGAAGTCCCTTCTGGAACGTCCGGGCTTTGTCCCGCGTCCGCCGCAGCGGGCGCGGCTTTCTCCGACCTGGACTCCCTCTCGGGCGTCCAGTTCGGGGGCGGGGCGCGCCGCAGGGGGTCGAGCGCCCAGACCCCCGGCCCGCGTCCGTCGACGGACGTTCGCGCGTCTTTCGCGGCGCTGCCCTGCGCCTCTTCGCGCCGGGCTTGCTCCGACTCCGACAGCACGGCGTCGAAGGGCAGCCGCTCGTCCGGCGCCCACTTCGGCCCGGGCGAGCGGCGCAAGTTATCCGTGGCCCACGCCCCAGCGCCCCGCTTGTTGCTGCCGCTCGCCTGCTTGCTCGGCAGCCCCGCGCGCCGCACCGCGAACGCAGGCGAGCGCGCCGCGCCGTCCGCCGCCGCCTCCGGCGTAGGCGCGCCTTCCCGGGTCGCCTTCGCCGACGACTCCACGCGAATCGCGCCTGCCGCGTTGTGAGGCACGTCAACATGAAGGTCAGGCTTCCGGCCGCCGCGGCCGCCGCCGCGGCCGCGGGACGGCACCCGACGCCCGCGCCCGTCGATCGCGGCGCGCTCAGGCACCGTCGGTAGGGTCCCCAGCGGCTCCGACAGCGCCACGTCATCAACGTCATCGACGTCACCGATGTCATCGTCATCGGCGCCGAGCGAGGACTTGCGAACGAGGCTCATCGCGAGCGCCACCGCGTCCTCGACCATCTGCTCCTCCTGCGACGTCAGGCTCCCTCGCGCCGCCTCGGCCGTGGCCTGCGAAGCCGCCAGCGCCGGAAACCCGAAAGACCCCTGGCGCGACTGGGCCTCGGGCGCGCCGCTCGGGGGCTGCGGCGGCAGAGACGCGGGCGCGCTCGCGTCGGCCTCGATCCCGGCTGGGTCCAGCGTGGGGATGCGCGCCAGTTCCGAGTCGGACTTGGGGGGGGGGGCGTTGGTGCCCAGCTTGCTCGGGCGGCGCGCGGGCTTCCCGCCCTTCGACCGCCGGATGATCTCCCCGACGAGGAGCGACTCGTCGAGCACGCGCGCCATCTCCTCGCGCGGGCTCACGTCGTCGACCGCCCCGCCCGCCGCGCTCTGCACCGGCGACTCCCTGTGCCGCGACTGCAGCCGCTGCAGCCGGGTCACGAGGTCCGCGTAGCCCATCACCGCCACGTCCTGCGGCGCGAGGCTCCCCCTGTCGGACCGCGGCGGCGACTGCCCGTACCCCGACGACGGCACCGAGGGCGACGCTAGCGGCACCATCCTGTCAGACACCGGGGACCGCGAGCGCGACCGCGCGGCGTACGGGGACTCCGCGACGGCGTGCAGGGACCGCACGAGCGCGATGTCGGCGTACCGCGCCGCGTCGGGGAACTCGGCTCCGCGCGCCGCGCGCATCGGGTCGCTTCCGTGAAAGGCGCGGTAGTGCGCGGTGGCGCGCCGGACGGTCTGGTGCAGCGAGGTGGCCGCGGCGCCGAGCTCGCTGCGTAGCGCGCTCCACTGCGCGTCGCGCATCTGCGGCGGGAACGACGACACGACGCCCAGGGCGTCCCCGAGGTACAACACGGCTTGTCGCGCGCGAAAGAGGCCCTGGCGGGCGAGCCGCTGCTCCTGGCGCGCGGAGACCGGCGGCGTCGGGGAGCTCCAGACGCCGCGCAGGCCGTGCGAGCCGCCGCGCGCCAGCGCGCCGGCGATCGCGTCCGCCATCCCCGCGCAGACGAGGGCGCTCTGGAGGCACGTCAGACTGGCCTCGTGGCGCGCCGCCCGGGGCGTCATGTGCGCGAGCGCGCCCACGGAGGGCCGCACGACGTCGAGGACGCCGCTGCCGCGGTCGTCGCCGTCGACCGAGGCTTCCCGGGCGCTCTGGGAGTGCGCAGGGAATAACTCCTCCGGGGTGATGTTGCCGGCGACGGGCGGCGGGGCGGGGGACTCCGGCTGCTCCCGCGCGGGCGTCATGAAGTTGAGCGGCGCGGGCGTCGGCGTCGGGCCGTGCGGCGCCGGCTCCGGGTCGCCCGGCGGCGTGGCGGTCGGCGCCGCTGTCGGGGGGGATCCGTGCAGCGGAGAGCCGAGCGGCGACGGCCCGGTGCTGTCCTGGAACACCTCGACCGCAGGCGCCGCGTGCTCGTAGTCGATGAGCTCCGAGCCGACGCGGGCGTGCCGCGCGCGAGCAGGCCGCGCGGCCGCAGCGGGGGGGACTGTGACACCCACACCCTCCCCCCCGGCTGGGGTCTCCGCGACCTCAACGACGTCCGGCTTGGGGGCGTCCGCGGCTTGCTCGCGGTGCAGGAGGGCCTGGAGGGGCGCCGGCGTGACGGCGACGGGCGTGGCTTCGAACTCCCCCATGGGGGACTTGCGCTGTTCTACCACGAAGGTGGCGGCGCGCTTGGGGCGCGGGGGCGCGGCCGTGTCCGGAGTGGCGAGCGCGAACTTCCGCAGCGAGTCCTGCCACGTGCGCTCCGAGGTGGCCCTGCAACGTGCGAAAGTGTGTGTGAGGAGGGGAACGAGGGGTGCGTGCGCGCACGGGAGGCGGCCGCCGCCGTGGCCGGCCCGGTTTGATTCTACTTGTGCTGTGCCAGGACAGGGAGACTTAGCTCCAACGCCGCGGTGCTTGAACGCGCGGGAAGTACTAGTCTCAGAGGACGGATTTTCAGTCGGAAAAACGTATGTGGTGGTCACCTTTTCGGCTTCGGTTTCGCGGCGCTCTCGACGTCGCGCCGAGCGCGGTCCTCGACGTCCGTGACCTTCTCGTTCCGCTCCTTGGCCTCGCGCATGGCCGGCGACAGCGGAAGCCCCCGCAGCGAGACGCCCGTCAAAATGCGGCGGCGGCTCTCGGGGCCAATCAGACCCGCAATGCCCGCCGCCGGCGTCACCGCGGGCGTGGCGGGTACCTGCGGCGCCTCCCTCGCCGCGGACGACACCTCGCCCGCGGACACGCGGCTGTGCGAGCCGCTCCGACGGCCCCCCCCGACTCCGTACACGTCGTGAGCTGCGGTGCGCGCGGGGCACGCACGGCGACGGGGTTCACCGGCGGGCGAAGGGCACTACGCAAGCAAGGACGTCGGCAGGCCACGCGCGGCTTGGCGGCGGCCGAGCAGACGAGGAACGCACCCGCGGGCAGCGGCGTGTCGTTCGCTGCGCTGGCGCCCAGTTCGTGGTTCATTTGGGCGATCTCGTCGTCGAGGTGCTGGAGCTCCGAGACGGAGTGCGAGTGGTGCTCGTCGAGCGCCGGCAGCGGCGTCCCCGCGGAGGGCGGGTACGTGGTGTGGATGAAGCCGCGGCTGGCGGACGAGGCGAGGGGGGTGTTGACGGAACTCCCCCGGAGGGACCGCGAGCTGCTCGTGGCGCGCAGGTGGTGCGAGCTGCCGCCCCCGCCGCTGAACGGCGTCGCTCCGTCGGCCACGGACGGACTCTGCCACGCGGGCACCGAGTGCGCACTGTGCGCCGCCGTCTCCCGCGTCAGCGGGGACTCGGTCGGCAGGTGCACGCCTGCGCGCGACGGGTGTGCGCGGGGCGGTGATTGCGAGCCGGGCGCGCGGCGCGCGGGGCGGTGGGGGCGCGGCGACGTCGACGCACCTGACGAGCCGTCCGTGTTGCCCGTCCAGGGCGTGGCGGGGCTGCCGAAGAGCCGGTCGTTCGCGAGGGATGCAGAGTGGATCTGGGACTGCATCGCCTGGACCAGGCGCCAGTGGTAGAGCTCGAGGTAGCCGGAGGATGCATCCTGGCCGGCGGCAGGGGCGTCGCCGTCGAGGAGGGCGACCTTCGCGACGACGCTGTCGCCGGCCTCGGCGTCCTGGAGGAGCATGCGCGACGACATGGCGGCGTGCTGCGGCGCGCGGGGGTGGCGGCGTGTGTTGGATGAACTCGTTTGATTTGTTGGAGCGTTTCAGGCGCCTGCGCCCCGAGACTGACCGGGAAAAGTGGCGTATGAAGTGGTCATCTCCACGGATGTGCGTTCGCGACACACGAGGGGATCAGAAACAGCGCAGACAGGGCGGGGGAGCGCGGAGTTGAACCGCGAGGAGGGAGAGCCAGCAGTGCGTCCTCGGCGCAAGACGTTGACGTTTCTCTGTTGCCGAAGCAGGAATGTATGAACGGAAAGGCCCGTTCGAGTGCCGCGGCCTTCGAGAAGGGGGCGCTTGCAGTGCGGCGGGCGGCCTCAAGGACAGGGGCACACAGCGGGCGCGCACGCCCTGGGCGGCCCTTGCGCGGCGCGTGGACCACGCTTCTGGGACCATGCATGCTGTAACTTTCGGGTAGCGCACACCGGGGGGCGAAAGTTGACACACAACCAGCGTGAGCAGCACAGAAGTCAATTTGGGTCGCCAGGGCGTCGGCGGGACGCACCTACGGTCCTGCCGGCGTCAAAACTTCGCCTCAAGCCGCCTCAGCAGCCCCATTTCGTCCTCGCCACGAGAACGGTCGACCGCACGGCGCCACGTCACCGCTAACCACGGAGCTGCACCTGCTCTGTCCAGCGCCGTTCGAGTTTTCCCGCGCGCGCGCTACAGGGGCCGGCCCAACGCACTTCGCCGGCGCCTCGAATGCACATCTGCGCCAGCACCCCGAACGCACGGCCTCGTGGCCGCCCCGGCGCCGCAGGGCCTCCGTCGGACCCGCGGTCGGTCGACACCTGGCAGCCCTAGTCAATTATACACCGCTCCCAGCCGCCAGGCGCGCCGCGCCCGCGACTGCGCGACGGCGGCGATGTTCCTCGTCGGCGCCGCGGTCCATGGAGACGCCGCGAGCGCCTCTTCGCGCCGCCCGCCCCCGCCGCTGGCGCCGAGGCTGCTGGCTGTGCGCGACAGGATCCAAGTTGGCTGCGCGCGGGCTTTGCGGGGCGCGTCGCACGGATCCGCCGCGGCCGCGCGCGCCGGTCACGCGTGGACATGCCGGCGGTGCGCGCGGCGCCTGACGTCACGCGCAGGAGGGGGCGGGCGTGCGGCGGGAGGGCGCGGGAGGAGCCACCGCGCCGCTCGTGCGCGCCGCGCCGCGCGTCGCCCGTGCATTTGACGGCGAGGCCGCTCCAGCGGCCGTAGGGCGGCTTGTGGCAACGTACGCGCGGTGCGATGCGGCGATTCGGAGCTCAGCAGGCAGCGGTGAGGGCGCGTGTGCGCATGGCGGGTAATTGAGGCACCGCGCGCACGGCGGGTGCGGCGGGCGGCGTGTGATCGGCTCACATGGCCTGCACGGCGCGGCGCGCGGCTTAGTTCTTGTATCCGCGCGAGTTGCGGCGGCCGCGCGCGCGCTCGAACTTGCGGCCCTTGCTCCGCACGTACGGCTTGACGCCCGAGCCCGGGACGCCCGCGGCGCCGAAGTGCTTCACGGCCTCGCGGGCGTTCTTCGGCCCGCGCAGCAGCACGCAGCCGGAGCCCTTGGGCGCGACGTGCGCGAGCTTGTCAAAGGTCAGGCACGCGCCCCCCGCCTTCTCGATGCGCGCCTTGGCGCCCGCGGTGAAGCGCAGCGCGCAGACCTTGAGGCCCTTGGGTACCGTGAAGCCCGTGCGGATGTCGTCGGTCACGGTGCCGACCAGCACGGCGATCTTCCCCTCCTTGCCAGCCATCAGCTTCGACAGGCGCGACACCGACAGGGGCGGGCGGTTCGTGCGCGACATGATCAGGCGCTTCAGGACGACCTTGTTGAAGTTCGAGTCCGTGCGGCGGACCAGGAACTTGTACAGCTGCGGCGCGGGCGGAGGAGGGTGGCGGTGAGGGGTGGTGGGCGGGGGAGGGTGCGTGGGACCGCGTGCGTGTCGGGGGCGTGACGCAGGTGCGGCGGTGCGCCGGGGGGAGCAGCGGCCGCCGCGCCGCCGGGTCTGCGTGCGCGGCAGGCGGGCGTGGCGGCAGCGGCAACGCTGGGGGCGGTGCCGGGGGCTCAGGATCGCTCAAGTGGAGGCGAGCGGGGGCGTTCGTGGCGGAGGATGGGAGGAGGGTGCGGTTGGCGCGGGAAAGTCGCGCTCGCGGGGCTTGCGCAGGCACGAGGCTGCTCTCGAGCACCCCTTGGGGAAGAAAGTGCCGCGAGCGAATCGCCCCGGGCCTCCCGCGTCAGCGACGGGCGAGGATGCAGCGGGACTGGCATATTTCGGTCTCGTGAAAGATCGAAACGGCGTCGTCGCGCGCTCACGGCGGCAGGGCCCGACCGAGCTGCTGCCGGCCGACGGTCGTGCCGCGCAGTGGCTGCGGCGTGCGTTCTTCCGGCAAGCGCAACGCCCTGTCTGTGCAAAGTTGCCCCGCGAAAACGTCGCAGGAGGGCGGGCGCGCGGCGCCTGTCGCGCCGCGGGCGGGGTGCAACTGAGAGCTGCGCCCAAGGCCGCCCAGCGACCCCGCCACGAGCAGCTGATGCAGCGACGGCACGGTCATGCACGCGACCCAGACATCTGCGCGTCCGGGCCTGGGCGGCGCGGGCCCTGCCGCGCGTCCAGGGCGTCCTTACCTTGGCCAGCAGGTTGATGTACACATTGTCGCTCTTGGGAGCGGTCCGGGCCGTCTTGGTGTTGCGGCCACCCGCCTTGATGTCGATACCCTGCGACGCGATCGGGAACAGCGGCCGCGGCGTCGGCACCCGCGCGCAGGAGCGCTTTGCGTGCGACGCAGTGGAATTTCGCCGCATGGGGGGCACGCACCATGATGCCCTCTGCTCCGCCTCAACCTACCGAACCATGAAAGAGGGCGAGGCGCGGCGCGGCGCGCGGCCATCAAGCAGCGGCGCGCCCCAGGGCACGGTGGCCTCTGCTTTTTTCTACCCCACGTCCCGAGGCGGCCTCCCAGCGGCCCCGTTTCGCCCCGGCCGCGCATTGCCGCCCGCCGTGGGCCGAGAGCTTCAGAGCCGTGGAGTCGCTGCGCTGGCGGCCGCCGAACAGCCCCGCCCAAGCTCCGTTAGCCCCAAGGCAGCTGTTGCAGCTCGGTCGCTCATACGACGGGGGAGCGGCACCATTCGACGACTTGGCGGCACGGCTGTCTCGAGGAGATGATCAACGACGCACAGAAGCACGCGGCGCGCCGCCTAACGCGATGGCCGGCGGGACGGCTGCCCGAGGCTGCTGCGCTCCGGGCTGAGCCGAGCGAGGCCCTGCTTGGACGCTGAACGCCCCCCCACGTAGCCAGACTGCGGCGACGAAGAGCGGTTCCGGCCTCAAGCGCCAGCGCGGCTGCGCGGGCCTGCGGCAGTCCCCGGCAACGGCTCCCCCGCGGTGCGCTGTAGGGGGCAGCAGACAGCACTCCGCCGGCCGGCCCCGGCCTCTGCACGGGGCCCCGAGGCGCCATGAAGCCTCCGCAGGCGCCTGAAGACCGACAGCGTGCACGCAAGCAAGGCCAGGACGCCATGAAGGTCTGGGAACAGGCTGTTCAAAGGTGTGCCTTCACTGTCTGCACACACACCGCCCGCAGCCAGGACCGCTTTCCACGCGGAACCGCGCCCACGGCCTAGCTCCCTGCCGTGCCTACGCACAGGTATGCGTCCCTGGCCAGAAAGGAGCTCGCGAAGGGCCGGACTGACTCCGAGGAGCTGGCGAAGCTGCGCAACAGCATCTGGGTGCAGGTGAGGCGCCCCGCGGCGCAGCGCATCAGCCGCGCCGTCCCTCCAGAGCGCGCGTGCGGAGCTCCGTGCCCCCGCGCCTGACTCACGCAGACCTCCCGCCCTTGCGGTGTGCAGACACGCGAGCTGGCGTTGTCTGACCCGGGCGCGTGGCTCGCGAGGAACGTCCTCGCGAAGGCGTGGCAGCTGACGATGCGGGCCTACATCAGCGAGATGCGCAAGTCCGTCGACGCCAGGCGGGCGCGCAAGGACGCGGCGGGCGCGCAGCAGGACGTCGCGACTCTGCGCGCGTTCCTTCGGCAAGTCCAGGCGTACCTCAAGGGCCTGGTCTCGACGCTGGAAGCGCGCCACGGCCCGCTGCCCGTGCGGCCGCCCGGCGTGCCGGCGCCGAGCGCTGCGGGCAAACATGGGTCCGGGGAGGGGGGGGGTGTGCGGAGGGGGGGGTCGCAGAGCGAGAAGGCGGCGTCGCTGCTCGCGGCGTGCAGCCGCGTGCTCATCTTCATGGGCGACGTCGATCGGTACACGCAGGAGACGGAGGCTGACGTCAGCAGCGGACACCCCTCCGGCCCCATCGGTGAGACCCCCCCCCGCGTCTCGCGTGCGCCGCGCGCGCCGCGGCCGGCGCCAGCTCACCGCTCGCGTCTCCTTCGTGCGCGTTCCTCCGCAGACTATCGCAGGGCGTTCCGCTACTACTTTCTCGCGTCGCAGCTCGACGCCACTTTCGGGCACGCGTGGGCGAACCTCGGCGTGCTGTGCATCCGGTCGTCGCAGACCGTGCCTGCGCTCCCGAGCGTCGTCGCCGCGGCGTCGCCCATGCCCCCGCGCTGCGCCCCGGCCGCCGTGCTGCAAGTCATGGGGGTGTATTGCTGGACGCGGGGGGTCCACTGCAACGGGGCGCCGAACGCGGTGCAGAACCTCGAGCACCTCATGACGGCGCTCACGCGCCCGGACCGCGTCGGACAGTCCCCCCCGCCGGGGGAGTCCCCGGAGGTGTTTCGCCAGCTCATGCTGCCCAGCGTCGAGGTCGGCGCGGCGCCCGGGTCGCTCCCGGAGGTGACGGGGGCGCTGCAGAGCGCGGCGTCGTCGTTCCTGAACGCGATCGGCGCGGCGTGGTCCGGCGCCGGGGCCTCGCCCGCTGAGGCCGTCGACACCTGCGCCGCCCAGGTCCTGATCCTCGCGGGCACCTCCGAGAAGCGGCACGCGCAGATATTCGCGTGGGCGGACGCCGCGGGGCCCGGGCACGGCGCCCCGGCCGTCGAGGCCGCGGACGCGACCGCGGAGGGCGCCGTCCTGGGCGGCTGCGCGTCGCACGCGGGATGCCCGCTGTTTTGCATGGCAGCGGTGTCCGCGTACCTTCTCTCGCGGGCGTTCGCGCTCGCGGGGGACGCCGGCGGCGCGGGGGACGCGGCGCTGGACCGCCGGCGCCTCTGCGCGCTCTCGCGCGCCCTCGCGATGCACGTGGCGGCGGCGGTGGTCCTCCGGAGCGCCGAGTGCGGGAAGCAGGGCGTCCGTCACGCGCTCGCGCTCCCCTCGGTGGTCGTCGCGCTGATGGCGCTCCGGCAGCAGGCCGCGGCGCTGCTGTGCGGCGACGGCGCGGGGGTCCCCGCCGCGGAGGAGCCCTACGAGCTGTACCTGGCCGGGGCGCTGTCAGGCGCGCTGGCGAAGCTGCTCCGCACGGTCGCGCAGGCGGTCCGGAAGGAGCCTGCGCTGGAGCACGCGGTCGGCAAGGGCGGGAAGCTGCGTCTCGAGGCGATCGACGCCGCCGACACCCCGCAGGGCGCGTTGGGGGAGGTGGCGGAGATGCGGAGCTTCCCGCCGGTGAGCGGCGTGCTGCGGGAGGGCGAGAGCCAGGGAGCGGCGAGCGTGGTGGACGCGGCGTGGGCCGGCGACGAGGCGCCGGGCGGCGCCGGGGGCGGGGAGGCGGAGACGCTGCGCAAGGTGCAGTGGTGGTTGCTGGGGGGCGTGCGGCAGCGGCGGCGGCGGCTGCTGGTGGTCGCGCAGGAGATCGTGGCGGTCGCGCAGGTGCTGGTGGCGCACGCGGACGGCCTGGCGGGGCGGCCCGAGACGAAGGACCGTTTGCGGCAGGCGGATGCGCAGGGCCAGTACGAAGGGATGTGGCGCAACGGGGCCGCGGAGTGCGTGCGGGGCGCGGCGGCGCTGGTGGGCGAGGTGGAGAAGGGCGTGTGGCACGAGTGGGGCCCGGAGGCTGCGCGCGTGACGGCGTTCTGGAAAACGTATCTGTCGGCGATTCCGTCGGAAGGGAACAAGAAGGGGGGCGGCGAGGCGGGGCGGAAGGGCGAGAAAGGACCCGCGAAGCCGGAGGGCAAGGCGGCGAAGAAGAAGAGGAAGACAGAGGCGGCAGCGAAGAAGAAGGCGGCCGTTCCTCCCCCGGCCCCGAGCATGCCGCAGGTGGCAACGCTCGCCGCAGCGCCAGTCCGTGCGCCGTCGCCCGCGGCCCCGGCGGCGACAGGCGACAGCGACGTCGCCATGGCCGGCGAGGACGACGCGCCGCCGCCGCCCCGGAAACCGCCGGCGGTGGCCGTTGTGGCAGTCCCGCGTGAGCCGCGCACCACACCCCAGCCCGCCGCGACGGCTGCTCCAGCGCCGAGCGGCAGCGCTCCGCAGCAGCCGGGCCGCCCCCCCGCCCCGATGCCCCCCGCGCCGGGGCCTGCGCTGACTCAGGACCCCCCCAGTGTCGCCGAGGAGGAACAGGCGCGGGTGATGTCGCAAATCAACCGCCTGGTGGGACTGGGCGTGAACCCGGCGGACTTGCAGGGGATTCTTCAGGAGGTCGGGGGCTCGATCGACCCCGTCGTTCTCCGCGTGGCGCTCGAGCACTACCAGCAGCGCGTGGCCGTTGGGGGGGTGTCTGCGCAGACTCCCCCGGGCTGGCCGCAGCCCGCGGACGCGGCGCCGGCGCACGGCAGCCCCGGGGGGCACGGGTTCGATGCGTTCTTGCCTGCGTTTTTGTTCGAAGACGGCGAGGGCGGGCTTGGAGGGACGCGCCCCCCCGCGCAGGTGGCGGGCACGAGCGCGCCGGGCAGCGCGATGGAGCTTTACAGCAGCATGGCGGACGAGATCTGGGGCGCGATGCCGGGCGCGGGGTCGCGGGAGCACGCGGGGCCCGTGAGCGCCGCGGAGGGGGGGGGACTGAGTCAGGACATGGAGGAGGAGATCCTGTGGGCGGGGATGGAGGGGACCGGAGGGGGCGCGTAGCGCTCGGTGGCAGCGGCGGCTGTGAGGACACGCGGGTGTGGCGCTGCGCGTAGCGTTGCGGGCCGTGGCTGGTGTGCGGGTGTTCAATTACAATTGCTGCAGCTTGCTCATCTTGCGTGCGGGTACTCCACCGCGTCGTTGCTCTCGGCCACCCCTTTCCTGGTTAACGTGACCTCCGGTGTGACACGTTTGTCACACTGCATGTTCAATACAATTTCTGCTTATCATCGCAGCTGCGCATTGTTGCGAGGCTGCTGACGCATGCAGCCAGGGCTCCGCTGTCGCGACGCAGTTCGCGCGCGCGCCGTGATCGAGCCCGTGCACCGCGCCCAAGCTCTCCACCTCTCCAAGCACGTCATTGCCACAGCGCCATTGCCACAGCGCCATCGATGCAATTCGGCTGTCTGCTGATCACACCGCCCCCTCACGCCTCGACGTCGTCGGAGTACGACTCATCGGGGTCGACCGCGACCATGACCGCGCTCATGTCCTGGTCGGCCATGCCCTGGTGCCGCGCCTTGACGTACAGCTGATTGGCGGCAGCGGTGACCGGCATCTGCTGCGAGACCTCGTCCGCGAGCAGCAGCGCGAGCCGCAGGTCCTTCTGCTGGTGCTTGAGCGGGAATGCCGTCGGGAACTGCCCCTTGGCCATCGCCGGGCCCTTGAGCGCGAACAGCGGGCACGCCATGGCGCCGAGGCCGAGAACCTCGACCATGGTCTCCTTCTTCAGCCCCGTCTTCTCCGCGAGCGCCATGCCCTCCGCGAACGACGCCATCATCGACCCCATCACGCCGTTGACCACCAGCTTCATGTGCGCGCCGGCGCCGACGTCGTCCGCCAGGTGGAACGACGCCTTGCCCATGACGTCCAGCGGCCCGTTCTCCACGAAATCGAACAGCGCCTTGTCGCCCGCGCACAGGAAGATCAGCGCGCCTGCAGGGGGCGCCGGGAAACGAAGCAGCGCGACGGTCGGACTTGACAGCGCCCCGAAGCTCCGTCGGCGGTCGCGCCGCGATCGAGGCGCAGTGGGGAGGCGGCGAGACATGTGCGGCGTGCGCGGGCGCACCCTGCTCGGCGGGGCCCTTGCTGCCGGACACGGGGGCCTCAAGATAGACTCCCCCGGCCTTGTTGACGAGCTCGCCGACGGCGCGCGAGGTGTCCGCGTCGACGGTGCTGGCGTCGACGTAGCCCTTGCCCGTACTCATGCCGGCGGCGACGCCGTCGGGCCCCGACGCGACGGCGAGGGCAGCCTCCGGGTCAGAGACGATGCCGAACGTGACGTCAGAGGCTGCGGCGCACTCGCGCGCCGTGGGGGCCGCCTTGGCGCCGATGTCGACGAGCGGCTTGGTCTTGGACGAATCGCGGTTGTACACAGTGACGTCGTAGCCGGCCTCGACCAAGCGCCTGCGTCCGCGTGGCGGTTGGTTGCGGCGTGACGGAGGGGGCTCGCGGGCGCCGCGGACGCCGCGACAGCGCGTCCTGGCGGAGCAGCGGGCCCGCGGCGAGCGCTGTCATGGGCGGCGGGGTGCGCGGGGGTCCGGGTCGGTGCGTCGACGCGGTGCGGCGCGTGGATGAGAGGGCGCTGGATGGTTGGTTCGCGCTGCTCACTTGCACATGGCATATCCCATGATTCCCAGCCCCACGAACCCGACCTTGGTCTTTCCGGGCTCGGCCTTGCCCTGCAGGGCGTAGGCGACGCATCTGGCGCCCCGGTTGCGCGGTGCAGGCACAGGTCGAGCAGGGGTCGCGCAGCCGGCGCCGAAGGACGATGCCGGCGCGCTGCGGCCGGCGCGATGGACGTGAGAAAATGCACGCTGCGGGGTCACGCGGCGGCTCGCTCCGGCGTCGCGCTGCGACGCGGGGGCGCCAGTTGTAGGGCGACAGCTAGGAGCAAGAGCGCCTGCCTGAAACGCCATCTTCGAGATATCACTCTCAGATACGGCGGTGAGTCCCTCGAAGTGTCGAACGCGCGCGCTTGCGAGAGCCCTTGGTGCCTCACGGTCGCCAAGCGGTCGCCAGACAGATGTTGGGGGGAGGTCCGCCGCTCTCGATCAACAACGCCGAACCCGACCGGACTCTGGCACGGACAGTTCACTGTGCCAACACACGCGTCGACAGGCGCACTGAAGGTCCTGCAGGACCAGTTTCGCGGCCGTTTGGGAGCTGTAAAGCACCCCCGTCGTACTCACCAACGCGCTTGCTGACGCGGCGACTCGGCACGGCACGCCCAGCCGGGCGCGAGGATGCTTCATGCGGCGCCGGCGAGCCTCAGCGCTGCTGCATTCATTCGAGATTCGCGACGCACTGATTGGTGGAAGAGCACTGCTAAATCTCCGCGCCTCACGTCCGGGACGTGGCAGTTGGCCGGACCGCGATCGGCGCCCGAGCGTGCCCGCACTGTCCCCAGTAGCGTCGCGGAGGCCCTGCGTCGGTCTGAACCGCCGACCGTCGACACAACTCGTGTCGGTGGAGTACCCCCATCAGGCGACGAGCACGCCTTCTTGCGGCCCCGAGACGCGCCATACGCGCCAGACTCAGACGCACGTTCGTCGAAGGCATCTGTCGGACGGTCACGACAGCCAGTACGTAGCGCAGTGGACGCGCGCCCACTTCGGGGTGTTGTTGGGAGGACGTTTGCGTGGAATTACCGCAGGGGGACGGGCCAGGCGCGGAATATCATGGCGCATTTGGCTCGGACGATGCTATTGTCGGTCGAGCGGGGCGCCAGTTTGAGTAGAAGCGCTGTAGCGACGCGCGCGAGGCGCCCAACGACGCTGGCGGCTTGCTCGCGACCCCTCCGGCCGCGCCGCTGCGTCACCGCGCGCGCAGGCCAGTTCGGGCCAGAGCCGCCGAAAGACCTCGAAGGATGGGTCCAGGTCCGTCGCGGGCGACGCTTGTTTCCCCCGTTCGACCACGCGCGAGCTGCGTATGACGCCAGCTGCCTGCGCCTCCTCGCGCGCCATCGGCGCAAAAATCCACCGAGCAACCCACCCCGCCGCCTCCCCGAGCTCTCACCGCTCCGCGTAGCGCGACGGCGCGCTGTCGCGGCGCCGTTCAGGCACGCACAGGCGCGTTCCCCCTCCACAGCCCCACAGCTCTCCGCCCCGCCGCGCAGGACCTGTACGACGACGCGCCGTACGACCCCGAGCTCCAGCGCGTCCTCGAGGGCACGGACGGCGACCCGGACGCGATCCGCAGCCGGATGCGCGCGGAGCTGGACAACAAGCGCACCGAGATCATGCGCGAGAACGCGGGCGAGGACCGGCAGATGGAGGTCCGGTTCCGCGAGGTGGACACCATGGATCTCACGGTGTGGCTCGAGTTCTACAAGCCGCTGTCCGGCGAGGAGCAGGAGCTGGTGGAGACTGTGTTCAGCTCGTGGTATGCGCTGGGCAAGCTGGGGGGGTATAACTCCGTGAACACGCAGTGCAGCGACGGCGCGGCGCGCGAGGGGATGTCGAACTTCGAGTACGACACCGAGGAGCTCGAGGACGGCGCGCCGGGGATGTTTCACGAGATGTCAGACATGGAGTTCAACGGGAACAAGGCGCGCATCTGGCTGGACCTCGGCACCGCGGACGAGCTCGCGCTGGACGTCCTGATCAACTCGCTGAGCCAGTTCAGCCGGGAATACTTCGGCATACGCACGCTCACGGTTGGCGGCGACGACGAGGCGTGGCCCAAGCCGGGCGGGCGGAGGAGTGCGGACGAGAGGTGCGGGCCCGTGCTGCGTGCTGGCGTGTGGCGGGCGGCGGCTGCGTGCGTGCGTGCGTGCCGCGGCGGGGCGGTGACGGGTGTGCGTGGCGGTGTGTGTGTGTGTGTGTGCAGGTACGCGATCGACCCCATGGACGTGAACAGCGTGCCGGAGGGGCAGCTGGCGGAGGACGTGGCGACGCTGGTCGAGGAGGACTTGGATGACGTGCCGGCGGACCTGCGGGCAGTGGCGGAGCGCCTCACGGGGGGGGGGTTTTCCATTGAGGACTCCAGCGCGCAGCCGCAGGCGCCGCGGCCCGCGCCGAGCGCGCCGTCGACGCGGCCGGGAAGTGGCGCGCCGCCGGGGCCGAGGCGGGCGCCGTCGCGGGCGCGGCGGGCCGCGAGCCAGCGCCGGAAGCGGTGATGCCGTAGGGCGCTTGTGAGGGCGGGTCTCGGTCGCGTGCGGCACGTGCGAGGGCAAGGGGGGGGGCCGTGTGGGTGCGCTCGAGGCGCGGGTCGCCCCGGGCGCCCGCGGGCTTCAGAGCGGTGGTTGGGGGGGGTTGTGCCGTCACGTCAGGTTTTGGACCGTGTCGCCTCGAGGAGCCCCGGGTACATGGCGGTGGCGCGGCGCGATCTTGGTTAATCGGTGTACGTACGCGAGCGAAAGTCCGGGAGCATTTCTGTTTTTGTTTTGGGCGCTTCTTTCGTGGGGCAAAGTCACAGGGCCCAGACGGGGTCGCGTTGCAGCTCCTGGCCAGCCCGCCCGGGAGCGCCAGCGTGGCTGGTCGGGTGTTTCGGCCACTGTCGGCAGGGGGCCGTGGGTATCCGGCCCCTGCGTCCGCGGGGCCGGGCTCGCCGGGCCGTAGAGGGCGCATGGAAAGATGGGGGCCTCGTCGTCGAGACTAGAGAAGGCGCTGACCGTGGCGCCGGAGAAGGAGCGCTTCTTCGGCTTGGAAAACTTCGGCAATACGTGCTACGCGAACAGCGTCCTGCAGATCCTCTACTGGTGTGAACCGTTCCGGTGCGCCTCCCTCCCAATGCGCGTCGCACCTTCGCGGCTGCGGCGGTATTTCCCCGCGCGACGACGCAGCAGTATCGCCGGCAACCCGTTCCTGCGCGGCGCGATGGCGTTCCCCCACGGTCGCGGCGGCACTGCCCTTTCCTTGAGGCGGAGACAACGTGCGCCGTCCCACGGCGTGGGGTCCGCGACAGCGCGGTCCAGCGCGTGAACGGCCTGCCCTGATGCAGCGGCTGGTTCGGCTTGCGGCCGGATTTCGCGGGCGCGCACAGCGCTGCCGGCCTCGCCGCACCTACCAACGGGCTGGCAGACTCGCCCCGCTGAGCTGCGGCCGCGCCTCACCGGCGCGCCCGCACGCCAGCAGCACAGCGAGCTAGTCCGGTGTTCACTGCTGCTGCGATTCTCGATTTCGTGGACCTGAGTGGCGTCACAGGCGTCCAATTCACAGCACCAGCTCCTCGAAGGCCTCTCAGCGCTCAGCCCCGCGACTGACGGTGTACCTGCAGGGAGCAACTCATACAGTACTGCCGCGACTTGGATTCTGAGGCGGAGGACACGCTGCTCATGGGCCTGGGCGAGCTGTTCTCGCACATTAGCCAGAGCAAGAAGCGCTCGGGGGTTGCGTCGCCGTCGCGCCTGCTCCAGCTCGTCCGCAAACAGAACGAAATGTTCAGGTACGTACGTCGCCAGCGGCGCCCCGCCACGGCCTCAGCCCGCCTCCCACGCTGCTCTCCCGCGGCAGTTCCGGCTAACACTGCAACACACACACCTGACGGTGGCGTGCAGCGGGAACGAGCACCAGGACGCGCACGAGTTCCTGAACTGGGTCCTCAACGACGTCAGCGAGACGATCGACAAGGTGGAGAAGAAGCGAGCGGACCAGGGCAACGGAGCGCAGCCGCTGCCAGCGGCCAACGGCGTCAGCGGCCAGACGAGCTCGTGGTTCAACCGCATCTTCCAAGGCACGCTCGTCAACGAGACCAGGCGAGCCCCCCGACCGCACCACGCCACACGCCACACGCACACGCACACGCAGACCACCTCCGCGTCACTGTCGCATGCACGACCCCACAGCGCAGCCCGACGCCCCACCGCCCGCACCACCGCCCCCCGCGCCCACCCCTCGGCCCCCCACAGCCCCCCCTCGGCCACTCCCCCCTCGCAGGTGCCTCGGCTGCGAAACCGTGTCGTGCCGCCAGGAGACGTTTCTGGACCTGTCGCTCGAGATCCTGCCGAACTCGTCCGTGTCGTCCTGCCTGCGCAACTTCTCCGAGACGGAGATGCTCGGCGGCCGCGACAAGTTCTTCTGCGACACGTGCGGGTGCCTCCAGGAGGCGCAGAAGCGCATGAAGGTGCAGCGGCCGCCCAACGTGCTCGTGCTGCACCTGAAGCGCTTCAAGTACGTCGAGCACCTCGGCCGCATCAAGAAGCTCCCGCACCGCGTCGCCTTCCCCCCCGAGCTCCGGCTCGGCAACGTGGTGTACAACGCCCCGGGGGCGTCGGCCTTGTACCAGCTCTGCGGGATCGTCGTGCACGTCGGGGCCGGCCCGTACCACGGCCACTACGTCACGCTGATCAAGAGCCACGACCAGTGGCTGTTCTTCGACGACGAGTCCGTCAACCCAGTGTCCGAGGACGCCGTCTGGTGAGACCACTCAGCCCGCCGCGCTGCATGCCGCCGCCGCCGCCGCGTAGCGTGCCGCTCGTAGCGGTGCGCGGGCCGTGGACGGGTGCGTGTAGCCGTCGCGGTGCTGACGCAGCCGTGTGCGGCGGGCTCTGTGGTGTGCAGGAACACCTTTGGGTCGTCGTCGGAAGCGGGAGGACGGAACGATCATGCGTTCCTGCTCACGTACATTCGGCGCCCAGAAGACTGGGATCACGGGCCGAAGCAGCGCAAGGCGACTGCGTAGGATGTGAGGTCTGCTCGCGACAGGCACACGACGCCGCTGTTGGTGACGTCACCGCTGGACGGGGCGCGGGGCGTGAGACGATACGTGCGTGGCCGCAGTGAGGCTCGATTTCGGGATTCGTTTGTTCTTGTTCCGCGTGGGTGGTGTTGAATAACACCAGTTTTGTTGTGGTTTGGCCGCGTGGGCCGCGCGGGCGGCGCGCCCGGCGAGCGGGCTGCCGTCCGAGGTTGGCTGCTTAGCCACCGAAGCCGTACAGGGTGCGGCCCTGGCGCTTGAGCGCGTACACGACGTCGAGGGCCGTGACCGTCTTGCGGCGGGCGTGCTCGGTGTAGGTGACCGCGTCACGGATGACGTTCTCCAGGAACACCTTGAGGACGCCGCGCGTCTCCTCGTAGATCAGGCCGGAGATACGCTTGACACCGCCACGGCGAGCCAGACGGCGGATGGCGGGCTTGGTGATGCCCTGGATGTTGTCGCGCAGGACCTTCCTGTGGCGCTTCGCGCCGCCCTTCCCGAGGCCCTTGCCGCCCTTGCCACGACCAGACATTGTTGCTGCTTTTCGTTTCTTGCTGAGAGACCCGAAGAGTGTCGCTGCGGGCGCGCCCGGGGCGCCCATGAGGCGCGCGGGAGGCAGCGGCGGGCGGGAGGGGGGGTGGCGGGGCGACGAGCTGTCGGGGTGGGGTGACGACGTCCCGGGGCGGCGCGGGCGGGGCTCGTGGGGGCGCGGCGGGCGGCGCGGTACGATTTGGCGGTCGCGGACGTGATTGTCCGCGCCGCGCTGCGGGGCCGCGCGCCCTCCCGCGCCCTCCCGCGCGGGGGGGACCCCCAGCGCCAAAACGCTCGCGCCCGCCCGGCCCGCCCGGCCCGGGCTCATGGGCGCGCGGCGCGGGGCGCGGCGGGCAGACCTCGTCTGAATCGATCGATCAAGATGGCTCGTACCAAGCAGACTGCTCGCAAGTCCACGGGTGGCAAGGCCCCCAGGAAGCAGCTGGCCACCAAGGCGGCCCGCAAGTCGGCCCCGGCCACGGGCGGCGTGAAGAAGCCGCACCGCTACAGGCCCGGTACCGTGGCTCTGCGTGAGATCCGCAAGTACCAGAAGTCGACGGAGCTGCTGATCCGCAAGCTGCCGTTCCAGCGTCTGGTGCGCGAGATCGCCCAGGACTTCAAGACCGACCTGCGCTTCCAGTCGTCGGCCGTCCTGGCGCTGCAGGAGGCCGCCGAGGCCTACCTCGTGGGTCTCTTCGAGGACACCAACCTGTGCGCCATCCACGCCAAGCGCGTGACCATCATGCCCAAGGACATCCAGCTGGCCCGCCGCATCCGTGGTGAGCGCGCCTAAGCGCCCGACGGCGACTCCCGCGGTGGCCCGGCGACGGGCGCACGGGGAGCACACACCCATACAAACTGGTGTTTACTCAACACCACCCGCGCGGAAACGCCACACGAACGACGTGCCTGCCCGACGTCTCACCATGCGCCACACTCGCACAAACAGACAGGCGCGAGCGAACGTGACCGATCCGCGCGCGCGGCCGGAACACAGCATGTTGCGTCCCTCGAGTCCTCAGCGCGACTTCTCACACACCGCGGCTATCTAGTGATGCGGAGGAAGAGAGTTTGCATCATCTTGCATATCAGTCCAGCATGCGGTCCATGTCGCCCGTCGTGAAGCCCGGGATCTCGTACCTGCGCAATCGCACGCGGCCGGCGGGTCAGCACCTCGAGCCAACAGCGGCACGCGCAACGCACTGCGGGGGGGGCTTGCTCGCACGCACCTGTAGCGGCCGTCCTCCGCCAAGCCGAAGCCCTTGGGGTCGGCGAACACGTTCTCCAGCAGCTGCCCTGGCTCGGGCTTGGGAGACTTGTCAGCGAACTCCACAGCCTCGTCAATCTGCGAACGTCAGCGTGGCGCACACAGCGTGAACTTCCTGCCTCGACTGACAGCCGCGCGCGCGCCCTGCCGATCGTGTGGCGTCCGCGTGCTCACCTCCTTCGCGACCCGCTCCTCGATCGCCTTGATCTCCTCCTCGGTGGCTAGGCCGTTGTCCAGCATCTGCTGTCGCAGGCGCGGGATGGGGTCGCGCGCGAGGTACGCGTCCTTCTCCTCCTGCGACCGCAGCTCGTCGGGGTCGGCCAGGGAGTGCCCGCGGAAGCGGTAGGTCTCGAACTCGATGAGCGTCGGGCCGTCCCCGCGGCGCGCGCGGTCGATGGCCTCCTGCGCCACCTGGTTGACCTTCAGGACGTCCATGCCGTCCACGAGGACGCCGGGCATGCCGAACGGCGGGCCCTTCTTGTAGATCATGGGCGCGTCGTCGCCTGCGAGCAAGTCAGCGACCGCGTTGTGTCACGCGTGGCCTTCCACAGCTGCGCAGCGTGCTCTCGACAGAAGGCGGCTGGGGCGGGGCGGGAGGCGTACCGGAGGAGGGTCCGGTGGCGCGGTTATGGCTCATGCCGATGGCCCACTTGTTGTTTTCGACGCAGAAGATGATGGGCAGCTTGTAGAGGGCGGCCATGTTGAGGCACTCGTAGAACTGCCCCATGTTGCACGTGCCGTCGCCGAAGAACGAGCAGCACACCTGGTCCGCGGTCTCGTCCTTGAGCACGTCGCGGTTGTACTTGATCTTGAACGCCGAGCCCAGGGACACCGGGATGCCCTCCCCAATGAAGGCAAACCCTCCCAGGACGCCGAACTCCGAGCTGAACATGTGCATCGAGCCGCCCTGGCCGCGGCACAGCCCGGTCTGCTTGCCGAACAGCTCGGCCATGACGGAGCCCGGGCTGCAGCCCTTGGACAGGGCGTGCACGTGGTCGCGGTACGTCGAACAAATGTAGTCGTCCTTCCGCAGATTCCGGATCACGCCGGACGACACCGCCTCCTGGCCCGAGTACAGGTGCACGAAGCCGAACATCTTCCCTGCAACAGCGCCGCGTCGTCTCGCGCGCGTGAGTGCCACGAGGGTGCCGTGCAAGCGGCCGGCGTGCGTCGGCCGCGCTCGGGGCGGGGGCTCGCGCACCTCGGTAGTACATCTGCGCGCACATCTCCTCGAACTCGCGCCCCATCGTCATGTCGTAGTACAGGTCCTTGGCCTTCTCAGGGGTGACGCCCTGCGCGCAGGCAACACAGGCGTGCCGCGGGGGGTGGGCGAGGGAGCCGCGGGCCGTGGAAGAAGCGGACGACCGTCATGTGCACGGAATCCGTGCTGCGGCCCGTGCGTGGTTTCGCTGCCAGCGCGACGTGCGGCGGAGGATGGAAGGTTGTGTCATGGAGCCTCGAAAGCGGCGTACAAGGCGCACAAGGCGCGGCTTCGGTGGAGCACGGGCATATGATCGGGGAAGTCGTTCCTCTTGATGCGCAAGAAAATCTTATGGTGGAGCGGGGCGGCCGGGGTGCCCTGAATGCCCACGAGGAGGGAACGTCGCCCCCTGGGGCGCCCAAAGACGCGGTGCACTCAATCAAGGCCCTGACTCGAACAAACGGTGCGTAGTGAACGGGGAGAGTGCGCTTGTTTGCCGGCAGGATGCGCGAGAGGGCGGTAATTCCGCTCGGTGGGGGAAGAGCAGCGTGCACCAGCAGGGCTCGCTGCGTGCCGTGCAGGCGATCGTTCCGAGCGCAAGGTGCCCCAGGATGCAACATCGGTGGACACAGCGAACTAGGCGGCCGGCTGGATCCCACGATCATCATTCGCACGCACGACGGGGGGCGCATTTCAGCCGTGCAGGAGAAATCGAGGCACGCAGGCGGGGCTCGACTGGCTTTGGCGGGCTTCCGGGTCGCCATTCTGAGATGTGGAAAAATCATGGACCGTATGGTGCGCGTTTCTGCTCTGCATCGGCGACCGCGCGACGGCCAGCACTCCGGATATCTCCTTCGGCCCTCACCTCGAGCTCCGGGACCTTCGCACCGCCGGAAGCAGAAGCCGACTTCGAGCCCGACGTCTTGTTGTCGGTGGAGGCGGCGGCCATCGTGCGCACCGCGCGGCGAGTGCTCGGCGCGGAGGCCGAAGCACGCGCAAGCCTGCGGCCTGCGGCCGCCCGGGCGGGCCGGCAAGCTGCGGGGGCGGTGAAAATCGCGCAGTTCATCGTGACCGTGTCCGCGGGCTGCGCGACGCGCACCGCACTCGTGGCCTGGCGGGAGCGGCCCCTGAGCTGGCGATGACTCGAGCGGAGGCGCCGGGCGCGGCGATGCAGCGCGAACGAGGGGCACTTGAGGGCGCCGCCCGCAGGGCATCGCACAGAGGCGCCGGAACGCACATAGCTTGCGTCCAGAATCGCGGTCACTGTCGTAGGTTTGTCAACCAACCACTTTGGTCTACCAGCGCCCCCGCTGGTGCTTGCGAGTGTCGCAATCGCGCGAAACGGCGGCCCGCCGGTGTTTGAAGTAGAGGCTACCCTCACGGATCGTTCTGAGGGGCGAATAGTCACGGAGCTGCAAGCACGCTGAACAAGTTTCACCCCAGAGGCACGGTAGCCCCTGAAGCGCTGGACGCCGACATGCCCAGTGCCAAGGATGGCGACAACTCCATGAGGGGCGGGAACAGCCAGGTGCGCCGCGACACTGGTCCCGAGCCGCTCCAGGTGGAGCCGACGGCCTCCGTCCCTGGCTCCCGCCAAGGCTCCGTTTCCCTCTCCCTCAGCCGTGCTGCGGGCTGGCGGCTCCGCCTCCCGTGCATGCCACGGTTCTGTTCAGGGACGGGGCATCCTGGTGGCCGCGGGCGAAATTCGCGTCGCATGACGCTGCGCCAGCAGTCATGCAGCGGCGGCAGCAGACAGGCTGTTGCAGGCCCACGCGCACTTTCACGCGTGCCTCATGGGCGACACGCGCACTGATCTGGACCTGAAGCGCACACTCGCCGAGCTTTGGGGTCTTGTCTCGGAAGGGCCTCGCAGCACGAGGAGATTCCGCTGTCACGTTTCCAGCTGCACACGGACGGTCCCCTCCTGGAGGCCGCGGGCCAATCGCCGCGCTGCATGCCCGTAGCAGCCCTGTCCGGACTACCGCGCACTCCAGCACCCTCCGCCCGTCAGCCTGACGGAGACCAGCGCCCGCCCTAGGCTGCAAGGACATTGCGCGCCTCGTGCGCGGCGAATGCTGGCGGCAGCCGCATCTCGCAGCACGGCGCCGAGATGCATCTGAATTCTTCTCGCGACTCACGCTCCAAGCTCGCAGGGATCCCTGAACCTCGTGGCGCACCAGACGAAGCCAGGCACGATGCACTCCATTCACGGATCCGAGGCGGCGCGGCGGCAGGCCATCACTGAACTCCTGTTCTTCGCGTCCGTGGGTGACTCCATTCGCTGCCAGCGAATCGTCGAGGTGCGCTCCTGTCGACGAACACCCGCAGAACCTGCATGTCGCGTCGCGCGTAGCTGGCACCTGCCCGCTAGCCCAGCACGAGCGCCCAGGAACTGCGTTGGCGCGCAGTACGAGCGCCGCAAAAGACTGCGCCTCGCCGCTGCCCCGGCTTGCCCTGCAGGCATTCACCCTCGACGTGTCGTCGGACACATGCTGCGACTACGACAAGCGCACCCCGCTGCACCTGGCGGCTTCCGAAGGCTGTTATTCGGGTACGCAGCGCCGCACGTGCCGACACTGCCTGCGCCTGCCGACCCCCCGGGACCCCCCTGCCGCTCACGACCGCTGCGTGGCCCTGAGTGTCTGCACCATCGACACACCGTCCTTCAACAATGACGGCCCCGAACCGCTTGCCGCGCCGTCATCGCAGTCGCGAAGTGGCTGTTGAGCAAGGGAGCGAACGTGAACGCTGTGGACCGCTTCGGCCGCACGCCGCTGGCGGACGCGGTCATGGCTGACCACGGCGAGGTGGCCAAGCTCCTGATGACCAAGGGCGGCAAAGTGGTCGACAAGGACTCGACCGACATCAAGCTCGTGCAGCTCGAGGATCACCAGATGGCGGGCAGGTGAGGCCTCCACTCGCCGCGCGGAGCGAAGAGCTGCGCTGCGCCACCACCGCCAGCGGTGTTGATGTTGGTGCGACGACGCCCGGACGTGCCGCTGCGTTGGCCGCAGAGTGAAGTGGGACGACATATCGGACTGGGAGGTGGACCCGAAGACCATCAAGATGCTCAGGAAACTCGGGCAGGGGGAGTTTGGCGAGGTGCGTGCGCCACACCCATCGCTGCTGCACGAGCCTCGCCCCCCGACGTCGTGCCGCGGTGCGACGCGACGGAGTTGCGAGCCGTCCGTGCGCAGGTGTACTTGGCGGAGTGGCACGGCACCCTGATCGCGGTCAAGAAGCTCCGGGACTCGAACGAGGTGGCGCTGGGGGACTTCAGGACGGAGCTCAACATCCTCATGAAGGTGCGCCCCTCCCGCGGCATCGCTGCTCGCGCCAGCCCCGTGCGCGGCCATCCAGCGTCACGCCGGACGGTCCGCTCGCCTCGGCCCGCAGGTGCACCACCCGCACATGGTGCAGTTCCTCGGGGCGGTGACGAAGACCGAGCCGTTCATGATCCTCACGGAGTTCATGCCAGGCGGCTCCCTCGCGGACCTGTTCGCGCTCCGGAAGCCCATCAGCGCCCGCCGCTCGGCCGAGATCGCGCTGGACACCGCCCGGGGGATGTCCTACCTGCACAACCGGTCGCCGCAGGCCGTCATCCACCGCGACCTCAAGCCCGCCAACTTGATGGTCTCAGGGAACCCGTACCGCGGCGCCAACCAGGAGGTGCGCTGGCCGACGCGCCCCTCGACCCCGCCACGTCGCAGCCCACAGCACGTGCCGCACAACGCTCTGTGCGCGTCGTCCGCGTGCAGGGCTTCCGGGAGCGGCTGATGTTCGACACCGGGATCATCAAGGTCGCGGACTTCGGTCTGTCGAAGTCGCTCGTTCTCAATAAGAACAAGAACAAGCACGGCAACGTGCAGCTGTCCGACCTGCAGGAGGACGACACGTACCAGATGACCGGCGAGACCGGCTCGTACCGCTACATGGCGCCCGAGGTGTTCCGCCACGAGCCCTACAACAACAAGGTCGACATCTACGCCTATGCCATGATCATGTACCAGCTGTTCGAGGGCGCCCCGCCCTTCCACAACATGGACCCCATCGACGCCGCCAAGGCCGCCTGCCTCGAGGGCAAGCGGCCCATGTTCTCCAACCCCAACTACTGGGACGGCGTCGCCCCCAAGCCCCTCAGGTGCGCGCCCCCTTCTTCACCCCGTGCACCGCGGATTGAGAGCTCTTGGCGGCCGCGAACACCGGCGTGGCCGAGGTCGACGCGAGTTCGAACGGGTGTGGTTGCTTTCACTCGTCGGTTCGAGCTCGCACGCCCTCGGCTGCCGCGCGGGTGTTCAGGACTTCCCTCACCGCTCTCTCCCAGCGCGAGCCCACGTGCCTGGGAGCGGTGGCGTGCACTTGCGCATGCGGACTGGCGCCGTGCTCGCGCGACACGGGCCGTGACGGGGGGCGCTGCGTGTGCCGTCCGCTGCAGGGATCTCATCGCGAGGTGCTGGAACGAGAATCCCGACGCGAGGCCAGAATTCAACGAGATCGTCGAGATTCTGCAGGCATACCTCGAGGTGCGCACACATGTCGCTGACGCAGCATTGCTCACCCAGGTGTCTTACATTCCGCCTGTCAGCAGTGTCGCGTCTGCGCGGCGACTCAACGCAGCGACACTCTCAACGCCCTGTCCGCGCAGTCATTGGGGCCCGCGCCCAAGATCTACAAGCCGGTCGAAGAGCCGCCGAAGAACTGCTGCACCCTGCAGTGATGACACAGGTGTCCCATGCCATTCTTCTGCCCCGGGCCCCGATTGTGAAAGCCGTCGATCGCCGCGCGTGTTTGCACGAGTCCCTCGCGCGTCGCTCTGCCGGCAGCATGCCGCAGCCGCACCCGTGACCGCTGTCGCCTCACGCGCGAGCGCAACGTGCTGGTTGTCACGACACCGCACCTGTCTGCTGGTGGTCCTGGCAGGGGCAGGGCGGGGCCCAGAATCCAGCGACGAGGTCGGCGGCAGATGCGGTGCAGCCGGTCTGATGACAGGCGGCGCAAGGCATTTGTGGAGACGTTTGCATGTCCCAGAACTGAAGCCAGCAAGCAAGCGAGGATCGACGCAGCTGTCCGTGAGCCCGCTGTCGTCGTACGGGGCTGCGCTGTGCGCCTCGCGAGGCGCTCCTAGGCGTGCAGTGTCACGTTCGCTCACGCCTGTCTGTTGTGCGAGTGTGGCGCATGGTGAGACGTCGGGCAGGCACGTCGTTCGTGTGGCGTTTCCGCGCGGGTGGTGTTGAGTAAACACCAGTTTGTATGGGTGTGTGCTCCCCGTGCGCCCGTCGCCGGGCCACCGCGGGAGTCGCCGTCGGGCGCTTAGGCGCGCTCACCACGGATGCGGCGGGCCAGCTGGATGTCCTTGGGCATGATGGTCACGCGCTTGGCGTGGATGGCGCACAGGTTGGTGTCCTCGAAGAGACCCACGAGGTAGGCCTCGGCGGCCTCCTGCAGCGCCAGGACGGCCGACGACTGGAAGCGCAGGTCGGTCTTGAAGTCCTGGGCGATCTCGCGCACCAGACGCTGGAACGGCAGCTTGCGGATCAGCAGCTCCGTCGACTTCTGGTACTTGCGGATCTCACGCAGAGCCACGGTACCGGGCCTGTAGCGGTGCGGCTTCTTCACGCCGCCCGTGGCCGGGGCCGACTTGCGGGCCGCCTTGGTGGCCAGCTGCTTCCTGGGGGCCTTGCCACCCGTGGACTTGCGAGCAGTCTGCTTGGTACGAGCCATCTTGATCGATCGATTCAGACGAGGTCTGCCCGCCGCGCCCCGCGCCGCGCGCCCATGAGCCCGGGCCGGGCGGGCCGGGCGGGCGCGAGCGTTTTGGCGCTGGGGGTCCCCCCCGCGCGGGAGGGCGCGGGAGGGCGCGCGGCCCCGCAGCGCGGCGCGGACAATCACGTCCGCGACCGCCAAATCGTACCGCGCCGCCCGCCGCGCCCCCACGAGCCCCGCCCGCGCCGCCCCGGGACGTCGTCACCCCACCCCGACAGCTCGTCGCCCCGCCACCCCCCCTCCCGCCCGCCGCTGCCTCCCGCGCGCCTCATGGGCGCCCCGGGCGCGCCCGCAGCGACACTCTTCGCGTCTCTCAGCAAGAAACGAAAAGCAGCAACAATGTCTGGTCGTGGCAAGGGCGGCAAGGGCCTCGGGAAGGGCGGCGCGAAGCGCCACAGGAAGGTCCTGCGCGACAACATCCAGGGCATCACCAAGCCCGCCATCCGCCGTCTGGCTCGCCGTGGCGGTGTCAAGCGTATCTCCGGCCTGATCTACGAGGAGACGCGCGGCGTCCTCAAGGTGTTCCTGGAGAACGTCATCCGTGACGCGGTCACCTACACCGAGCACGCCCGCCGCAAGACGGTCACGGCCCTCGACGTCGTGTACGCGCTCAAGCGCCAGGGCCGCACCCTGTACGGCTTCGGTGGCTAAGCAGCCAACCTCGGACGGCAGCCCGCTCGCCGGGCGCGCCGCCCGCGCGGCCCACGCGGCCAAACCACAACAAAACTGGTGTTATTCAACACCACCCACGCGGAACAAGCACCCCTGCCGCGATGCAATCGCGCTTTCGGTCTCGCAACGAGCACCCTAGCCCCTGGTACCGGCCCACGGTCACCTCACATTCCTTGCAACGGCTCCTGGCAGTATACATTCCTGCTCCTATGAGAGTCGAATTGGCAGCTCCTTCAGCGCAGCCTGGCCACGAGAGTTGCCTCCCGGAGCTTCCGGCACACAGCGGCGTCGCAGCGGGGGCACCGCAGCCCCCTTGCGCCTCCGTTCCGGCACCCTGCGCGAGGCTTCAGGTGTCTCAAGGCACGACACGCGTCATGGCAGTCCGAATAAGCTTCAGCGAAGCAGACGAGCTCACTGAGGGGCGGAGGAAATGACCGAGATGATGATTGCGCGCGGTCACGTAGGAGCAATCACGCACGCGTCTCGCGTGCGGTTGTCACATCACATCACGCCGGCGGCCAGGTGCTGCGGGGGCGGTCGTATGAGCGCCCCAGGCTGCGCGGCGCGACTCGGCGTGGCTGTCGCAGTGAAGGTTGGCTTCCTGTGGCTTCGCGCGGCTCACGGCGCGAGGGCGCACCGTACAGGGCGTGGTGGTTGGTGGCACACGGTGTCGAGTGTAGCTGCGCAGGGCGCGAGGCCGCTTCCGTGGGGCGGGGTCGGGGCAATCGTAGTTCGCGTCTCCCGGGGGCACTCAAGGCCCCGTTCTCTCCCGGCAGGGGGCCTGAGCTGGCCTGACGGTGAGCAACGCGAGACGTGAGAGATGCGAGACCTCGGAAAAAGATAAACTATGTACTCGTGAAGTGCTTGCGAACCGCGGCAGTGTGCGCTCTGAAAATGGAGGCAAGAGGGGTGGAGGGGGGCTTCGTGATGGCGAAATGCGGGGGTTGACGGGAACCATCTGACAAACTGCGCCGAGATCGGACGCGCTCGTGCTTCGACAGGAGCTCTCGCAGTGCTGCTGCTCTCGCACAGCAGTGGCCTGCTGCATACGTGCCGCGATGGTGCTTGCAGGTGCAACGGCGCCCAGGTGGGAAAGGGCGCGGTTGCCGGGAGGGCCACGTCGTCGTGCCTGCTGGCCGGGGCCGCTCCGAGGCGGCCCGCGGACGAAGCGAGCAAGAAGGGACCGCCGCGCGCTGGGATTCAGCGGGGCAGCGAGGCGGGGGGCTGAGGGGGGGTGTGAAGTTCGTGCAACCTGCTACCGGCCGCCATCCGCGGCCACGAGCGGCGACAGCGGTGCGGCCGCGTCCTCCGCCGGCGCGTCCCGCGGCCACTGCGCCTCCGCGTCCCCGCAGCACTCCCCCCCACCCGCCCCTGGCGCGTCTGGGTGCGGCCGCCAGATCTGCAGGTGCCCCGGCTCGTGCCCGCGCGCCGCCTTCGCGGCCAGCGTCAGCCCGTTCCCGCTGAGCCACGCGTTGCGCCGCGGACACCGCCCGTGCGCCACCAGCCGCTGCAGGAAGCTCTGCACCTCCGCCGGGTCCCGCAACGTGTACTTGGCCGTCGTCGGCTTCGCGATGCTCGAAACGAGCACGCCGAAGCCCGCGCCGGCCTCGTGCAGCACTCGGAACGCGTCCTCGTCCGTGCGGTCGTCCCCGATGTAGATGGGCAGCACGTCGGGCGCCGACGTGAGTTGCATCAGCGCGAGGAGGTGCGAGAGGGCGCGCCCCTTGTCCCAGTCGATGCGCGGCCGGATCTCGAAGACCTTGCGGCCGCGCGTGACCTTGGCGCGCGGGTGCTCCGGGTCCACGTGCGCGTCCACGATGGCGCGCACCTCGCCGTGCCGGTCCGCGCAATTCCGCCAGTGCACCGACAGGCAGTACTTGTTGTGCTCCACTGACGCTCCGGGGATCCTGCGGGCGCGGCGGGCGGGCGCGGCGGCGCTCGGGCTCGCGCGGGCGCGGCGCCGCGCAGCAAGCAGCGACCCCGCGCGGGCGGGCCGGGCGCGGCCCTGCGAGCCCCGTGCGACGTCCGCGGGCGGACCTGTGCGCGCGTGCGAGGCGGTGCGGCGCGGGAGGGGCCGTTGCGAGCGCGGAGGCGGGCGGGCGCACCCTTGCAGCGCTGCGACCAGCTTGTCGTGCAACTCGTCCATGAGCGGGCAGATGTCTTGCGCGGGCTGGTACTGGTAGTGGTCCGAGACGTGGTGGAGGTCGTGCTCGTCGACGCCGAGCGGCGTGGCGATGTCGAGGCCGTGCGAGCCCGCGTACATGAGCTCGTCGAGCCGCACGAAGGCCTCCACCTTCGCCCGCGCGCGGCCCGAGACGATCGCGGTGGGGAACAGCTTGGCTAGCTGCTGAATGGTCTCCCTCATGCCGTCCGAGAGCAGCGCCTGCGGGAAACAGCGCGGTGCCGGCGACGTGTGGCGCGGCTCGCACCCCTCCACGCACGCATCCGCGGGCGCGCGCGGATTCGCGCGAGCGATGCGCGCGGCGCGGTGCGATGCGGGGTCAGCTCGGTCCGGTGCGTCGAACCGGGGCCACAAGGGGTCGAGCGCGCCGCGCGGGCCCCGCATCAGGCGGCGCGTGGCACGCCCGCGACGCGGCGCCCCCGGGCGCGGGCGGCCGCTGCGCCGGGCGGGGCGCGCGGCCTCGAACCAGCAGCCTGGCCACGGGGCGCCCACGCGGCGGGAAACCAGCGGGGAGCGCCCGAACCTGGGCTCTCGCCAGGGGCAGCGCCGCACGAGCGGGCGTGCGCCTGGCCCGTGGGGCGCGCGCAGCCGGCCGTGGGCGCGCCGCGGTCGCGAGGCGGAGCAGAGGGCGGCGGTGGGGTCGCCTGGGGCCGTGGCGGCGGCCGCGGGTGCGCAGGGCGCGCTGGAGGGGGAAGGCCGGGCAGAGGGCGTCGGGGGCGCACCTTGTCGGGGTCGTTGACGATGGGGGTGAGCGTGCCGTCATAGTCGAGGAAAATGACCACGCGTTTGCCGTGCGACTCGTCCGCGAACGTCTGGAAGTTTCCCAGGATGCAGGGGAACTGGGCCTGCGGTCGACGCGCCATTCCCGCGGGCGGCGTTGAGCGCAGGCGGCGAGCGCGTCTCGCGGTCATGCGAGCTGCGCAATCCGACGCCCCGCGCCGCAACGTGACGCCGTTCCTATGCGGCAGCGCCCCTCAGGGCTTGCCAGTTGCGCGTCGAGACTTTGCGGCTCCGCGGGTATGGGCGCGGATTCACGGCCCGGATGCCCGCAGACGGGCGCAGGCGGCGGACAGCCGTACCTTCCAGGACTCGTAGGTGTCGGTGCGCGCGCTCCCTGCGCTCGTCGTGGACTCCGCCATCGGGCCGACCCTCGCGCCGTGCATGGAACTGTCCACCGAGTCCCGCGGCTGGGCGGGGCTCTCCTCTTGCATACAACAAACTGTCTCGTCGCGCGCTCAGCGGAGAGGGGCAACCATGCTGGTGTGGGGACTGCGCGGAAAGGGCCGATGCTCACCGCGCTCGGCAGGGCGTCGTCGTGGGCGGGGGCCAGCTTTCGATGCTACGACTCGCTGATCGATCGCACGTGCGACGGTATGCGCCCAACGCCCGCCGCTCTGAGCCCTTCGCGGCTCCGGGACGACACTCGCCCGCTGACAGGGGGTGCAGCTGGTGCGACGCCCGCAGCTGCGCGCCCGCAACGCAGGCCGACGCTTTCGCCACCCGACGCGAACCCCGCGCTCATGCACAGCGCCCTCGCCGGTACGCGCGCCGCGGGACGCTCCCAAGCCCCCCAGCCGCACGAGCTCTGATCTTCTGTCACAAACACCGAACGGCGCTCACAGCAATCCCTCCGGACGCGGTGCGCCCCCCCGATCTCCCCGTCCTGCCACGCGCCCGCGCATCACCGGCAGCCGCCGGGCGTCCCGGACGCGCGAGCCGCACCCGCACCACCACTGGTGTGGTGGTTGCCAACGACGACGCAGGGGCCTCAGCGCGGCGTCGACCCCTCCGGCGTGCCCGTGACAGACACGGCGTTGGATGCGGCCCGCAGGTCCGCCTTGCTGCCCGCCGTCCGCCGCAGCCCCTTGGCCTGCTGCGCGCGGCGCTGCGCGGCCGCCAGCGCGACACTCTCCACCTCCTCGTTCCGCTTCAGCTCGCCCCTGCACACACAGCGCGAGAACACGGCGGCCGTGGGCGGGCCCGCTGCGGGTCGGGCAAGAGGAACAACAGCCGTCAGGTGCAAACAAACGAACAACCAACATGTCACGCGAGGGGGGTACGTACGCGTCGTCGATGAGGATCGCGGGCCAGACGATCGACGGGGCCTGTCCGATCTCGCGCCCGATCGAGATGAGCGCCTCGGCGTACCGGTACACCATGTGATCGGCCACCGCGCCCGGTCCGACGCGGAACGTGGCGTAGGCCTCGCGCGGCATCCGCACGACGGCCCACCGCCGCCCGCGCGGGCGCACCTCCGGCCCCGCGTACGTCGGGTTGCTGTCCGGCAGCTCGTCCACGTTGACCGTCCCCGCGGTCGTCCCCGCGGCGGACACGTCCTCGGTCGCCGCCGACGACGACGGCCGCGCGTCGCGCCGCGGCCCCTCGCGGTCCCCGCTCGGCGCGTCCTGCGCCTCCGCTGCACGCTCCTCGTCCATCACGTGCAGCGGCATCAGGTGGTAGATCCTTCCTGCCGGGTAGAACTGGAACCGGTCGTGGAAGGCGCGCTCGTCAAACATCGCCTGCTCCGCGGAGCTGCGGACGTCCGCGCCGCCCTCGCCCTCGCTGTCGCTGCCGCCGACGTTCCGCGACGTGCGGCGGGACCCAGTGCCGCGCCGGGACCCGTCGGCGCCCGCCGAGCCCCCGCTGTGCTCGCTCTCCTCGTCCGACGTGTGCTCGCCCTCGTCGTCGGCCTCCGCGACGCCCGCGATCGGCGTGGAGTCCTTGAACTTGCGGCGCGAGAAGAGCCGCTGGCCGATGCGCCGGACGACGCCCGGCGGGCGCTGGCCGTCCGGCATGCCGCCGGCGCCGCGCCGCCCGCGCCACCGCCGGAACCGCAGGCGCGCACGGCGCGCCCACGGCGCCTCGTGCTCGCGCCCGTACTGCTCCTCGAGCTCGCGCGTGTGCAGCGCGTCCTGCACGACCTGGTCCAGGTCCCCGTCCGACGACGGCTCCGCGGCGCTGTCAGGCGACTCCCCCCCGCTCTCGCGACGCGCCCGCGCCCCCGCCTCCTCCCCCAGCGCCGCGCCCCCCTCGCGCGGCGAGCTCCCCTCCCGCGGCGAGTCCAGCTCCCCGACCGTCCCGCGCCCCTCGGCCTCGAGCAGCTCCGACGCGTCCATCTCCCGCCTTTGGAACGCGTCGTGCTCGAGCGCCGCCGCCCAGCCGGCGATCACCGCGGACCCGCGCCGAGACGCCCCCTGCGCCTCCCACTCGCGGACGTGCTCCTCGACGTTCCCGAAGTCCCAGCCCCCCACCGACGCGCGGTGGGAGAGGGCCTGCGGCGGGACGCTGCTCGGGCGGTGCGGCGGGAGCCCGACGGAGGGGGTGCGCGCGAAGTTCGAGCCGGACGCGACGCCGTGGAGGGATGCGTCGGCGGCGTGGGAGCGGCGCGCGGGGCGGTCGAGCGGCGGGAGGCCGCGTGCAGTGACGGAGCGGCGCCCCGAGCTCGGCGCGTTCTGGCCGCGGTACGTGGCCGGGAGGCTCGTGAGGCTCGTCGTGGGGCGGTGGCGCGGCCGCTCGGCGCCGGAGACGACGGCGGCCACCTCGGCGCCCGCGCCGGCCGTGGCGGCAAGGTCCGTGAACTCCCTGGAGGCGTCCCCGCCGTCCTTGCGCGCCAGGAACGGCCACATCAGCAGCCCCGACGCCGCGGAGTAGGCGCCCGCGCCGGACTGGTAGGCCGCGCGCCCGATGCTGGCCAGGCGGTCGTAGGTGCGCCTGTGGGCGGCGGCGGCGTCGGCCGGGGCGCGCGGCGCGTCGCCTGCAGCCTGCGCGGCCACGCGGAGGTCCTCGTCCGTGCTCGGCCCCGCGCCGTCCTCGCGGTACTGCGCGAGCATCTCCGCCTGACTGCGCGGGGGGAGTTGGTCCCCGTCCGACTCAGCGCCGCTGGACTCCCCCTCGCCGCCCGCCCGCGGCATCCGCCGCAGGCTCCCGATCCTGCGAATGCTCGTCCCCGCGCGCGCGAGCCCGATCCCGGCCCAGCGCCCCGCCGTGCCCACGCCCCGCGCCGTCGTGGCCACCCCCTTCACGCCCCACCGCACGGGCGCGAGCATCTTGTGCACGCGCGTCTGCGTCCAGTCTCGCGCCCACTGCTCGTGCCACTCGAACTGCGCCACCTCCCTCCGCAGCCCCTCGACGGAGCCCATGCAGAACATCGGCACCATGTCCGCGCCGTTGATCACCGACGTCGTGAACGTCGAGCACGCCTCCGCGAGAGGCTGCGTCATGATGGCGGGCGACGCGAACGACAGGCACTTGACGGCGCCGAGCGGGGCGAACCGCGCGTCGGACGCCGCCAGGTCGCGCAGCATCGAGGACAGCAGGGCCGCGGTGCCGCCGCCGAGGGAGTGCCCGACGCACAGGAGGCCGTAGCCGGGGTGCTCGGCCAGCGCGGAGACGAGCTTGTGCACGATCGCGTTCTTCAGCAGCCGCGCCGCCGGCTGCGCGGATGCAGCACGAGCAAAAGGGCCGGCAGGGGTGAGAGAGAGGAGGGCGGGGTTCGGGCCCGCGCCGTGCACGCGCGCTCTGCGTGCAGCAAGAGAGCGGCGTGCCACGCGGCCGTGTGGCCTCGCGCGGGCGAGGTAAGGCGCAGGGCGGCAATGCGTAAGCGGGGGGCGGAGGTTGGGGATCGGTGCTGGACACTCACCACGATGCCATGGTGCGCGAAACCGAGCTCGACGTTCTTCTCCCGCGGGTCCCCCTTGAGCACGTGGAACGGCCGCGACGCGCCCGTCATGATGGTCAGCGTGTCGCTGAACGACTTGGTCCCGCGCACCACCAGCACGATCAGCCGCGTCGCGCGGTCCCGCACCAGCCAGTACGCCGGGTGCAGCATCTTCGCGCGCACGCGCCGCTGCAGCACGTCCTCCGGCATGACGCCCAGCTTGGCGTACACGTGCAGAATCACTTCCTCGTCGGCCTCGCGCAGCGCCATCGCGAGCGACAGCATGCGCTGGAGCGTCTCCATGCCGTATCCGCAGCCGCCGACGCCGTCCGGGGGGCTCCCGGCGTCGGCCGTCGGCGCGCGATGCACGGCGCTGGCGTCCAGGCCCGGCGGAAAGCACAGCTGCGCGGGGACCTCGGCGCCGTGCGAGGCGAGGTCGCGGATGGTGTCCGCGCCGGACTTGCGTGCGAAGTAGTACCGGACGCCGAAGAGGAGGTCGTTGAGGCGCCACCCGTTGACGACGTTGAAGAGCGTGAAGGTCAGGGCCTGGATGCCGACCCACATCTGGCCGAGGGAGGTCTTCGGGAGCGTGTCCGGGAACTGGGGCTCCCATGCTGTCGTGCCGTCGTGGTGCCGGATGAAGGCGGGGTCCACGGTGGGCCACCGGGACGCGTGCTCGCTGCAAGCAGGGGCGGGCGCGCGCGAAGGGCGTGGGGGGGGATTGCGCGCGTACGGGCGCGAACGTGGGCTGGAATCTCGCGGGGAGCGCGCCGGGGAGCGTCGAGGGCACGGCGAGGCCGCGGGAGGGCGATCTCAGCGCCACGGAGGCGACTAGGCTTGGGGAGGGCCGTGCGGGGCAGTGGGCCCGGTCTCGGCGCGTTGGGGGAGCGGGCATGACCGTGGAGGCTCGCTGTGGCCCGGAAATTGCGAAGAGCGACGGAATGTCGCGCAATGGACGGGGCACGAGGGCCAGAGCGGCGGGCTAGGAGAGCAGCAAGCAGGGGGCGATATCGCGCCTGGAGGCGCGCTGACAGGCAGAAAAAGTACAGCGAGCCTTGCGAGAAGAGGCCGACGGGCGCGATCGCGGCGCGATACGCGACAATGTGGCCGCGACCGCGGCGCGAGCGGCGCATGGTTGGCGCCACTTCGGAGAGCGTCGGGGCGCGCGCTGCCCACCTGTCCTCGCCGCCCTGGTCTCCCGGCGGCGGATCTCGCTTCTTGTTCCAAAGGTAGTAGTAAATACCCATCGCTGCCGCGGGCACGGCCAGCACAGCGGCCATGATGGCGGTCCGTGCGAGCACCGCTCTCTGGTGCTTCAAGACCCGCGCGCGCAGCCGATCTGGGGCCGCGGGACGCCTGTCAGGCGAAGCTCTCGCGGACCTGGACCGCCGGAGCGCAGCCCGGTGCCCGGGCGGGCGCGGCTACCCCGCACGCGAGGGAGCGGTGCCGCTGAAGGGCGCGGTGCGAACCTTGGGGCGCGAGCGCTCCCGTCGGCCGGTCGACAGGAATCGTTCGTTTGCCCGGCGGCCTGTTTACTTTTTGGCCCGGGGTTGGATCGAGCGCGACGCTCTGTGGCCCCCAGGGGCGCGCTTCCCGCTGCTGCTTGGACCGCGACTTCTTGCGCGGCGTGTGCGGCCAATCGTGCCACTGCTGGCCCGAACAAGCCGCTACCCGAGATCCTACGCCAGAGAGACTCCCCGCGCGTCGCGCAGAGCCAGTAACCGCCTTTGACCGCGCGCAGCGTGTCGCGAGTCCACCGCCCAGTGCACGGGCACGCTGCAGGGCCCGCTGAGGGTCGCGCAGGCACGTTTGACGCTTTGTTTCAGCCGCACTGCCTGCCAGAGTGAACGCGGCGGGGCGCGTCGCCGCGGATTCTCGCGCACACGGCCGCGGCGACCGCGCCAGAGGGTGCGTCCCGCGCCCAGGTGCGACCGGGCCAGCGCCGCCCGCAGATCGCGCCCGGGCTCGAGGGGCCCGCCGCGGCGCGGCGCCGGCACAGTGCGCTGCTCTGCGCGAGGAATTCGTCCACGCGGGTGCCAGGGAAGGGAGCTCGGCCAACTACGACCTTGCGTGCAACGTGGTCGTTTCCGGGAGCCGCGAACCCGGCAGGAGGAGGTCGGTCGGCGCCGGGCGCTTGGCACAGCGCAGGAGGGTCCGTCCTGGCGCCACGGTGCCCCCCGCGCGGGCTGTGCGCCGCGACGGGACGGCGTTTCCCCTTGACGTAGTGGGTGCGGAGTGGCGACGTAGCGGTGGGCCATGAAGGACCACGCCGTGACGGCGGAGCGCATCCTGCGCCGGAAACGGGAGAAGGAGGCCGCGACGCTGCATCTGGCGCGGTTCAACAGGTGCGGGCGCCCCCGTGTCTCGCCGCTGCATGCACTCCTTTGCTCGGGACGCCCGCCCTCCAGGGGGGGCTGCCGGGCGCCGGATCCGGCCGCCCGGCTCTGGCGCGTCGAGTTGGGTGCCCGGTCTGTGCGAATCTCGCCCTTGTCGCCGCGTGGCGGCGTGCGCGCGCGACAGGCATGGGCTGTGGGACCAGGAGCGATCGCCTCGCGTTGTCGGCGCCGCACAGATGCGCGCGGGCGGCGGTCGCGCACAGCCCCGTGCCCGGCACCAGGTAGATGTGCGGGACGCTCTTGTCGGGGCCGCAGTCGACGTGTGTGCTTCCTCTGGGACGCAAGGCAGCTGCTCGACACCTTCGGCCGCAGTGCTGCCGCGTGGCGGCATGAGGCGGCCGTTCGACCGGACAAATGCCACGAGATGTTCGTGTTCTGCAAGGGCGTGTGCCGAAACTGGCTTGCGCTGCCTTGGGCGCGACGGGAACCCGCCTGAAGCGCCTCTCACAGTACACTGCTTCTCTCGTCGGCGCTGCAGGCTGAATCCGCAGGCCGAGGCCCCGGCCGTAGTTGCTGATGTCCTCGAAGAAGAGGGCGACGTCGACGTGGCCGGCGTGATCCGCGACCTGGCCCAACGGGGCCCCATAGACCTGGCGTGGGCCGTGTTCGAGCACGCCTGCGAGGTCCGCGGCCGGCCGCAGCCGATCGAAGTGTACGAGGCAGCCATCCACGCCTGCGCCAGCAACTTCCAGCCCCGACGGTGCCTCCAGGCGCGCCCCCACACGGCCTGCGCCCCCCGCCGCGCCGCGCCCCGCACGCCCGCGCTCCGGCCGACCGACCCATGTTCCGCGCACCCCGCAGGCCTACCAAATGATGCTCGAGGACGAGCACACCCCGACGACCCTCGAGTGCCCGAACCTCGCCATCCACAGCTGCGCGCACTTTGGGCTGCTGGAGGGCTGCATGGCGATCTACAAGGGCCTCTCCGCGCTCGACCTGACGCCCAACTCGTTCACCTTCCAGGGCGTGCTCACGGCGTGCTCCGCGCGCGGCCGCGGGTGGTACCGCGAGGCGCTGTCCGTAGTGGAGGACATGCGGCAGGTGCTGGCTCCGGTGCAGGAGGAGGTGTCGCGGGGCGGCGAGGAGGCGGAGGGCGCGAGGGACGGCGGGAGCAGCCGCGTGCTGGTGGACCTGGAGCGGATGGTGTTCGACGCGTGTCTGGGCGCGGTGCGCAAGTGCCAGACACTGCAGCAGGCGCTGGAGGTGTTCGAGGCGATGGAGGAGGTGGGGCTGGAGGAGGACCCGCGCGTGCTGCTCGCGGTGGTGCGGACGTGCGGGAAGTACCGGCAGCACTCGGCGGCGCTGGACTTTTTCGGGCAGGCGGCGGGGCGCGGGGTGGCGGCGGGCACGGAGGTGTACAACAGGCTGATCGAGGCGTGCGTGCGCGGGGGCGACGTCGAGAGCGCGCTCGAGGTGTTCGAGTGGATGGTCGAGGGCTACGGGAACAGCGGCGTGCCGGTGCCGGCCACCACGGAGACCTACAACCAGCTCCTGCGCGGGTGCCACCAGGCGGGGAAGTTCGAGCGCGGCCTCGAGGTCCTCGCGTGGATGCAGGGCGTCGGGCTGCAGCCGGACCAGGACACGATTGACCTGCTGATCAACACAGGTGAGCGCCGCGCACGCCGTAGGTTGCTGCAGGAACTGCTGCCGCCGGAGCGCCCGGGCGTGCCCCCGCGCGGCAGACCGGCGGTCTCCGTGCCCCGCGCCGCGCGCGACGTCCGCGTTCCGCGCCTGTGCGACCGCAGCGGAGATCTGCACGCTGTGGGACACCAAGATCATGTCGCGGCGCGTGGCGGCGCTGACGCGCGTGCGGCACGCGTCGACGCGCGCGAGCTCGGTCGGCAACGCGACGGACGCCTCCCTCGCGAACATCAGGACCGAGGCGCTGCGCTCCTCCGAGGCCAACTGCATGCGCATGCTGTACCTGAGTCAGCCCTCGTCCGTCGCAGCCGACCACCTCCTCGCCACGCGCAAGCTCGGCATCGACTTCTGGGCGCCCGTCGGCCTCCGCCCCGCCGCGTGCGGGCCCACGGAGGAGGACCTCCGGGAGGAACAGGCCCGCTTGGATCGCGAGGCGCGGGAGCGGGTGAAACTCGCCGTCGCGGAGACGCTCGGGTTCCCGTCGCCGGAGCACCTGCCGCCCCTCGCGGCCTCGGAGTCGCAGTTCGACCTGGCGCGCACGGCCAGCGCGCGGGGCCGCAAGCGCAGCGAGACGGCCAAGCGCACAGTGCGGGGCGCCGGCATGCCCACGGGGGCGCCGAGCGCCACGCCGCTCCCGGCGCGGCGCAAGCTGTTGCCGCCGTTCTACATGGGCCGCGACCCGCGCCCGGAGCAGGAGAACCGGTACCGGAGCTTCTATGCGGCACCGCGGCACGGTGTGTCGGTGCCGGAGGGCGGGCGTTCCGGGCAGCAGCCGTCGACGCGGAGGAGCTCGATGGCGCGGTCCCGGGCGGGGACGGAGCAAGAGGACGCGTGGGCGCCGGGCTCGCCGACACGTGGGGACATGGGGGGTGTTCCTGGTATGACGTCGCTGCAGCAGTTTTTCAAACAGGAGTCCGGGCAGGCGAATACGCCGCTGGCGAGGACGCTGCAGGACGTGGAGCAGTCGCAGCTGGACGCGGCGATGAAGGTGCTCGGGTCGCCCACGCGCGAACACTCGCGGCGGGGGTCTCTGGCGCGCGTGGGCCCGGAGGCGCCGCAGCCCAAGGCGGTGGACATGTCGAACTCGCTCGGGGGCCCGCGCGTGTTCTGAGGGCGCACTGCGCACGCTGTGAGACCGCGAGGCAGCTGGTACGGCCGGCCGCTGCGTCGGGGGCGGGCCATGCGGCCTATCGGGTAACACAACAGCACGGCCGCGTCGAGCTCATCGTCGGTACGTGCTGGGCTGCGGGTAGTTTTGCTGCTTCTTCTTGTCGCCCCCGAGGACCTCTCGAAGGAACATGAAGATCGTGCCGCCCACGATGATCAGGCCCGCCGCGATGAAGACGCTGTATCCCGCCGTCTCCGTCATGGGTATGATCCCTTTTCGCATGACAGGCCACGCGCGGGGACGGCGATGACGAGGAGAGCTGAGTAGCCGTCGGCGCGTCGCCACACAACGCGGACAATGCCGCAGACTCAGTCACCGCTGTCACCCAGCCGGCTGCCGACACCCCCTGGTACAAGCAGCCTAGGACGTGGACCAGCACTTCGGCGCGTCGGCTGGCGGGCGTCGTCCAGTACTCGCGCGGCTCGCCGCGTTGTTGCTGACGACGCCCGCCACTCACTCTAACTGATTGCAGGTCAGAGCCTTCCCTTGGCACATGATGGCACGCTCACATGGCATTTCGCGCGAGTACTCCTAGCACGCTGCCGCCTTGATCAGGACGATAGCACACCCGCATTTCGTTTCGTGCGCGGGTGGTCAATTACTACTCTGTGTGTCGTGTTGTGCTGCGCCGGGCCTCGAACATGGGGCTTTGGCGCAGTGCCAGCTGAGAGCTACCTCCCTACTCCGGCCTTCAACCGTCGGCGTAGACGAGCCTGCCTCCGGCTAACTGACTCCGCCGTCTCACGTCCGTGGCTCACCGCCCGGCGTGCTAGGAACGCGCAACTTAGGTAGAGCTCTCCCCGTCATCGTCGCCCTCCCGTCGTGGCTTGATTACTGCATCCTCGGTCTAGTTCCGCACACCACCCTCTTTTCACCCCCAAAACCTCTCACCATGCGCACTCCAATCGGTCGCCGACGGAGGAAACGGCTCCAAGCAGCGTTGCGTCTCAGCGACCAGGCCGGCACCGCCGAGGCGCGCACGCTGCGTGGCCACCTTTCGAATGGCACCCTGTTCCACCATGTCGCAAATCTAAATGACCACGACCCGAACTTTCGACCCAGCATCACGCACGCACGCCGCATCGCGGCCGCTATTGCTCCGCAGGCATCTCCCCGTGCCTGGCCCCCTCCTAGCCCCCACCACACACCCTCCCACCCCGCCTCCGCACTAGCCCCTCGACCCTACTGGGACTACGTGCCCCGCGACGAACGGGCGCCCGCATACCCGCACCCGTGCCCCCCACCGAGCGCTCCTTTCCCACCGCCCCCGCCGGCGCTCTCGGACCTCGCCGCGCTACCATCGGTCACGGCAAACCCCCCGCTTGCGGCGCGCGGGGTTGTCTATGTCCTCTTGTGCCGGAAATACCCCTTCTTTTACTATGTCGGGGAGACATACCGCACAGCGATCGAACGACTGCAGGAGCACTTTGATGCAGCATTCACGCACCATCCGAACGCCGTGCACACCCCGCTTTACGAGTTTATGCGACGAGTGTGGGCGCAGTCGCCGAACGGCCATGTCCCGTGGCGCGACTTCACCATCGTGCCCCTCTTTCGCATCAATTTCGCACGCCAGGTGCCCATCCCGCCGGCGACTAGCCCGGACGCTTTGAAGGCCTGGTTCCACAAGTTCCGCACCTACTCCCTGGCCTGGGAGCAGACCATGATACGCTGTCTGGGCTCCACACACCCCGGCGGCCTCAATTACTGCAAGGGCATGTGGAATTTCGGCTACGGAGCTGGCCACTCTGATGCTGCCCCATGGCCTCTATCCCCCCTGGCGTTCCAAATCGCCGCTGACCCCCACCCCGTAGCGATCCCCCACAACGACTTCCCCGTCCCGCCCGGCCCGAGTGGGCTCCCAGCGCTGGCGACCCTCTTCCAGCCAACGTTTGCCATCTCCTCCACGCATCAACGTACCATCCACCTCGACGCTGACAACTGCCTCACAACTACGGCACCAGCGTTGTCCCTGCCCCCCGCTATCGCAGGCATGTCTCCGCGCCTCGGTACACGCGAGTATATCTACCAGACTCGCCTCCTTCTTGACGTTGTTTTGTTCCGCCGCGCCGGCGACACAGAGCACGATCATTGGAGACGCGCGGTGAACCATTGCACGGCAGCGAACATCGGAAAATACCTCTTCTCCCTCCATCACTGCGTGTCGCACATGCATCCCGATGCGCTTAACCTGGGTCTCGACGAGCCCTTTTACACACAGCAGATGTTGGACAGTGCCCGCACCGTTTTGCAGGCCGCCATCAACCACCACTACCCTCCCGTCGCAGACATCGACCTCGGGAGCCGTACCCTCATGATCCACGACTTCCCTACCCCCCTGGCTAGCCTCGCCCCCCTCGAAACCCTCGTCAATAATGATGACTTTCTCAACCTCTTACCTGAGCGTATCCGCGAAGGTATGGATGGCTTGTTTCTGGTGGCCCCGCGCTATTCGGTCAGGTTTCCACCGCTGTCGCGCTCGGTGTGCACGCACAGCGGAGTTGCCAAGTTTGCACGCAGTCGCCTGTACGACATCATGGCGACGCAGTGCGACTGTGCGCAACACCAAGGACCGGACCTACGACGCCACTTCACGCTCGAGGACCCCTACTGGCAGATCGACGGCGAGCCTGTGCGGCACCTCTGCACGCTGGACCCTGCTGCGGCGGGCATCCAGAGCACCGCGTACCGCCGTTTGTTCGCCGTCGGCGGTGCCAAGCACCGACACGTCCCGGAGCTGCACCAAGCCACGAGCGCGACCGTAGCTAGCATCGTTGAAGCCTACCAGAAGCCGCTGCTCGGGTGGACGAAACGCGTCAGCAAGGCCGCCGACATGGACGCGGCAGCGTGCATGCCGTACATTGATGCTATACTTGCTGCTACGCAAACGGCACTCCAACCCGCTCTTCAACCCGGGTTCCGCCTTCCATGGCCCCCGCCGCTGGCGGACATTCAGCCCGACGATCGCGTGGCTCTGCGGCGAGACGCGACACGCCTCACCATCACGACCATGGACAAGAACGCCGGGAATTTGGTTTTCGTGTGTCGGCGCGCCTACATCGAGGTCCTCCTGCACGACCTGCACAGCAACGACGCTTTCGCTGTCAACGAGCCGGCAAATGCCAACATCACGCATGCCAGGCACGTGGTGAACGTCGCTAACACGACGGAGGCTATGTTGGACAACCTGCAGCTACCAGGAATACGCACCGAACGCGAGTGCGGTGGTCTACCGCACTACTACGGGACGATGAAGCTTCACAAGGCCAAGGTGGACGTGCGGTACATCTCGGACTGCTCGAGCGACATCACGCGCCCCGCAGCGCAGCTGCTGACGAAGGCCCTCGGCGCGCTCATGTGCCACGCCACCCTCGTGGAGGTCTGGAGCTCCATCTTCGACGGCGTCCCGGAGGACCTCTGCAGCAGCTTCGCGCCCTTCTTGGTGGACTCCAGCCGCGGCATGCGTGACATGGTGACCGCGTATCTACATGACAACCCACCACGCTCAGCGATACATGCTCAACAACCACCTCTGCTGCTGGGCGCCGACATCAAGCGGCTCTACACGCACATCCGGCACGAGACGAGCGCGGACCACGGGACCGGCCTCATCGACTGCGTCATCGAACACATCGACGCTGTTTTTGCACTGCATCCAGGGCAACACCTCCTGATCGACTTGCAACCCGCGTTTGACGCGAGGGAGACGTGGTGGTGGGTGGCGCAGCTGCCGGACGCGGACGGCATGGTTGGGAAATGGGCACCGAGCATCGAGCAACTTCATGGTCTCGTGCACATCCTCGTCAAACGCGCCTACGTGGTGTTCGGGGGCGTCGTATATCACCAGACCTGCGGTGTGCCCATGGGGCTCTCGGCCTCCCCCCACCTCGCGAACTGCTACATGTTCCGGCATGAGCTCGCGTTCCTCTGCCAGTTTCGCGACCGCTGGTTGAGCACTGGCGACGTCGCTTGGCTGAAGGTCTTGGGGTCTTTCCGTTATTCCAGGCGCTACATCGACGACAATTTCTCTCTCGCGAACGCACTGTACCGCTACTTCAACACCCACCCCCGCCCCCCCACCCCGCCCCCCGAAACCCCGTCGTCGATCGTAGATCTCATCTCTGGTATACATAACATGTACCCCCCCTGTCTTGAGGTCGAATTTGACGCCCCAGCGAACCCGCTCGACGGTGTCTCCTTCCTAGACCTCCGCGTGCGTCCGCATCCCGAATATCAGGGCTTCCTCCTGATCTCGCACTATGACAAACGCGGTCTGTTTCCTGAGAACATTCACCTCATACAGTACCCCCACGCTTCGTGTGCGCTGCTGCGACGACACCTTTACAACATCGTCCGCACCGAACACATCCGCGTGTCCAGCGAGGTGACTGACCGCGACAGCTACGTAGCCAAGATGTCGGCCATGATGCGCTACATGCGTACGCATCGAGGTTACTGCATGCGACAGGTCCTGGCGATCCACCGCGCCGCCTGCCGGACGCACCCGAGCCCGCATTTTGGCCCTGCCACGCCGGCGGGCCTGGCTGACCTCGTGCGTCGCCACGTGCAGTTTGCAGACCATACTGGCCAACCTGCTGACAGGGCGTGCCCGGCGCCCTGCAACTCGTCACCCTCATACATGATCCCGGCGCTGCGAAGCTGGCTCGGAACTATCCAGCCATGCCCGCACACATGACGCACTCTGTTACCCCCCCGATGTTGACATGTTGGCCATGCGCGTATTCCGTGGCCGCTAGACCGAGGTATGATCCCTTTTCGCATGACAGGCCACGCGCGGGGACGGCGATGACGAGGAGAGCTGAGTAGCCGTCGGCGCGTCGCCACACAACGCGGACAATGCCGCAGACTCAGTCACCGCTGTCACCCAGCCGGCTGCCGACACCCCCCGGTACAAGCAGCCTAGGACGTGGACCAGCACTTCGGCGCGTCGGCTGGCGGGCGTCGTCCAGTACTCGCGCGGCTCGCCGCGTTGTTGCTGACGACGCCCGCCACTCACTCTAACTGATTGCAGGTCAGAGCCTTCCCTTGGCACATGATGGCACGCTCACATGGCATTTCGCGCGAGTACTCCTAGCACGCTGCCGCCTTGATCAGGACGATAGCACACCCGCATTTCGTTTCGTGCGCGGGTGGTCAATTACTACCTATGGGCTTCCCGAAGTCCAGCGGGATCTCGTCCGTGATCTCGTCGCGCTCCGCCCGCCGGGACACCTCCGTCGCCTTCCCTGTGCCTTTCCTCTCCGCCTCTGCACCGCAGGAACGCGCACGAGGCCCCCGCGGCAGAGAATCAGAGGTGCTCCAGACGCTCGGCCACTGCTTCCCAGCTGAGCACGAACGATGGGTTACTAAGGAAATGCGACGTCTTAGTAACCCGTCGTTCGTTGAGCGCCCACCGGCGTGGCAGTGGCCCGTCCTACCGTCTGCGGGAGAGATGGCCCCAGCCCGGCCGCGCGACTGGGCGCACTGGGCGAGCCGACCGGTGTTCACGTGGCTGCCTCGTATCGCACCTGTCCAGCTCGACGCAGAGCTTCGCGCCATCGCCCTGCTGCCCATCGCCGGCACGGGCAGCGTGCCGCACCCGTTGCCCTGCCTCGCCAGCATTGTGCGGCCGCTGTCCCTCGCGCGGCTGCGCAGCTCATGCAGCAGCGTTGCGGTGGACGATCCGGAGAAGAAGCGCGCTCCCTCAAGCCCGCCACCAGCGCCGGCGCGCTGCAACAGAGCCAGCGCTGCTGAGCACCCTCGCCTGGCCGCCATGCTGGTGGACCGGTCGCAGCTGTGGGGCTCGGATGTCGTGAATCAGTCGAGTACGCCTGGGCGGCCGATGTTCCGGGTGCACAGCCGCCGAGAGAGACGCACAGCGGCGAGAGTCGCACTGCAGTGCTTTGCGGCAGTGCGCTCGCAAGGCGATAGGCTCCGAAGGCTGCTGCGATCCCCTGACTCGGCACCAACGTCTGCGCGGCGTTCCCGTCGGCGTGGGCGTATGTGCGCGGGGATGCGGGGCAAGGGTTGCTTGGTCGGGGGGTGGTGTCCCTCAGAGGCCTCGTGGCGCCTACTCCCGGTGGCAAATGCGCTGCATGTGAAGCTAGTATCCAGTTCTGTCGCGTGAGGCTCGAACGCGATGTCTGGCTCAGTCATGCGGTCGCGCGGCTTGCAGGGCAAGCCGCAAGGCAACGCGATCCGTTCGCCCCCCTCACAACCTCCCCGGTCGAAGCACGCATCCCGGCAGCACTTCCGTCATCAGTGCCGCGCATCCGCGGACTCGGATGCCAGGCACGCCCCCACGAGGCACCCCTCAACCACACTGGCAATGCACCCCTAGTTGGCGCTCCACGGAAGCCTGGCTCACTGCAGACGCACAACGACCGCACACCACCACGCAGTCGTAGTGAGGCTTCCAGCCCACGAAGCCTCATGGCCGACGACGCGACACAGGTCCCCCCTGGCCTCGCTTCAGGGTCACAACTCCTGTCACGTCGTTCTCGGCCGCAGGGTGCCCATGCCGCCCGGCGACGAGTCCGTGCGCTACACGGACAGCGCCACTGACCTGGCCTTCATCGGAATGTGCCGCAAGGCGTACGGCAACCTCGCCGGCTGGCAATCGCCGCGCTCGTTCGACGACGGGGAGGAGTCCTTCCGCGGCATGGTCGAGGTCTCGCGCGCCCTCATGCGCGGCAAGTCGGCGCAGGAACAGCGCGACGCGGTCATCAAAGGCTTCCCGGAAGTGCCCGCCTGGTGAGTGCCGCGGCGCTCTCTTGTGCGTGCACGCTTCCCCCCAGCGCTAGCGGACGCAGCCGTGCCCTTTCTGGAGGCGGGCGGAGCTCCGCGGCGGAGCTCCTCGTACTATGCTGTGTCGCTGACGTCGGCGCGCGTGCTACCGGGACACCTCCGTCTGATGCATTTTCATGGTCTGCCTGCGCCGCGTGCGCAGGTTCCGCCAGGTGTTTCCGTACTCCAAGTGGGGCGCGGAGCTGAACGCGCGCATCACGCCGGCCTTCTTCGAGTGGCTGGTGGGCGAGATGGAGACGGTGGAGGTCACCCTCCCCGACGGCACTGTGCAGAGGTCGGGCGTGGAAATCAAACGCTGCCGGTACCTGGCCGAGAGCGGCTGCGTGGGCATGTGCGTCAACCTGTGCAAGGCGCCCACGCAGACCTTCTTCACGGAGCAGCTGGGGATGCCGCTGACGATGGAGCCTGACTTCGAGACGCTGGGGTGCAAAATGACATTTGGAAAGGTGCCGCCGACGGTCGACGAGGACGAGGGGCTCCGGGACATGCCGTGCTACGCCGACTGCCCCGCATCGCGCGCGGACGTCGTGCCCTGCCACAAACTCTCCGAGTCCCGGGAATGACGGAGGGGATGTTAACATACATGGAGTTGCCTCTTCCAGACATGAGAGCGCCCGATGTGCGCGAAATCGCGGCGGAACCTGCCTCAAGCATCGGCCGCTCGCGATGCCAGAGTCATATCTGTCCTGCCTGAAGCCCGAGACGATGCAGCCTGACGTGCGACTTGTGGTTCTGTACACCCCACCTGTGCACCGAGCACCAGGCGCACAGGCGGGGCGCACAGGAGCGGAACTCCCACGTCAGGTGGCATTCCCGCGGGCTCCAAGGCAGGACCACTGACGATCTGGCGTCTCTCGCTCACACGGACGCTTTGTGATTCCGGCCTCACACGGACGCATTGCCGCTGAAAGACCACGTAGGCCTGCGCTCCGCGTCTCCTCGTCACCCCTGCGCTCCCGCGAGGAACGCCCCCAGCCCCTGCACCTCCGACAGCAGCCCCTGCGTCCTGCCCCAGGCCTCCCCGAGCGCTCGCCGCACCGCCTCGCACCGCCCGCGCAGCTCCTCGTGGCTCGCAATCACCTCCCCGATCGCGTCGAGCGTCACCTTCAAGCACGCGTTCGCCAGCTCGAAGTTGCGACCCGCCGCCACCTCGCTGCCCAGAAACTCAAGCAACATCGCGATCAGCGCCACCTCGCCCTCCTCGGGCTCCGCGGGGTTGAGGGGCTCGAGCGCGCGGAGCTCGGCGTCCAGCTGCGACGGGCCCATCTCGCGGGCGCGGGCCGCGAGCGCCGCCCAGGACCCGCTCCGCTGCCCCTCGCGCAGCAGCCGCGGGAGCACCTCGCCGCCCCCGCGCGCGAGCTTGGCCGCGCCTTGCTCGTCCTCGGCGTCGGCGTCGTCCGGCGTGACGTCCAGGGCCACCTGGTACGAGCCCTCGAGAGTCTTTTGCGTCGGGAGGAAAAAGGGAGCCTGTGCGGGCTTCTTCGGCGGCTCCTTGGGCTTGTTTCGCCGCTTGATCTCCTCGAGGTTCGCGAGGCCGTGCCACCGGCTCTGCGGCAGCCCGCCGAGCGTCACCAGACGCGGCGCCAGCGCGCGCGGGGCCCCTGACTCATCCACCTCTCTGTCAGGCCGCGGCAACTCCCCCTCCTGGCCGCCGGGCCCCTCCTCGTCGCTGCTCCCCGCGCCCTCGTCCTCCTCCTCCTCGTCCTCGTCCTCGCGCGCGGCGTCGCTGCGCAGGTCCACGGGCGTCGTCGACGGCTTGATTGCGGCGGGGTTGCCGAAGAGCATCTGATTCGACCACAGGTGCAGCGCCCGGGACCCCACGTGCGTGGTCGCGAGGAGGTCGAGCGAGGCGGAGAACGACATCGACGTCGCGGGGCTGTCCATGCGCAGGACTTGCAGGCACGTGGCGCTCGGTACGTCCCACGCGCGCACAGTCCCGTCCATGGAGCCCGACAGCAGCCAGCGCGCGTCCGAGGTGATCTCGAGGCACGTGATACGGTCCTCGTGGCCTGCGGGAGCGCGCGTGCGGGAGCGGGCTCGGGGTCCGCGGCGAAAGGCGGTGCACAGGGTGGGGTTGGGGAAGCCAGGGCGTGGGCGTCACGGAGCGGCTGCGCGCACCTTTGAACGTCCGCACGATCTTTCCGGCCGCGAAGTCGGCGACGCGGAGCGCGAGGTCCGCCCCCGCGAGCGCGACCAGCGAGCTGGGCCGGTGGTGCTTCATGTGCACGACGGGCGACCCGCACGCAACCTCGCGCAGCAGCGCCCGCCGCTTGAACGCCCACACGCGCAGCACGCCGTCGCGCCCGGCCGACACCGCGTGCCGGTTGTACGGATCGCTCGAGCACCCCACCACCGCCGCCGCGTGCGCGTTGCGCGCGTTCGTCGTCTCCGCGCCCTCCACCATCCTCCGCTCCGCACCGCCACCAAACCGCCCGCCCCGCGCACCTGCGGCGCCCCTCTTTCCAACACTCCCCCCCTCCGGCAGCTGATACACCCCCCTGTGGATCCCGGACTGCATGTTGTACACGTCCAGCCGTCCCGCCGCACTGCCGACGAGCGCGTAGTTCCCGCAGCACGACAGGGCCACCGCCGTCGCCGGCGCGTTCGGCGTCGGGTCCTCCGGCGTCCGCGGCGGGAACAGCGCCCACTCGCCGATCCGCGCCTCCGCCAAGCGCCACGTGTACGCCTTCGGGTCGCCCTCGTGCGCGGTCACGACGCTCGCCCAGTCGCGCTCCCGCACGTGGCACGAGTCCATCGCAACGACGCGCGTCAGCTTCAGGTCCTCCGCGGCCACCTTGAGCCGTTTCGCGCGCGACTCGACCTTGCCCTGGGACAGCTCCCGAGACTGGTGGTCCTGGACGGTGCTGGACACGCGCAGGGAGCGGTCGTCGCCGCCGGAGAGGACGCGCAGGCCCGCCATGCCGGGGCCCGTGCAGTACGCGACGCGGGACGGCGGCGCCGCGTGGCCAGCGATGCCGCGGAGGCGGCGGGCGCTGCCGTCGTCGTTGTCGAGGACCCACTGGTGGATGGCGTTGTCTGCGCCGGCCGACATGACGACGGGCTCGCCGGTGAAGAAGTGCAGCGCGGTGACGGGGGCGCGGTGGGCGCCGCGGAGGATGTGGCGCACTTTGCGCGAGTCCAGGTCCCAGAAGCACACCGCGCCCGCCTCGCCGCCGGCGGCGAGCACGTTGGCGTTCGCGCCCGTGCGGAACGACAGCGCGGTCACGGCGCCGCCCGTGGAAGGGCCTGCGAACATGCAGCGCACCGCAGTGCCACGGGGGGTGAGACGAGCAGAGGGAAACGGAACGAAGCCCTCGAAGCGCACACCAGCGCCTCGTGGAACAGTTGAGGCTCTGTGAGGGGTGTCGTCCGAGGGGCTGCGTCGGGCTGCGGCACGGCGGGTGAAGGCCACGAGCGGGCGCCGACCCCGTTCAACGCTCGGCTTACTAGGGGCCCGGCGCGGCCACTCGCGACCCCGCCCGCGAAGCCGCAGCCCGCGCCCTCTGCTTGCGCGGAGGGCCGTCGCAGCCCCATCGGCCGCGTCACTTTTGCTGCAAGAGTAATTGACTGCCGCAGTGGCTACATCTGTGCGGCAGTCGACCGTCTGTGCAGCGAGCGGAGCTCAAACAGGGCAGCGTGGCGCCCCTCGCGCCGAGCGCGCACCTGACCGCGCCCTCTCGCCCGAAGGGCCCATGACGGCAAGCCCACTGCCGTCCGAGGCCGCCCCCGCGGCGCCGCGGAACACCATGATCTCCTCGTCGTACTTGATGTTGTGCAGCACCGCGCGGCCGTCGGACAGGCCGACGCCGACCAGGTCGAGCGCCGGGGAGGCCGCGAGGCAGCGCACGCAGGAGCCCCAGCCCGCGAACTCGTAGATCATGCGCCCGGACGCGAAGTTCCACAGCTGCATCCGCCCGTCCTGGGCCCCGACGAGGACCTGCGGGCACGCGACGCGGGGCGCGCGGGCGTGCCGTGCCGTGCGCGCGCGCGTGGGGGGGCGCGGGTGAAATCGATCGATTGGGGCGCGCCGCAGCGCGCCGTGCCGACGCCTGGCTCGCTCGGCGCCTCCTCGCTTGCGTGCCGTCGGACAGGGGCGCGGGCCGCGGCGGTGGTTCGCGGCGTGGTGGGGTTCCGTGGCGCGGTGGGGCAGGTGGGTGCTGGGGAGCAAGAGCGGCGCCGCAGCCGTCGCACCTTGTTGAGGTACGTGTCAGGGTGCACCATGCACGTCGGCACGAAGCCCTCGGGCATCCTGAGCGTCGTTTCCGGCGCGTCCCACTCCGCGTCCGCCCAGACGGCCAGCTCCCCGTCGGCCGCGAGGGACAGGAGCTGGTCGCCGAGCGTCATGAGCTGCACGACGCGGCCCGCGTGGTGCCGGAGCACGGCGACGGCGGTGTTCCTGCGCGCCACGTGAATGTCCCCCCCCGCCGCCGCGAAGGTCAGGTCCCCGCGGCAAGCGAGCGCGTCGATGGGCGCAGGCAGCCGCGGGCCGGCCATGGCCAGACGCATCTTGGAGCAGCCGTATATCTGCCACGCGCGCCCCGTCGAGACCGTCACGAACGTCTCCTTCCCGCGGCGCTGCACCGCGAACGGCGTCTCGTCGCACACCGTCCCTAGGTCGCGGAAACTGCGCAGCAGAGGGTCCGAGGCCGGCCCCTGCGGCATCGCGGCAGGGCTGCTCTGCTGCGCCGCGGCAACGGACTCTCGTCTATCTGCGCCAGCGAGACATATAGGGCTTGGAGTGTCAGGCTGCCCGCCGATGCCTCCGGCCGGGCCCTGGTGTGGGAGCTCTGCTGCTGGCTCTCGCGCCGAGGTGGGGCGGCAGGTCGGGAGGTGCGCACTCCGCACCGCTTCGTGCGCAACCACCGGGTCGCGCAGGCGCAACGACGCGCCCGCTCGCTGCGCCACCGTGGCGGCGCTCACGACACCCCCGCGTCGTGTTGCACGTCAGACGCGCCGGCAGCGCGTGCCTGCGCGCGGCGAGACGCCGCCCCGTTCTCCTCGCGCGTCCGCAGCGCCCAGTACCACGCGGTCGACCCGTGGAGGCGCGAGACAGCAACGACGGGCGCATGACGGGGATGACCTGACCGCTGGTGGCGGGGGAGTCACAGCGAGTCGGCCCACGAGACGAGACGCGCGTCCGGAGCGTCGGCCGCGGCGCGCTAGTGGGGCAGGCTGTTGGAGGCGAGGGCGAGGGTGAGGATGGAGGCCGAGTTTGGGGGGGGTGGGGGAGGGGTTCAAAGCCGGGAGGGGTTCAAAAGGGCGTAGCGCTGCCGCGATGTCGTGGCGCGGCTTCTGTGCCGCGCTGTGCGCCTTCGCGGACGCATGAGATGGGCGGGCGCCGGTCGTGGGGGCAAAGAGTGGGTTCAAATAGTGCCATGATGAGCGTTGGCACACGCAGTTGGAGTCAGGGTGGAGTGGAGTTCAGACCAGGGGTGTCTGAAAACGTGACGTTCGTTGGAGAGCTGTCGGGGGCCTGGTACTGTCAATACTGCGCAAGTACATTGACCTGCGTGTCGACAAAGATTCTCAAAGTTTTCACGCACAAGTGCGCAAAGACGTTCCGGTCTGCATGTTGTGTTGCCTCAGGGCGGGTGGGAAACAGTGGGTGGGAGACAAAGGGGCTTCCATTTAGCTCCGCGTCCAGCGACTCTGCTGGGTCTGTCGGGCTGTTGTGTGGCGAGGTCCCGGGAGCCTGGGATCAGAAGCAGATGTTCCTCATCTTGCGGCCGTGGTCGAGCATCCTGTCGGCCCAGTACGCGCCCCCGTAGGTGAACTCGTCCTTGCGCGCCACGTGGGAGTCCATGGCAGGGCCCTGGGCGTCGGCCTCGGTGTCACGCAGCGCTCGCCTGGCGGCGTTCCAGGAGCCTCCCTCGGCCGTCTCGGCCAGGCTCGCTGCGGGGCGTCGCGGCCGGCGCGGGCACTTGAGGCGCTGCGCTGAGCAGCAGCTGACGATGCGCGTACACGCAGGCGTACACACATGTTCGCAACGAACACACGCGGCGCGTCGTCGTTGTCCTCGGGGCGTACCGGCGAACTGCTTGCGCGTATGCACGACGTTGAGCAGCATCTGCTCGCGCCCGGTCATGCGCTGCGAGTCCCTGCCGTGACCCGACATGCCCGGCACCACAAAGGCATCAAGGTCCTCCACCTGCGTAGACGGGGGGAGTCTCTTGCGCCGTGTCAGGAGGCGGACGCACGTGAGCCGGCGGGCGCGAGCGGAGGAGAGTTCGCGCGCAGATGCGGCCATGCAAGCCCGTGGCGCGTGCCTGAGGGTTGGTCGCCGTACTGCGGACGTCTGCCTCCGAGTGCATCGAGGACTCTGCGGCCGGACGGCACGGCGTGAGAGCGGGTGAGATGGTCGCTGCCTGTCCGTGCACCGTCTGGGCAGCGCGGTGCGGCGGCGCGTGCCGAGCCGGCCTGTGCAGCTTGTGCGCGGGTCCCGTCGTCAGCATGCGCGCGCGCGGGCTCGCGGGAGCTCGGGCGCGCCGGAGGGACACCGCGGCGCCCTGCGTGTCCGGCAGCTGCAGCAGAAGTGCGCGCGAGACTTTGCGGGCTGTGCCGCGGGCGCTGCACGTACCTCTAGCGGGCACTTGCGCCTTGCCCGCGTTGCGGCGCTTCAAGGAGTTCTGGCCGGAAGTGTGTGAGACCTGCCGTGTTTGTACCTGTACGGAATGCTTCGCGTTGGGAAAGCGAGGTGAGAGGCGCTGCTGACGGCGGCGCCGCGCCTGTATGTGAGGCAGCAAAAGGGAGCACGGATGCAAGGTATTCGGGGCAAAGATGGCTGTTTTGTGACCGAAACGGTTTTTACATATGTGAAAAGGGACGACAATGCGTAGAAAGTGGCAAGCTAGGCCCCAAGCGCGTCGCTTGCCGTGGGTGCCCCCTGGCTTCGGTGCCGCGCTGCGGCGCCGATGGCGCGATGGGCCGCAGCTCGCTAAGCGGATTCGCAAAGTAGACTACTGAAATATGCCATTGACGTTCAAACGAAAACGCGCCAGCGGCCGGCCATCCACCGGCGGGCTAGGTCGACGAGTGCTTGCCTGCTGCGCCACCGCCGCGTGGTAGCGCCTGTTCGGAACGAAAGGCTCGGCGTACTTCGTCTGCAGATGTGCGGTCTTCGACTTGGAGCGCCCTGCGACCCACAGGTCTGCCTCCGAGTCCTCCGCGACTCGGTTGCTCGGCCGAGAGGCTGTGCAGCCCATTGCTATCGATGTGTGTCCTGCCGACCCCGAAAGTATTCAAGGAGAAACACGCGCTGGAGGAGAGAGAGGCCGTCGTCAGTGCGAGCGGCGCGCCGGTGGCGCTGGCCATGAACGCCCCACAACCGCCACAACTGGCTGACACACACAGTTGACACACAGTTGGCAGTGCCCGATGCGCAGCCACACGTTCAAGTGTGGTCTGGAAGGGCAGCCCGTCGTTCGCGTCACGCGGCGTCTGCAGGGCCGCGACGGCTCGCCCTCCTCGCTGCCTGGCCCTCGCGCACGAAGGCGACGTGGCGGAGGAGCGCGTCGCGACGATTCCGGCGCCCCGGGGCCGCGGAGATCGAACATTGTGTGTCATAAGACTAAGTGACCTCCGCGGTCTGCGTGCCGGCGAACCAAGCCACGCTCGGTCCGCGAAGGACGGTGCGGGCGACGCCGCGTCGCCCCTGGACACGCGGCTGTCGGGAACGGCGGGCAGAGTCCGGCCGCTGGCGCGGCCCGGTCGGGGTGCGTGCGAGCGACGGAGGCAGGTGCGGACGGCCGGTCCGGGCCGTGCAGCCCACAGACGTGCGCCCCGCGTGCGTCACGCGCATCATGCTCACAGCGCGGCAGCGGCGTCCGCGCATCCCGCCGTGCTCGCCAGCTCTGCGGCGGTGGGAGGCCGACCGCAGCCCCCCGGCCCTCACGGCACGCCAGCGATGCGCGCCGACCTGCACAGCGCCGCACAAGAATGGGCCGTCTTATGCCTCAGGCCGCCGCAGCCAGCACACCGCGCAAGCACGATCCAGTGATCCGGGATCGCCAGCAACTTGAAGTGCGGGGCCGCGCACCGGTCCCACAGCTCCTTCGCGAGGCGCTCGTCGTACGTGATCTTCGCGGATCGCACGGCCTTGGTCGTCCCCGCCACCCGGCCGCCCGTCGCCGCCCTCAGCGGCCAGTCCACGAGACTCATGTTGAGGATCGACCACGCCTGCACACCCCCCATCACCGCCCCCAGGATGCCCCGGCTGCCGGCGCCAGGCACGCTCGTCGTCGCGGGCCACGCGAACGTCCCACGCGCGTAGTACCGCAGGTCGTTCTCGGGGCCCGCGACGGCGTGGCGTCCGGTGGGGGCGTCGGCGTCCCAGTCGCACGTGGCGGCGTGGATGACCGCCTGGGCGCCGTCCGCGGGCGGCGCGTAGCACGCGTTGATGACCGCCTTGATCGGGCCCTTCGAGAGGGACTCCCGCGTCGACCAGATGTTGGTCCGAACTCCCCCGGGGTCCACCGCGCAGGACTGCACGCCCCGCGGGCCGAGCCGACGCTGGAGCTCGTACGCGAACAGGACGTTGGCGAGCTGCGCGAAGGCGAAAGGGGGGTGGGTCGTGCGAGCTGAGCCGCGCCCGCGTGGCCCTCATGAGAACACGGGAGACTCGTGAGGAATAGTGTTTGCCGAGTTGGACGGTGCCGTGGCGCCGCACCTTCGTGTGGGCGTACTGGCCGTACTTGAACTTCATCAGGAAGTCCTCCGCGCTCTTGATGAACGCGAACCGGTGCGTCACGGACGCCACGTTCACCACGCGGCAGGGCGCGCTGGCCAGCAGCGTGGGCTCCAGCAGCCGCGTCAGCGTGTACGGGCCGAGGTAGTTGATCTGCGCGAGGCCCCCGACGCCGTCCGGCGTGTACCACTCCTCGCCCTTCTCGGCATTCGTCCCCGCGTTGTTCACCTTCAGGTGCACGCACGCGCACACGCGCCAGCTCATCAGCACACACGGGAAGACACGTGGGCCGTGGTGCCGCGCGGGCGCACACGCACGCGCTCCTCGTCCTCGTCGCGTGGGTCCGCACCAGGATGTCTATCTTCTTGTGGGCCTTGGCGAGGTCCTTTGCAAAGGCGCGCACGCAGGCCTGGTCGCCCACGTCCAGCTTCGGACCGACCTGCGGCGCGGCGGCGAGGGGGCTTTCCGTGCACCTGGCTGCGCGGGCGGGAGGGCGCGGCGCGCGCGACGCGCCGTGCACGTGCGTGTGCGTCGTACCTCGATCTTGACGTCAGTGCGGGCGCCTCGGATCTCGTCGCACACCCTGCTCGCCGCCTCCGGGCGTCGGCAGGCGAGGATGACGTGGGCGCCTGCGGCGACGCGGACCGCACGGGCGCTCGGGCACGCGGACACATGGTGCGGCGCTGCTGCCGGTTCCCACGCCGACAGCGTGCACGAGGGCGCGCGGCGTCGACCAGCGAGACATGGGCTGCGTCGGGTCCGTCTCCGTCTGGCATCCCGCGAAGACACGAGCCCGTTCGCTCGATCGCGGGCCGTTGGCGCTCGGGTGCACGGCGCAGCGGGGGAATGCGGGCCTCACCGCGGTGCGCCAGGGCCTTCGCGGTCTCGAGACCGATGCCCGAGGTCGCGCCCGTGACGACAGCGACCTTGCCCGCGAGGTCGCGGGGCGGCTCCGTCGACGTGGACTGCCCCATGACCGCAAACGGCCTGGCTGCGTTGATCCGAGGCCAGGTGCTTGCCACGCCCGATGCGTCCCGGTTTCGCCACGCCGCAGCATGTACATGTCGTGCGCCGTCGAGGAGGCGCAACGACGGCGCCCGCCGGCGCGCGAGCGCCCGCAATACCCCTCCCTGACACCAGCTGGGGGGAGGGTCCCGCGCCGGCCTCACGGGGCCCGCGCGCGCGCCCGCGGCCGCACAGAAGTCCCTGCACGTCGCGGCTGTCCGAGACGCCGGTAGATCAGCGCGTTCGTGCGCGTGGAGACGCGGCTGGGCGTGCTTTGCATGGCCCGTGTGTTGACGGCAGACCCTCCCGGGCGTCTGGGCCGGATGCACCGCCGAGCGTCCTGCGCGTGATCCGTAGGGAGTGGCTGGGGACCTGTTCGCCATGTGGGAGCCTGAGCAGAGCGGGCTGGCGAACATCGCCGGCCTGTTGTCCCAGGGCCTGCAGCCGGGGGCGAATCAGGCGGAGGTACGTGACGGAAGCCCCCCGCAACGAATGCACGCATCCCGCACGTATCGCCGCGCGCGCAGCCGCGCCGGCTGCGACGCGCACGGGCGTTCGGGGACCGCGCCACACGCCCCGCTGGTGCCCGGCGGCCCCGCGCGCAGATTCTGAAGCAGCTGGACGAGTGGGGCAGGTTCCCGGACTTCTGCAAGTACCTCGCGTACATCTTCTCCAGCGACCAGGCCCCGGACGACATCAGGCAGAGCGCAGGCCTCCTCCTGAAGAACAACGTCCTGCGGCAGTACCGGTGCGGGCCCGCGGGCGCCGCCCTCCGCCCGCTCAGGCACGCCGCCGGGCTCTCCGGCTCACGCGGCTCCCTGCGCGTGCCTCCACGATCGCATATACACCCCGCCCGCCTCGCGACGCCCCCCTTCCTCTCCCTGCCTGCACACGGTGGAGCGCCCGACGCCCCGCCGGCCCCGCAGGAACCTCGACGCCGGGGCGCAGGCCTACATCCAGCAGTCGGTCCTGCCGGCCCTCGGGAGCGACTCCAAGCCGCTGCGCTCCACCGCGGGCACCATCGTCGCCGCCGTCGTCGGCGCGGGCACGTGGTCCGCGTGGCCCTCCCTCGCGGCCGACATCGCGCAGGCGCTGCGCGCGGGGCAGCCCGCGGCGCTCCTGGGCGCCCTCGACGTCGTGTACAAGGTCGCGGAGGAGTTCCCCCAGGAGCTGTCGGCGCGGGTGTCGATGAACGGCGACGTCGCCACGCCGTCGCAGGCGCTCCTGCCGGGCATGCTCGCGCTCGCGACGCACGCGGAGCTCCCCGTCCGGCGCCGCGCGCTCGAGGCCCTCAACCTGACGTCGGTGATCAGTCCCCCCGGGATGGAGGCTACGGCGGGGGCCTACCTGCAGGCGCTGTTCGCGCTCGCGCAGGAGCCCGACGGGGCGGGCGTGCACAAGGAGGTGTGCGACGGCATGGTGCAGATGGTCACCGCGCACCCGGACGCCGTCGCGCCGCACCTCCCGGGCATCATTGCCTACCTGCTGGCCATGATGGAGCGCCGCGACCAGGACGCCGACGCCGCGCTGGCCGCCTGCGAGTTCTGGTCCGCGTTCTGCGAGGTACGCCCCGCCCCGCGGCGCGAGGTCGCCGCGCGCGAGGTCTCAGGTCGCTGCGGCGCCCGACGCAGCGCTTGCGCCTTCTTCCGCGTTGCAGGCGCATCTGGACCCGTCCCCGCTGCACCCGCACCTCCCGCGGCTCGTTCCGCTCCTCCTCGACAACCTCACGTACCAGGACGACGACGACGACGTCATCGTCGCCGAGGCGCTCGAGGAGTCGGCCGCCGACCGCGACGCGGAGCTCAAGCCGTTCGTCCCGCGGTCCGCCGCGCACGGCGACGGCGGCGGCGGCGAGGGCGGCGACGACGACGGCGACGGCGACACGTGGGCGCAGTGGTCGCTGCGGAAGTCCTCGGGGATGGCGCTGGACTTCCTGAGCAACACGTTCTGCGACGACCTGGTGCCGATCATGATGCCGACGGTCCAGGCGCGCCTGGCGTCGCCGGACTGGCACCTGCGCGAGTCCGCGCTGCTCGCGCTCGGCGCCGTCAGCCACGGGTGCTACGTGGCGCTGCAGCCGCACCTGGCGACGCTCCTGGCGACGCTGCGCGCGCACGTGGCCAGCGGCGGCGGCGGCGGCGCCGCGCGGCACCCGCTCGAGCGCGCGATCGCGTGCTGGTCGACGTCGCGCTTCGTGCCGGCCTGCCTCGAGCGCGCGATGGAGAACGAGGACGGCGCGCTGGCGGCGGCGGAGGCGTCCGTGCGGGCGCTGATCGGGGCGCTCGGGGACGCGAACCGCCGCGTGCAGGAGGCCGCGTGCGGCGCCCTCGCGGGGGTGTGCGAGGACTCCCCCGCGCCGCTCGTCGCCGCGCTGGCGCCCGCGATCCTCGACGGCGTCGCGGCGGCGGCGCGCGCGTACGGCCGCCGCGCGACGCGGCACCTGTACGACGCGATCATGGCGCTCGCGGACGCGCTCGCGCCGTCCGAGGGGGGCGCGCGCGCGTCCCCGGGCGTCCTCGCCCAGGAGGACAACCAGCGCAAGCTCATGCCCGCGCTCATGCACAAGTGGCGCACGCTGGGGGACGGCGACGAGGAGCTCCTGCCGCTGCTCGAGGTCATGGGGAGCGTGGCGACGGCGATGGGCGCGGCGTTCGAGCCGTTCGCGCCGGACGTCGCGCTGCGGTGCGTGCGGCTGGTGGAGGCGCACGGCGGCGGGCAGGAACGCCCCGAGGCCGCCGCCGCCGGGGGGGCGCGCGCCGTGGACCCGTCGCTGTTCGTGGTGTGCGCGCTCGACCTGCTGTCGTGCACGTGCGAGGCGCTGGGGCCGCGCACGGCGGCGCTGCTGGACGCGCCGGAGCACCCGCTGCCGCTGGTGGACGTGGCGATGCGGTGCGCGGGCAGCCCGCTCGCGGACGTCCGGCAGTCGGCGTTCGCGGTCGTCGGGGACCTCGCGCGCGGGTGCGGGCCGCGCGTGGCGCCGCGGGGCGGCGAGGTGGTGGCGCTTGCGGTGGCCTGTCTGGCGCCCGGGGCGGTGCGGACCGACACGCTGCAGGCGTGCAACAACGCGGCGTGGGCGGCGGGGGAGACGGTGCTGGCGATGGACGCCGCGGGGGTGGCGCGCGTCGCCGTGGAGCTCGCCGAGGCCCTGGCGCGCGTGCTGGCGGCGGGGCCCGCGCGCATGGCGCGCAGCCTGCTCGAGAACTCGGCCGTCGCGCTGGGGCGCGTGGCGTGGCGGGCGCCGGAGGCGCTGGCGCCGCATGCGGCGCAGCTGGCGGAGCCGTGGTTCCTCGTGCTGCAGGGCATCAAGGACGGGCGGGAGAAGGAGGGGGCGTTCTGGGGGGTGTGCGGCGTGGTGGCGCGGAACGCGGCGGGCGCGGCGGCGACGGACCGCGCGGCGGCGCTGCTGCTGATGGCGTGCGCCTCGTGGCGGTCGATGCGCGAGGCGGAGCTGCACGCGGAGCTGCGCGGGGCGCTGGCGGCGGTGCGGGCGCACCTGGAGGGCGCGGGGCGGTGGGGCGCGGTGTGGGGCGGGCTCAAGCAGGCGGCGCGGGACAAGCTGGGCGCGCAGTACGGGCTGCGGTAGCCAAAGTGTTGTTACACTCGGGCATGCTTCGCGAGCTTGCGGTCCTCGACGCCTTGACGATTGCGCAGGCCTCCGGTCGCAGCTCCGCTGCCGGCCTCGTCCGCCGCCTTCCTCTTCCCAACGAAGCGCTCGGCCTTCACCTCCCGCGCCGGCGCCCGGGCCTGCATGGGGTTCGCGCCGCTGCCGTCGTCCTGACCGATCGGGCTCGCGAGCTCTGTGCCCGGGGCGCCGCCGTCGTCATTTCCCCCGGTGAGGTCGATCACCACAGGGCCGTCGTCGCCGCAGCCGTCTCCATCGCCTCCGCCGCTGGACGCACCGCCAGCAGCTGCGTCATGCTTGCGCTTGCTCACGCAGGTGCGCTTCTCAGGCGAGTCGGACTCTGCAGCAGACGGCTCGGCGGGTGCAGAGCCGGCGTCCGACTCGACAGGTTCCGCCTCGAGCACCAACGGAAAGGGGTAGCCGTCGTCGAACGTCAGTGGGAAGAGGGCCGTCTTCCCCCTCGGGCTGATGCCGGCGGAGCTCGTGCGCGCCTGCATCGCGCGGGTCCGTCAACGGTGGCTGAAAATCCGCACCTGCGTCGGCGGTGGGGGGGCGGGGGCCGTCGGTCGGTCGTCGGCACGCGCGATCGATGTCCCTCGGCCGGCTGCACGCTCGGGCGCCGTCGCAGAGCGCGCCTCTCTCGCTGTGGGTGCTCAGCAGCTGGCCTGTGATGCATGGCTGGTCGGCGAGAGCCCCGTCATCACGCCGTAAAATGCGGTTCTAGCGCGATATGTCGTCGTGCATATTCCTACAAACACCGTCGAGGGTCGAGCAGAGCGTCCGTAGCCACTCGTCTGCGCGGAATACGAACCGCTCGAAGTTGCAGCAACGAACGGTCGCGGATGCTTACCTCGGCGCCACGGAAGGTTGTTCGAGGCGATCGTGGTCTGAAACGCCAAGATACAATCAAGTCCCGCCGAGATTGCGGTGAAGTGCACTTCGAGTCTGTTCAGAGAAGGAGGAATCGCGGATTCGAGGCAGTCGAGGTGTGGTCCGTGTGCCACCGCTTCCAGACGCAAGAACGGGCTGCGCCGCGCTTGCGAGTGGGTGAGCAGACGTGTGGAGACTGACGTGGCGGCGCGCCCTCGCCGCCCTGCGAGCCGCACGACCGCTGGTGTGCCCCTGAGTCAGCCAGACAACGGGGGCCTGACGTCAGCGCCACATGTTGCACTGCTTCACGTTCCAGAGGCTCGCTGCCGAGACCTCTCACATCTTGTGCAGCAAGAGGTCCTGTTCGCGATTGTGCCGGGCGCGGACGCGCCGGGGGCCGAGAAGCAGAGGTTGCACGTCGCCGTTGCGGGGCGTGCGCGGGCGTTTCCTGCGCTCGGGCAAGTGATGATTAGTGCATGACGTGCTGTCGGTCAGGGCGGGGCTCTCGGCCAACCGCGGCGGACGCCCTGGTGGGACTGGCCAGCCCCGTCGCGGGGGCCGCCCGGTGCGACCCTGTGGCATCTCCGAGCAGTTGGGTCCTCAGTCCGGGGCAACCAGCGGCGCCTTCCTTCCCTGAGGACGGCGCACGGACACGGCTTTCCTGGCCAGCGCCACTGCCTGCTGCTTGCGGCGTTTCGGCCCCGGCACCGTCGGAGTTGTGGACGGCGACGCGTCTCGCTTTCACGAGGGCTGGAGCGTGCTCATGCCGACAGTCCCTGCGTGCGCACTTCCCCGGGTGCGTCTTCCGGGGTCAGCGTCGAGCAGTCGCCGACGTTGGGACAGCCCTGCCAGTGGCAGGGCGCAATAGTATGACGCTGCGGAGTCAGGTCACTGTTGTCAGGCCCTGGTGGCCGAGCTGCGGGCTCATGTTGGGCGCGGGGGCGCCCCAACTGTAACTCTGCTGACGTACGACACGGACGCTGTGTCAACATCGGAGAGCAGTGGGTCACACACACTGTTCTCACGTTTGGGAGCAGTAGCACTCGCCCAAACCTCGACTGCCTCATCCGCGAATTCTCCTTCTCTGGACGGGCACGAAGTGCGCTGCAACGCCAGTTCTGAAGACCTGGGTTGAAGCTTGACGCCTCAAGCCACGACAGCCTATCGAGGATCTTCCTCGGACCAAGGTGCGCTTCCGACTGTTCGCAGCTACGACTTCAATCGGTTCGTATTCCGCGCAGATGAGTCGCTATGGATGCTTCTCTTGACTCTTGACGGTATTTCCGAGAATATTCACGACGATTTGGCGAACCAAACCTGCATTTGATGGCTTTATTACGGAGCTTTCGCCAGCTGGCTAGCTGCTGAGCACATCCCTCGCGTTGCGTTGTCTGGATGTTTTGTTGCGAACTGACTTGTCGAGGCATTGGTCAGACGTTCAAGAGGCTGACGGACTGATCACCCGGCTCCTCTAGAACCGAGTCCTTGCTGAGACGCGGGAATTCCAGAGCCCGCTGAGGGGCATAGCCTCAGAGCGATCAGGGTACGCCCAGAAGGTCGTTGTTTCGAGATCAGGGTACGCCCATCAGATCTAGTGAGGTTCGCGAGTTGAGCATATGGCTCCTCGGAGCACTGGACAGGCCCGAGTCGAGGTCGCAGTGATGGTGCTGGACAGGCCCTAGTAGCGGTCGCAGTGATGCTGAACACTCGACGAAAGTTGTCTTAATCTTGCGATACGATCAGATTGATTGCACAGAGCGTGCGTTTTGCGCAGTGAGAGCGCTGATGACGTGAGAATTCGATCATCCTTGCAGAAGACACGCAGTCATGTCTGGTCCCGCTGGGCAAGTGTCGCAGCAGGCAATGGCAGCCGCGACGACGGCTGTGCCCACCTCCAAGGTAAGGATACCGTAACGCCTGACGTTGAAGGGGATTGACCTGTCTACGTTCTCTAAGAACATGCGACGGGAACGTTGCACACCTGTGCATGAGAAACTGACATTGCTTTTGACTTGACGTTCACAGACCCTGGGAGCGGGGCTCCCCGCCAGGAGAGATTCTCGTTCACCCGATGATGGCGCCAGGTTTGTCAGAAACGCCGAGGATGAGGGCCCAAGTCCCGCTGACAGCATCGAGGGAAGTGGCACACAGCCCGCGCAGCGGGGAAGCGTGCGCAACGTGGGCCGCCGCGAGGAAACGTGGCAGGGGTGCGCCAATAGCCACCGGTGCGAGCGTGTTTTTCGTGCAGGCACGTGACGGCCTGTTTGCTACGCAGCTCCGCGGGCGCCCACAGCCTGGTCGCCGCAGCGACCACAAGCCTGCGGCCCGGGTCAAAGTGTGGCGCATCCGTGAAACGCGGATTGTGAACCTAACAGCAACGAGGCTCCTGGAAGGAACGACTGACTGTGTGCTGCTCTGGCGTGTCGGTGTGGGCGTACGCGTGCGCGGTGACCGTGGCGCCGTCGCGGAGCACGCGGTATGTGACTCTCTCGGCTCACGCGGCCTCGCTGGCTCGTTACTGGCGACACAATGATGACTGGCTGACATACTTCGTTGGCTACGTGGTCACTTTGCGCAGTTGGGGTTGGTGGCGGCAACAGGGTCCGACGTTAGTAGGCGGTGCGGGTGGTCGATTTGTGGTAGGAGCTGGTGTCGTCGACTCGCGGACTGCCGGGCAAAGGGGGTTGCGGACCTTCTCGGAGTCCCCCCTCTTACACTCCTCCTCCCAGACAAGCACCTCATGTGCTCGTGCCTCTCATGGACTCTCGTGCATCACTCAGTCACTATGTTCACTGCCAGGGAGTGTTTCGCCCGGCGCGGCCGTCTGGCGTTTGGCCTCGTCTCTCGCCGCACAGTGCGGACTTCCAGCACCAAGGTCACGGTTCTGACGCCGCTGCGCGCGCGTCCTTGCGACTCATTCGTCTGGTACATCACCAGCTTCTTCGCGGGTGCGTCGCTGGCCTCGTCCGCGCCGCCGGCGACGGCGGCCTTCACCGGTGGGTCCATTTCGCCCCTGCACTCTTCCGGCACGCCACTTTCACTTTCACGCTTCTGGGCAGACGCGGCATGCTCGTATCACTGCACTCCTGCGATGCCAGCCGCCCGCTTCCCGCGGTGGCACTTTTCCAAGTACTTCTTGAGAGCCTTGCGCAGTCCCGTAGCCGAGGGCCGCGGCTTTCTGCCAATCTGGATCGTGCGCGACCCACTTCACGTTGAAGTAGGTGCGCTCGACCCAGTCGCCCACTCGATGACCTTCAAGGGTGCCGTCATACAGGTTGTGGTGCGTGAGAAGCTCCGGCCCGCGGTGCTCGAGGGCTGGCCTCCATGAACCACTCCATGTCATCGCCGTCGTCGACCGGTTGACCAGGCACTTGCCTACCAAGCGGATCATCGTTCCAAGCTCTCAGCTTCTCGATGTGGAGGTGCGGCCCGGACCGGACTCTGTGCCAGACCTTGCATAAGATGTCTGCCATGGTTGTCCACGGACAGCTCAAGTTCGTAAAGTTGAGCCGAGAACTTCTTTGTGATCTTGCACGGTCCGATGCGCGCCGCGGCGCACGAGCTCCCTGGAAAGTACGACTGAAGTGTACGGGTGTCGATCACCGCCTTGTCCGTCATCACGGACGCGATGCACCGTCACGCGCTTGACGTAGATGTCCTCCGCCGTGACCGTGGCCTCGCAGGGGTCGGCGATGGCGTACTTCGGGGACTTGTCCACAGACACCGACGTAAACAAGTCGGTACAAGTCAACGTTCCAGCTCCACAACCCATGCATCCGCTGGTGCAGCTCGTGCGGCGCCGTCTCGAGCTCCCGCAGGGAATCGAGCGTCCAATCGCGCTCAGTGAGCTGCTTGAACTGGGGGTCACGTTTCCTCACGTGATCTCAAAGGGTGATACACCACTTCAAATATGGTGATGTTGCCTTTACTTCACATCGCTCTCCCTCGTCTGCATCCGAATCGCGGGGTTACCGCCCGGTTGCTGTCTGGTTTTCAGTCTCATGCGTCGCCTCGGAGGAACAGCCCATCCTGATGCGGACCGCGTCTCTCTGTGCCCCTGGCTGACTAGACTACATGTTGTGAAACTGCTGTACCTAAAGGGTGCCGTGAGCGATATGCGAGAGCCAGGGAGCTATCCTAGGCCGAGGCAGCACACCGCCTAGCCCGCGGTCTCCCGCTAGCTTCACGACGTGTAGGGTTCAAGCTTACAACGTCATCGGCATGCTGCAGTACGGTCAACACGCAGGAGCTTCCATGGCGAGGCACAACGCTCCCATGGCGATGCACCCCCACCCCTGCCAACCACCACGCGGGTCCGCTGCTCAACGTGTGCTTCCAGGAGCGGCCCGAGCAGCGGGTGACGTGAGGGGCTGTCACCGCCTCACCTGACGTGCGTGATGTTTTGCGTATGTCTCACCGGGCAGGGTCGCCGGCCGACGACATCGGGACGCGTGGTGGGGCTTGCCGACGAGTACCCGCACGCCCGCGGGGCTCGTCACTCATTGAAGACTTCATTCGAGCTGCATACGCAGGTGCTGGGACCCCGACACCTGTTGCTGCAGCTTGCTCATCCTGCGTGCGGGTACTCCACCGCGTCGTTGCTCTCGGCCACCCCTTTCCTTGGTTATTGTGACCTCCGGTCTGACACCTTTTGTCAGACCGAAAGTTCATTACAATCAGTTCAGACTACCTGCGGCACACGGTAGCGCACGTCTGACACAGCTAGCGAGCTGTGAACACTCCCAAGATGTGTCAGTCCCCGGCACTAGAGACCTGGCTCACAATGACATCCGGTCTGTTACTCTGTCTCGGTCACTGGTGTCGGCGGTAGACCTCTCTCTCTCTCTCTCTCTTCTTCTAGCGCTCGGCTAGCGGCAGCGGCAGTCTTACAGCAGGCAACTTGCCTGCCTGACTGGCTCCGGTCAGACTGACACCTAGTGGTGGTCAGCCTGGCATCAGGTCCATGACTCGTGCAACTCGGATTCAGCGCCGCCGCCCAGCACCTACTGCGTGCCGAAAAACGCGCTGCTCAGCGTCTTCGTGATCTCCCTGCCTCCGACCTCGGTGGTGGTAAACGTCACGTCCTGCGGAGCGGTGATTGGCATTCGGGGCCGTGGGTTCCCGCGCTGCCGCTGCAGCGCTTGCGGGGGTGGTCGCGGCGGCGCGTGTCCAGGGCGAGCACGAGCGGATGGACAGGGACCGGGTAGCGGCATCGCGACGCACGTTGTCCTTGATGGAGGCGATGTCGATGTCGCGCACGGGCTCCTCCTTGAGGTTGTCAAGCTTTCCATCCTTCTCCGCGTAGGTGGGGGGGAACCGAGCGCCCAAGGCGAGGGCCAGCTGGCGACAGCGATCGAAAGAGGTGGTGCTCAGGCTGCCGCACACCCCCGGCACAAAGTAGTGAAAGCCGGATTCGTCCGTCTTGTAGCGATACGGGAAGTTAACCTGGGCGTCCCTGCACAGGTCGACCGTTACGAGGGTGGACGCGTCGTACGCGGCGTCGAGTCAGAGAACTGGGCGTATGGGGCAGTGGCACACCGTCAGATCGATCGAGGCCGCGGGGCAGGCAGAACAGTGAGACGGGGAGTACGCACTTCCCTTTCGCCTTGATGGCGCACTGGTCGTAAACCCGGGCAGCGTACTTCTCGTCGGAGAAGTTTCCGATGTGCTTATTTTTGCCCCCTGGCAGGGTCAGTGAAACCACGAACTGCCAGTGGCCGCGCTTCTCGCGGTGGCTCACGCCCGTGAACCTCGAAGAGTGGCCTTCTTTCTTCGCCTTCTTCTTCGCCTTCTTCTTCGCCTTCTCGCGGCCAATGTCCGCATCTGGGACGATGACGTTCCTCAACTGCATGTGTCGGCGCGTGAATCGGCAGGTCTGTCGTGAGGGGCAGGCATCCTGGCAGACACGTCGATGATGCGTTGCAGCTGACAGGCGCGGCATGGGGCTGTCATGGAGGCGGGCATCGTCTCGGCGGTGCTACCGCACCGTCTGCTCGCGCTCCTCGCGGTCCTGCCCGTTCTCCAGCGCTAGCTTGAGGCAGGACGGCATGTCAAAGTTGTACTTGTCGCCTGGGGAGAGGCGCTTACTCGCTTTCTCCTCCAGGATATCGGCGTACAGGACACGCAGGCTGCAACGTGGCACCCGAGGAAAGAGTGCAGAGGTCAGGTGGGCTCGCCACGGATGGAGGCGCGCACAGCAGCTGTGCAGGCTGCTGTCAAGCACGGCAGCAGGACAGTTACCGGCAAGAAGCGGTCGGCATCGGGGACCGGTTCCGTCCTCAACGCCGGGGTGTGTGGCACGGGGCTGGAGCAGTGTCGACGGACAGGCTCGCACCAGTCTGCGTCCCGGGCGGCCTCCGCCGGTGTCGTGCGCAGCGGTCCCGTGACCGCGTCCTGCCTGAGCTTTCTGGGCCTAGACCCGGGCCATTGCCAGGTGAGGTGGGCGTTGTACTGGACTCCGGAGGCGGTGGTCTTCCTCGACACGAAGAAGTACTTTTTGTCGTGCCCCCCCGGGCCCGTGTACGCGTTGTATTTTCCTCGATAGGCGATGTCGTCGCCTGAGCACAAGTCCTCGCCGCAGGTGTCGATCACGAGAGCCTTCATCGCCGACGACGTCGCCGCCAACGCGATGCGCGAACTGGACGGCAATTCCTCGATGATAACGGCCAGGGGACCGCCCCGGCCGCACTGGATGTCCTCCAGTGCGGCCGGCCGGGGCCGGGTGCGCTTCGCGTCCGACTGACTCATCGGCGCGCTGCTGCTGCGTCGCGCCCGTGCGCCGCCTCCTGCGTGCCCACGGAGACAAAAGGGTGAGAAGTCACGTTCGGTGGGCCCGCATCACGGGCGGAGTCGCTTACGTGCTTGCGTGGACGTCCGCCCGACGGCCTGCGGCGTGCGAGGTGAGCGGCCTCGGCGCGCGGGGCGACCCGCGCGGCCCGCGCGGCCGGCTCGGTCTGTTCGTCTCCCGGCGGGCGACGCGCACGCCGCCGCGCGGCTCCCGGGGCCGCGCGCGGCGGCGGCGGCCCGCCGACGAGCAGCGTGTGGGCGGGTCGTAGCGACCGGACGGGGCGGCGGAGCGGCGGATCGTCCGTGGGGCAGGGTGGATCTGTGCACAATCTGGCAGTGTCCGTTCGCTTCCCGCTGCGTTTCCGGTCGCGCGCGACGCCCGCTGGCGACCGCGACGCAGCGCGGATGCCGTACAGGATCGCGTTCGACCCCTCCGGGACCCTCGTCCGCACATCTGGTCACCCGCGTCGGTTCGCTGGGAGCAGCAGTGCACGAGCAGGCTGGGGGGCCTCCGCACCTGGGGGTGCCTCCGGTGGGGGCGAAAGATGCCCGGCGACTGTCGGGCGTAGTGCGGGGGCGGCGCGGGCGCGCGCGGAGAAGACGCCCGGGCGAGGCGCGGAGGCCGGGGCGACACCCCACACCCCCAGCTGTGTGCGGTGGCGGGGGAGGTGAAGATCTGCAGGCAGGGGGAGGTTCGCGGCGGCGTGACGCGCCAGCGAGCGCGTTTCTGGCTTCACCGTGCGGCCGGCGCGGCCCCGCGGGCGCTCACCAGCGCGCTCTCCTGCTCCGCAACGGGCTGCCCTCAGGTCCCTGGGCAGCAAGCTCAGCAGCGCCACTTGAACGCCGCCTCTGGTTGCCCAGGACGGTCGTCGCCGCCCTCCGTGTTCCATTCCGGACGGATTCCAACCAACCACCTGCGACGGGAGATGGCCAAGCACGGAGCGCCCCTGCTGCTGCTGTGCACGGAAGCAGCCGAGTCCGCGCAGCCCGGTAGCTCCAGGCACGCCGGGGATGCGCTATTGCGTGGCACGCAGAAAGGCGCAGCCTGTCGATGACTCACGTGGCAGCGCGCCCGGGCCTTGAGCCGATCTGCCGCTTCCGTGCAGTCTCGCTGCCGTTGGTCGTCATCTCACGTGCTGTGACGCAGCCACAGCGCTGCGCGCTCTCCCGCTGGCGCCCCCGTGGTCGCGTGTGCGGCGGCGGTAGGCGTTCATCAGCCGTTCGAGCCGCGCGCCAGCAGGGCTGTTGTCTGCAGGAGGCCCGGCTCCGGCTTGCCGCTCTCGTGGTGCAGCGTCCCTGATCCCGAGGAAAAACGATGACGACCTCCGCACGGTCACGGTCGTGCCCTGCCTCGCCGCTCAGGCGCGTTCTGGAGTGCCCGCAACCTGGCAGCACACCGCCAGGACCCAGGCCGCGCACGCGACGCACTCGAGCCCCCGTTCGGCGCCGCCCAACACGCCGAACAGGTGTCTGGTCGCGCACCCGGCATTTCCGCACACCTACTTCTCTCGACTTGGGCCGGCCGGCCCGTGCTACCGGGTGAGCTGCGACACAAGCGCCCGTCTGCGACACAAGCGCCTGTCGGTGACCTGGTGTGCCAGGTCACCCGGTCCGTCTGACCGCGCGACGTGCCCCTGACGCCGTGGTGCCCGCGCCGCAGGCATCGTGCGCCCCCCTCGGGCTGCGCGGCCACTGTCAGCTGCTGACAGCGGCTGAGCACCCAGGCCGCGCACGTGGGGGGGGGCTGGGGTAGGTCGCTGGCGCGGGCCCGGGGCCCTGACGACGGGCCGCGACGAAGAGGTCTCGATGATGGCGGGCGGAGACAGGGACTCGAGGTGCTCGAAGCACCGCGCAGCGGCGCTGCGCGCGACTGGGACACTGTGTGTGTCTTACAACCCCGGCGCGACGCATCGCGTGCGCTGGGTCCGCCGGGGAGTCGGTCACCTCTTCTGCCGGGTGGGCGGGGGGCTCCGAGACCGCGACGGACCGGCCGCACGGCGCCTTCCCTGCTGAGACGGCGTCGCCGGGCCCGGCGGGCCGGGGGCGGGTACGCCCCCGGCGGTCGGGCCCGCAGCCGCCGCGTTCGTCGTCGCCGGCGGGGCCGCAGCCGCCGCCCTCTCCGCCAGCGCCTCGGCGCGAATCCGGCGCGTCTCCGCCGCCGCCGCCGCCGTCTGGGCGGCCACCTGCGACCTGTACATGTTTGCACTGTTCGCGGCTTCCCTCGCCTGATGGGCCGCCGTCCGCGCCGTCCTCAGCGCTCCGGCCGTCAACCTCGCGCCCCTCGACGCCAGCGCGCGCAAATCCCTGACCGCCACCGCCGTCCTTGCCACAGTCCTGCGCGGCACCTGTGTTGTTTCCTGTGTCGCTGCGCTGTGCTGCTGTTGCTGCGCGACACGTTCCAAGTCCGCGGCCGCCGCATAAGACGCGCTCAGGGTCGCGTCCACTGCGGCGAGCGCCTGCTCGCACCGCCGGACGACGTTCGCCGTGATCTGCTCCGTCGTCACGGCCAGCCGCATGGCTTCTGCCATGGTCGCCGCCGCCGCCGCCTCGGCCTCTGCCTGCGTGACCTGTGCCTCGGAGGGCCCGGCCGCTTGCTCCACCTCCTGCGCGGCGACGTCGTCGTCGACCTGCGTGGGTGCAACGGCGTGCCCAGACCCGCTCGCAGGCCCGCCGCTCGACTCGCTGCCGCCGTCCATGCTGGCCGTTTCGAAGCCTGCGGAGATACAGAGGCGGTGAGAAGGCATGTTGCATCGCCATGGCGTCGACGAGCGCGCCGCGGGGGGCGAGGTTGGCTGGAGCGGGAATGTCGTCCGCGCCGTCGCTGTGCGTGCGAGACAGGAACGTCTTGCGCGCGGACACACGAGTACAATCAACGGTACGTCGGGATCGCGTCGGAAATCGCGCCTCGACGCCGCGACGACGCGGCATGAAGCCATGGGGAGGCGGGGCAGCGCGGTGGCGAGACAGGGGTCGTGGCGCGCCCGCGGGCCCCGCGAGCCACGATCGCACGTTGTGGAATAATCAAATTGTCGGAAACGTCGACGACTGCGGGAGGACGTGCCCGGAGATCAGAGAACGCGGCCCCCGAACTTGCCTGGTAGGTACGGGCGCCGAGCAGCGGCGCGCGCGGTGTGGCTGCGTGCGTCGGGTCCGGCGCAGGGACGTCGACGTGGTGGAGATGGCCGTGCGCGGCCGTGTCACCCCGGCAGCGCGCGATTCGGCGGCTGCAGCTGGTCGCGGTGGGACGCGGGCGGGGACCGGTGCGAACCGACGCTGAGTGGTGCGCACCGTCGGCTGACCGGTTGTTACTCATAATTGGTGGGGAAGGTCGGGAGCGGTGCGCACCAGTGTACCGGTGTGCACCGTTTCCCAGCCCCTTTCCACTGACTTGGATGTTCACAGTGTCAGGTGGTTGTGTGTAGAGGCGCGGGTTGAAAACGCGGCCAACCGTGGCGAGAAACGGGTCGCTAGCCTGGAAGCGCTTCTGGAGGCTTCTCAGAATACCGGAAACCAGACCCCACAGCTCCCGCGTGACGCCGTGCAGGTGCAGATTGAATTTGCCCTGGTTGAGCGGGTTGGAGATGTCCGCCGCGCTGTAGGGGTCCCGCATCTCCACATCGTTGCCCCCCTCCACCTTGAGGTACCAGAATCCTCCAGGCGCGGGCGCGATCTTCCTCCTCAGGCGCTGGAACGTCTCGCCCAGCACAGGAGGTTGTGTGAGCGTCGGATCGTCCCTTCGCAAAGTCCGCTCCCTCCCGGCGAATGTGAGCTTGTCGGGAATTTTAGCGAGTCAATCTCTCCGAATGCGCAGCGGCGGTTGCGGCCAACCGCCCTGTTCACCAGGCGCGCCGTGCCATCTGAACATGTCGATCAGTTTGCTGGCCGAGGTCTTCGAGGTACGCGGGAATCGACGTCGCAGCCAGACCCGCCCGCTGGAAGCTGCGACAGGTCTCGTTCACCCGCGCGAAGACGTCTTGTAGCGCGTGCACCACGAGCATCAGGCGCGCATCTGTCAGGTACGCTTCCATCTGCACCCACGTTGCCTCAACGGGCTCTTCCTTCCGCATCTTCAAGACCCACGCGAGGAGCTGCGGGTACTGATCGGTCACCACCTGCGCAATTTAACGCGAATGCCGACCGCGATGAGGTGTCCGCAGCAGAAACACAAGCTCTTTACAACACCTCTCGCAAGTCCGCCGGGCGTGCTCGCGGGCGGACATCACGTCGGGCAGGTGCACACCTCGATTGCGTCCCCTCGCGAGAGCCATCGAGTCGTCGCCGGCTTCTTGAACTTCCTTGGCGGTCTCTTCTGAGGGTGCATCTCGGCATATGTTTGTGCGAACGAGTCCTGACGCTTCGCAGAGTGTGAGAAGATGTTGTGAACTGCGCTTAGGAGCGTGTCCAAGTCGTCGGCGACCCCTGCCGTGTCCATTGCGTCTCTGATGGCTAGGGCAAAGCGGTGACCGGTGGCGCTAGGGAGAGGTCAAGGTTGGGACTCAGCGGATTTCACATGGGAATGGCGGGCGCGTGGGCGCGCCGAGTAGGGGAGGCAGACCGCAGCCAGTCGTAATTCATCGCCCTCTGGGCGCTGGTGCGGAAGACTGTGAAGGGAGACCCCGGGGCTGTTCGGTCTGGTCCCTGCTAGCCTACACGGCGCCTACTGAGCCGCGCACACCGTACACACCAGCCCACACAGGGACCTCTGGACGAGAGTCGCGGCCGCGGCCGCGTCGTCTTCGACGTCGGCAGCGGCGGCGCGGGCGGACGCTCCGCGGGCCGCCCCGGCCGCGGCGGGTGCGACCGCTTGCTCACACCCCCCTGGCTGACGACGCGGAGAATGTGACACACCTCACCCCCCTTGGTACGCACCATCTGCGTCGCGCGCGGCGCTGGCTTCGCGGGCTTCGGGGGCGCGGGCGGCGGCGGCGGCGGCACGTGCCCCTGCGCGGCCGGGGGCAGCGGCTTGCCGTTGGCGTTCGTCGGGACCGAGTGCTTGCGGTTGCGGTTGCGGTTGTCATTGTACCGGGCCGTGCGCAGGGCCTTCGCGAAGTCCGACAGGTCCTCCCACGGGTTATTCATTATATTATCAAACTCTTGCTGCAGAGACCACAAGGGAACGGTGCTGCGCGGTGAGGAGCGAGACCGGCGCCGCGTACGCGGGCCGCGGCGCGCGCGTCGCGGGGGGCGCGCGCGTCGCGGGGCGCGCGCGCAGGGCGCGTGCGGGGGGCGCGCGATACCTGCAGCCGGGCGCGCGTCTCGTTGAGCTCGACCATGCCGCTGTCCTTCTCCCCGACGCCGTTCTGCTTCGCGAGCTCGATCCGGGCCTCGATCTCGCGGATGAGCGGCCGGATGCTCTGCAGCTTGCGGTTCGGCCACCTCGGGATGCCCAGCTCCCGGCATCGCAGCTTGAGCGCCGACAGCCTGACCCCCATGGCCGAGGCCGCGGCCTCGGCCGTGAGGTTGAAGTACGGCTGCAGGAACTCCAGCGACAGGTCCCGCAGGATCGCGGCCTCCTCCACGCCGCTGCTGTGCGTGAGCTGCGGGAGCACGCGTGCGTGCTGTGGGGGGGGGGACTGGCGGCCCGCGTGGCATTGCACGGCAGCTGTTGTGCCTGCACGGCCGCCCTCCACTGCGTCTTCCTCCGACCCCTTGCACCCCTCCTCGCCCGATCCCTTGCTCTGCTTGCTCGGGTGCCCTAGGCCGGTGGGTGTGTCGACCGGTGTTGCATGTAGTTCAATGATGTCGGGGTAACCATCTTGCCATCGGATCACCTGGCAACCGTCCACATCCTCGACACGCAGATGTGTTGAATGCGTTGCGGCCACCTACGGGGGCTCGGAGACGTACACAGGTTCGCGGACGAAGGCGCGTGTAAGTGGAGGCTGCACCAAACGCCTGCGCGGGGCGCGGCAAGAGCTGCGGGGACGCTGCTCGGTGGCGACCGAGCTGGCACAGCTAGTCAAATCACGATCCGCCGCGGCGCGGCCACCGACGGCGGAGACCGCGGCCGACGACCGCCGCTAGGCATGGATCGTCCTGCGTTCGACGCGGAGAACGCTGCGGAGCGGGCATCGGCGCGCCGGGAGGGGCGGCGCGCGGCTCACCTGGTTGTGCGCACCGCCCCCGTCGGTGCGCGCGCGCTTCCCGGTACTTCCGCCCGCCTGCGTCGCGCGATGGGACCTGTGTGAGCGTGAAGCATCGCGGCGGTGCGCGCCGGGTGGTGATAGGGGGCGCGGAGACGGGCCTCGGCGGGGAGAGGTAGGCCGCTCATGCAGCGCCCGTGCCTTCGACGTGCCCGGGGCGCGCGCGCGGCGACGCGCGGGCGGCGTAGCTCGACCCGATCGCATCGTGATGGCACGGAGAACGCGGTGAGGGACGGGAGAGGGCGCTGGCTGGCCGGGAAGCCCCGACGGAGGGGGCGGATGGGGTTCATGTCGCATCAAGCAGGTGTGGGCGGGGGCGCGCGGTTCTGACCTGGTGCATCGCCTCCGTCGGAAGCGAGGACGAGGTTCGCACGTGCGGAAGTGTAGGAGGAGCGCCCTCGCGCGGCCGCCTCGAGCCCCGGTGCGAGAGACTCGGCAGTGCCCGTGGGAGAGGCCCCAGCTGAGCTGGCGAGGGGAGTGCCGCGCGCCGCGGCGGCAGCCCGGGCCCGGCCGCCCGGGGCCGCCGGCGACCGTCTCGTCGGCGCCATCGGCCAGCTCGCGCACGCGGCGAGGGCGGCCCGCCGCGCCCCTCGCGGGCGCACGGGGGCCTGCAGGGTCTCTGGGGCGCCCCGCCACCGCCGCGATCGTGTGTGTCTGTGCGGCTGCAAGAACGGGGGGTGTGGGCGCGGTGAGCGATGGCATATTCCCACGAGGAGCCGCAGCCCGGCGCCCGCGGGGTCCTGCTCGGCGGAACGGCGATGAGCAGCAGTGGCACACCACGATACGTGGCACCGAAGAGCGCCGCACCTGCCCGTCAGCGACAATCGTGACCTACGTAGCCGTTGATATCGTCATCCACGCGTCTCCGCGGCCTGCGATTTCGCCACGTGCAACGAGAAGGCCTGCAGAAGAGGCAGAAGAAGGTTTGCGGCGCGACGCGCCAGCGAGCGCTTTTCTGGCTTCACCGCGCGCCCGGCGCGGTCCCGCGTCCGCTCACCTGCATGCTCGCCTGGGGCCTGACACGTTGGCGCGGCAAGCGCACGGCGCACGGCGAAGGCTGCCCCGCCCGCAGACACGCTCTCGGCCTGCATCGCGCAGCCCCGCGACCACGCCCGCGAAGGCGGGAGCGCACCGCTCCGAGCCCCTGCGACGCGCCGGCGAGCGGCTCCGAACCCCTGCGGCCTCCGCGCACGACTGCCCAGCGGAGCCGCTCATAGCGCTGGCTGGCTGCACCCGCGCCGGAAGGCATGACGCGCCCGAGCCCGTGCAGGGCGTTGCTACGCGCGACTGGGGCCGCTGCGCAGCGGCGCGCGCCCGTGTGCTGCGCGGGCGTGTCGCGGCGCCGACGACGGACCCCCCAGGGAGTGAAGCTGCTCCGAGCAGGGTGCCCCGCCGCGGCCTCAAGGTGGCGCGTCCCTGGCACGCGAGCTCACACATCGCGAGAAGCCAGAGTCACGAGTCCGTTGAGGTGGAATCGGAAGACTCAGGCGCTTTCCGCGACTTGCGAGCAGCTTCAGTCCTTGGGGCGCTGGCGCGGAGGAGCAGATTCCGATTTCTCTCGCCCTCGATGGGCCTCACGTTGTCCGAGTTTGTCCAGTCATATCTCTCTAGCTCAGCTACATCACGGGGCGGCGAGGAAGCGTCGTAGGCGCCGTGCTGCGGCGCTGGCGTGGCCAGGGGCCACCGTTGCTGTTCTCCAGCCGCATGTGCCTCGGCGAGCAGCAGCGGTGCGATGCGAAGCAGTCAGGCGTGAAGAACCGAAGTAGTGTGGCTTCGGGCGCAAGGAGTCAGAGGGCTGGGTGACGCACCCCGTTCGGGAGCGAAGCTTAGGCGCAAGCAAGAAGGCAAGTGCTCCCCTCCTGTTTCACGGAGAGCACATTGTCAGGCGAAACATATCTGCGCAGCCTTGAACGTCACAGTCGGTTATGGGGCGCTTGAATCTCGCAGAACCGTGACCTCCGAGTGCGCGCACGCGAAACCAGCCCATGCCGCAAGCCACTGCCACCGGCTGTGACGACGAGTGCGCGAATATTTCGAGTACTTGATCCTCTGTGCTTGATGTGCAACCTTTTGGCAGCTCTGCTGTGCATGAATTAGACGCCCCCGTACTTTGCCCCCCGGAAGGTCTTGGGCTGGCAGTGGCACAGGCGAAAGCCTTGGCGCTCGTAGGCACATCCGCCTCGGCACGGGCGCAGCCCAACGCCTCACTCGTTGATCTGTGGATCGCCTGGTGCAGCTGCCCCTGAATGCGAGGCAGCGAACGCGAGCCAACTTGGACACGCCCATCTCACAGTGTCACCCTCACGCTCGCTGCCACACGTCCGACCGCCGCGAGTCTCCTTGCAATTTCGTGCTCATCTCTCCGCAGCAGCTTGCTCCGCTCCGCCTCCGCCACCTCCTTCGCCCGCTCCAACTCCCGCAGTATCTGCTCTCTTCGCAACGTGTACCCCCCCGCACCGCCCCGCAGCAGCGGCTTCCGCGCAGTCAGCCGCGCGCGGTCCGACGGTGCCACCCGCGCTGCTCGGCTCCGTTCCCGCGGGCTTCACAGTCGCCTGTGGCACCTGCCACGCCTGTATCGCGCTCTGGAATTGCTGCTCGAGGGCCGCGAGCTCAGGGAAGTCCGTCGTACTTGCTGCCGGATCGGGGCGTGGTGGTGCTGCGGTGAAACCCTGGACGTGCGCCTGGAGTCCTGTGCGACGATTCTGCAACGGGACAATGATATAAGAGAGCGAATTTATTCTATGAATCACGACCGCAGCAGAATCGAACCACGCAACGATAACCAGCACATGTGGATGCACGAAAGCACTTCTCCCTGCGTCCAGTTCAGGGACCCCCCTCCTCCCACCCATCGATACGAGCAGGGGTAGCATGTGTTTGCGGATCCAAGTGCCGCGTCAGTCAGCACGATGAGCTGGAGGCTGCTCGCACATATGCGATTATCAGCCGAATCCATCGGGACAGGACAGTATGCGCAGCAGCTACGCCAATTCATCGACATGATGATGCGGCATCAAATGCAACACCACACTTTGGTGCAGTGGCGGCGCCTCATCTCACGCTGTCTCGGTTGGAGATATGTGGTCCGCTTGTTCTCTCTATGTACGTACGCGTGTGCTGAAGGCCTCCCGCTCTCGGCGCTTGACGTGGAAGGCTCCGAATACTCCTTGACCTGCAATCAAGCCGATCGAGCGATAACGGGACCCGGTGCCACACAGCCGGCTAGTGCGCAGCTCGCGCGCAGTCGCGTGCAGTAATCGCTGGACCTGCTCGTTGTTAGCGACCTTGTACAAGGCAACATGTTGCCCACAGGCGTCAGTCGAGTGCTGATCGATGTCGCCGCGTGAAGTGGGCCTGAAAGGTTGCGCAAGTTCTTGGTGGCCACGCAAGCGGCAGCACGCGACTGTGCCGTCTCCGCCAGCAAGCGGACGAACTCATCAACGAGTTGGGTCGTCTCCCGCGTCGTCAGCAGCTGGCACTTGCTCGCTTGCTCAAGCACCTCAGTCAGCGTCCTAACCTCGCACGCGGCAGCATCTGCGAAGTGGATAAGGAACGCATGCGCTTCGAGACGGTTCCAGGCGCAGCAACATCCCGAAACAAAATGTTTCATCCATGTCATACAGTTTTCGCAGATCGGCGTGGGAGCTCGCAAGCAGGTCGTCGCATAACTCACCGATGATTGCTCCGTCCTGACACGTTGCCTTTACCACTCTTGTTTCAGGTCCGACTCAAAAACCTGATGAGTTATGAACATGCATTAACTGCCCGACAAGTCTGCTGGGAATGCCGTTCGGGGGAGTGCTTGTCACAAGCGCTTGCAGACGTCTACCGTATGCGACTTTGGCATCATGCGCGAGCAGTTCGGAGTTCGCGGGGGGCTGTTGCGAGCCCTTCAGGGCTGCCGCAGCTGCCTCGCCGTATAAAATCGTCCCCTCGTTGCGCGGCTCCTGAGACTGCGCATTCGACGGCCCCTCCATCCCCCCCTCCCCGACACACAGGCAGATCTCATATAGGCGTCAGGAGGTGAGCTCTGTCACTTCGAATGAGCGGCCGGTTCAACGCTTCCATTTCAATTGCGTCGACATGGTGAAGTGAAAGAGCAAGCTGCTCGCACCCAAACCAGATGAACGGCATCACAAAGCCCGCGGGTGTTCGGCGTGCCAGGGCATGACGGAACTGCGGACGCAACGACTGAAGTGGACAGTGCATTTCAGTTCAGTTCAGCATTCCCAACGGGCGACCTCCAGGCTACCTGTCTCGATTGATTCGATCTTGTTGCCCTCCAGGGACAGCTCCTCGAGGGGCATATCACCACGCTGCGCCTCCACCAGCCAGCCGGCCGCCGTCGCATCGATCCCGCAGTCCTCCAGCGGTGCGCCCCTAGCCGGACACGTCCGTCACTTCGCCCCGCTTGTCCCTGCGCGAATGCTGCTTCCAGCTCGATGAAACCATAAAAAGGAGCGAAAACACGAGGACATGTTGTCGATGCATGACAACTGGTTGCAAGCGTGAACGATCGCGTGCCAATTGGGAGGGCGCGCACTTGTGTTCGTCACGGATCCAGCACGCCGTGCTCTCGCCAGCTTCATCGCATGCGCCCCCGAGCGACACGAGTCGATG